CTCATAGCCTGTCAGCGCGCGCTGATACATTGTCTCTGCCTCCTTTAGCTTTCCCTGATCAGAGTAGAGAAGACCAAGACTGTTAACAGTATCCAGGGTGGATATATGGTCAGGACTGAATGCTTTCTCATAGCCTGTCAGCGCGCGCTGATACATCATCTCTGCCTCCTTTAGCTTTCCCTGATTTTTGTAGAGATGTCCTAGACCGTGGAAGGCTCCCCAAATAATAGACGTGTTATCTGTATAGTTATATGCCTCCCTTTGCAGCAGATGATTCGCATGTGGAAGGAGTCGATGTTGGAGCTTTGCATAGTGTCTGTAATCTGTACTTGGGACCATATACCCAACAGCGGCCAGAGCGAGTCCATACAGTTCAGCTATATACCTTTCAGCGGCGGCAACATGAAGACACCAATTCTGTACCACAGGATGTAATGCGTAGCTTTCCTCTAGTTGTCTAGTTTCGATAAGGGAAAACCCAAGAAGAGTCTTGATCCGTGCCTTAAAAGCAAGCTTATTTTTAACCGATATTTTGAACCAATCTGGAGTATTGGAGTAATTGCGACCATGTTCGATCAACTCATACCAAATATCTCGGTTATCAAAACACGCAAGGAAAAGTAAAAGCGCTGCAGCCGTTCTATCACGTCCTTGGACTTCACGGTATGAAATCATCCATGTCTCAAGTAAATTACCTTGCTGATAGTGACGTGTCGCTGCAGACTGAGACTGTAAGTCAACCCAGGAATCCCTATAATACTGTAAGTATTCCTTGATGCCGGTGCCTGTCTCGCGCATAAATGCACCGGCAATGACAATTGCCAGCGGCAACCCATCTAACCGGTTAGTAAGGCCAGCCACATCTATACATATATTAGTTCCATTTGTCCAATATACCTACTGACTCAGTACCTTGATCAGGCTCTTTCTCTATAGTATCGCCAGTTGAGAGGCCACTACTCAGCAGTAAGAGCTGAATGGCATCTTCGGTTGCAAGTCTTTGGACTGGAAATGACTTTCCTAATTCTGTTAATCTTTGGAGGCGAGAAGTGATCAGTATAGATCCATGATCAGCAGTAGGAAAGAATTCCTTAATATCATATTCATTACTGTTACTGTCATGCGACAGGCAGTACTGATCAATATTATCGAAGATTATTAACCACCTCCGGTTATCCTGGATTGCTAGCCACCGTAGCACTTCTTTAGCTCTTTGCTCTGCTTCTTCTTCAGTAGTCGCTTTAACATCTGTAGGATGCCCTCGCACTCGTGGCAGACAAGAGCTTAAAGACTGAATTAATGTAGATCGGTCCTTGCCACTTAACCAGAATACTGCTGTAAAGTTATTATGATACTTGCGTGCAAAGTGAATGGCCAGTTGTGTTTTTCCCATCCCACCGAGGCCGTGGAGAATGGCAACCTTTCGTGACTCTGAAGTAGCTGGTTGTAAATAGTCCCATAGCCTGCTGAGGTCATCTTGTCGTCCAATAAACTCTTCAATGGCGGGCACTGCTGTCAGGTCTAGTGGGACATGAAATTTGCTAGCTTACAGGTAGTTAATAAATTGATCTACACATTATCACAGACAATTTAGCAAGATTACTTACTGCTAACCTCTTGTGTAGCGGCCAACGGAACCACTGATAAAAGTTTCTTAGTGTACGCAGCTGCGGTGAGCGCCGCATATCCTTGCCATTGTTTGTGCTTGTGAGAGTCACAATAGTCGCAAATTCCTCGAATTACCAGGCATGGCAGTTGGTCCATAAGCCCAGCTGCCTCCATCTCAAAGCATAAAATGTCCATGGCCTGGGCAATGAGGTCTCGTCTCTTGGCATCCTTCATAACTTGGTTCCCAGAAGCGATTAGCCCATAATGAATATGAGGCTTATTAGTTACTCGCGGCGTACGACGCACCAACTGGGCCTGATCACAAGTTAAACAACTGGGGTTGGGGCTCTGATGATCATATGTTGAATTGAAAAGCCAATCTTGGTCTGGGCGCGAAAATTGCTGACAGTTTTCAGGTATTTGGAGCACATCCGATATAACTACCCCAATAGACAGTTTTCCGATCATAGTATCGCTGCGTATTTGGGATACCGCCGTCAGTAAAACTTGAGGAGGCTTGTTGAGGGATCCTGTTCGTTGGAAACGTCCATCGTGAAGTGATTTGCCGTAGTCATACTGAATCACACCTCCCGAAGTCGGGGTTGGCATACTAACGACCACATCACCCAGTCGAATATCAGTGCCTTGGCTGGGCACGCCGCCTCCAATACCTACCATCAACGCAAATTGAAGAGAGGGGAATGTTGGCAACATGTGGGCAAGCACAATCGCAGCAGAGGTGGTCCCGTAAACCCCAGACGGCAAACAGGCCACCACTACATTGTGACCGCTAATGCTTCCGAGAGTGTAGACGTTGTGGTCGGATTGTGGCTGGCGGAGTGAAGGATGGACCTCATCGAGCATAATCTTCGCGGCCGCCATTTCTAATGGCAACGCACAGATCCAGCCAACCGTGTAATCATCATGTATGAGGGTCATTTTTACATGTCTTAGCTAGTAGGAAGCAGCAGAACATCTGGTGCCCTGTTTCGAGTACTCAATATACCTGCGAAGATAACGACTGATCTGGGGCAGTCCATAATGTAGGGTAGAATCTTGAAATAATGTTAGAAAGGGAGGGGTCGCTGGCTACATGTAGCCGCAAGGCTGCTAAACCAACAGCCAATCATTGTTTCAGGGGATATATATGTGATAAAAAGTAAGCAGGAGATGGATACGTTAGGATAGAGCGTAAATTATGACCAAAACCTAGAATCTACTTCTTTGGAGCGTGAATTGTTATTTTGGATATTCTAACAAAATTTTTAAAGTGGCATCAAACATAAATAGAGCATAATACCGGTAAGAGGTGTGTTAACCATTCAGACCTGGATACAATAAATAGGTAATTGTCAGAGTAGTACACGTTATAGACAAACTAAATTAAACGGAGAGCAAGGCAATAGTGGCCGTTTTAGATTATAAAGTATTAATAAATAACTATACAAAAGCGCATTTCGATGACTGTATAGGCTTATTTAGCCAATTATTGAAGCAGATGACCAACCAAATATCATAGTTTGGCCATTTCTTGGCATATACCTGTGTAAGGTCCAGCAGTCAATCCCTCTCTCGAAAAATAGGGCTTTGTCTTACCATGTGCATCGAATTTCCCCTTCTGGTCGCTTCGTTTGATTCCGGCATTTCATCAGTGCAACGCGTGGTACTATGATAGAAGTGCGTTGTGGTAATATCGGTGCAGTAGAGTGCAAGAGAGCCGACAATGAGGCAATCACGGAGGGGAGACCTGCAGATGAAGCCCTCGAACCCTAAAGCCAAGCAAACCCAATGTGAAGAAGGGGATTTCAGGAACAATGAGAAGTGCGCGCGGCAGTAGCCTCTCTACATAGAAATCGCACCTTCTTTTGTGTACGGCCTTGCGGCCTCGTTGACTTTTTCCCTTCATCTCACTTCGTTCCTCGTTCGTTTCAGGGCATATCGATCCGTCCAAGTTTAACATAAAATAGTATGGGAAGTTCAGTAGATTAAAAAAATTAGAATAAATAAAGATATAAACGGATAATAGCAAAGTCATTAAATATGTAGTGATTTATAATACAACTTATCACGTACTATAGATAGACCAGTCTCTAATTCCGAATAAAGTTATATATGAAAACTGTCAAGATTATTATACTACGGTATACCAGAGCCCAAGTCTAAATGATATCGACAAATAAGAAGCGCGCGTAGCGGTAACGAGTCTATACGGAGCCACAACCCTGTTTTGCGCATGCTCTCGAACGCTCGTTTATCTTTTTCTTTTACTCTAGAGCTGGAGTCGTAGGCTATGAGCGCTTTTCCTTTCTGCAATGGGTATGGAAAACTATACCTTTTCCGTGAATCTCTATGAGAAATATTTTAAACATCAACCAATCCTCTTTGATTAACGTATCTCTCAAATCACTCTTCTATCAACTGGAACCATTTGCGAAACGACTTTTCTGCCTGTGTCCCGATATCCCCACCAATATGGCTTATACCAGGCAATTTTCATAGAACGATACTATCATGTACATTGTAACTTCATTGCATGACTCTTCATTCTTTATTGAAAGGGCTGCAGGGGGCCGGGTTTCTATGCCCCAGCAACATTCTCACCTTCAAGGATTACTCACAACCTCTCACCGACCAGTTCGCAGGTATGTGCCCCAGCTGACATGGCTAGCATCTCAGGTTACTACTTTCTTACTACTGCGTCCCTGCCACGTAATGACCACGTGCAGTTCGATGTTTTTGAAGCATGCTATTTACGGTGATAAACGAGCCGCGTGTTCCATTGCCCACAGATCTCCACCCTGATTTGGAAAGCCCAGCTGAAGCAGACAGCCATTACAACCTCGGCAATGCAGTTGCGGATCTCAAGGAGACTGGCCTTCAAATAATATGGGCATTCGCCAAACAGGATAGGACTAAGGCACCAGGATCTGAAGTGGAGGACTTCCTGTTTCGAGCTCCTGAGTGGAGTTCACTGACCCAGGGAAAGGGTTTGGTGAAATCCTGAAGTACCACATTAGGCACTTGGTTAAAGGATCAAGACATTGCGAAGCGGCATTTACTGGACGACTGCAGTGGTATTCATTTGATTTCGTCGGTCTGATTAGCAAAGTCTGGCAGTCCGATGGTGTTCATTGTGAATATGACAGTCAAGGTGACTAGGAGACTTGTTCACAGCGGAGCCGGGACGCATGTAATTGACGGAACTAGGGCTATCACTCACCAATCTCCGCAATGTTAACACCTTTGAGGATCTCAACGGCCGAATATGAATATTATAAACCCCGTCAGTTAGCTTGTTTTGGGCTCGAATTGGGTTAGGGGAGTTGACTACAACAGTATCAAATATAAACCATGAAAACTCTGGCAATCACAATGGTAAATTACGGATAAACCATCCTCCACATGACTTATTCATTAAATGGAATGACAGATGAAGAAATCATGAAGGGAGACTGAGGATACTCATTTATATATAAGGACGGGATGACTCTCGGCCCGGAGTGTCATTTATTAACCCGCACCTCAGGGCAGTAATACCTCTCGTCCTCCTCACTCCAGCCTATCGGACTCATTTTGGGTTGCATCTTTGGTAATCTATAATAAGATTCCACCAACTTTTGGCGGCGATGGCCAATTGAATCACATGAAGGGAACTGGCCGAAGTTCCCATTGGATCAATCATCAATTCGATGTTCACTCTTCTCCGGCACTAGAGGACAGGGATGGACTCAACTTCGGACTATTCAAAGAAAGGTTTAGCGACGGATATGCCCACTTGGTTTATCCGGTGATCACTCCTTAAACCGATGAATTTCCCTTAGATTCAATTATGGACCCACGATGGAGAGCTCTGACAATCCCCGTCGACGCAACCGCCGCATTCATTCCTGCCTGGCGTGTCGTCAGCGCAAGCTGAGATGCAATCGCCAACAACCCTGTTCCAACTGCTCCCGGTCGGACCGTGAATGTATCTTTCTGCGACTCGATTCGGAGCACCAGGTGCGGAAAAAGCTCGCCACGTTCAAGGAACAGTCCGCGTTATTGGCCAAATCCCTCGAGCAGGATGTAGTCATTGCCACGCCCGCTAAAATGACCTCTGGATCGCTGGAGGAGAGTGAAGATGATCTATTGATTACCTCGTTCGACTTAGCGCTTCTGGGCATCCAGGATGCTACGTACGACCATGAGGAGGATGATGGTTCAGATGATGATCGCTATGATCTGGGCTTTCGGTTTGGGAAGATGCGCATGAACGAGCGTGTAGGAGGATTTTTCCATCCGCACATGGCGGATGAGGTAAGTGATGTTCTCAGTCCATTTGACGATAGTTCGTTCATTGTGGACAGCTCTCCGCATTCCTAGACGAAACTACCGGCACCGGCACACCCCGAGCGCCTAACTTGGATAACCTCAGCGTAGCGGAGAAGGATCTGTACTTTGGCCCGGGGCCTTCCTTCATTCCACCCCAGTCGGGTTTCCTCTTCAGCCCTTCGTGTTCGACCCCGATAAGCGATTGGTTTCCCCCGCGAGACATGGCAGACACCCTGATGCAACAGTACTGGGAGGCGGTCCATCCAGTTGTGCGCATAGTGCATCGACCTAGCATCGAATGGCGCCACAGGGCTTTTTGGGAGGCAATAGACACGGGTGCGCGACCGTCTGCAGCGCTGCGCGCCCTAACTCTGGCCATGTTCTTCACGGCGGTGGTGAGCATGCCAATGCACCAGGTCTTGCATCAGTTTGGGATCCCCCAACAGGTTCTGCAAAAGCGGCTGCAATTCCATACGGAAAATGCCCTCAAGGGCGCGAAATTACTTTCGACGACTAGACTGGAAACTCTCCAGGCTTTTGTATTGTACTTGGTACGATCGCCTTCCTTCTCTTCGAGAACTTCCTGTTAACCGGGTCGCAGATCCCAATGTGTCGCAGCGAGATCTCTCGGGCGCATTCCGCCCTCGTGGGCATGGCAGTGCGCTTGGCCGAGTCTATGGGGCTCCATCGTGATCCTGGGGGATCGCAGTACTCAGCCATCGAAAGCCATGTCCGCCGATTAGTCTGGTACCAGGTATGTTTCCTAGATCTCCGAACTTCCGAGGTCCAAGGACCTCGCGTGGCTATTCGGCCAGGGGACTTTTCTGTGGAGCTGCCCCTCAACCTGGATGATAACCAGATAATGGACAAGGAGCAAGGCGGTTCACGCATGTGGACGGAAATGACCTACACACGCATCCGGTTTGAATGCCAGGAGATGCAGCGGAAGTGCCTTCTCCTGCGTATCCAACTGGAGCAGAAAAAGCTTCCTCTATCGCAAGTACTGAAACAGATCGAGAGCTTTCGCCAGCACATGGAGTCCCAATACAATCCCATCCTCAGCCAAACCAATCTTACCCCACTGCAGAGTGCAGCCAAGCATTTGATGACCTTGCTGATCAGCCGCCTCTACACGGCTGTTCTCCACCAGCTCTACCGCAGCTTGGTTCGGGAGCCGCCTGTTCGGTTGCGACAGCTCGTGGTGACCACGGGGATCCAGCAACTGGAGAGCTCAATGGCGTTGGAAACAATCCCCCAGCTACAGCCTTGGTCTTGGTATAGCCAGGCCTATCACCAGTACCACGTTTCCATGCTGCTGTTACTGGAAGTATACCTGCGTCCCACCGGCTCGGAAGCTGATCGAATCTGGTCGTGCCTGGAGTATGTATACACAACGACATCCCCAGCGTCAGAGGATCATGATGATCTGGGGAGTCGACGTCGCAAGGCTCGATCATTATTGACGGCTCTACGAGACCATCTCGATATTTACTGTCGCATTAGGCGCGCACGCGTGCCGGCGCAGTCGCGTGGTTCGTCCCACGTGGACATCAAACGGTCACCCAGCACGGTCCCAGATCGCAAGTCGCCCGTAGCTGCAATCCCCCACAATTTAGCCGATTGGAGCTCGGGGATGCAGTCGCCACTTGGGGTATCTGCCGATCAATTTTCGATGGGCCCACCATCGCAGACAGATTGGCTACCGACGGATCCCTGGCCGGTCCAACTGAATCACTACCCCGTGGTCGGGGATGGAGTTCCCCCGATTGACTTCGGTACGCTACCAGACGATACAGCTCCTTTTGTCGACTATGGTTGGGTAGGTTACTCTGGGTAGCAATGATAAGAATTGGTTGCTAATGATATGATATGATATCTAGGCTGAATGGGATACCCTACATCGTAATATTCTGGATGGCACATTCTAAAGGCGCTTCCTACGATAATTCTTTCATTGATTACCTTAATCTCTCTTCAACGCGATCACCTTCAAAATCTAACTGCTCTCCCTACTTGATTCGGATAGATTAACTACTAATTTATCGCGTAACGTCCTCGTAGGATAGAACAAAAGGAATCAAAAATGTCCGACCGTTGTTGCTAAAGGTTACTCCGAGTAGCAGCCAGACCTGTATGCGCTTAATCCAGGGAGGAAATTCCCGAACAAATCTCAGCGCCAAACTGGTGAGCGTGGCATGGTCGACAGCCTTACGGCCGTAAGCGCAAGGATGCCACTTGTCCAGCATACGGCCGTATCCAACCCCCACCATTAACCCTAGTGGCTGCCCTACGGTGGCAATTTTGGTCTGAATCGTGTTAAATTTGTCCAGGTAATCTCATGGAGTTAACCCTCGCCGCGAGATGACCGGGGACAGGAGTCGATCCGGTCGATTCCGTCATCTTACGGCCGATCTAAGGGACAGGGGGCAGTATAGAAAAAATAGAGGTTGCATCTTGGTCATATATAAAAGGCACGACATGTAGACGAGTATCTAACCTAGCAACTTGGCTCTCTATCAATTAATTTACTACTACGTTCAACGCGACACTCATGGCATCGTCAAAAGACTTTCAGAGCATGAGCGACGATACTAGTATGTACAAGGAGGATGAAGGAACGACTCCCGTGATGGACCAGAAGCTTCGTTCAGAGATGGGAGAACCTCCCCATGCCAGTCCTCCGCCCGATGGCGGATTTCAGGCCTGGTGCGTGGTAGCAGGAGCCTTCTTTTGTCTCTTTGTCAGCTTCGGCTGGGTAAACTGTGAGCTATTCACAGATCCAAAGGCTGAGCTGCCATAGGTTCTAATGGAGACGCAGGCATCGGTCTCTTTCAAACGTACTACGAGACCCACCAGCTGAAAGGTTATTCGGCCAGCACGGTCGCTTGGATCACCTCGTTTGAGGTCTTCATTATGTTCCTGGGGGTCCGTATGAGCCCTTCTCAAAATCAAAATCACCCTCCCAGACTCACGAGCCGTAGGGCCCCATTCTTGGCAAACTGTGCGATGTTTACGGCCCTCGAATTCCCCTCCTCGTGGGAAGTTTCTTGCACGTATTTGGCCTGATGATGACCTCACTTTGCAAGGAATATTACCAATTCCTTCTAGCCCAGGGAATCTGCAGCAGTATTGGAGCTAGCTGTATCTTTTACGCTGGTATGTCATGTCATGTTCTCTCCTGCCAGCCTCGGAAGGGGAGAGAGTTCGCTAACCATCATTAATTAGCATTGGGAGCCACCAGCACATGGTTCAGCCGACGGTCAGGCCTGGCCATCGGGATCGTAGCCAGCGGGTCCAGTCTTGGGGGCGTCATCTTCCCCATCATGATTGACAAGCTTTTGCCAAATATTGGCTTTGCTTGGACGATGCGCAGCTCCGCTTTCATGATCCTCGGCCTCTTGGCGTTTGCTAATGTCACCGTTCGCAACCGGCTGCCTCCGAACCCCAAGCCTGGCAGCCCAAAGGATCTTGTCATGCCATTTACGGAGCCATTGTTCTGCCTGACCGCGGCTGGGGCATTTCTCTTCTCCTTTGGGCTGTTTCCCCCCATCAACTATGTAATTTCCGAGGCGATATACGAAGGCATGAACTACAGCCTCGCGTTGTACATGCTGCCTATTCTCAACGCGGCCAGGTACGTGTGACGCCACGCAAGGAACCCATGCACCCGACTCTCAAACTGACACGGAAATTACAGCTTGTTTGGTAGAATCATCCCGGGCGCGGTGGGGGACAAGTTTGGGCGTTACAACTGCATGGTCATCATGACGGGCTTGACTGCGATTACCGTCCTGGCCATTTGGATTCCAGTTACCACTAATGCCGGCATCATCTTCTTTGCCGCCGCCTTTGGCTTGACGTCCGGGGCGTTCATCTCCCTCGCCCCCGCTTTGATCACCCAGATCACAAACGACAGCTCTAAAGTCGGAGTCAGGATCGGGGCGATGTATGCGGTGACATCCGTTGCGAATCTGACGAGCAATCCTATTGGCGGTGGCCTCATCCAACAGTGGGATGGCAAGTATACAGGGCTAATGATATTTTGTGGAGTGATGGAAGCCGCCGGGATGTTGTTCTTCCTAGCGGCGCGAATCTATCAGACAGGATTCCGGGTGGCTGTCGTCGTGTGATCGTGATTCGGGCATCGAGAGAGTGCGTTCCGTTTCTATAGAATCCTTTAGTCATAGCAACTAATTAGGCAGAGCGATTAATGTGTGTCAACTAATAATTACCCTGGTTTTGGTGGTGTCATATCGTATATTTTGGTTTGATAATGGAAATACTTCTCCGTATCTTGTTGCCTAAAAAAGGGCCACTCACCTGCCCCACGGTTCGTTCTTCCCCGGCTATATTTCGGTAATGTTATTATTCTCCGCATTTTAGGGGCACCCTTGATCTTAATGAACTCTGCATTAGCGACGTTAAATTTTATGAAAGAAAAGGAACAGTCGTGAGTCATGCCTAATTTTTTCGGTGTGAATGGCGAAGTCATGTGGTATATGGGTCCGCGGATTATATGTTGAGTTCTACCTGCAACAACCGCCTAACGAGTATATGTATATATATTTGTATGTATACCTGTATTATGGACGCAGTACGCAGTACGCTATAGTGCTACTATCAGTACTAGTGCTATATTTGTTTTATCAGCTACGATGTACAACTTTCTATGTATTCTAATATTATAATACTAAGATATTTATATTTATATAATTATTACATTATTGAAGACAAATTGCCTCAAACATTGCGAGGTTGAACTTTTCAGCTATCGATACTGAGCTAATTTCCCTAAATATACTAGTGTATATTTATTAGAAAAGAAAAAAGGGAAAAAACCCCACTTTCCGTTTCCTTGCATTTTGAGTCGACGGTCGGGGTTTTCTTTACGCTCCGCAATTAAAAATAACAGCCCTACCGTACTATACAACCATGTGTAATAATGGATCTCGCTATAACTGACTCTGTTATTAACTCCGGACAGGGAGACGATCCGGCACGAACCGAACTGCAAAAAGGTGGACTCATTGGAGGTGGGGCAGGAATGTTAATGCTTTGACTCCGGAGTCAACCACGTGTTTTGAGAAACCAATTGTGTTAATTATATTATCAAATTACACGAGGTATTTTCCTATACAGCTTGCCCTATGTAATCACGTTTAGTTTGACAATTCTTTTTCGTAGCTTGCATACGAATCATACGATTAGATATCTAGTTGGAGATCTAGTACCGTCAATAGATCTTCTTTTGTATTGATTCTGCGATACAAGGACATGCCTATATGGCCACATGGCGTGATTCCACTGATCTGAAAGCTTATGTGTTCTCCTCCAGAGTATGCGGGTTCATGCTAAAAGCTTACTTGCATCGTTGACGAACTTGAATTCCGTATGATTGGTTCTTTGGGTCCACCTAGCCCTATTGCGGTCCCATATAACAAGCACTTGCCAAGAATACTCCGGTATCAGACTTCGGACAAACGAAACTCCTCTGCACAGCATGTAGTTCAATTGAGCTCACACCGGGTAATATGTGTACACAGGGGCGTTTGCAGCACTGGAACTCCAGAAATAGGTCAAGCCACTCGAAATCCGTGCTTATGGCGAAGTGTAGAGGAGCTGGTTGGACTTGCACTAGGCGTCTATGACTCTGGTTCTACAATCCTTCCAACTCCCCTATCTCGTGGCTTGTCCTTGGTTATTCCGCGTGGTACGATTGAGCAAAAGGGAGTTGAATTGGGGGCCGTGATGGAGCCATCTCTCAAAGGGTTGTATACTCAAGTGTTAAATCGATCGCCGGCAAACGATTTATAAGGTCTGTCGTCGCCGTCGATATACTGTCCTTTCACCAGTCTCAACTACAGGACGTTAATTCCATACACTTACTTTAATATCATACTACACCGTTAGCTATCGCCTTTTTGTGCAACCTAATCGATAATCAATCATGTCTTCTACTTTGAACAATGGAGCTCAGAATGGCCAGAATGGCCTGGTTGGCATCGTTGGCATGGCCTGCCGTGTCCCGGGGGCTACAAACATCCATGAATTCTGGCAACTGATGAAGGAGCGCAGAGACCTTCGTCGCAAGATGCCTGCTGACCGATTCAACGTGGATGGGTTCTACCATCCCAATGGCCCGAACAAGGGGACTGTATGCAACTATTTCATCTCCCTGTCCGATGATATGCTCGCAACTAACCGATGATAGTTGAACGCTCCCTATGGATATTTCCTGGACCAGAATCTGGGAGATTTCGATGCTGGCTTCTTCGGTATCTCTCCCAAGGAGGCCGAAGCGATGGACCCTCAGCAGCGCCTCGCTTTGGAGGTTGTGTACGAAGCACTGGAGGACGGTAGGTTGATGATGGTGGTCACGGCGGCAAACCTGGGCTCACACTTTGGACACAGCTGGTATCCCATTCCCCGATCTTGCGGGATCTCGCACCTCGGTCTATTGCGGCTCGTTTACCAATGACTACGGTAAACTGATTGATCGGGATATGGCCTCATATCCCAAGTACACGGTTACAGGTACTTTAGAGGCTACAGGGAGGGGGCTGCTTCACGAGTACAAGCCAACTAACTGTTTTCTAGGAACTGGTCAGACAATCCTGTCTAATCGTATTTCCTATTTCTACGACTTTCATGGTGAAAGCATGACGGTGGACACCGCATGCTCTTCATCCCTGATTTGTCTTCATCTCGGGGCACAATCTCTCCGGAATGGCGAATCCGATACGGTATGGCCTTTCTCATATATGCTCTCTTTGGGATTCTTCTGCTAAACAGCGGCAGGCAATTGTTGTTGGCTCTGCTCTCCACTTCGATCCCAACATGTTTATTACTATGGCTGATTTTGGTATGTTATCCCCTGATGGACGATCCCGGTCCTTTGACGCAAATGGAAAAGGCTACGCGAGAGGAGAGGGGATGTGTGTGGTGGTCTTGAAGCGGCTGCAAGAGGCCGAGCAGAATAACGATCGCATTCATGCGGTGGTTCGCGCGACTGGAGCGAACCACGACGGCACCAAGAATGGCATTACGCTGCCCAACCCAGTGGCCCAAGAGGCACTGATCCGGCAAGTGTACAAAAAGGCCAATATCTCTACTAAAGATACAGCATACTTTGAGGCCCACGGAACCGTGAGTATATATGTTGAACTAAAAATAAACCAGGACTGACACCGTGCAGGGAACCAAAGCGGGAGACCCCCGTGAGGCCCGAGCAGTTGGGGCGGTCTTTGGAAACGATGGTCGCTCTGAGCCTCTTCATCTCGGCTCTGTGAAGAGTATCATTGGTCACCTTGAGGGAGCGGCTGGATTAGCTGCTGTCATCAAGGCAGCCCTTAGCGTCAAGCATGGCAAAATCGCCCCCAATATGCATTTCGTCCAGCCAAACCCGGAGATTGACTTTAAGAAGTGGAATCTTTCTATTCCAACTGAGATGATTGACTGGCCGGCTAACTACGTCTCCCGCCGTGCAAGTATCAACTCCTTTGGCTATGGAGGGTCTAACTGCCACGTGGTTGTGGAGGCGTATACCAAGAGTATCACAGCGAGCAGCTCACCCACGCCAAGCAGGCGGTACCTTCTGCCCATCTCGGCGCATTCAGAGAAGGTGGGGAAGAAGGCTGCTGCTGCGTTGCACGACTATCTCCTTGCACATCCCGATGTCGACTTGGCCAATTTGGCCTACACCCTCAGCCAACACCGTGCCATGCACGAGAAGCGATCATTCGTTTCTGTTATGGATGCTAGTGAGGCAGCCTCGCTTCTAGCAGAAACGGAAAAGCCTCTTGCCTGGACCACCGCAAAGCCTACGAAACGACTGGGCTTTGTCTTTACGGGACAGGGAGCTCAATGGGCGCAGATGGGTGCATCGCTCCTTGATGCTTCACCCGCCTTCCGCGATGCCATCGCAGAATATGACAGAATTATCCAGAGTCTACCTGATCGGCCGGACTGGAGCGTTGCCGGTAAGACTTATTTTACTCTTGTGCTTAGGATCAGAGATAGCTAATTCACCCTTGACAGAGGAACTGCGGAAGACCAAGGAGGAATCACAGATCAACAAGCCTCAGTTTTCGCAGCCAATCTGCACGGCTGTTCAGCTCGGTCTTCTTGCTCAGTTGAGCGAGTGGGGGATTAAACCATCTGCCACCGTCGGTCACTCCTCTGGAGAGGTTGCCGCTGCTTATGCTGCCGGGCTGATCTCGTTCTCATCAGCGGTAGTGATTTCCTACTACCGCGGAAAGTATACCTCCCAGGATGAATCGAAGGACTCCACCATCGCAGGAGGCATGCTTGCAGTCGGAATGACTGAGGCAGAGGCTGAGAAAGCCTTGAGACCCTATGTTGGTCGCATCTGTGTGGCAGCTATCAACAGCCCGTCGAGTCTTACACTGTCGGGAGACTTGGACGCCGTCAATGAGCTAAAGGAAGAATTAACTCAGAAGGGTGTCTTCGCTCGCTCCCTAGTAGTGAAGCAGGCGTACCATTCTCACCATATGCTCCCTTTCTCTGCGGCCTATCTGCAGGCCATGGAGGGATATGCTCACTCTCCACCCACCCCCTCGAACACCACATCCATGGTCTCTAGCGTGGTCGGCCGTACCCTCCGACAGTCTATGGTTGAGCCCCAGTACTGGGTAAACAACCTCACATCCGCTGTGCGGTTCTCCGACGCCCTGACTGAGACGGTCTTGGACGAATTGGATCAGGTCAAAATAGACGCCCTCGTCGAGATCGGGCCGCATCCGGCTCTCAAGGGTCCCGTCCGACAAACCCTGGCTTCTCTGGATCTAGACATTCCTCACGTGGGAACACTTGCACGTGGGGCTGACGATTTCCAATCCCTCCTCACCACCGCTGGTCAGCTTTATTCTCTTGGATATGCCATTGACCTGGCCAAAGTGAACGACTATGCCTCTCATCCGCGACAACGCGTGGAAGATCTCCCTACGTATCGCTGGGATCATGGCCGATACTGGGCCCAGACGCGTCTCGCTACTGCCTATCTCCAACGGGGGTATCGCCATCCTTTGCTCGGAGCTTTACAGCCAGATTCGACAGATCAGACTAAGCGCTGGAGAAACTACCTACGTCTCAAGGAGATTCCCTGGCTGGCAGGCCACAAGGTTGAGGGCCGTGTTATCTTCCCTGCAGCTGGATATCTCAGCTTGGCAGCGGAGGCGGCATGTCGGATAACCGATGTGGACTCAGTGGAACTGCTCACATTCCAGGATGTGCATATCAAGGCAGCTTTGGAAATCGCCAATGGCGAGTCCGCGACGGAGGTTATTACGGAGCTCCGCGATATGCCAAACGGATCAGGATCCGAATGGCAGTTCATCTTCAGTTCCTTTGATACTGAAGGCAACTCCCGCCAACATTGCCGGGGTATCCTGTCCGTCGCATCGTCGACTGCCGAATTATCAGATATTGAAAGATACTCGGAGGCTCAGAAAAACCGTGAGAAGCCCTCCAGGGCTATACCAGACGAACGATTCTATCGCAAGCTACAGTCTCTTGGGCTGGACTACACGGGCCCGTTCAAACGTCTGATTGGCACGGTAGAGTCACAGCCCGGGTTCGCCACGGCCGGAATAGAGGCAGCGTCTGACGTGTCTTCTTCCGTGGATTGTATCTTAGATCCCGGATTTTTGGATGCCACTCTGCACCCAGTATTTGCCGCTGTGGAGGCTGAGCTTGGGAGACCGATCACACAGCCGTTCTTGCCGGTCTACCTGAACTCATTAAAGATAGCAGGCCCGATGTTGCACAGGCCATTGCCAGAGGATATGAGAGTTTTCTCTTGTTCCAATAAGACGGCCACTCGATCCCTGAAAGCGAGCACCCATGTTCATACAGAGTCTGGACAACCCCTGATCGCTCTGGAAGGGCTTGAGCTTCGAGCCCTGGGAGCAGATGAAAGCGCAAATGACCAGCGATCTCTGTTCCAACAGATACGCTGGCGCCCTTCTTTTGATCTCCTTGACCCAGCCAAAAGTCCCGAGGTGTGCAGCTCTATCACAGTCTTACTGGATACGTTTGCGCACCAGCATCCGGATGCATCGGTTCTGATTGTCGCTTCCGGCTTGGATAGCACCAAGGATCTGTTAATGAACGGATTCTGCATCCAGCTAGGAAAGCGCAAGCGGTACAAGGATATCACCATCGTCTCGGAGACTCCCAGTGCATCTGAGGAGATTTCCGCACTTGTCGCTCAGGAGAAGTGGCCGTCCATACTGGTGTCGCACACAATCCAGAGCGAGGAATCTTATGACTTGATCGTCTTGGTGGCAGACCAGACTGTCTCTTCTGAGATGCTCCGCAAGAACGGCACTGTTATTAGAGAATCGACGGTCGCACTGGACACCCGCGATCTCGTCAGACGCTTCCAGCATGGAACCATCGAATGCTGGAAGAAAACTCAGCCCTCTGGCCCTACATCGGCTTTGAGGTCCATCGCCTGTATAATCGCTAGAAGCCCATCTCAAAGGACCAAAGAAACTATGGGCTTGCTGCAAAAGAGAACTGGTAGCTCTATGAAGACCACTACATTTTCTGAGTTAAGTCCGGAAGCCATTCAGGCGCTACCTGAAACGATTATTGTGTTGGAGACTCTCGACGAGTGTCTTCTAGGAAAAATCGATAATCGTCAGTCGGACTACTTCGATGGTATGAAGGAGTTACTCTCCGCGTACGGCAAAAAGATCTACTGGGTGTTAGAGGTAAGCTCCTGCCCCCGTCTCTGTTTCAAGATTTCTAACCCTTGCTATTAGGGCGCCATGATGGATTCCACAAATCCAGAGTCAGCCATGATCTACGGTATGCTGCGTGTTGCGCGCAGTGAGAATGATGTCTCCCTCATCACCTGCCTTGATGTTGCTCCAGGTATCCAGGCTGCCCAAATTGTCGAAGCAATGGAGCCGGTCCTTACGTCGGTGGAGCTTACAGAAGACGAAATTGCGGAGCGCAATGGCGTGTATCACATTCCTCGTTTGGAAATGGACGACGTGCTCAATGGCAAGTTGTTCAACGGATTCAATAGAACGCCGGCCAAGGCCCCGTTCAAGCAAGATCAGCTACTACAGCTAAAGTCGGAAGTGATTGGCCCTAGCCGCCATTTCGTCTTTAATTCGTTGCCCGAAGTGCCACTGCATGACGAGGAAGTGGAGATTGAGATAAAAGCAGCTAGAGTGACCAAGAACGACAGCATTCTAGCTCAGCAGGAAACAGCAAACGCCCGATTTGGTATGTCCCAAAACACGAGATATCAATGATCATCACTGACAACAGTAGGTGGCGATTGTGCCGGCGTCATTGTCAAGCGTGGCCAGGATGTCGCTGAATTCAACCTTGGAGATCGAGTTGTGGCTCTTCGTCCTCTCCAAGGTTCCATGGGCAACCGTGTACGCGTCCCAGCGGCATTATGTCGCCGGCTGCAGGACAGCGAGAATTTCGATCTGGCTACTCTCTGGCCCACCGCCGTGACAATGGCATATTATGCCCTGATGCATATTGCCCGCCTTATGGCCGGAGAAACAGTTCTCATCTTCTCTGCGGAGAGTGAGACTGGCCAGTCATTGATTCAAGTCGCTCGGGTAAGCTTCTGTTAGCTTTCTATCGTGGTTAAGACGTGGTCACTAATTGAAGCAGCGCCTCGGAGCAAAGGTATATGCTGTAACAAACTCAGCAGTCGGGAAGGCACATTTACAGGAATTATGGCCTGCCATGCCAACCTTCACGCTCGATGAAATCACACATGATGGTAAAGGAACTGTCCCATCCGCGGATGTCATCTTGAGCAACCACGGTTCTCAATGGGGATCCCAATTCCTAAAGCTTCTTTCGCCAATTGGACGTTTGGTTGACTACTCGGATATCGAGCCTTCCCAGGCAGTTGGAGCCATCGGCCAAGAGCCCTACAACCCATCCACTCATGGTGCATCCATTGCTAGTGTCAACTTCAATACTCTTCTCGAACACCGGCGTGTACTGGTCTTAGAATGCTTCTCCCTGGCACACGACTTGGTTCAGAAAGCAGCTATCCAGCCCAGAATTGATTCGCGCATCTTCAGATTCGCACAGATTCAAGAGGCTTTTGACTACCTACAGAAGAATACCCAAGATAGCGAGGCCGTCATCTTGACGTCTGAGGAAAGTGAACAAGTTCCCATCTCCCCGCCGCGTTTTGGAGCTTCTGCAAGCATATTCTCCCCTGAGAAGGTCTACCTGCTCGTCGGTGGCCTCAGTGGATTGGGGCTCGAGCTGGCAGAATGGATGACACTGCGTGGTGCCCGCAAATTGGCCTTCATGTCCAGATCGGGTGCTGGCCGTCCCGGCTCTAGCGCAAATGCTATGCTGGACAGATTGACAGCAAAGGGAGTGTCCTCGTCCGTGTATCGTTGCGATATAGCAGACTACACCGGTGTTAAACAGTGCATCGATTCAATCAGTGCTGAGCTAGGTGGTATTTTCCATGCTGCAGCAGTTATCGAGGACAGCCCTCTCCAGCAAATGTCTGTGTCTCAATGGCGCCGGACAATAACCCCCAAGGTCCAAGGAGCTGACAACCTCGATCGAGCAACGGCGGATATGAAGTTGGATTTCTTCATTTGCTTCTCCTCGGCATCAGCCATTGTCGGCACCAAGGCACAGGCCAGCTACGTGGCCGGCAATGCTTATATGGATGCGCTGATGCGCAGCCGTCGACAGCGAGGACTCTCTGGCACAACTATCAACATTGGCATGGTTGTCGGCATTGGGCTGGTTGCGGCAGATGCGAAATTAGAGGCCACGATGAAACTCACGGGCTTTGATCCTGTCAATGAATACGAGTTCTTCAGTCTTATAGAAGAGGCAGTTCGCACTGGGGACTCCCTCGCGACTTCCAATGAAAGGAATGTGGATATGTACCGCATAGTCACCGGCACTCGTGTTACTGGACCGCAATGTTTCTGGTACAAGAAGCCTCTATTCAAGCAGCTGGCGGCCGTATTCGATGAGGAAGAGAGGCCTACTGCAAGCAGTTCAGAGAAACAGGACCTTGTCCCGCTTCTGCGCGCTGCGAAAGACATCAAGGCTCGCTCCGAATTAGTGATGAACACCTTCAAGGAGACACTTTCAAGAATCACGGGAGTGACCCTCGAGAACATCGTTCCTGATAAATCACTGGTCAGCTACGGGTTAGATTCCCTGGTGGCGATGGAGATTCGCAATTGGTTTGCGAAAACCCTCCAGGTGAATGTGGCTGTATTTGAGATCCTCGGGTCTGGAACTATCGCCGCTTTGATTGCTCGAGTTGTCAAGGATATTCCAGACTCACTCCTGCGTTCAGAATCGACTTCAGACGCTAATGCAGTCGCTAAGAAGGACACTAATTCGTCTTCGCCAAAGAGCGTTATTGACAAGATACCACGACCCCAGCATATCCCCATGTCTTCCTACCAGACACGGTTCTGGTTTATGCACCAGATGGCCGAGGATAAGTCTGCCCTCAACATATCTGTTACCATGTATATGAAAGGTCGTTTGGATATTGAGGCGCTTACCGCTGCGTTTTCAACGATTCGCAAGCAGAATGAGGTACTCCACACCGCGTTTGTTCATGGAGACGATTTCCCTGAACAAGTGGTTGTGGATAAGGATGCCTACGAAGTCTTCTCTGAAGACCTTTCATCCGCGGATAGCCCCGAGCAGGCGGCTCTTGCTCGAATTAATCAATTGCGGGCAAGGGAGCTTGACATCGAGTCTGGAGAAACCGTGCAGATTACTCTTCTCAAGCTGGCAGCCGACAAATATGCTCTTGTTCTGATCGTCCACCACATCGTTACCGATCGGGGAAGCTCTAAAAGCTTCCTCGACCAGCTTGTGGCCTTATACAATGACGCTGTTGGTGGAAAGTTGCAAGAATCAAGCAAAGCAAAGACGCAGTACATTGACTTCACTCTCTGGCACGAGCGCCATCTCAGCAGCCCTGAGATGAGACCTCATGTTGATTACTGGATTGACACCTTCAAAGATTCTCAGCAGACTAGCGCCTTGCTCCCATTTTCTCGCCCGCGGCCAGAAAGGCAGACTTTCAAGACCGCGTCTCTCTCTGCACTTCTTGACGCATCCCTCCTTGCTCGCATGAAACGCGTTGCCGCCCGATTTAATAGCACCGTCCCACAGTTTATTCTTTCAGCTTTCCGGTTGATTCACTACCGCTATACCCAACAGGAAGACCTCACCATCCACCTTGTCCACGGCGATCGGCCACACCCAATGGTTTACGATACACTGGGCAACTATGTCAACCTGCTCCCGATCCGTCACCAACTTGATTCTCCTGATATCACCTTTGACGCTGTAGTCTCTCAGATGCAACAGCGGGTAATGGAGGCAATGGAACACGGCGGCATTCCATTCGATGTGATTGTACGGGAAGCGGCTGTGAAACGATCCAGCAGTCATTTCCCTCTCGGCCAGTTAACATTCAACTATCAAAGCCATGGGCCAATGAAGAACTATGGCACTCAGCACTTCGATATCGAGCGCTATGAGACCGTGGATATTCCGACTGCGAGCGAAATGAGCTTGGAGGCCGTTGAGGATGCGGATCAGGGACTACGGTTCTGTCTGGAGTACTCTCAGGCGCTATATGATGCCGAGGATATGCACCGTTTCCTCGATAACTTCATTACCTGTCTGACAGCCACCATCAAGGACTATCGTCAGCCGATAACCGAAATCCCCATCTGTGGCCCGGCAGAGAGGGCTTTGTTAGAGAAATCCTGGTTCCAATCTGCCTCTGACATTGACACCCAGATGGATATTGTGGACATTATTTGCAAGAAATCTGCAGATTCACCTTCTTCTGTCGCTCTGACTGACTCTGACGGCCAGAGTATGACCTACTCGGAGCTTCTAGAGGCATCTAAGAAGGTGGCTGTCTGCCTTCAGACCCATGGTGCCCAGCCGGGGGATGTCATTGGACTTCTGGCCACCCCCAGTGTACACATGCTTGTCGGAATGATGGGTATTTTGTTCAATAGATGCGCTTACGTAGCCATGGATCCAGACTTCCCTCTGGAACGACTCCAATACATGGCAACGGACTCGAACTGTTCTGCAATTTTGGTTGATCTCGAGGCGGGCAAGCAGGCTCAGCCCATTGGCCCGACCTTGCTGAATATCCGCCAGGCCGTCAATTCGCCGATCAGAAAGGCATTTGAACTTGCGCCTTTCCAAAACAACATGCCTTTCTATATCACATACACATCGGTACGTCTATCCCATTTCTCATTTGGATAAGGGCTCTGAAGTATTAACGGGTAATAGGGAAGCACTGGAAAGCCTAAAGGGGTGGTGATGAGACATAGCAACGCCCAGCCCATGCTGCAAGATATCCAGAATGAATTTCACTTCGACTCCCAGGACCGCTTTTTGCTCGCCACATCGATCTGCTTCGATCTATCTGTTCTGCAGATCTTCACTCCCTTGTTGGTCGGTGCGACAGTGTGCATCTCAACAACCACCACCCGCCGCGATCCGCTGCTCCTATCGCAGTTCATGAAGGACAGTGGCGTCACATTCACGTACTTTACTCCCTCACAGTTTGCTGTACTCCTCGAAGGAGCGGAAGACGACCTTCGTGATTGTCAGACCTGGCGCACGGCTTTCTTTTGTGGAGAAGTACTTCCTCCTCGTCTCGCTCGGCAGCTGTACAGCCTGGGAACCCCGGCGGTGGTTTACAACACCTACGGGCCATGTGAAGCCATGGTCCAAATCACCCTCCAGCAGGTCGATTCTTCCGTTTCCGAGGGTGAATCGATATCAATCGGACGCCCTCTGGCGCATTCCTGGTGCTATGTCGTTGATGCAGGCCTCAACCCCGTGCCGTTTGGCGTCGATGGAGAACTCTGCGTTGGCGGGCCTCAGGTGGGCGATGGATATATCGCCCGACCGAAAGAAAGCCGCAAAGCGTTCCATCTAGATCCATTTCATCATGCTACTCCTGATCAACAGGCAACACACATCTTCCGCACAGGAGACCTAGCCCGAATGAATCGGGGCGGTACGATTGACTATGTTGGACGCCAGGCAGGTACAACCTTGGTTAAGCTACGGGGATATCGCCTTGACCTCCAGGACATCGAGCAAAATATCCTGGCGGAAGCTCGTACTAGCGAACCCAAGGATGTAGCAGCCGTGTGCGTTTTAGCAATGTCTCCAGGAACCGACACACACGAACATTCTCTGGCCGACCAACGGCAGTTGATCGCCTTCCTAGTGCTGCGGGACTCCTGGCATGCCAATCCAGATGCAGTCGTGAGTAAGTTGCACCACGGTCTGAGCAAGAGGCTCTCAAACTACATGGTTCCTAGCGCTTATCACATCCTCTCTCAACTGCCACAAACCATTGGGGGCAAGACCGACCGACAAAGGTTGCTCAAAACGCCGTTGAACCTCATATATCCGAAACGGCATATTACCATTAACACCAAGACTGAGCCAGACAATGAACTTAACGCAATGTCGATTTATGAGGGGGTACACGCGCTTTTCCGCTCTACCCTGAAGCTACAGCCCAAGGAGAGTGTGGAAGAACACACAAGCTTCTTTGAGCTTGGAGGCCATAGTGTGCTTCTTCTCGGCGTCCAATCTGCCATTAGTCGCAAGTTCAAGGCAAAGGTTCCCCTGCGGGATATCCTTGACCAACCTACCCCCATTGGAATTACGGAGCTCGTATGTTCAACATTGAGAATTCCCATGGATTTCCACAGCCAGAACGCCTCATCGACAGGGACGTTGACACCTCTTACCCCTAGCGATGCTTCTGAGGGTTCCTTTGTCATCACCGACGGAAATACAACCCCAGGTGGTTATACCCCGGTCGTGGAGAAGATCGACATTGCTGAGAAGCTGAAGCAAGGTCTTTCCAGCCAAAAGCAAGCTCTCTCCGACCAGAAACATACTTACCCAATCGACTGGGAAGAGGAGACATTGCTCCCTGTGGAGGACCGTTACCATATCCCCGCGGGAGGCGAATACCCTGCTCAGGACAAGGGGGCCGATATCTTCATTACGGGCGCTGACACCTTCGTCGGCATCCATTTCCTCGCCCAGGTCTTGTCTCATTCCAATGCGACAGCCCACATCATCGGCACCTCAAGCCGGATTAGCCACGCGAGCGTGATTAATCAATTCCGAAAGTACGATCTTCTCCAGTTTGTTTCCACTGGCGCAGTGTGGTCTCGCGTCCGCTGCTACCATGGCGACATGACCCGCCCGCACTTCGGTCTCACCGATTCCGAATTCCAGCGGCTGGGAGCCCGCGTGCAGACCATCTACAACTTGGGTGCATATGTCTCTCTCATCCAGACATACTCCAGCCTCAAGTCCGTGAATACCCGCGCCATCCTGGATATCATCGAACTGGCAGCCTGCGGCCCTCATGTGTCTGAGATCCACCACCTCTCGACCTTCAGCGTGCCGCATCTACAGACTTGGACGAAGTCTCTGCATCTGGAGGACAACTTTTCCACCGCTGAAGAGCCGCCCCTCGACTACCGTCCCTCCACGTCTGATGACAACGGCTACATCAAAGCTCGCTGGGCGGCGGAAATGCTCTTGACCAACGCCTCTGATCGCGGCTTCCCAGTCCAGATTTACCGTTCCTCCATGCCAACCGCAAGCACACTCACTCAGATTAGCCAGGGGGACAGCGGGGTCATTGAGCGCATTGTTACCCTCATGCTGAGCACGGGATATGTACCCAAGCCCCAGTCCGGGGAGTTGGACATGGCGGTTGATCTAGTCCCCGTGGACATCGTAGCCTCGTGGCTTCATGCCCTATCGATCGGGGCACCGAGCGAAGGCAGGTTGGGTGTCTGGCACCTGACAAACCCACACCCGCTGCCGTTCAAAGAGCTCGCAAATGTCATTCCATCCATGGTAGGCGGCCCGGGGCACAGTGAGCTGCTTGGCACAGACATGTGGATCGACAAGGTCGGGAAGTGCTGTGGTGACTCGGAGAGAGATCGATTGATTTGGGATGCGACCACTGGGTTGCTGAAAGAGGGACATGTCATGTTCCAGTTGGATGCGGAGAGGACACATGCTACGTTGAAGACGATCAATGGGCTTCCCCATTGTCCTCCTGTGGATGCTGAATACTTGGGCCGACTGATGAAGTAGTGGGATTAGAGGGGTTGTTAGATTCTAGATCAAATTGTACTTAATGTGTTAGAATCATAGAATATATGAACTTGGCCTGAGCACACTGGAAGCGAGCTAAGTAGATTAAATTTTCATAAGTAGATCATCTGTTCAGTCACTTAGGTAGCATTATTACTTTTAGACGGAGCGATCAAAAAAGTTAAAAGTCTTTCAGTCGCAATACTACCCACTCGATCTAAAATTTTTGCTCTTAAGCCTCGTACGTACTTTCAAGCGTGGAACATGCTGTAAGAGGGATGTTAATAGGCCTGCGGTTATAGCACACAACGTGCGGGGATAATGTGGGGTTATTTCTTGAGGTACTAAATTATGCCAACACACTCCCTGTTAGGGTTATTATGATGACGCTTCTATGTATCCACAGAAACAACGAGTGTACGCATAAAGACCTTTCTTGACCGGCTGATTTATATCAAGGTTCAAGGTCCAGAAAGCCAATTGAGATTTTTGTGTACTTTTATCTCCCCATCGTTCCTTTCTTCCTCCGGGGCAGGCTCTAGGATTAATGGGCACACAGACAAAAGCCAAGAACGCCGGTCGCCTATAATTGGATCTTCTAGTAATACGGACATGCTTAGGTTACCCAGATGTCATCATCGCGTTCCATTCTGTGGGGTAACATCCTCGCCTATCGTGAAGGTGGCTGGAGAATATCCGATATTTGACCGAGACTCTCATGCCCGGCAAATGGGAAGGGTCTCGCAGGATTACCCTCGTGCTACCCCAGACCCCATAATGTGGTTGATTCTCACCCGATCAAGTCTCGAGCCCGTATAAGCTTCGGCCCAGGTTCAATCTCCGATCATCCCGAGTTGGTTGACTGTCATGCAGTTGATGTGAGCAGTCATACCAATAATGCGCCACGGGTGTTCCGTATTGGGCCAACGTTCAAATGCAACCGATTCATTTGGCGCAAGGCAGTAGTCCTAATCTATTGTTATAAATATTCGCCCTTCTCCTCAACTTCAGTTTTGGATTTTTACTACTTCACTTCATCCGCCCAACGCTAGCCCAACCCGAAGTCCAATGTTGGGCTCTCTCCTACTTCTCGCCCCCCTTGCTGGGGCGGCCGTGATTGGATCTCGAGCGGATACGCAACCATGCCCTGGATATAAGGCATCCAATATCCAGCAAAATGATCGGTCTTTGACGGCCGACCTGACCCTCGCCGGCCAGCCGTGCAACACCTATGGCACGGACCTGCAGAACCTCAGGCTCCTGGTCGAGTACCAAACTGGTAGGGTCGTCACTTTCCCTGTCCCGTAGTATCGAACACTAATCACGAACAAAGATGAGCGTCTTCATGTTATGATCCATGACGCCGAGGAATGTGTCTATCAAGTGCCTGAGAAGGTCCTCCCTCGTGTTGACGGTGGCGATGGCTCCCGCAAAGATTCTCAACTCAAGTTCGAGTATAAGGAGGAGCCCTTCTCTTTTGCTGTTAAACGAGACGGCGAAGTACTATTTGACAGCTCTGCATCGAATCTCATCTTTCAGTCACAATACCTGAAGCTTCGTACTTGGCTTCCCGAGAATCCAAATCTGTATGGTCTCGGCGAGCATTCAGACTCTTTGCGCCTTTCCACAACCAACTACACACGTACCTTCTGGAACCGTGATTCCTATGGCATCCCCGAAAACAGTAATCTCTACGGCACCCATCCGGTATATTACGATCATCGTGGCGAATCCGGGACTCACGGTGTATTCTTGCTGAACTCTAACGGCATGGACGTTTTTATCGACAAGACAAAGGACGGCAAGCAATACCTGGAGTACAACTCTTTAGGAGGTATTTTTGACTTCTATTTCTTTACTGGCTCGAACCCCAAGGAGGCCAGCATTGAATATTCTAAAATCGTTGGTCTTCCTGCTATGCAGAGTTACTGGACTTTTGGAGTATGTGATGCCCTGCTGACGCATCCTTTTGTCTCACTGTGGATTTCTAACTCACATTCATTAGCTTCATCAATGCAGATATGGCTACCGTGATGTCTATCAAGTTGCCGAGGTGGTCTATAACTATAGTAAGGCTGGTATCCCGCTAGAGACGATGTGGACAGACATCGATTATATGGACCGAAGGAGAGTTTTCTCCCTCGACCCAGAACGCTTCCCACTTGAAAAGATGCGCGAACTCGTAGGTTACCTCCACGACCACGATCAACATTACATTGTTATGGTTGACCCTGCTGTGAGCGTGAGTGGTAAGTAGCGTCAGTCTTTCTAACGCAAGCGGAATTTCGCCGACTCATTTCTTTCTAGACAACGGGGCGTTCAACAGGGCTTCAGAGAAGGGTGTCTTTCTCAAGACCCAGAATGGCAGTATATATGAAGGTATGGAATCATCACCGAGTACGAAACTCGGGAAGGAAAACATACTGAGACAAGATCAGGAGCTGTGTGGCCTGGTGTGACCGCTTATCCGGATTGGTTTCACCCTGACATTCAAGACTATTGGAATTCTGAATTCGATATTTTCTTCGACGCTGATACCGGTGTCGACATTGACGGCCTGTGGATCGACATGAACGAAGCTTCCAATTTCTGCCCGTATCCCTGTACTGATCCAGAGAAGTACTCATCTGAGAATAATCTTCCACCTGCGGCGCCACCTGTCCGGTCAAGCAACCCTCGTCCGTTACCCGGCTTCCCTACGGACTTTCAGCCTTCCTCTGCAAGTCAATCTCGCAAGAGGATATTCAAGGCGAAGCTTGGCCTTGAAGGGCGCGAACTGATCGACCCGCCATACAAGATCCGAAATGATGCCGGGTCTCTAAGTAATAAGACGATCAACACGAATATCATCCACGCCGGCGAAGGGTATGCGGAGTATGATACACATAACTTATATGGAACAAGTGAGTATAGGGAACACGTCGAGACACTCCATCTATGCTAACGTATCTTAGTGATGAGCTCCAGTTCCCGTAAAGCTATGCAGCATCGTCGCCCTGGTGTGAGACCTCTGGTTATTACCCGCAGCACCTACGCGGGTGCAGGACGAGATGTTGGGCACTGGTATGTCCGATACACCAAAGATGAGAGTTACAACTAATACCCAACAGGCTCGGTGACAATGCCAGCAAGTGGGCCCACTACCGGGTTTCCATCGCTCGAGCGCTTGCTTTTGCATCGATGTTCCAGGTCCCCATGGTTGGATCTGATGTCTGTGGGTTCGGCGGTAACACGACCGAAGAGCTGTGCGCCCGATGGGCTTCTCTTGGGGCTTTCTTTACCTTTTACCGCAACCACAACGAGCTCGGAAGCATTGGTCAAGAATTCTACGTCTGGCCCACCGTAGCGAAGTCCGCTCGCAAGGCGATTGAAATCAGATACCAGCTTCTCGACTACATATACACTTTGTTCTACAAGCAGACTCAGACCGGCGAGCCATTCTTGCAGCCGATGTTCTACTTGTACCCTGAGGACGAGAACACCTTCTCCAATGACTTGCAGTTCTTCTATGGAGACGCTATTCTCGTCAGCCCGGTCCAGGACAAAGGCCTTACCTCGGTCGATGCGTACTTCCCTGATGACATCTTCTACGACTGGTACACAGGTGCGCCTGTGCGCGGCCACGGCGCCAACATTACTCTTCGCAATATCGACATCACTCACATTCCCCTGCACGTCCGCGGAGGCAGTATCATTCCTATCCGGTCATCAAGCGCCATGACCACGAAAGAACTTCGCGAGAAGGGCTTCCAGCTTATCATCGCTCCGGGACTGGATGGTACCGCTTCGGGCAGTCTGTACTTGGACGATGGAGACTCGTTGGAGCAGAAAGCCACCCTGGAAGTTGAGTTCGAGTACCGCAAGGGCGTGCTTCATGTTGACGGGAAGTTTGAGCTTCACGCCAATGTGCTGGAGTCCGTCACTCTTCTGGGACAGGACATGCGAGGCTCACGGGCTCGTTCCGAGGCTCGTTCTAAGAAGACGATTCAGACAAACTTGGAGCTCTCAAAGCCGACAGAGATCAAATTGGAGTAGATGGGTGACACGTTGGGTTAGTATGGAGGTAACCACTTTTGACCGTCAAGTTTCCACTTTTACGTCCGCAATCATATTTTTATCGTATCTTGAATCCTTCTCAGACACACACACAAATAGATGTAGATCAAGGGGATAAAGGGATGAGTATCACCTTGAGGACGTGTCCATACTCCCCTCAAGGCCACATCAACCACAAGCGTCCACTCACTCTACGACTACTCGAACCATCCATAAAGTAGCGTAAATCAACACATTCACGCGTAGCATAAAGCTCACCATGTCACACCCATTATCCCGCGATCCACTGCCCCAAAACTAACATCAACCAGCACCCCCTCCACCCGCCACATTCCACGCATCGACGCATCGACGCAAGGGGCCAAAAACAAGGACCCCATGCAACACGTACACCTACCTGTCGTCAATAAAAACACCTTAAATCCTCATAACAATCCTCACTCCATTCCCACAATCCCAAACCACAATCACACCAACGACAAAACCAACAAAATCTACCCCAAAATGTACCTCCCACGCCTCTTTCTTGTCATCTCCGCAGGCTTCTCCCTCGCCTCCGCCAAACATTACTGGTGCATCATGGCGCAAGACGGCTCAAGGATGATCCAGCAGCCGTATTGCTGCGAAGGATTCCAAAATGCGCAGCATAACGATCTGACGAAGATTGGGCTTGGTTGTAAGTTCAGATCCTTCCTGACTTTTCCCTCTCCTTTGCATATGTGATTATATATACTATACTGGCAAGTTAGCTGACGAGGGTATTGTTGTTCAGGCAAGCAGCAAACGGGTGAGGCGGTTGAGCGTTGTCCGAATGGGTTCACGCCTAAGTGTTGTTATGATGGGGTAAGTTGTTTTTGTTCTTTGGTTATTGAGATAATGGCTGGCTGGGTGCTAATGGAGATGTAGGGTGTCGGACCTCTTTGTACAGCCGAGGCTATTGTTCGGGATGATTAGAGCTTGGATGGGTTGACTGCTGTTGGTGTATATATACACCTGGGAAGGATGATGAAACTGGATGGTCTGACAAGATGGTTTGGAATTAAGGGGAGGTCGGTCAGATATGGTTGTATAACATAACATGGTAGAAAAGAATGATACAGATAATTAGAAGTCCGGTTCGTGTACGGGCTATATCCTATCTTACTGTAGTCCCAAGACACAAAATCCCTAAAAGCATCACCATCCCAAATCTGAAGATTGGAAACCTCCCTACAAAACCCAAAGCAAATAAACCCTAATGCAACCGCCTCAAATGTATACCCCGCATTAAGTCTTGGAAGCAAGTCATATGCTTAAACTATTTAGAAGTACATTTTCCTGCTTATTTCCCTGCAGCAAGGCGACAATCTTCCCTACTATGTCTATCCAGTGTTGCCTGCTATATTAGCCCCAAGCGAGCCCTAAACCCTGATGCATGACATATTCGTGATGCCTCAACAGAAGATAAAGGACTGTGACACGCAGAAAAGCAGCCGCCTCATTTGCCACATTTTCGACCAACTTATAAAGAGTATTCAAGAGTACTCTTATATTACTACATGTCTCACGCTTTAGCAGACCATGGCTGGCTTCTTCAAGAACCTCTTCGGTGGCTGGAATACCAGGCCAGCACGCCCAGAAATTTATCTCAGAATCATTCCATCATCGGATATCCCTTACAAACATGACACCGAAAAACGCTCTACAGTTACCCTAGAAGTGACACACCTGGGTGACAAACCACTTCCTATTCTTATTGTTCGAACTATCCTCTCACGCGGGGGCAGCCCCTTCTTTCAAGGTGTATTGAATTTAGTCAATACCGAGACCAGCATGCCTGCTAAACAGACAAAAAGTCTTCATAAACTATGGCTGGAACCAAAGTGATGTTCCAATCAGCCAAGGCCTCCGATAGATTTGCGACCCTAATACCCGGTACTCCGTTTCAAATAATCCATGATATCAAATCCACTCCTAAAATTTCGGGCTCGATCTAGGAACAACCGTCACACGAGCTATCCGAGGAGGATGCGTCAAGAGTTATTGACGCTGCATTTACACAAACACACAAGACCTGCATGTGGGACCTACATATCGTGTGGAGCTAGGGACCAGATGAACACGATTGATTGGTATAGGTTTGGGACCAAAGAGGTCTTGGGTGGAGTAGGGGGCATAAGGCAGGATGAACGTGTTGGCGATGCTGAGATGGAACAGATTCCTTCCTTTGTTGCTACAGAATAAGGCTATTTTCCGCGTTGGAGGGTAGGACTACGCTACGCTTTGACCCCCGTATTACTGTTGACACTGGTCAACTTCAGGTGGGGGATATGCATGATGGGATATGAACTTAGTCTGTATGTGATTTTTCTGAATCACGCGGAACAACAACCCTGATATCGCCTCGAACACCATATGCCAGATTGAATCACGTAGTCTTTTTGCTTCGGTAATAAATACTTAATAATAAAACAACTACATTGTAGCCTGAGTAGGTATCCCACCAATTGATTTCCTTATCCTAGACCACGTGGAGGAGTGACGGATTGAGCTCCAGCCAAGTGTCATGAAATCAGGAAAGAAGATCTTCTAAAATGGGAACTACTGGGCTAACCATACATAAAGAAAAACCCTCGAGCTGAAGATAAGCCCAGACAAGAGTACTACATAACAAGCCAAGCCTGGCTGAAACCCTAGTGTGCTATTACTTAAAAACCATCCGATCCAGGCTTTTCGGCCATCTTCCTACCCATACTCCGTGATCAGATTGGAATGCCGCAGGCATGCTCAGATATACCTAATTAGCAAGAAGTAAGGCAAGGGCAAGGCCAAGTATTCTCGGATAAAGTCATCCCTACCAATATGTATGCACTCGAGGGGGGGGGGTGTTAACTCCGTGTAGATTTAGTGTGAATCGTAGTCTGTCTCCACACCTCTGCAGCCACTATTGAACCACATCGGAACCTGTCCGAGACTTCGTCAACGCCATTTACATTTTGAAATTGTGAAATTTGTCCGGATTTATCTCTTGATAGCGTAAGAAATTAGTTTAATTTGGTTGGTAGTAGTCGTAATTCGTCAATATAATGCAATTTCCCTTGGAGCCAAGCACCATCAGTCCATCGTTTGCACATCCAACAGCTCCTCGGCATTCCGACGAAACACCCGCTCGGCCAGCTTGGAATCTTTCCCGCAGATCCGTAAACATAATTCCGTAAACGGGGCGATATCGGTTCCCCAAAACCGAGTATGTGGCCAGTCCGTCGCGAAGAGCACGCGGTCGGGGGCCTCTCGAAGAACTTCTCGGGCCATTGCCTCAATATCACGCATTTCGTGGTCCTTACTAAGCCGGTATGGTGCGGAGATTTTCACATACGTGTCTCCCGCTCGGAGGAGAGATACCAAGGATGAGAAGCCGGGAAGCGAATAGGGGTCGAATGGCCCTCCGTGCGTCCAGTCCGTCGAGAGTAGGTCCGGGCCGCCAAAGTGGTCGATGCAGAGACTCACTCCAAGCTGGGGCACGATTGGCTCGAGAAGTGGGATCATATCGAGGGGTACGTAGACTTGAATAGCCCAACCGAAGGGACGGACAACCTCCGCATGTTGTAATAAGGTCTGCGCCAACTCATCCTGACTCATCACTTTCCCTACTGACCTGAGGTTCACTCGCACCCCGCGCACGCCTAATGAATGCCATTCGGAGAGTGTTTGGGTATCTATATTAGTGGGATCAATCACCACCACCCCTCGCCCGCGAGAGGGACCGACCCTTTGCAATGCTTCTAGGAGACAGGAGTTATCGTATCCGTATATGGACGGTTGAACCAGGACAATGTTCTCGATCCCTAGTGAAGACTCAAACGCTAGAGCCTCGTCGATAGTATGTGTCGAGGGTTGATAGACTGCACTTGCATCCACTGGAAACCGATGTGGCTCCACAACATGCATATGTGTATCCCACGCCTTTGGAGGAAGCCTTTTCCTTAGCGGGAGGGTGTGAACTGGTTTCTGTATATCCCTGTTGAAGGCCAACAAATCCCCTTTTTGGAAAGTGGTAAAGGAGGCCTGAGGGCCACGGAACTCAGATCGGGGCTGGACAGACGTAAGCATGTTGGACAAAGGAGGCCGGAGGACTATCAGGAGGTTGAAGAGAGTTCGTGCAACAATGATGCAAGTATCACCGCTCGTATATAAGACAACGCGGTAAATGCAGTCGGGACTTAACTCACAAAGATATTTGGAGGCGATCTCCCGACTGTTCTTTTGGATAAACACGTTCGTAGAAAGATCATACTTAGTTCGCAGCCCGCCAAGTTATAATATAACAGGTTTACAACAACGCAGATTTAGTCTCGCGAACTTCCCGTTTGCTTTACCGGAAGCAAGGCAGAGGGACAAAAAAATTTAGAAAAAATAAAAAAAATAAAAAAAAAAAAACCTATCAATCAGTGACCCACAGGGAGGTGTGGCTATCGACAGTCTTTGAAGCCTCAAGGCAGGCATGCTAGGACCGGAGGTTGTCCGCGAGGAGTTCAACAGGCATCAAATATACTAACTACACTCTGACGGAGTTCTCGGATTTTCCGATCTCACAGGCTGACATAAATTGGCGAAGGAACCAATCCTAACACCAAGTTATATGCGAGGTGTCACCGCTGATAACCGTAGGGAGGAATAATCATCCTTTCCCATTCATGGCGTATGCTCATTCTACTTGCTCGCAGCAAGGGTCTTCTTCCACAGACAAAAGAGAGCCAAGACCAGTAAAAAGTGGATTACGATGGGCGGACACAACCGACACGCCCGACTGATTGAACCGTGCGAGGTGGAATCCACACGTTCTTTTCAAAGCCGCAAATGCCGCATTCCGACAGTGACTGAATACTCTAGCTAGAGCTTTTTGTGCAGGCTATCAGTAGGCTAGAATCAATAAATTTCCATGAAGCTGAAAAAAGGGATCTTCAATCTTTGGTCCAAGTGAGGAGAAATGGTCGAAATTCGAGAGAAAATGCAACGCGACGGAAGTTGACCGAAGGCGGAGGTCACGCCCCCGTCAAAGCCCTGGCTTTTAAAACTCTTCGCCGTCCTGTTTGTCTCCATTGCGCCGAAAGGTCCTCTTCCCGTCTCCAGTTCGGAGAGTACCCGTTGTCGTTTATAATTCCTTACGGCAACAAATCTCGTCCGACTTCCCCGGATTTTCTTTTTCTATTTTGGTAGCGTACAAACAAATCACATTCCTTTCTGTTACCTTTGTCTATCACCGTCCAATCGCCGTGATGGTTGACTGGTCACGGTGGACGACCCACCCTTATTATGCGCTTGTTATCTTCATTGTTGCATGTGGGAGTATCCCGAAAGGTGAGATCCCGGCTCTACTACTATTCTATATACATTGTATACTGACTGGCGGCTTTGTGTAGGTTATGATGAAGGTGGCTTCAGCGCTAGTGTGAAATTGGAATCATTCAAAGAGGATTATAACCTCATCTCCTCCCATTGGACCCACGATAAGACCGGTCTCGCCAACCGCAGTGCTAATATCAGTTCTTTCAATGTCCTAGGCGCGGCCTTTGGCGCGCTCTTCGCCTTGGACCTCAACGACCGCATCGGCAGAGTCAACTCGTGGCGCCTGGCATGTGTGGTATGGGCATCGGGTCTGTTCATCCAGGTCTTCTCATCGGGAATCTATGGCTTGTTACTGTTTGCGAGGATCTGGAGCGGGCTGGGGGCCGGAGGGCTAACGGTGACTACACCGTTATATTTGTCTGAAATCGGTATGTGGCGCCACGTTTTACATAGAATAAACCAGAACCCCTGCAAGAGCTTGCATGCTAACTACCGCCATATTCTTAGCTCCCGCAAGAACTAGAGGCCTTGTGGTTAGTTGCTACATGGTTATATTACTAGCTGTCTTGGCCATGGGTAAGCCTAATAGCCTCCGATCTAATCTATACAGATTCAATCCTAATGTAAAAAAAAATAAATAATACAGGCTTCTTCATCAACTACGGCGCAAACCTCCACATGGCGCCAACCCGCACGCAATACCGCCTCGTTCAATCCATCCCCCTCATCCCCGTCGGCCTAGCCCTAATAGCCTCATACATCGTCCCCGAAACCCCGCGCTACCTCGTCTCCAAACAACAACCCGACGAAGCGCGCGCCGTCCTCGCGCGCCTCCGCAACCTCCCCCAAGACGACCCCAACCTGGAAGCCGAATTCGCCTTGATCACCTCCCAGGTGCGCGCCAAATCCAGCACGCTCGCCTCCATCTCGCACTGGACAGCCTTCAAAGAAACCCAAACAAACCCCAACTACCGCCAACGCTTCTGGCTCCTAATGGCCATGCAAACCATCGCCCAATGGACCGGCGGAAACGGCATAACCTACTACATCTCCACCATCTTCGAATACGCCGGCGTGACCGGCTCCTCTACATCCCTAATTTCCTCCGGCGCCTACGGCATCGTCAAACTAGTCTTCACGATGGCCTTCACCTGGGGGCTAATCGACCTTTTCGGTCGCCGCCGCTGCGCCCTCGCTGGCCTCTCCCTCCAGCTCGCAGCGCATATCTACATGGGCGCTTACATGGGTCTCCAGCCGGGGTCTTCGGGTAACAAGAACGCAAGCGATGCGGCCATCGCCTCCGTCTTCATTTACGCGGTCGGCTGGTCCATCGGTCTCTGTACTATCCCGTACCTGTACGGAACGGAGATCTTCCCGACACGAATCCGAAACGTTAGTTATGCGGTTAGTATGTCGTTGCATTGGTTTTTTCAGTTTGCGGTGGTGCGGGTTACGCCGAATATGTTTGCTTCGTTGGATGTGTGGGGCGCGTATGTTTTTTGGGCGATTATTTGTACCCTTGGTATAATTATATTGGGTGTTTGGATGCCGGAGACGAAGGGCGTGCCGATTGAGAGGATGGGGGATCTGTTTGAGACGCCATGGTATTTGCGGTGGAAGGCGAAGCCGAGGAGTGTAGATGAGGTTGGAGAGCCGACTTTGCAGTCGAGTGGTGATGTTAAGCAGGCGAAGCATAATGACGTGTCGCTTTGAGGGGAGGTGAGAGAGCCTGGTTGTTGTGGTTCGTTTCTTTTGGATACCCTTTTGATACATCGTATATGTACGAGACCTTTAATTATCTCTTCTTATAGATAGATTTCTTTTCTTTGTCGATGTTGGAAGGATTTTTGTGAACATGTTCTAAATACAGCATATACATATATACAAATTTTTGTGTACTATTATTTATTGGTGGCTTTTGTTTTATACCCGTTCTATCTGATTGGCTTTCAACTAAAAGTTAAAGGTTACCGTCATACCACTGACACTCTCGTTTTGTCTATTACCCACAACAACATTAGGTAAATACGTGTACATCACAGATACTTCACAGGTTGATCAACCCGGAATGGCTCCATTCGCTTATAGCCCCTCTACACGGTAGATACTCAAAAGCCCCATGTTTCCAGCCGCTGGTCCAGAGCTACCCCATCCGAGGCTCAAATGTCGGGGTCATATTAGTCGTTATAGGCTCTGCGTACGAAAAAGCTTCAAACACCTCGGGCGTGATCTCGTACGATCCCGGGTTGTCCAGCGTCATCACGGCGTTGGGCATTCCTCCCAGGAGATGGGTACTCGCCATCGGAGGAATGCCCGTCTGCGAAAGCTCAAAATCGCCGACAGGCTGCGGGAAGGTATAGCCTGGGAGGAAAGAGGCAGCGTTTATGCCTGACGGAGGGACGGAGCCGGCCATGGATGAAGCGTTGGGGGGCGGTTGATGAGACGGGGAAACGTGACGGGAGGTATCGCTAAATTTCAGAGAGTGCTGAGATGGCGGTTGCGCTTGTTGGTGGTGCAACGGCCGGGGGTGGGATTGCGAGGGGGAGTGACTATGACGGGACGAGGGTTGTGAATGGGGTTGAGACGGAGGTTGAGATTGAGATTGTTCAGGTTGCATGGGTGGCATCACGATGTGGATATCGATCTGCAGTTTTTGGAGTTCTTGGTATATAAGACTGAGTGCAGTGGAGATCACTAGAATCATGATTTAGTCCGATGTCGTACGTTTACGCATACAGAGAAACATACCGGGATTGGAGACCTTCACCCGCTCTAGAGCGAAGATGCAGAACTTTAATTTATCCAGCGTCCCCGGGGCGGCGTATTTCAAGGCTTGTATCTCGAGTAGGAATATAGACGCGGCAGTATACACGCCGTAGGCGAGGGAGAGGACAACATGGCTATCGCCGAACGTGCGACGGTATAGATCGAACAGAGATAGGATTGCCGTGGCAGATGTCATGCACTGAACCAGATGGCTCTTGTCATACGACTCTCGGTTTGTCTTGGAGCAGAGGATCGGACGGTGGAGGAGGATGTTGATTGTGTGGTATAATGAACTATAGCGAAGGAGCAGTTAGTGTATGCAAAATAGGATGACGTATGTGACGGGAAGAGCATACTTCAAGAGGACAATGTGGCTCGGCGGGGAGTACGGGGGAAGGTTAGTCGGCACCAATTTCAGATAATCGGGCAACTCGTCCCACCACTCGGCGAGATTCCTAGCTTGCTCGCTGACACAGTTGTAGAACTCTGCCTCTGACACTTGTCGTATCGGGTCGTAGATGTGAATTAAGATTTGGTTAAGCACCTCCGCCAATCCGCACATTCGCATGAAACACGATGTGGAGTGAGCCTGGGTTGGGGGGTAATGAGCACCATCCGGGAAGACGACGCCATGCGGCGTCCAAATTTCGATCTCCGAAGTGTCGTCTAATATCGTCCTGGGCGGACTAACTCGAGAATGCTGCATCGTGGGCGATCGGCCAAAATACAGAGACACCAATTTATCCCAGAAGTAACAACTCCAGAAGAGGCGGTTCCGGATCTCGATATCTTCATCGCTCAAGTGAGCGGTGTCGGAGTACTTGCGGCTGTCGATGGATATGCCTAGGTCTTCCAGCATTCGGAAGGCCATGCCGCTATAGAGCCAAGCCTGCGACCGGTTCCCCCTGCCGCACTCTTGCGCGCTGAGAAGAAGCAATGTCTGGATGGTGGGAATGCCGAGTTGGCCAACTTTGAGCGAGTCGTACAGACCGGAAATAGCGCGATTGGAGAACTGTGCACCGCCATCAAACGACTCGAGAATATGGCCGATTCTTGGTTCGGACTTGCACCATCGGACTGAGTGGGAGAGAATCGCATTGAGAAGCGCGTCTGAATAGTATGGACCGTTTATCTTCATATCGCCTATTTGTCATTAGCACATATCCCCCCCACAACAGCAACGAGGCCACGAACGAGTGAACGCTGGTCGATAAACAAAGTTGAAGAGAGGCTGGATCCAACACCAGTGCGAGTCGAGCAGGTATTGGAACGGTTCCTGGTGTACGAAAAGGGGCTGTGTCAGAGTACTATTTCATGTAAAAGGAACTCAAAAATGGCTAGACCTACGGGCATAGTAGCCATCTGCTCGAATGCCCTCTCGCGCCACGCGTTGTTGATCAGCCGCTCCTTTCGAGCTTCGTACTGTACGGCCAGGCGCGATGTCGACGCTGCTTCATTGAGAGCGCCACTCGGAAGCTGAAACAGACTCGTCGGGCCATGAAAAGATATGCGCCCATCGTGCTCGACCTGCAGACCTTCGAAGTCCCTCGCAAGATCGGCGCTACTGCTTTCGTCTTCTTCCTTGATGCGCATTCGAAGACTAGGACTCATGCTACCTTCGCCGGTGGATGATGGGGGGCTCGCCTTCCGCACCTCTGCGGCAGACTGCTGTTGGCTCCGTAGTTTGGACAGGGCATCTTCTAGCTGTGCGACTCGAGTCTCTAACTGTTTGGTGTATGATAAAGTCGGAGCTCTAAAGTAACAAGGTTAATTTGGTAAAGAACGGTGACACGTGAATGATATCAAGGTTTGTTTGTGGAGATCAGATCCAACGGGAGTTGAGAAATTTGCGTCACTCACAAGCTATAGACGCACGTTTCTCCGCGCGCGGCACATCGTGAACAAGAGGGACTAGCACCGTTACATTTCACCTGGGGAAAGTAAGTCAGCAATGCCAAAATGCACGTAATAAAGACAAAGGAAATCCTTCGTCGCTTGTGATCTCGGAATTCATCCGAGAATCAAGCAGGGGAGGGGAAAACCCACCTTTCGCTTGCGGCACGCCTCACACGAGAAGGCGCTCTTCCGCGGCAGGCTGGCCTTAGCCGGCACATCGGCTGTGCCGGAAGAAGTTGGTTCGACCACCATGGAATTGCGACAGGAGCGGGATCCAAGTTGACGGTGGGAGACCGATTAAGATACACGACATCCGCCATAAGGTGAAATTGAGGCTCGAGAGGAGAGAAAGAGGGGGAGCGAGGGGAGCAAAGAGTGGGGGGAAATTGGGAAAGCGAATGAGATTCTCGTTCCCAAGGGGGCAATTTTCTCCAGGAGAAGGATTCTCGGGCGGAAAGTCTTGTCGTGGGGCTGGGTGGGCGAAAAAAAAAAAGGGAAAAAAAGGCTTTCTCTTTGGATCATCCCACGATGGGCTGATGGGATAGATTCCATGGAGTGAGACCAGGGAGAGAGTGCTGAGGGGACGGTGGACTGGAGCGAAGATTCCACGAAGGGTAACGAACCAGGTTGAGTCGTGTTGGTTGTGGCGAATTGATACCAAAAAAGGTACTTCTTCTATCCATGTTAAGCTCAAGGTCAGACGACAGGGCAATAAAAGTTGCTGATCTCAAGGTGGAGATGCTGGGGCTGACAAAAGCGGCCTTAGAGGCCAAGCTAACCGCTTCGGGGTTGGGTAATCAACCAATTTAATCAATCTATAACCATCTAGTTCTACGGAGTACTGGGGGTTCCTAACGATATCAATCATATTGTACATTTAGTGAACAGGTATACGGTCTAGATATTATACAAACTTCTGCTCCAATTGCACCAAGATCTCGTGCACCTCGTCAACCCTCAACGGTACCGCACGGGGGTTCTGAACGGCCTTCTCGCCCAGTCGACTCACCAGTACCTCCTGCAGCTTCTGTGCATTCCCATCCGGCTTGCTCTGCAATTGGCCGGTGATATCAGCGGTGACACGCGATTCAGCAACATCCTTCCGACCAACAATGAAGATAAAATTATACTTCATCTGTTTGGCCCTCTGGATTTTCTTCCCGAGCGTCTGGGGGCTATCGTCAACATCGATCAAGAAGGTCGAGTCAACGGAAGAGAGGGGCCGCGGCGTGCTGTTATTGTCCTGACCAGGCTCGAGCGCACGGAATCCAGATATCTTCGCCGCAGCTTCATGTGCCGTCTGCACAACCTTTTCATCTTGGTTAACCGTCAGGATAATTCCTTGCCGCGGAGACAGCCAGAATGGCCAGCGACCGGCATATTGTTCGATGAGTAGCGCCAGGAATCGCTCTATAGAACCGAAGTTCGCCCGGTGAACCATCACGGGAGTTGCCCTTCCCGGGGTTGCTGGATTGTAATCCTCCTCTCCCTCGGCCACCTGATACTCCAACCCAAAGCGCTGCGGCAGGTTCATGTCCAGCTGGATGGTAGAGAGCTGGTGGTATTTCCCGGCTTGATCCTGAAGTTGGATGTCAATCTTAGGGCCATAAAACGCACCGTCGCCCTCATTGATTGCCCATTCTCTCCCACTGCTGTCGAGAGCCCCGCGTAGCTGGGATTCGGCGCTGTCCCACAACTCCAAACTTCCGATAAAGTCCTTCTCCGGTCGCGTAGAAAGTACAAGTCGATACGGTCCTAGCCCGAATGTATTCATAACCATATCCACGAACCCAAGTGCGGACGCAATCTCGCTCTTGATCTGTTGCGGTCGGCAGAAAATGTGACCATCATCTTGGTGGAACCGCCGGACCCGAGTCAACCCGCTTAGTGAACCGGAAACCTCGTTGCGGTGAAGCGGGCTGAAATCGGCGTAGCGGATGGGGAGTTCGCGATAAGAATGGTTTTGCGACTTGAATAGCAAGCAATGGCCAGGACAGTTCATCGGTTTCAATCCGTACGATTCATCCTCTCCTGCCTCCCCGTCGGTGTCCCCTGTCGCACCTCGACCTCGTACTTCGTACATATCATCTTTATAGTTTTGCCAGTGTCCCGACAACTCCCATAAGGAACGTTTGTAAATAGTTGGGGTTAGGACTTCGCGGAAACCGTACTGGAGGTACTGCGTGCGGAGGAAGGAAACGAGTTTGTTGATGACATGAGTGCCATTGGGGAGAAAGAGAGGCGATCCAGGGCTGTAGATAGAGGTAGTGAAAAGGTCTTGCGCGGTTCCCAATGCGCGGTAGTCAGCGGATGGAGAAGAGGAGGGAGAAGCTGGTTGTTCTGGTTGCGGCTCGGAGCAGGAACAGAGACGAGTCGACGTGGACGACAGCCATTGCAAGCGCAGTGGTCGGAGATTGTAGCGTGTCGTGGGACATGATTTCCGTAGAAGCAAGGTCTGCCGTAGCAGAGGGTTTAATTGACGCATAGTTGCTGGGGGATAGATCTCATCATACCCTAGGATTTTTTTCGGGGCCGGTGAAACACGTCGCGATTGCCGATCGGCCCGATTTAAAATTAGTTTGTTCATAAAGCTCTCTCATTTTCAATCCCCACTTCGCTTCTTATCGTTCGTCAACAATCAATATACCAAAACCTTATCAAACAAAAACAGGGCGTCTTGATTCTTTGCCCTCGTCCAGAAGATATCGATGACCTTGGTTTACTTATTGTCAGACCTTTGATACGCTCTACGAGTGCAACTGGAGAGTACGAACTCTTCGTCCAGATTAACAACCCAAGCTTCATCCTTTTTCTATGCCTACGCACTCTACTCGTCAGGATAGTTCGATCCTGGGGGAGTCTTGGGTAGTAGCCTCACCTTCCTTGGATAAGGAAGAACGACCAAACAGAGGCCAGCCGCTCGAAAGCCCAGGTCAAAGCCCTCCACTGGACAAAGAAGACGATAACTATGGGTGCAACAGTGTAGCCGAATCAATGACCACATCGGCCTCCTCCATGTCAGGACCTGAGCTTATCATGCCCTCGATCTATGAAGCGCCTATTGCAGAGGGGTCCTGGGTTGCACCGGCCGTGCGATCCAAGTCGAAGTCAGCGCATTCTCTCAGGCGCAGACAGAAGACGTCGCGTGAGAGCACAGCGCGAAAAGAGTTGCATGATTTAGACATGTCCAGGAACGGTGCTGCTGCTTCTGAACAAGGGCAGGATTCTAGTCACATAGAAGAAAAGCTCGCCCGCCCAAAATTGGCGTCCAGCTCTAATCTGGTGCAACCGCTGATTCGAACCATAATAAACGTGCTGCTTGTCGTTGCCATTTCGCATTTGCTCATCATCCCCGAAGTAGTCCAACAGTATCAGACTCTCTGCACAATAGAAGCGGTTTCCACTCTGTATCCGGCCAGCTGTATCCCACCTTACCCCAAGCCTCAGCCCACCCGTCACCGTGCAACCCGCCTCGACACTGTCGTATCCTCACAGACCCGACTCGAATCCCTATTTAACACGACCCTGCAGGAGATAACCCCGCTTTCCAGCACGCTGAAACAAAGCGAATCAAAACTCCGAGACATCGAGACGGAGCTCCAGAGGGCACAGCCGGGCGCGAAACACGAGCTCGACCTCGAATTCAACGGCTGCTGGGAAGCCACCAGAGCCGCCACCAGGAAATTCGATTCCCTCAAAGTTGACATGCGGTCTGCGGTCGACAATTTAATTGCAACAGGCGGGGCAACGGCAGGTGACTCGGCGTCTGCCGCTCAGGACGCCCGGTTCTCGACGCAGATATCGTGGCGGGAACAGTATCTGGATCAGCTGACTGCCCGCATGCAAAGCAAAGCGGACTCTTTGTTGAGCGATCTTGCTACGCTGGACGACCACCTTGAATCTATTGGAAGCATCTTGGAGCGCGAAGTGAAGCAGTCCTCGACTTCTTCTAGTACATCCGACTCGGGCGCAGAGTCTCCTGGTAGTGGACTCCGGGCATTCATGGGCAAACTGCCACCATTTCTCCGTCAAACCAAGGAAGATAACAGCTTAATTCGTCCCGATCCAACCATAATGGAACTCTTCCAAGACGCTGCCAACCAGCATCGTCCGGTTGTGGATGCAGTGCGGCAACTGTCCTCCGGATTGCAGGCGTTGCAGAAGAGGACGCCCTGATGTGCCCAGCCCATGTGATGCTCTAGCATGAAGAAACGATACCCGATTGGGAGTTTGGGAGTTTTGCATATTGTTTGTTCGTTTGTTTGTTTCCCCATGATCTGACGGTTTGAAAGTAACTTACGCGACACGATCTGATGTTCATAGTTTCTTGAAGATGTAGTCAATGGCATAAAGACAGCTTTACATGAATTTCGAATGATATTCAATGATTCCGGCCAAGCTTGAAATATAAGCTGGATTCCGGATTGTTCTTCATAGTTTGTTATGTACCTTAAGGCTATCAATTAAAGATACAAGAATCAGCAGGTCATAAAAGGAACGTGGTCGCCCAAAAGCATCATAAATCCCGTCAATTACACACCATCCGCCATGGGTTCATTAGGTTAGTTTGCAAAGCACAAAAAAGAAAGAGAGGGGGGGAAAAAAAATAAAAAAAAAAAATCACAGCTGCAACATAGCGGTCATCAAGCCCAGGGCGGCCATCAGACCCATGGGAGATCCGACAGAGAGAGATGCAGCGCCGGTGTGGAGAGGAACGCTGGGGCTAGATTTCGTAGCCGTGCCCGACGAAGAGCCGGATCCAGCACCGGAAGAGGATCCAGCACCGGAGGAAGATCCAGCGCCAGAAGAAGGCTCAGGGGTACCGGATGACCCGGTGGGGGAGGCTCCCGCGCCGGAAGAACCGGTGCTCGAGCTGGAGTCACCAGTGGTGGTACCCGAGCCAGTGGTCGCGGAAGAAGAGCCAGTCGTGGTGCCGGTGGTAGCACCGGTTGTGGTGGTGACGAAGCCAGTCGGAGTGGTCTTGCTGGTGGTGCTGGAGGTGCTGGACTTGGTCGCAGACTCAGTTGCGGGCTCCGTGACGGGCTCGCTCGAGGATTCCACGGAAGACGAGGTGCTGCGAGGCTCCGGGGACGTGGCGCCAGAGGTCTTGATGCTCTGCCAGGAGCCGCTGTTGTCCGAGTAGGTGTAGGACTCGGCGGGGGTATAGTTCACGATGTTGACGGACTTGACATACATGTTGAAGGGGGCCTGATTGTAGTCGGTCTTGCCGCCCGCCCATTCGATGGTTCCCGGAGCGTTATCGGGGTCACCACCGGCCCAGATGCCGAGTCTCAGGCGCATCGGGGTCTGGGGATAACGGGAACCACCCTTGGCATCGTTGAAGTTCAGTGTACGCACGATATTGCCGTCAACGGCCCACGTGGTCTTATCCTTATTCCAGTCGATGGTGTAGGTGTGATAATCAGCCTGGGGAGAGGCCATGTTCACAAAAGTGGCACGGTCATAGGACGAAGTGTCGCCCTTACCAAAGTAATTGGTCTGAATTTGAGTCGTGTCACCACCCAGGGCTTCCTGTTCATTGCAAACCAAGTTAGATGCGTCGTTTTCCTTCCGCGTATGCATATCCACAACGCCAGCTGGACGCGTAGAGGGAGACTTACCCAGTCGATCTCATCGAGGGCGTCCGACTCGAGGACAATGCTGCTGACAATACCGGTTCCCGGCGCCGCCTTCATCACCACCTCGACCTTCCCGAACAGGAAGTATTCGCTGGTGTCAATGGTGGGCGCATCGCCCCGCTTGGCGAGAGTGAACTCCCCTCCCTGGCCACCGGTGGTGACCTTGCCGGCGGTCGTTGTCCAGCCGCCAAGAGCGCCATTACCAGTGGTGAAGTCTGAGTTGAGGTTCGAGCCCATACCTGGGTTGGGCTTGCAACCGGATTCTAGTGTTGCATGTCAGTGGAGGGAACGATGAACCAACTGACCGTGCAGATCAGGAGGGGCACGGGGGACATACTCTCCAGAGGGTTACATTGCGAGTATGTCTGCGCAGAGCATAGCGGAAGCAGGGCCGCCAGCGTTGCTGCGGCGTAGTTGAAATACATGATGGCTGAAAAGAGGTCAATTGGGACCAGGTCACACAGCTCTGCAGAAAGACGAGTGCGACACGCAATCGGGATCCTGAAACGAGGGAAGTAGAGAAAGAGAAAGAGATTGAGATTCGACGGGGCGAGCGTCTAAATAGGTTGAGATCGGGGGTAAGAAAGACGGCCCACCGAAGGCGACGATCTATCTATCTATCGGGGAAAAGAAGAATGACCCCGTCTTTAGGGCACGGCAAGATGACGAGCGCGTTGCTACGGAACGAGGCGGGGGTGGATTCTAGTTATATAAAGTAGTCGCAAAAGCTACCAAGTAAGGGCTCACTAGGGTTGCTAAATATCCCCTCAGGGGAGCAAAGAGTGGAATAGCCCCAAGCGCCTTCAACAATAGTTCGGCCGGGGGGAGCCACCGGATCCAGCATCATTGGAGGCGGGCGTTCCTCTGGATCGAGGGTGGGAAGTTTCTTTGGCGCTGGAGGTCTAAAGCTAGTCTGGTACTAGTAACGAAAGTTCAATAAAAAAAAAAAGAGTCACAAGTCATGGCCCTGGCGACCGAAAGTGGCCAGACAATGTGATTGAACGAAGGGAAACGGATAAGGGAACCACTTCAATTCGACCCAGCGGGGCCCGTGCAAAGGGCCGGAATTGATAGGGCGGTTTATCGACGTGGGACCTTCTTTCCCCACTGAACTTGCGGACTGAGCATGGCCACAACAACTGCAAGCGGGAAAGGTCAAAAAAGCTTATGCCCTTCCCTTTCCTTACATGGTCTTTGGCTGTGAGGGTCGACAAGTCTACCAGTAAGTCACGTCAAAGGGGAAAAAAAAAGAAAGAAAGAAAGTAAAACTCCCGTGTCTCACTCCCACTTTTTAGCCGATGCGGTGTTACATTCGCCTGGACCTCGTGTTGACATACATCATGTCTTATTCCCTTGTCTGGCGTTGACAGCTTGTTTCACTATCAATATCGAAAAACAGAAACTCAAATGGGTCCTGACCTGACAGGGCACAAATTGCCGCATACCAGGCCACCAAATTGTGCTCGGTAACTCGACGTTTTCGGAGATGGCTCTCGAACAAGGGCCAAGACACCTCATGGCGCCAAGGCAGAACCTGTTGCCACTGTATGGAGTGGTCGGTCCATCAGGCAGCAAATCAAGAGGGAAAATCTGGACGACGACGCCAGTTGATCTGCATTGATCGGGATTGCAGGGTCACTGGAAGTTGTCCCAGCCGGTAGAGCACCATTGTTGGTCAACGAGGAAGTCGGACGAGACCGATCGAGCCATGGCACGGGTACCTGCTTTCCCTGTGTCGTCACTCTGCCATCTTTTTTTCTCCGACGATCCAGATGCCTTTCCAGGTTTCTCCATTCCCCGGGCGCAGAAACCCCCCGGCGCCAAAGGGGAAAAAAAAAAAGAAAGAAAAAGAAAAAGAAAAGGGTTGGGAAATCCTCGGGCCCCAAGACTTTCTACCGACCGAGGCACAGACGAGAAAGACATGTCTCACCGAACAATTGTGTAATAATAATAGAAGTTCAATTGCTCGCATGGCATGAATCCATCGCAAGCCCACTGAATGCGCTACGGTTGAACTGGACCCACTGATAGCACGCGCGCACACACCGCTATGCACTGGAAAAGACCGAACCACTGATCAAGCAAGAGAACCACAAAAAAAGAAAAGAAAAGAAAAGAAAAGAAAAATGTTAAAGATAAAAATAAAAATAAAAATGAAAATAAAAATGAAAATAAACAAGACAAGGGAGGAGAGGGTGAAGGAAAGGGCCAGGATTATTCTGGGGGTGACTCCCTCTCAGCCACACAACTGAGACTAAGTAGGAGAGAAGGAGACAGTAGTTAGTTCTAGGTGTACAGTTACATGAATAATGATGTCGTATCGGGTCCCCAGCCATTCTGGAGGAAATAATATAGATTAATCTACATGCGATGCAATGCAACAAGGCAGGGGAAATGAAGATGGGGTATGACAAGGGAGTGCATGATAGAGGATACTCGACAGTCTGTACTAGTACTAGTATACTCTAGTACTATGTAGTGCTAGCAGTAGTGTAGGTCTACTACCGAGTAGTGCACTACCATGTACTACTACTGAAGGAACATGGACAACCTTGGCAGATGGGGAAAAGGTCATGCTCGCCCTAGGAATCGAACCTCCTTCCTTTTCAATGGTCAGGTGGTGTGATCATCGATCCCACGTGATCTCTGGCATTCTTGTCAGCCTTGTTGCCTGATGGCAGGCACCCCGGCTGACTAAGGGCCCCCCGCAACCCGCGTGACGGAAAGGAGATCGATGATTGATTGATTGTTGGGGATCTTGTTGGGCGATCATCTCATCCGCCGCCACGTTGAGTTGAGCGTCAGTTGATTTCATTCTCCGTCCCCCCTCCTTTTCTATCCCGCTTCTTCTCCCTCTTCTGCTAACCTTACTTTTGTACACACACACACACTTCTCTCTCTCTCTCGACCATCTCCCTCGATCTGTACCGCCTACAGTCTTAATCTACCTAGAATATGGTTCATAAATCTACCAAATCTCTCTCACGCTCCAGTACTTCTCGTTACGTGGCTGCAACTTCGTCATCCTCCTCCGATCCAGATATGGACCGGAAAGTCTACATTCCGCTCTGTTTCTGCCTGATCTCCTTCGCCGTCATGGTCTACGTGAACTGATTCGGAATCCGCAAGCGTATTTCTACAAAGACCTCGACGAAACTATACTTCTATATACCTAGACTAGCATCAGCCACATGGGCTCCCCCCTCTCTCACCGTCCCACCTTTTAAACGGCGGTCACCGCGACAACGCTTCGCACTTGCAGTACCAGCACCACCTCCGCTCAACCAAGTATCGATTGTATCACGCACATCAATCGAGCCGAGAACCGACTAAATACTACAACACCCCACCCCAGCCAAGCGTGTGAGGATATCCCAACCACCGATTTCTAGCTACCACGCGTCCACTGTGTTGCTGTGACGACGCGGATGAAAGAAACCCGTGCAATTGTTACTTCTCGACCAATCACCCTTTGCGTTATCGCCGTACTGAAATCCGACATGGCTGGTCCGTCGTCGGGTATTGCACCCATCTACCCCTCGCTTTGATCGAACTTGATCGTGCCCAAGGCAACAGGTCAAGCAACCCCTCAAAGGGTATCAGCATTCGTTAGGAACGCGCAGGGCAAATCGGGTTATATACATGCCTACATGCCTATATGTGTATGCAATGCAGTGGATGCAAACCACTTCTCTTAAATGCTTTTTCTTTTTCTTTGCCATTTTCCCTATCGTTACTGTTGTTATTGCTGGTTGAAATATCTTCGCCATCTACCACTATACCCCACAATTTAGTTACCACGGGCGATCGTTACATGCTCACACTTTCTTATGTATATTTTCTCTCAGTCTACTTTTTATCTTTTTGAACGTCAATGAACGTAGCTCTTCCCTATGTCCATCAAATAGCATATGGCACGAACGCCACGTACCCTACGGAACCACCAACCTGGTCACCATTGGCCTCATCCTTCGCCACACTCCCCATAAGATCTGACACGTCACATAGCCAAAGATTCAACCGGAATAGCGTATCAGATGCCCCAGACGTCGAAAAAAAAACATATGCACACCGCTCATGTACGACACAAAAAGTGGCCCGCATAGACTGTCTTATAGGGTAGTTATCCCTGAATATCACTTCTCCTTTGCGCCATGGAGGTGGCGTTGGGGTTGCGGGATTGACCCACGTATATTCAGTCTAGATCTTCACTGCCTCGCCAGATCAATTTAGACAGATAACAGCATGGTTTTCTATTGCGGCCCTTTTTCTGTAACGGGGGGCTATGCTGTTTGAGGTTTGTTTTGGGATTTAGAGATCTCGTAGATGTACGACTTGGTCCGCAGTAGCGAGGGAAATTTAATGTCTTAACAGCTATTGCTATATACTGAATGACGTCGGGATATTGGTCGGTTGCCCCTCGGTCTCGGCAATTGGAAAATCTCTCCTGTGTTTGAAGATTCATCCGATCATTGTCTCACGGGAGATTGACTCTTCAAAGAGTATGAGATAAGGTTGATATTACAAGAGGATGACGGTCAGCACTAAGAACGTAGCGCTATGTAGACGAATCCCGTCGGCTAAATGTAGTCCTTGTTTTTTGTTTTAGTTTCAAAATGAGACAGAGAGAAAGAGTTGAAAATTGCCCGAAAGAGTACATGAACATTAGAAAGACGCGAGTAAGGTCAAACAGCCGAAAGGAAATGCACACATATACCTGCATCAAGATAAAGAAGAGACCGGCGCAAGAGCAGATTCTTCGGGTCATCAACAACGTTATAGCAACTAGAGTTCACCGAAGCCATCAAAGCCACGCTTCTGATATCGCATTTTCATATCACCAGCTACTTTCTCCATATAAGTCGAGTCCCCTGCTGTGCAGAGCTCTCTCTGCGCTTACTAGTCTAAGGGCAAGCAAATACGTGGTGTAGGCGATAATTTTAATGCATCGGTTTGCGTGCGTCTAGTCTGAAAGGCTGCTATCCCAAGGAACACTGCTATTAGGCAGACTAATAAAGCTGGGAGAGAGATCTATGGCCAATTGACCTTTAGCTGTATCTCCAATTGCTGGGACTTGCCCGTCGCAGTTGCATTGCCTAGCAGACGCACCCCAGTTGTCATGCCAGAAGCAAGTTTCAAAAAAAGCCAACATACCCATATTCCATCATCGGCTTCTTGAGTTCATGCATGACTGGATCAAGACTCGTTCTGGTGTTTTCGGATAATAGACAATCGCTATACCCCTCTGTCGCTAGTTTAAATTGGAGCCACATAGACAAGTCTTTTGAGCTTTCACCAACACTAAAGTTGAGGCTTTGCAAGCCTGGGTCGAAAGGCACTTGAAGGTTTATATTTTGATAGACTGAATGCGAGTCATCAGGTCGTCGTACCGCAGTAAAACCATGCCACGAGTCAAGTAATTCTCCTTTTGGCCTATTGTTTTGAGCGCTAGCTTTGTATGTCTTGACGCACCAGTATAGTAGACAGTAACTGGCAATTCTGCGCGGCTCGATCCTAGGAGCTATATGAATAGCCGTGAGATTGGGCCGTACGCTTCCATCAATGAGTTCAGACTCCCCCCTGTTCATTAGATCGTCCGTAAGATTAAGGAACTTAGTTGCGACGTTGCCATTGGGCTCTTCATCGCTGATGTTCAGCGTTACGCCCTTGGGAAGCGAATGCTCACAATACGTAGTGTATAGACCACAAACGCCAATCTAGCATTCTGTAGGAATGATCGAAATATCAACATATGTGGAGCAGTCTGCCAAAGTTTAAAAGCATAAATCTCACATTCATCAGTCAGACACTTGGGTAAGATAGGTAACTGGTCTTCACTTACTTCCTCTTTAAAAACAGCGCATATATTGTGGCTATGATGGACCTCGGTGGTACAATGGTGCTTGTGGAGTTTCATCAACCATATGATTGAGCTCAAGCGATAGACGCAGGTTCAGCACTCGGAACAAGCTTGCACTCAACCTTCGCCATCTGCTGCACTAAGGGACCTGTCCCTATATCTGTTTGCCAGAGTAGCAGAAGGCTGGCTAATGGGCCTCTGCTGGCAAGGTCATACAAACTGATCACTAAAAGTAGGTGTTTGCACTTGTTGAGATAGATACATCTCGCCTGGTTGAGACAAGCAGCAATAGGTTGCAGCAGAAGGGCCGTGATGACTTGCACTAGCCACGATAACGCCGAACTGATTGCGATTCCCCATTTCCAATCTGGAAGCTTCTTGCCATTGTACATCCAAAGCAAGACCACAATTCCTATTAGGGCACATAGGCTACCACAGCATGGGGCTATCTCTAACACCCAATAGTCATGTAGCTTGCTCGGAATTGATTTTCGTGGTACTTTGGACGTCTCGTGAAGTGAGGGTGTGACTTTGGAATATCCGGGATTCTGCGTGCCCGCTGCCAAGGAATCTCCGGATATCGGCGTCCTCCCTAACGAGGGTGATGAAGGGAATTTGAGTGCAATGTGCGAGATTTGACTAGATTTCTCCATTCGCTCCTCATTTGGCAGAAGCGACTGGTTTTGGATAGCCATTTCAAGGTACAGGAGACGAGTGAATCTGGCGCGGGTCTTAGAAATGTATGAAGATCAGCCTGGTCTCGGCCTGCCTTTTAGTTTACGCAGCGTCATGTTGGGTACTAGGGCTTGCGTTACACTCGCTCATAGCCTCGCGCGACAAACCTCTCGTTGAGGGTTACATTTCGGGAGGGGCACTATACTAAAATGACCTGGTAAGGTCACAACTGGCGCTCGATTTTGAAACAGTACCAACTGGGATTATCGTGGCTGGACCAGAGTGATTGCGTATGTTGAACTATGTCAAATGAGTTGAGAGTATCACTAGGAGGGCAAAAAGCAGTCTCGAGAGTCGGTGCATTGTTGATTGAGAATTGGGAGGGAATGAATCCACCTACTTTACTTTCATGAAGCTTATATGTACATTTATATTAATGTTAGACTATAATTCCTTGCTACTGATTTTTATCTGTCTTTCCATTATTTAAGACCACAAGCAACTCGAGGTCTTTCTAGTGATGTAGCATAAGCCCTAGTGTAGAAGATTTGTTCGCGTTGTTTTTTCTCAATGCTAAAATTCGTATATCATTCCTCAGACAATCATGCACTAATCCCATGATGTGGCGTGTAGCTTTGACACTAATATTCCAGCATATGGTATGATGGGTGCTTGAGGAATGATGGTAATCGATCAAGGCTTGAAGAGACTTGGGCTGGGGCCGTTGGAGAATTGGGCCAAATCGTTGGAAAAATCATTCTATCTATGTATACATACTATCTATGGCTAAAGGAGTATAAACATTACGGCTCTGAGTCTATTTCAGAAGACAGCTGAGGTTTCCCCTATATCAGGTCCAACACCACCTGATTACCCACTTCTCGTGCCCATGAAAGAGAAGTGCTACCGCGAAAGCCGGTTTCCTTGATATTTATATAGTCCTCTAGAAGTAATCTATATGAAATACGGCAAGAGGGCTCATAACCTTTTGATGGGCGATAGCAGTTGATTGAACAGATGACCTATCAACTAAAGGCTGGCTATACCTAGCAGGCACTGTACCGAGTACACCTATGGTCGTTTCAGTCAAGAGTAATCTATGTGGAGATGATTGCGGAGCGAAGGGAGTATGAACACAAGCATGAAGAATGACAATTGGGTAAGGTCTCACAGCTCTAATTGTAGAATTATAGTATTGGAATGACTTTGCTTGACACTTAATCTGAGTGCCAGGAAGACTTGCTAGTGATTCGACCATGTCGATTGGTGAATATACACTTCAGGAAGTGGACTTTTTGAGAACGTGAACAGTAATTCTGCGAGATGAAGAGCGCCTGTTCCTGATAGACCTTGGCATATTGCAATCGGCCATTTTTAGACCACATTAACCGTACATGGCATGTTTGTCATACTTTACTCACTGAAGAATTAAATTATATATTATGCTCAACATGATGATGTTTTCATGGACAATGCCGAATTATCGGATCAAAATCGACGCGAATGATTGCCGTTGCATACTATTAGATATGTGTATTTCGGCATCGGACTAAAAGCCGAGTCTTACTCGTTGAGAGGAAATAGGTAAATACGATGGTTTTGGCGCAGGAAATATCATATATTATATTTTTAAAAACTGGGGTCCCCTAGAGCTACGGGGATGTCACTCTGGCTTTTGAGCCACGAAGCGAAGGCGAATGTAATTGACAGTAAAAGAACCATCATGCTGCTGTCTTCCAACAGCCTCGAGGACGTCAACAGCGTGTTTGACGGCTGCGTCGCGTGCCTCGGTCGTCGGGAGGAGTTGAAGAAAGGGCTCACCAAACAGACGAATCCTATACGCCATCAGTTATGAAGTCAATGATTTATTAGTGTCAGACCTACCATCCTTCAACACCACCCTTCTCATTCTCTGTTAGCGTTGTCTGTCTAAGTTGAACCTCGCCCTTGACCCATTTAAAGCCCGCTCCTTCAACAAGGTCCTTCATAGCCTGCTGCGATGGGAACCACCAAGGCGAGGCTTCTCGCGCCTGTTCAACAGGAATACCTTGAGTGACTAGACCACTGATAATTGCGGAATGCACCTCGGCCACATTTCCCAGTGCACCGGACTCATTGACCAGAAGGCCACCTGGCTTGAGCGCCTCGAAACAGCCCTTGATCGTATTGGACCTGGTTTCAGGGTCTCGGAGAATCCAATGCAAGGCAGCGTTCGAAAAGACTTTGTCGAAACTCCCGGTTGTCAGGTCAGACTCTTGATCCAGCAGTCGGCAATCAACAACCCGCGACTCAATGTGTGGGTAGGCCTTTTTGAAGTGCTCGATCATGTTGGGGGAGCCGTCAACTCCCACGATCCGTTTGACATGGGGAGCTATACGGGCTGTCAAGGGGCCTTCCCCGCACCCAATATCAAGGATTTCATCTATCTTGTCAGTTAAGCCTGACGATTATCATCTGAAAACTTACCAGTTGGCTTGGGGTCCAGCCAGGCCAGAACCTTCTCAGTCGAAGTTGCAACGAATGGGGCCACCTTTTCGCCGTAAAGGTCGGCTGACCAGATGTCTTTCTGCTGCGCCATATTTGTTGTCTGTCTTTGTTTCTTTTTTTTTTTTTGAGTCTTACAGAACATAGCTGGACTAATTCCATCGGGTTTATAAATGTGACGAGGAAGTATGCAGCCCCGACATCGGAGCCTGGGAACTCAGGGACCGGGATGGATTCTGTGTGGGGGGGAAGGGGGTCGGTGGCCCGCTGGATGTCCGTTGCGGGCCGCCGCTAGCCAAAGCCTAAACGAAAAGATAAGCAGATCGGCGAGTCTCAAAGCATTGAAGCATTCCCACCTTTCTAGGCACCGATGTCGGGCTGGCTAGTACTGTTGCTGGTATTCCAAATGTCGTTTCTGGATTGGCATGTACTATAGATATGAACTTAGAGTCATGCTTTATTTCAAAATGCTTCAAAGTAGCTCTAACGAAAAGGCATCTCTGACCATTCGGCCAGTATGATTGAAGGATCCAGTCCCGATCCATACGGTTGGACGACAGTAAAGCATTACCCCCTTCGCAGCTAAACAAGCTAACGCACTGGCTTGATAGAAAAAAAAGTCGTTCATCTTCATCACTGGCTTGGTGATAGTCATGAACAGCACCCTCGGATCCGCCCTTCCAAGCGGTGCTATCGATTTCATCGCGGCCGACTTTAGCATCACAAACCGGCAACAGCTCGTACTGCCGATAACTACCTACTTGATCGGATATATTCTCGGACCTATCCTTTTCGCTCCACTGTCTGAGACGTATGGCAGGCGTCCGGTGATGATATGGACATTCGTAGGATATACAATCTTCAGTCTCGCCTGTGCTATTGCGCCCAATTTTGCGGCTATTGTGATCTTCCGGCTGTTTTCTGGTATCTTTGCTTCTTCGCCAACTGCTGTCGTTGGAGGGTTGTATGCGGATATCTTTTCTGATCCTAAGACAAGGGGAAGGTCAATGGCTGGATATATGGCAGTGAGACATCCAACCATCATCATCTTGGGGGTCGAGATACTTACTAGAAATAGGCTACAACGCTCGGCCCTACATTGGGACCGCTAATCTCTGGCTATATCTCTAGTGTCAGTTGGAGGTGGACATTCTGGATTGCGTTGATCATCGCTGGTGCTTCATGGCCTGCGCTGATATTTCTCCCGGGTAAGTGATTGAATTACAATCACTTGACGTTGCTAATTATACTGGATAGAGACCTACCGTCCTGTATTACTGCGCAAACACAATAAGATCCATAACATCACATCTGCTGATGCGAACCTGGCTACTCCCGGTCTACGAAATCTCGTCACACGAGTGCTGACACGCCCTATCCGGATGATTTATTCCGAGTCAATTGTTCTATTCTCCTGTATCTATCTTTCCTTGACATATTCTATCTTTTACCTCTTCTTCGAGGCTTACCCTATCATATTCCAAGGTATGCAGACAACCCTGTCCGGGCTGACCTTAATTACTAATACGAACAGGAATATACGGCTTCAGTACCGGACAATGCGGCCTAGCATTTATTCCCAGTACGTCCTCCCCTATCAATCAAACATCCACGGCTAATAAACCACAGTCGGAATCGGCGCTCTCCTTTCCTTCCTCGTCTACCTCGCCTACGACTCTGTCTACCAACGCGCCCAATCTCAAGCCAAACCCTGGGTAAAAATCGAAGAATACCGCCGTCTTCCCCTCGCCTGCCTCGGTGGACCCCTGTACACCATCTCCCTCTTCTGGCTCGCCTGGTCCGCCCAGTCATCCGTGCACTGGATTGTCCCCATGCTCTCCGGCATTCCCTTTGGCATTGGCTTTCTGCTCATATTCATGGCGCTGATTAACTATCTCGCTGACGCATATGGGACCTATGCAGCGAGTGCGTTGGGCGCAGCGAGCTGTACGAGAAGTGTATCCGGTGCGTTGTTGCCGCTTGCTACGGCGCCAATGTTTGGGCGGCTGGGAACGCATTGGGCGACTAGCTTGTTGGGGTTTGCGAGTTTGGTGATGGTTTTGATCCCGTTTGCATTTATTCGCTTTGGTGATCATCTTAGGCGGAATAGTGTTTTCAGTCAGTCTGCTAAGGCGAGGTGATCTTGTAAAGGATCCAACTGATTCCTAGGAATTGGCAGTACGGTTTAGATTGAATTCAGGCCGTTACATAGTAAAACCAAGAATATACTGAGATCTGAGGCATTTAGTCTATTAGATCCCACCGAAGCCTTCATTCGCACAACTACAGAGACGCCTTACAGTGATGTCCCCGCAGATCACTCGGCTTCAAGTCCGCCGCATTCTGAACACCAGTAATACCAAGGTTGATCTCCAAATCTGCCAAAAGGCAACGAAGCACATGCAACGCACCCTCCTGTCCCTTTGCACCCAATCCATATATAACCGGTCGACCAACAAACACAGCTTTCGCACCGAGTGCAAGAGCCTTCATCACATCTGCGCCAGTACGAATACCACTATCGAAGAGAACATCGACGCGATCTCCTACCGCCTCTGCAATCTCTTGCAGAGCGTCGAGAGAACCGTACGCGCCATCATACTGTCTCCCGCCGTGGTTGGAGACAATAATACCGTCCACGCCGGCTTGGACGGCCATTTCAGCATCAGTGGCAGTCTGTATTCCCTTGACAAGAATATGCCCATCCCACTCCTTCCGCAGGAACTCGAGCTCCGACCATGTGTGTGCTAGATTGGGGAAGATGGTATTCTCCCACTCGAACGCGCCCTTGAGGATATCCTCGTCTGCCTCATGGCCGTACTTTTCTGCGAACTTCCGGCGGAAGACAGGATCGGTAAAGCCGAGGGCTGTACTGTAGCCTTTGTAGAGGGGGAGGTAGGCGTTGTCGAGGTCCATGGGACGCCAACTCATGGAGAAGATGTCCAGTGTAATGACGAGAGCTGTGTAGCGTGCTGCTTTGGCGCGACGCAGGATGGACCGCGTCACGTCGTGGTCGACCGATTGGGGCCAGTAGAGCTGGAGCCAGCGAATGCTTTTACCATGGCCTGCTGCTTCGTCCTGGGCTTGGGCTACGGCTTCGGGGCTTTCTGATGCAAAGGTGGAGAGCACGTATGGGACACCAACTTTGCCGGCTGCATAGGCGACTCCTTTTTCTCCGTCACTGCAGACGTTAGAAAGCAATAATAATATTATGTACCTAATCTTAATCAAGAGGAACCACTCACGGATGAAAGATCCTATTCACGCCAACAGGCGCAATAGCCACAGGAGCAGGCCATTCCTGACCAAGAACATCCACCTTAAGGGATCGCTTGGTATTTGACCTCACCATCCGGGGAATGATGCTCCATTTATCAAACGCCTCGCGGTTTTTCCTGATTGTATCGCCAGCCCCAGCTCCTCCCTTGGCGTAGTCAAAGTTCATGGGCTCCATCACTTGCTTCGCGGCAGTTTCCCAAAGGTTGGGGTTGGTTGTCATGATGGGTTTGATACCTCTGGTGCCGGCTACGTAGATTTCATGTTGGTAGCTGGAGAAGGGGGTGGTTAAGTCCTGGATACGTTAGAGTGGCTATCGTTTGCGGATAGATGTTCGAATGCATACATTGTTAGAGTCATTGGTCATGTTGACGGTGTTTGTAGAGTCCAATTGAGTCTTTGCGAGTAAGTCAAACTGCAATAATAAGAAACAATACGAAAAGCGACTCCAACGTTACTAAACCACCGACATATATAGAAAAATAAAATCCAGCCAACACTCCAACTACTCCTCGCTAATCTGTATACACCCACATCTAGGCCCGACCTCGGTCCTACCTGGTCACGCACAAGCAGCCGAGTGGATTTGCACTGCTACGTATCATTGCAATTATCAACTCCGTAACCCGACCTCGGACTCATCTGCTTTTCGCCCCAAAGTGCGTAAAACCCCTCTGTAAGCAATCGAATTAAGCAGACCTTCTAAAGACCTTATCATAGGGTCTTGCTTATATTAAATCAAGTATCCTTATTAAATGGTAGTTAAAAAATGAATAATAAACTTTTCTTTAACCAAACGTAATCTTAATGTATAGTATTTATAAGATATAGCCCTTTAAATTATGTATAAGAAATGGCAGTAGATAGCGTACAGCGGGGGATTCCTTATAGTAAGCTTACATATACGCGGCCTGTCTTATAACATATTCGGCAAGTGAGCCGCGCAGCTCTGTATTCCATATAAATGGACCCTTTTTGATACTTGAATATCTCAGCAACTAGAAATATTAAAGATATAAATTTTAATATCTAATATAAGATAGACTATATAAGGCTATAAAGGATTTTTCATAAACTCATCCGCTATAATCATAAGCTATAGATCGAATTATCAAAAATGCAGGTGTAATATTCAATGCTGACTAAAATATCAGCTGTATAGGCTTTTCTACTTTATATATTCAAGACTAAGTACTATTATATATCCTATATAAATTTTATATCTATACCGTTTCTCGTTGCTGAGATATTCAAGCAATAAAAGGTTAATTTATATGGAACGCTGAGCTGCGCGACTCGCTTACCGAATACGTTACGCTTCGACCACCTATAGACTAGTGCTGACCGTCAATAGAAATGGGGTTCGAAGTAACTTACCCTATTGGCCGAGTCCAGTCGATCGTATTATGCTTGCCATAGTCGATCACGGCTCACAGCCCCATTCTACTTGGACTGAGTATTCAATCTAAGTCATTTGGACTAATTTGAACACCGGACACAAACCCGTAGGATTATTATCCTTGGATGTACTAGGTAAATACGGGTGGTTATGGAGGTTGGAGACTCTGATGATGGCGTGGCGTATACGAGGACGTCTGTTTATTCAGGCGCTGCTGATTGCAGGGGAGTACCTCTATGTGTAATTTTATATCTGACTTAACTGCTAGGCCGTTTATATTAATGATACCATCTACTGAGTACATTTTCGTCTCGTATATACATCTACTGTACTTCTAGATAGTAAAGATCCACTCAGTCTGTCTAGATGCTCGCTGCTGATAATGCCGGGCCGTCCTGACTGTAGATAGCAGGGCCCCGTTCCTTATTCTCCTAGCTGACCACCACTATTACCCACTACAGAATCCACAGTCCCCAAGAATCATTCACCTGAACCATCTCATCCAACCAGAGATGGAGTACTCACTCTTCAACAACGATAGTCGTTTACCCCGCGCCGGAGTTCCGAGCCTAGATCCGCATATCCAGCGGCGGAGCGAGCAGCCATCGTCGTAGTCTTGGATACCATCACAACGAAGTCTCAGGCCAATTGGCGTACCCCCTTGTTTGCTTCTTACCGATATCGGCCATCGCCATCATCGCCCTGAAAATGGTTGATGCAAAGTTGTGGATAGGGGCCCGTTTGGATAGGAGTGTAATATACGGCGTAATGATATACACTGTAGCCCGTTGAGGACGGAGATGGAGATGGAGGTATAAATGTCGAGGTTCTGTTGCCCCCTCTGTCATTCCAGCATCACATCATTCACTTTCATTCTCTCCCATGGAAACTACCATCTCATCCGTACTGCTGCTCATTCTGGGCTTGGTGGCCGTCAAAGCTCTCCTGAAAAGGTACAATGGCAAGTCTGCTGTATGTTGCCAAACCTTGGGGAGACTGGGCTTGCCTCTAACAGAGTTGAATAGGATAATGGCATCGCCTCGTCAGTCTTCGGCTCGAAGCTCGATCCCTTTTATGCTGTTGAGCCTCTAAAAGACTTTGACTTCAATACAACCCCTCCAATCGAATACAAGCCATACAGAACACAGGGACATGTTACCATGGGTATGTCTTCACATCCTGCACATCCAGCCAATGCTAACGAGCTAGGGATCCAAAAACAAACTCGCTCCAGCTGGATTCGAATTGACTCAGGCTACCTGAAGCGACTCGAAGAACGACGCGGTCTCGTTGAAGACAAGCCAGAACTCACTATCGGAACAGGCAAGATCGTCGATCCAGCCATTGAAGAGCTCTACGAGGAGATCATGATTAAGTACCTCCCCCAGCGCTTCCCAACCATGTTTAAGATCCGCGGCAATCTTGTCGACAACCTCGCAACTGGCTCTAATTATCCGTTCACCACGGCTGGTCTCACTCCCGCTGTTATGCTCCGCTACCTTTCTGAGAATGTCGAGGAGGATTTCTACTTCATGTGTCCTGATCCTGATGGACAGTTCCGTCTCCGCGGATATATTGCTTGCTTTCCTGGTGGTTTCTTGAGCCCTGCGAGAGTCGGCGAGTCAGTGAGGGAGATTCACCAGCCTGTTCCGGGTTATGATAAGAAGCTGGGTGCCAGTGTGGACCGATACTTTTCTCGCATGGAACCGGGTCAGTTCATCGGACGGATGAACGTAAGTCAAGTCCTTCTATCAAATTTAACAGTCGATTATATCTCACTAACAAACCACCCAGTGGTCTCTCCAGGTCGACGGCGCAGACCTCTTCCGTACCGACGGCAACAACTTTTACCCAGAAACAGACCAAGTCGTCGATGACGAAAAGTATAACCCCCCTCTTACTGAATGCTACCTCCGTGTTGAGCATCAGACCTTGACTGCTCTGCCCAAATCCCGAGCAATCATTTTCACTGTCCGCAGCTACATGACTAGACTTGACGAGGTGCGTGCAAAGGGAGAGGGAAATGCCCTTGCCGATGCTATCGAGTCCATGCCTCAGGGTCTTGGAGAGTACAAGATGCGGCAATACTGGGGTGGAAAGGTCTTGCCTTGGTTGAGGGGTGGTCCTGGAGATGCAACCGTGGCGTAGTTGGGATTGCTTTATGTCAGATGGTGAAAAGGCTTGATTAACGCGGGCGATACAGAAGACAAGGCGCTATGATTATGATATGAGAGTATGAGTGTTATGGACAAATTGAGTCTGGGTTAGATACGCAGCTGCATTAGATTGGTTACATTTAAAAGTGTTATGGAAGATTCCTTCAATGGTTTTGATGAACATGGCCTACAACGTCCTGTACAATTAGTCCGTTTAAGTTCACCCTTTAGGTGCAGTAACTTTTGTTGTTGTTGTTGTTGTTGTTTACGACTAATGTAAAAGTTTGATAGTGTCATCTCCCATACGGGCTTCTTAGGTTTTCTCTGTTTGACTTAGAGCAACCCATGAAATGCGGTGTACCTATATTAGGGCTTGGTAAATCAGATGATTAGGGGTTGAAGGAGAATCTGTGAAATGGAAGGCGATGTTCTCCATGTCCGTTACATATATTGTCTCTTGTACCCTCTCAACTGAAAGTCGACTTGCTGAGTAAATCGCCTATCGCTTGGATATATGGCCAGGGTGAATTGCCTCGCATAGCATGGCGACCCGAGTTAGAAAATCTGATCAGCTAGAACATCAAGCCGAACCAGATCAATATCTTCGGAACTCCCTTCAATAGATTAAAGACCTTCTAGTACAATTTCTTGAACTCGCTTCACAAGGCTAACTTCAAAATCTAAACGGTGGGTAAGCACGCTGCCGAGAGACGATCTGTACTTCATGGAGAACAGGGAAGACGGAGTTTTCTTCGCAACGAAAAGAATATTCACTAACCTGCCAAGGGTTTATGCCAAACGTCCAACTGAAAGGTTCGGAGCCACTTGCCGAGGGAAAGACCACTCGAAGCTAAAGAGAGCAGCTTCAATGTTCCACACTGACGGTTGGTAGTTCAGGACATACTGAATACCAAGCCGGACGAGTGATTGGAGGATATGTGTGGCAAGTTGTGTGGCCAAGAGCTCATTGCTGCTATGCTCGACGGGGAATGAGGGAAGGAGTATACCCGCAATGGTGTTCGATCTCCAAGGGAGTTCTCGGTGGCGCTGGAGGCCGGCCAATGCTTGAACAATTCCGGATGTACGCGAATCTTAACAGAGTGCTATAAATAAAGGGCAGACGGCCATTGGGATCAGTCGGCTCCAGACTCGACTTTGTACTTTGTTCCCGGCTGAGCGTCCATCGATAGAGTGCGTTCCTTCATTGACGTTAGTTCAAACTCATCATAGCTAGAGGGGTGGGAGGCAGGGTAATGCATTAGTTGTAATGCAAGCCGTACTGGAAAAGTGCTAAGGAATGTAATAAGGGTGTAGCTCCTAGGCCCGCTATAATAATCTGATCAGACATGATGCCTTGGGTTAACCCATGCAATAGGGCATAGTTAGCAACAGGGGAGAGGTTACTGGGAGGACGTTCTAGTCAGATGTAGAAAGCAGACTCCTTAAAGCGTCAGGGAATTTGTCTGGTTAGGAGGGAACAGTCTGTTGTAGCAAAGCCTATGTACTAGCATCAGGTGCTGGCTTGGGGGTTTTGCTATTTGATTACTGATTAATCATGATCTCCACCAAAAGTGCACATCTCCAAAGTTAAAGATAAACGTTTTAAAAAGAACGACCCACACAATCCAATATAAAATCAAGCTCTACTCTCCAAAACACTTGAAGCCCTCCCTTATTTTCGGTCATCAAGTGTCTCCTCCGACCAATTAGACCACATTCGGAATCACGGTGGACAATCGAATTAGGTGACTTTGCGCAAGGAGCAGGCAACGCATTATTAATTTCTATGCCATGGATAGGGATATAAGTACCCAGGGAAGATTCCTCCTGAATCCAGTTTCTTCAGCAATCTTCAACCCACTATTACATCCATCTATACGACACATACTTCCACTCCATACTCTTTCAAAATGTCCCAAACAGTCATTCGGATCAACAGTCCCACGAACTCAATTCACAACCTCGAGGCATTGGAGATCATCCCCGAGCCCGGCAAGAATGAGGTCCTGATCAAGGTCCACGGGGTCTCTCTCAACTATCGTGGTATTGCTGTCTCTACCTCGCTGTGTCCGTTCCCCGTGAAGGATAACGTGGTGCGTGCTCAGACATGGCAGCTGTTGTGGTGAAGGTCGATGAAAATGTCAAGAAGCTGGCCGCAGGAGACCACGTTATCGTCACTTTAGGCCTCAGCAATCTCTTCGGCCAACAGATGGACTAGCTTAACGGTTAGGGCGATCCCATCGATAGCATTCTCCGGGAATACGTCTATATCCCAGCGGTGTCGGTCTTCCAGGTGCCTAAGGAGTCTCCCCTCATTCTGCAAGTGGTCTACTCTTGTTTGCGTTGGGGTAACTGCTTAGAATGTATTGTATGGGAACATCCCCCTAAGCCCGGCCAGACAGTTCTCCTACAAGGTATGTTGCACCCTGAAAACCAAAGATTATAAATACAATGGCATCTTTTTAATTGAAGCCAAGGCACCGGGGCCGTTTCTATTACTGCCCTGATCCTCGCAAAGGCAGCAGGCGCAACAATCTTCATGACATCGTCGAGCGATGAAAAGCTTGAATCCGTGCAGAAAGCCTGGGGCGTGAACTACACTATAAACTACAAGACGCACCCCGAATGGTCGAAGGAAGCTCTTCGCCTGGCTAACAGTGAGGGAGCCGACTACATTCTTGAGAATGGCGGCTCTGGTACTATCGGAGAGAGCCTCAACGCCGTGAAAATGGGTGGAAATATCTCGGTTATCGGTTTCCTCTCGCAGATTGAGCAGTCCAAGATGTCTGATGTGGCTTCTCTCACACTCGCCAATGGAGCTGTCGCGCGCGGTATTGTTGTTGGAAAGCACGCAGGTCCTACAGGAAGTGGTTCGTTTTGTTGCCCGCAAGGGATTGGGTTTCCCTGATAAGGTGTTCGACTCCGCCGAGGGATCTGTCATTGAGGCATATATGTAGCTTCTGGCTCCTAGATTGGAAATGCCTGCATCAAGGTTGCCGAACGAAACACGAGGCCACTTTACTACTTTTACGGTACAATATATTTAGTAGTGACTTACCTTATACTTTAACAAGAGAGAAGAATACCAAGCATAATGAAACGCAGATCTCCCATTGAACTAGTAAACCCCGTCCCAGAGATAGAAAATAATATCAAAGTAATAACTACCATACCAACTCACCCCACAACCCCCAAAACCACCTCCCTAACCTCCTCCTCCCTCAACCCCCGAACCCCCAGAGCCTCATTCGCAAGCCTCCCCTCCTCAAAAAGCCCCCCAGAGCCCTCCCCAAAAACTGCCCTCCTCAAAAACCCCAACGCAACAATTCCTAGATCCGGTTCCTCCTTTCCCAACTCCTCAACAGCCCTCCATCCCAATTCCTCCGTGCTGACAAACCTCATCTCAACCACCTCCCCACCAACCCTACCAACTCTCTCTACGAAACATCCACCTCCCTAACATATCGTCGCCTCCAAACTCCTCACAGCTCCCACTGCAACCCTCCCAACCCCCGCCATCGTCGAAATACTCACCTTCCTCTTGCCCCTATCAAACAACTCCACCTTCGGGCCGGAAAGATCAACAAAGAACCCCGTCTTCAACCCAAACTCCAGAAACGTACCCGTGATCAACAGAGTATAGGAAAGGTCCGACTCAGCCGATACCCTCCTCGGATAATCCTAAACAGCGATCTTGTTAGCGTAGACGGGGAGCTTCGAGGCGAGGGGGTTGGTGGTGTCGGACCCGAATTTGGAGGGGAGGAGGCGTTTGATTCCAGCTGCGAGGGGGACATCGATGAGGCGGAGGTGGAAGTTTAGATCTCTGGGGGGAAGGTCATTGATGAGGATATCGTGGTTCGAGTGAGCAGCTTGCAGGGAGGTGAGAGAGTTGTAGTCTACATGGAGTACTTGGGCGCGGGGGGTCAAGGTGTGCTGGGTGTTGCTTTGGCGGGTTAGGACTGTTACTGGTAAACCTGCGTTTAGGAGGGAGTTGAGAAGGGAGAGGCCGATGGGGCCGCTTGCCTGTGGGTTTGCTAGTATATGTGTATAGTACTGAGGTTGGGGTGAGGGGGTGGGAGTTTGGTATGTATGTACACAGTGTATGTGTCGGACTTAACACACCGACGAGGACGATTTTGGGTGCGGACATTGTGGTATGTTTGGTTTGGGTAAAGGGTTGTGGTGTGGTTACTTGGCTTAGGGTAATAGGAATTGGATTGTAGGAGAAGTGCAATAGAATTTATCTGGTGAGTCGATAATGTACTTGATATCTAGGTCTAACTAGAGGTGGACTCTACATCCCCTTTATACTTCTATCTGGAGATCGTGGTGGGATCATCCCTTCTACACATTACCAATCTTTGTGGAGCTATCACAGAATCACTTGCATGCTTTGTTTGTTCTATATATGAAGCCTCGCAATCATATCCTCGATGTCGCCATTATCAGATCGATGTTCAAGATTCATTACAGTAGAGATGTTAGGGTTTGCTTGCACCTTTGTCAGCAGATCGACAGGATCTTCGGCCAATAATGCTTCTGTGCAAACGGAGCAAATCTAGCTTGGAATGTTTGATCGCTTGCCGTCTCTTAGGTCGAAGGGCGGGTGGGGCTGCTGACCTAAGAGACGGCTTTTGGCTGTTTTGCAGACGACGGAATTCATTCCGTGCTTTGGAATCCTGGATTATCGAACTTTTCTTGCAACTGACGGGTTTGTTGAAAAGGCGTTGTCTATCAGTCATTGTGGACATTTGTAAATCTTATAGTCCTCAGTCATCGTCTCAGGTTGTGACTCTTGGGCCGATATAGAAGACCTTAGGCTTAACAGATAGCAAATTTCCTAACATATTAAACGTCTTACAAATCTAGATTCATATATCCTATACATCTCTTCCCGTCTATGCAGTTCTCGGTATACAATAACTCTACCGCAAAGTCACCAGCTCCTCCGCACTAGTGGGATGGATCGCAACACAGCTGTCGAAATCGCGCTTGGTAGCTCCCATCTTGACTGCCACACCGAATCCCTGCAGCATCTCGCCCACGCCCAGGCCGAGGATGTGCAGTCCGACCACCTTCTCTTCCGGTCCCGCACAGATCAGCTTGAACTCCGTCGGGTTCTTCTTCTTCTCCTCCGCGGGCAGAACGTCGTAGTACATCGCAGTGAACTTGGTGTAATAAACCTTGATCTGGTCATCCCCGTAGCGCTCACGAGCCTCGGGTTCGGTGAGACCGATGGTGCCAACTTCGGGGTGGGAAAAGACCACGGTTGGGATGTTCTCGTAGGAGAGCTTGGAGTCCTTCAGCTCGGGGGGTCCGAACAGACGGTTGCCAAGTTGACGGCCAGCGGCAATGGCAACTGTATTCATTTGTCAGTGGTCCAGCAACAATCAAGCCACGATAAGAGAAGTGAACATACCAGGAGTCAGCTCGGCACGTCCGGTAACGTCACCCAGGGCGTAGATACCATCGACGCTCGAGTTCTGGTACTCGTCGACGTCAACGAATCCAGCCTTGTCCAACTTCACGCCGGGGATGTCGAGGTGCAGATCCTCCACCTCTGGCGACCGACCGATAGCCCACAACACCTCATTAACCTCGATTTCGGATCCATCGTTCGAGATCAGCTTGAGAAGCTTGTCCTTGCCCTTTCCGTCCCGCACAAGCTGCACTTCCTTGAAACCGGGGTGTTTCTTATGAACAGTGATACCCGTAGCCTCATACCGCTCCGTCATAGTCTTCTGGATCATGGGGTCGAACTTGCGAAGGAAGGTCTCGCCACGGATGAACATGTGAGTGTCGACGCCAACGGCTCCCATGACACCAGCTAACTCGACAGCGATGTATCCGGCACCAACCACGGCAATCTTGGGGGGCAGTTCCTCGATCTCAAAAAACCCGTCGCTGGTAATACCATGCTCAGCTCCCTTGACATCGGGGAGCTTAGGGCGTCCACCAGTAGCGATCAGGATTTTGGGTGCAGTGTAGCGCACCTTGGTGCCATCTTCGTTGGCGACCTCAATCACTTTGGGCTCGACAAAGCGGGCTCTGCCGTGGACGAGATCGATGCCCTCGCGGTTCCAGTTCCGCTCGTAAGCACCATTCAACCGCTTGATGGTAGAGTCCCGGAGATCCTTGAAATGACGGTAGTTAATGTTGACATCCTTCGGGACAGTGTATCCGTAGTGTTCGGCAACGTGGAGCGTCTCGTTGACGGATGCGAAGTTCCAGGTCATTTTCTTCGGCACACAGCTGCACATTACAGTCAGTCAGACACCATCATTTCCGCCACCGTTATGAGCAATACACGGTAAACCTACCCGACATTGACACAAGTGCCACCCGAGCGTCCACTTTCCACTATCAATGTCTTTGCGCCATACCACCCGGCTGCCCGGCGTCCACTGCCGCTACCACCACTACCACCTCCGAGAACGATATAGTCATATTGCTGCGGCTCCACGGGAGGCATCTTGTTGGATTCGGACGTCGCGGGCGTCGACGAAAAGTGTCGGGCGAGCGAAGCGAGACGTGAGCTAACGGCGGTTGAAGAGATAGGGATCGAGGAATCCAGAGCGGCTTTAATCGGGGTCCCGCTAATGGCACACCGGTTCACAGCGGTAGAAATTGCTTTTCTTCCAATTACCTGGGGTACAATCGAAGGCGACGATGGGGATCGAAGAAGCCGTTGCTTGAGAGCGTGAACTGGGAAAGAACGGGAAGAGGAGCGGGGGAGCATGGAGGCTTTTTGTGAGTGAGGGAGTAAGCGGAGGAGGGGTGGGAGGGACAGTAGTAGTAAAGGTATGAATGGCTGGCTTCTTCTCTGGCGGGGAATTCGGATGCCCTCCCTCGGTCACCGGATGACGTCGAATCACAACACGTTTGGCGGAATTTGTAATATACGACTTTTATAATACTATCGCCACCCAATGGAGAAGACTCTGGTCGAGTTTATTTCCTGAGTGGTGAAGACCTAAGAATGACGACCGAAAAGAAGGGAAAAATTACACCAAACGCCGAATCAGCTGCCCTCAAAGGCCGAGATCGGGATTTCATCATCCCTTTAGGCCTGACGAACGATGCACGTGATATCTGCGGATTGCTAAGCAGAACTTTTAATAAGTTAACTATAATTATTAATGTCAAAGAAAGAGAGACTCATTGTACAAATGCTACTGGGTGAACAAAGATAACAAGGGTTGAATATTGTTCCTAGATAGATAGATAGTCGTTATAAGGAGGGCATGGCGTTAAATCACGTCTTAATTCATAATACATGAGGAAATTTCAAGATACTATGACGAACATCACCGGGGTTGGTGCTTTGGTTCATACATCCACACGACCGAAGCCGACAGAGGACCGTCGGCGCGGCCCTTAGACGTGAAAGCTGTCGGGTAAGAGGCGCCTGCGCCAGCAGTCTTCAGCTCATTTGTGCACTTCCCATAAACCTTTGAACCCGAAAATCAAAGCAGGAGAGGGATAGATGCATGTATATGCAAAGCATAGAGATCTCTAAAACCTGAGTTATGTGATTCGTCAGGACTGTAAGGAGATTGTGGAAGGATCATCGAGAAGAGGACTGCCTGGAACGGCGTCCAACGCCACCGCATGGAGTGCCGGCTTATCGGAGTCCTGTAGCTGCCCGTTGTGGCGACGTTCCAGCATCTCCTTCACCCAGTCCGCTACCTCCTTATCTTCCGTGACAGAGGAATGGGTGGCCCCATCAGCCAAGGAGGCATCATCCCTGTCTGCCTCCTCGGGCGGCTGCATCAGGGGCGCGATCCAGGGATGCCGAAGGAGCGTATTGTATGCAGGACGATTGTTGGGATTCTTATTTAAGCAAGCACGGACGAAGGAATGCGCTTCGTCGGAGTATCCAGTAGCTGGAAGGGTAGGGGGTTCTCCGTGCACAATAGCCTAGTGAATCAAAAATCAGCATGTTACGTACTATCCAAACAGCGAGGTAGAACAGGGGGTTACTCACGTGCAGTTGGCTAAAGATGTTGTTGAAAGTTTCCGGCGGATATGGATACCGACCAATGGCACATTCAATGATGGTCAACCCTAAACTCCAGATGTCACTTTGGACACTGTACGTCCCACCGCCGCTCGCTCCAGACTGCTGGACGCCGCCACCAGCAATCCGTTCGGGCGCCATGTAGCTCTGACAACCAATGTTGGTCTTGGCGATACTGGCAACCAGGTTTCCACTGACGCCAAAATCACAGATCTTGATCTGCCCTCGCGAGTTGACGAGAATATTGGTGGGTTTGACGTCCCGATGGATGATGTTGTGGTCGTCTTTGAGTGTCTTCAGTCCCATGACAGTAGATAAGGCCACCTTGCGGAGGATGTTCTCCGGTACTCCATCCTTGTAGAGCTTGTCAATCGAACCACCATCCATATACTCAACGCAAATGTACACTGCCCCCTCCTGGAAAAAGGCACCGTAGAAGTCAATGATAAAGGGCGAAACACAGCGATGAAGAATCTCCAACTCCATGATAATCTGTGCAAATTTATTTTCATCCAGCTCCAAGCGGATCTCTTTCATCGCCATGATGACTCCGGAGAGATTATCCTGAGGTCCATCCACCACGGAAGCTTCCGGCCCTGTCGGACGACTGACGATGCCTCTCAAACCCATGCCGGGTTTGCGCATGTGCGGCCGACTGTGTCGGACCTTGTAGACTGTTCCATAGTTGCCCTTGCCCAACTCATCGAGGCGATCCACTTCGTCCAGTGAAATACTGAACTTGTGTCCGGACGAGAATTCAATTCCGCCGCCGTGAAGAATTGCCTTATTTTTGAAGTTCAGCGTCCCGGACTTAGTGTCAATAAACTCGGAATATTTACTAAAGGCGGTTTCCGGGGCTCCTGCAGTTCCGTTGGCAGGAGACGGGCTCGCGGAAGCTCCATTGGTGCCAGTAGCATCGGACAGTTTCAGGCCGGGCTTCATCCGTTTCGCAGCCAGGCCACCCGGCTTCATGGAATTCGGACTCGGGGTCGAACCGGGAATGGACGGAGACGAAACCCAATTTTTGGTGCTCGGGCGGGGAGGAAGCCGGCCGGCGAAGGCACCTGCCAATGGACCATTCACAACCGGAGGGGATTGTCCCCCTGGACTCGACAAACCCGCTGCGGGCACTCCCCCTCCGGGGGTCTTGGGCAGCGTTCCAGTCGAGGCCGTATGAGGTAACGTCGGAGGGGCGCCTTGCCGAGAAAGGGAGAAGGCCTTCATTTTCGCCAAAATATCCTGGTTCAAGCCACCTTGTGACGCACTACTCATGGAGGCCTGTGGACGAGGTGGTGTCGCTACACCTCTTCGAGCCGCATTGATCTGGCCCAGGTGTGTCGAAGACGCGGTGATCCCGGGAAGCTTATCGGACGGGCGCAAGGAAGGCACTGATGCGGGGGGAGTGGTCACGGAGGGCGAGTGGTCATCGTCGGTCGTATCGGACCTGTTGTCCAAGTCGGATCTTGAAGGGGGGATTCCCGCTACAGGGTCGATCTCGGATGCCATTGTGATCATACGAGAGCGTAATTGTCAAGGTACCGTCTCCGATTCCTTCAGGCGATGTTGCGAAGTCTCGAACTGTCGGACATCCAAGGAAGAGAACCAATATTACTGCGGTCGGAAGAGGTGCAGAATCGTCGCGGGTGGCCCGATCCCGAGAAGGGGGGGGGGAGGAAGGTGGTAGAGCTGAAGAGAGAAAGGCAGAAACGTTTCGAAGGACGGCTGGAGATGAAGGTTTGTTCTCAACGCGGGGCACGATTTAAGCCATTCCCAGAATGATAGATAACGACCTCGGAAGGAAAGGATATTGAGGGAGGTGGAACCCGTTCAAAGAAAAGAATAACGAACAAAGAGCAAAGAAAGAAAGAATTAAGAAAACCGATTGTTCCCGATTCTGCTTAGCTCCTAGTTAGCGACAAGAATCAGAAGCAGTAGAAGATCAGAAAAAGGTATAAATCAGTATTGGGAGCGAGGAGTGGAAAAGAGACACACTAAGAGGGTAAAGTGGGGGGGAGAGTAAGAATACGGAGAAGTTCGAATGAGACCAATGGGGAAGTAAGAGGCGAACTAACATCAGGTAATAAGGGTACTAGTAAAAAAAAAAAAAAAAAAAAAAAAAAAAAAAAAAAAAAAAAAAAAAAAAAATGTGAAAAGTGAAAAGTGAAAAAAAAAGGGTTTGCTACTCAAATAAATCATAGAAATGGAAAGCGGAAGTTCCCGTTGCTCACTCTTTTTTCCTTTTTTCTTTTTCTTTTTCCCTTGCCCTGCTTTTGTTTGCTCCTACTACTGCTTACTACCAATAAGTTGCCGTGCTGGCACCTCAGGCAGCCAATGGAAGAATGTCGGGCGCAGGGAATCCTTTTGACTACTTTTTGTTTCCTCCCAATCTAGCTATCCTACTTGCCAACGATCGGCAACTGTGGTGTACTATAAGTCGTAGAAGACTTTCAAACGGGATGCCAAACTAAAACCTAAAGCTTCCACGGGTTGAACTTGTGGCGAGCAACTTTATGTCTGCCTGACCATGAAATTCATGGTTTCATCGATTAAATTAATTAATTAATTTGCCACTGAAAGTCGCCCGACGGTTTTGCCGAAATGTGCATAATCTTTCAGGTCTCAAGTTCATATTTTTATTTTTCTTTACGCAATCTTGATACAAAGTGGAAATGATGGGGAGAAAGTCAGCTGATTCTTCACTCATTCATTCGGACCTTTGCATACCCCCTGGTCGTAAAGAAAATCTACTACTACTCTAGTAAAATCCCAAACCATGTGGCAAACATTGGGCAGCGTTTTGAAGAGACACTCGCCCTTCTAGTATAACAGACGGAGATGGATCCAATTGCCCAACGTCTCGTCTCGTCTCGTCTCTAACTCTAGGTTCCAAAGTGACAGCAATTCCCCACCGTTACCCTTATTCCGGCTGAGAATGAGGTCATGATTCAATTGATGATCGACAATACACCGCATATACCAATTCTTAGGACCTTCCTCCGCTATGGTGTCAGGGCACGTGTGTTCACTCAGGTACATGCCAACGGCCGAAGATGATTGGACGGGCCGCCATCAACCCAATAGGATCGGATATCGTGCACTCATGATTTAAGGTTGTGGATTTCCAACGTTCTTATGGATTAATACACTCGGTTGACAGTACGCATACATGCATAATAAGATATCTGGTATTCCCTTCCTCAATCTTCTACGTTTCCTTATCAACTTGTCTGGTACATTCATCATGTCCAATTCAACCCTACCCCCGCCCCCTCCCTTGCAATGATCACCTTTTGCAATGATATCATCTTGTTGACGTATACCCTCACCTTCAATTTCAAATGTTCTATGGCCATGTCAGTGTGGGATCATCCGCCTTGTAGTCCCGACGAATCAATCCAGGACACCTGCAATAGCGGGCTCGGAATGAAATCTGTTGTTTGATGACAATGGCCACCGATAGTTCCGTGCATGATGGCTGGCATTCTGGGGGAACAATGACAGCCTTTAGGTGCCCTGATTTTATTACGGTCCGTTGTATGAGGCTTGCACCATACTATCGTAATCTATCTGCAAACGATACGCGAGCACTGCCCGAGGCTGGATATCAGTAACCCCTCCCATACACTATATATATATATATATATATATATATATATCAGGTAGACCACAACTTCAGACACAAGGATATGCTTCTACAAGTTGACAGTTTATACCGGCTGCTAGAAGAACACACGACCACCTGTTGAGACTACTGCGTTCTTCTTCTTCTTCTTCTTTTTTTTTTTTTTTTTGGGGGGGGGGGGGGGGGGGGGCGCGTTTTATAAGACTTCAAAACTACACTGTGAAAGCCCCCCAAGCTTCAATACGCACCAGCTCTGATGAAGCTTCTATCGATACGGTATTCGGGGTATCAAAATCAACCCACAGGTTAGTTCTTTTCTTTTAAGTTATACGGGGAAAGGGTTATGCTCTCCGTCCGTGGGTTGAAGCCACTTCTGTCGGGTTTGGGTGGTATATATTACGCTCTCAGGGCCAAATCAGAGCCAAGCCCTAATACGCTGGAACGATCGATTAACTCTTCGGATGCATCCAATCGTAGCCCACAGTTTCCCCAGTCACATCCAAGCATCCAGTAAGGTACTGGAATCACTTTCAATCAACGTTTTCTAGTCGTCAACAAAACGTACGAATTGTTTTATCGACGACGATCCCCGAGGTTCCCACTGTGGCGTCATCTACTAATCGAATGAGGATCCGGGGATGATTGGCTGTTTCACATCAACACACCAGCTCAGCTTATCTCACCTGGTGTCAGACTTGAAGACCAATGAGCAGTCCACGAGACACACCGTGCGATAGGCCAACGGCAAACCTAGCTTCAATGGCTGCCAAGCCTTTCCTATATGTAGGGGGTTTGTTCAGGTATGTGTGAAGGGTGCAAAAATGAACTTCCCCTCACCTGAGACAAGATAGAAGTATGCTTGTCGTCCGTCAATTAGGACTTCTATGGTTGAAATCCAGTGTGGCTGACGCAAGGAGACCTGGGGATGAGGCAATCATATCGAGAGAGATATCTCTTGGCGGCAGAGGCTGTGTGATCTTGGAAGTTCTTGGTACCGAGAAGGATTGATTGCCTCTTGAGTACCTTTTGTGCCATTGGGGTCTCCCAGGTCCTCCGGAGTCGTGGTGGTGCAGCAATTGTGTAGGAGAATATTGAGCAGGGACCTTGTAGTTAGCCAAAGGTACCTTTTGCCAACTAGAACAGGATTTGTAGGTGGAAAAAAGGTGATGAAATCCTGGGTCTTGGCGTGCTTCGTGATCGTCCCCGTCCCTGTATCCAGCCAATCAGAGACCTTATCCTCGTCATTCAGGTCTTCTTCTTCCGGGGTGAAATGATGATTTACTTGTTTGCAGGAGAACAGAAAGAACCCAACACTGCCACTTTTCCTTCGTTTCGTTCTTGTCCTAGGTTTCTCTTATCAGTCACTTCGGTACTACCCTATATTCCTCCTAGGTTTTCACTGCCATTTTTCCAGCTTCCATTCCTTGCCTAGAGCTCCAACCTTAAATTTTGCAGGTACCGCCCAGTGACTTCAGAGTACGTCACGACAGGCTCTCTCCACTTACAAATTCTCGTCCTTTTCCGTTTTCCAACCAAGTGCAACAAGCCCGTTGTTTCTTCGTTCGATGGCCATTTTTACTGCTCCAACCTCCTTTCAGAATGCACAATCGCTGGTCCCCCGTCAGCTGTTAACCCAACAGCGACTAGGCGTGTCGCCGTCCATTCTCGGCAATCTGGCCCCCCATTCAAGCCATCCATCCTTCGCCCACCTGATCCTTTTGGTCTTCGAGGCCGTCCTGGAAGTTGTTTGTGTCAGTTTGCCCGGTTACATCGCCGCCAGACAGGGCCTGTTCGACGCCGACGCCCAGAAGTTGGTCGCCAACCTCAACGTCAACCTCTTCACCCCGTGTCTAAGTATGTGCGCTCACAATGTACTTTTCCAGACTCTCACTGACTTGTCGCGATCATAGTCTTCACAAAGTTGGGGTCCCAACTCACCGCGGAAAAGCTCATTGACCTAGCCATCATCCCCGTCATCTTTGTCGTCCAAACCCTGGTCTCATATCTCTGCGCAGTTGGCATATCGAAATGTTGTCGCTTCAAGAAACGGCCGGCCAACTTCGTCACGGCCATGGCAGTACGTTTGGGATCTGTGTTGGCGCAGCCTTTTAAGATATATGACGTGGTGCTAACTCCTTTCCGTCTATAAGGTCTTCGGAAATTCAAATTCGCTTCCAATCTCCCTGGTCATGTCGCTCTCACAAACGTTGAAAGGCCTTCATTGGGATAGGATACCAAACGATAATGACGACGAGGTGGCGGCGCGCGGGATCCTATACTTGCTCATCTTTCAGCAGCTCGGCCAGCTCGTGCGCTGGAGTTGGGGCTACCACGTTCTCCTGGCTCCCCGAGACCGGTACCTAGAGGAGGGAGAAAGCGAGGGGGGAACAAGTATCGAACAGGGCCAGGAGCGATACCGTGACAATCCCGAGCAAACGGATCCGGATGAGCCTTTAATCAGAACTGGATCGTCCGAGAACCTGGCGGATAGTTCCTCTGCCGACTCGCACGACGAGGGGGTATTCCATTCGGGTGAGCAGACACCTGTGCTGATACGCGCCTACTCGTACACAAAGCTATCTCAGCAGGATGGGGAGGAAGTGCATATCCACCACCCTTCCCTGCTTGGTCCTCCGCCCCGTGGACCATTTCTGCCCCGCCAAAGCACTGGGGGCGATATTCTATGCTTCCCTAGCGTCGAAGTGCCCCGTCGAGACACCGGAAAGCCAGGGGGGCTCAGCTCACGACTAAAGACATTCGTAAGTCGCTTCTCGGATGCGTTGGGGAATCTATCAGCATCTATATTCCAGTGCCTACCGACACCCGTCCAGAAAACTTTATCGGGCGTTGCGAATTGGATCGGACGATTCTTCCGTGGGCTTTGGGCCTTCATGAACCCTCCCCTTTGGGCAATGCTGGTGTCCATCGTCGTGGCATCTGTGCCCGCGCTCCAGCGTCTCTTCTTCGACGAGGGCACTTTTGTGCAGAACTCGGTGACCCGGGCCATCCAACAAAATGGTCAAGTGGCCGTACCTTTAATTCTGGTGGTGCTCGGCGCAAACCTAGCGCGCAACACGTTGCCTAAAGAGGCGCAACAGGACCTGGAGCATCCCAAGGAAGAGAAGAAGTTGATCATTGCGTCTTTGGTGGCGCGCATGCTTCTTCCGACCTTGATCATGGCTCCTTTACTGGCGCTTGTGGCGAAATACGTCCCGGTTAGCATTTTGGACGATCCGATTTTCATCATCGTCTGTTTCCTGCTCACGGGCGCCCCGTCGGCGCTGCAGTTGGCCCAAATCTGCCAGATCAACAATGTCTACGTGGGCGCTATGTCAAAATTGCTGTTCCAGAGCTACGTCGTTTGGTATGTGACATCTGATCCTCGTCAAAGCGAGCGCTTACTAACCTTTGCAGGATCCTTCCTTCTACTCTAATTCTTGTTATGTGTGCCATGGAAGTGGTGGAATGGGCGACCGCTGCGCCCTAAGTTTTGTCTTCGTGCTACGAAATTGACTCGCTTTGCTTTTTATGACTTGGTGTGCGGCGTTCAACATGGTTTTTACAGCTTTTCTTAATTTATGTTATTTGGTGGCTCCGTTTGCTTTACCAGACTGGGAAATCGGTCACTGGGTAGGATAGGATACATTAGGAACGGGCAACCCGACTACAGGTGGCTTAATGCAGAGTTCAAGGATTTGAACGTTTACAAGCATTCACTTCTTTCTTTCTATTCCAAGCTATCCAAATAGCAACCTCCAACGCACCGATCTTATCATACAAACCCCCACTACTAGCCAATAGAATCCCCCACATCAACCACCATCGCCATCCCACTCGCCAAATGCCACACGATATGACAATGAAACAACCACACTCCCGGATTATCCGCCCGGAACCGCAAAACTGCATACCCCCTACTCGGAATATACACCGTATCCCGAAGCATCGCCCGCGAGAGATCGTACCCAGACCCGGGTTCTAAACCGGGCGGATCAGAATCCACAAACGGATTATACGAGCCCCAGCCTATCGAGGCCTCGTGGACCCTAAGGACATAGAAATGGTGCCCATGCTAACTCCATTAGTCACTAACTCGAAAACACAAGGTGGGGGGGTGGAAGGAGAAGGAGTGAAGAAATTCTAACCAGATGGAACGGATGGCCCCCCTCATCTAGGTTATTCACCACCAGATCGATCCATCCTGCGGCCTCCGTGGCGAACGAGAATTGGTTCTCGTCCCATTTGTTGCGCGGGAGGGTGTTTAGGGGCTGGGACTGTGGGCGCCATGAAGTGCGGTTGAAGAAGCCGTTGGGGATGTTGTGGTTTATGCTTAGTTTTTGGATCTTAGTGTAGATTACGTGGGTTTGGCTAGCTTTTTCGGGAAGTTGGGAGAGGAGCGAGGGCGTTGAGGGGGTATTGTGGAGGTCTATCTGGCTGTCTTGGGGGAGATTCTCGGGAAGAGGGGAGTAGGAGGGTGCTATGGGGATTGTTTGGGTGGGGGTTAGGGCTGGGTTTGGGAAGTTGAAGCATCTATTTTTCGGTCCTTTGTCAGGAGGTTTTATAGCTAAGATTTGGGGGGGGCGGGCGCGGTGGGTACATACTCTTCGTCTAGGTGGATTGTTAGAGACGTAGAGTTGTCTTTTGGAGGCGGGAGGATGATGTCTATGCGTTGACCTGGGTAGAGGATACCTGCTGAGGAGGCTTGTTGGGGTTCGATGTCGGTGCTGTCTATTTGGATGACGGTTAGGTGGTTGTTTGAGAATGATAGGGTGAATCCTGCTAGGGAGCTGGGCGTTTGTTAGTTGTTGATCTATTTTAGGGTTGGTAACGTAGATACCCGGTGTTGACCACGCGCAATCTATAAGCTGTTTCGATATCTGTTAAATATGAAAGGTTGTTGTCTTGTTCGATACAGTCGACTGGTCGAGCAGGCACGGCCATCGAACAGTTGAAGTTGCCCATTCCGTTGATTAGCAGCGAGTCGGGCGCTGGCTACGTTTGTATAAGTGTCAATGCGCACGGTAGCATGTAAGCACTGAGATCGTACCTCATTCCCGAAAGAGTCAATGCTCATGTACCAGGCTAAGACCTGGTCACCAGACCGATGGTACCAATCTCCAATCAGGAGCAGAAACTCCCTCTCGTAACCATATGGGACGGACTCGACGCTGTGACGGGACATGAGTCCGCGAACAGTAGCTCTGGAAGCAGGGGCATGCACGACAAAGCCACCGTATAGGCCATCCGCCCTCGACGTCCCAGTATGGCCATGATACCAAAAGGTGCCACTTTGATCATGGGGAATAGTCAAGTTGTACATGAATGTGGATCCGGGGGGGATGGCACTTTGTGTCACTCCGGGAACACCATCCATTGCGTCTAGAATGTCAGCGCATGTCTTTACTATTACAATGTGATTAAAAGGATAGCATACTGTGAATATGCAGTCCATGCCAGTGGATAGCGATTGACTCCTCTGGCAGTGCATTGGTGACGTTAATGATAAGGGTATCACCAGAACGAGCCTCGATAGTAGGTCCCGGAAAAAGATCTTTCCGTTGAATTGAGGTCAATGTATATACTATATACGGGTGGTCTTCTGCGGAATTGAAATCTTACCATTGACGAGATAGACCCGTTTCGATACCCCGTCTGGTCGAAGGTGGTCGGCAGTAACCACCCAGTCGAGATGTCGTGTCACCGCGCTCCGATAAATATGGTCTTCGGGTTGAAGTTCTATCCTCGGGCGGGACAAGTCAGGGCTGTGTAGTTTGGGATGTAGCGTTTCTTCATGGTGAGTGCCAGGTAAGGGGAGTACAGAGCGCAATGGGTCTGGCGCGGAGAACTGTTGGAGGAAAAGCAACACGATCAAGATGCATACAATCAGCGGACAAATCAGAATGCTGTAGGGCCAATCTTTTGTTGTCCTTCTAGGAGGTGCATTGGAAGAGCCAGTCTCCGATCCCTTCCGGTCTGTGATCTTCGATGGTTTCGATTTTCGGCGACTGGACTTTCTCTCCATTGTCTGCTTGGTACTTTGTAGCATCGAGGATCACTCGGCTTTCGAATAGCCTTTTTTTAAATGGTTAGCACGTTGAATTGCATGGCTCGCTTCTGATAGTGGGGGAACGTTACATGAAATATGTAGATCCCTCATACTACCTGCGTGGAGTATGCATGTTGTACAGGCAGTGACTAATGAGGAACAAGAGAAAATAATCAGATGATCGATATTATCCATGTCATTTATATAGTTCACCAACACTGATGGTCTGTGGAGTGATGAATCCTTCACGATAATTTGTCTGCAGGTCCATTTTCGGCTCATTTCGCCCCCGTTCTCACGCTGATACCCTGGATGTTTAATTAGGATGCATAAACTCTTGTCCTCCTACCATTCCAGGAAATAAACTTCGTTTGAGGATTGACCAAGTAGCGCTTGAATAACCGTTTCTATCGTATCAACGTTAGCCAGATCTGTATTGTAGCTGTCAAGGAGACGGGATACTCGGGTAAGCTTTGAGGGGGTTCAGGAACAGGTGATCTTCAGGCACTAACAGATAGCGGGAATTAACAGGTTGATGGCCCCATAGACACCAAGTTTCAGCCATCCAACCGAATGCAGCACGTGCCGGTCTCAGTTCTCTAACCGAGGAGTCCAACGAATACTAAATGACGACTCCGCATCATCTCACCTCGCCATTGCAACTGTGCCACGGCCTAGTGTGAAAGTTTGCATACCGGTTAGATTACTATCACTTCCAGAGCGACAGATGGAGCTTACTATTGGCGATTCTGCTGCATCTCAATGGCTCGTCAAATCCGATCTACAACCTGCATCACGTTTTGTTTGGCTGCATTCGACGTTTCTTTGACTAAACCTAGAAGGGTCTGTTGCATCGGCTCCTGCCGACAGAGGCATATGTAACCTTTAAGATATATTCATCGGCCAGTACCAAGATGATCCTTCACTCAAGAGTGTTTAGATCAACTCGGCGCCTATCGGATCGCATTCGAGACAGTGAACCAAGATGTCCATGCTGCTGGGCGTGACGTTGATCTCGCTCCTAGGGAGTAGACCTGCGAGTGCGGGTTCCTTGAAAGATATTGACCATGTGGTGATATTCATGCAGGAGAATCGAAGCTGGAACAATGTATGTGCTGTTTGACTTCTAGATCCTACGTTTTCCAAGGTATTTGACTGACTTCTGCTGTGCAGTACTTTGGAACTATGGCAGGCGTTCGAGGCTTCAACGACCCTAATGTACAGGTCAATGATGATGGATTGCCTGTCTGGTATCAGTGAGTTCTAGAGGTAGCGAATAGCCTTACGTCAAGAATAATGGCTGACTCGCGGTTATACTGGTAGAAAGGTGGACCCTTCCATGTCCAAAGATGCAAAGACTCTTCTCCCATGGTATTTGGGATACAAGGGTGGATACTGGAACGATGCTATCCAATGCATGGTAGCCGGAAGCAACGGCTACGAGGACAACCAAGCTTCACTCAACCACGACTTGAACACTAACTGGGCGCGGAACAACACCCCATGGAGCTGGGGATATCTCAAGCGAAACGATATCCCTGTTCAGTTTGCCATTGCGGAGGGCTGGACTGCTGGGGACATGTACCAAGAGTCGCAGATTACATCTACCAACCCTAATCGCGTCACCTTGGTGAGTGGCTCGGTGAATATCCCTGGAAGTCCCCAGAGGCCGGACCAAGGAGGCCCTTACATTGATAACAACGAAACGCCCGGGTGCGACAAGGACCGTATCAATTGCTATCCTCTAAAATGGAAAACCATCTTCGAGGTCTACGAAGAGGCTGGGGTCTCGTGGCAATTGTATCAGGAAAAGAATAACTTCGACGACAACCCCTTGGCTTGGTTCCAGCAGTACCAGAATGCATCTTCATCGTCTCCTCTGGCCACGAAGGGTCTGTCATACCTGGGCCTCGACGCATTCTACAAGGCCGCCGCCAAAGGAAGTCTCCCGGAGGTCAGCTTTATCGTTGGTCCAGCTGAACTATCGGAACATCCACCTTACATGCCAAAGGACGGTGCATGGCTTCAAAAACAGGTGGTGGATGCCGTGACAAAAAGCCCCAAGTACTCATCAACCCTGCTGATCATTAGCTACGACGGTATGGACGGTCAATTGTATGGGCGTATTCGAGCTTTGGCTAATCGGTCCTAGAAACGGGTGGTTTTGGGGACCACGTTGTTCCTTTCCATTCCCCAGAAGACACTCCAGGTGACTGGATGGAAGATCCCTACGGAAAGTTCGGAAAGATCTATGTCGGACCCGGTGAGTCTCATAAACCTACCCAGGACGGGATGACCGCCATGCTAACACACGGTGTCTGGCAGGCTTGAGAGTTCCTTTTTATATGGTTTCGCCCTGGACACGAGGCAAGCGTGTTTTCACGGAACATGCGGACCATAATTCACAAATCCTCTTCATTGAGCAATGGTTGACCGCCAGAGGATATAAGAACGTTCAGACACCGGAGATGGTGCAGTGGCGCCGGGAGCACATGTCGAATCTCGTGAATGCGTTGGACTTGGACCACGTACGTTTGTAGAGGGCACCCCTTTCGGTGTTACTGGGATGTTAACTAACATCTTCCATCAGCCTGATACTAGCCTCCCCACTTTGCCAGAAGCGCCGAAGCCCGCCACGATCCTGGGTAAATACGTGGGCACTTCCAACTGCCAAGCAGCTCACCCAGTTCAGAGACCACCCGTACCTTATGGCCAGCAGAGCAACACCACCGAGGCCCTGTGGTTCGAGGAAGGGTATAAAGAGGTAGTCGGTTATCTCACGGAGGGTCGCTACTTGGTCTTTGAAAAATCAGGCAATGCATTGACGAACGTGGGCAATGCAACCCGGCTGAGTAGCAGCCCCACTAGTACCGGTTACAGCGACAAGAAACAGCGATGGGTGGTCCACTACTCTGGCGGCGAACAGAGCCAGAAGTTTCAGATTTCCAGTGCCTTGGATGGTAAATGGCTCGGACCGAAAGGCACCCTGCTGCCAGCCGACCAGCATAGCCAGGCGGCGGAGGTAAAGATTGCCTTCCTTGGAAATGGTCAAGGATATACATTGCAATATGCCGACTCCACGCCTATCGTGATAAACGACCAAGGAGCGTTGGTTGGGCGAGAAAGCGAGGCAAATGGGGACGGCTATAGGATTTGGAGTGTGAGCTATCATTAAGTTCACAATCAGGAGGGCGGGGTGATGGCGACGACTTCCTATATGATATCAAGTATCGGAAATAGGAAAGGTGTTTCGTTACCAAACCGTTCTGGTGGGCTTTTAGGGGTTATACTGTCTCCGTAGCCGCCGGCTCCACTCATATCATTCTTTGGCACGTGCCAGGAATAGCAGTCATGATCGCAGGGACACCATAATTCATATACTGATGCTGCCCAAATATTAATTACCTGCATGATGCATGGGCAGTTGAAGACGAATGGCGTAGTACTTGATCAGCGTTCTTGGCATTCTGCACGACATTCCTGCCTCAGGCGCTGTTCCGGTGACCGTTTCCCCTCCTTTCATAAGTAGTCGCGCGTTTCCCCTCTTTTTTCTTCCCACCTTCATTTCACCACTTTTTTGACGGCAGTTGATTTCGATTCTAATATAACGCCTATGCGACCAGTATGACCCGTGTGGATGAACCAGTGCCCTTGCAACCTGCCATCCAGTATGGAACGAATAACGTTCTCCCCTATGCGACAAAACCTCAGTATATTTACCACGGGTGTATGTGTATGTGTTGGTAATCACGTGACACATGATTCTTGTTGGTAGCAGGCATCATGTATGATGATAAAAGTACTTTACTGATGATGTTACTTTACACTATTACCATAGCGACATGGCATTGTTATCTACCTATGCGACTACTGCATCGTACCTGATACTACTCATACTTCCGAACTGTGGGGAACCCTATGCGACAACTCAAAGCAAACAAGACCCAGATAATGGGAAATGGATCCTATCACAAAGTCAAAAATTGTCCCCGGTCGGCTTATCTGGGCCTTTCGGTATAGTAGAAGTGCTGACTGGCTGCGACCTTATTGTTAGGGGCCAATCAAGCTTAAGTGCAAGAACCTGTGGTTTTAAGAGAAAGAGGGAGATGATGTTCTTTTTGTGACTAAGTCAGTGGCGGACTTGGAGAATTGTTTGCCTCCCCCCCCATGGGACACAAATTAATAACAACATAACATATACCATATATGTTATGATGTTATGGTATGGACAGGATTATGAGTGGGTGGTTCGATCCAGCTTATTCAGTTGTTGGTTTCCCTTTCTTTTTTTGGGGGGGAGGGGATATTCCTGCCTGAGAAAGATGGTGGGCCAAATGTCACCTGAGACGCACTAGTCCGTCCGCAGCAGTGCAGCACATGTCCTTGTTCATTCCTTCACTGATAACGTTTTTTGTCTCTTTCTGGTCGCCACTCATTTCATTCTTCGATCATTCATTCATTCATTCATGATTAATCTGCTTTTCACCTCTTCATCTGGACAGGATTCAAGTTCACTGCATCCACCTACCAAGCCAACGTCGTCCAAACCATTCTTTCCACTCTTCTTGATCCGGCGTTGATCGCAAGTGGAAACTGTTGAGACGGAATCTCCGACCGTTGGTTCACCTCCTAATCGGAGACCCCACTTGGCAAAAAGGAATCCACAGTTATTTTTTAGAATTAGGGGTCCTTCTTTGCTCTCTGTCCACGTCGTCGAATCCCGCCAATTACCCAGTCTTTCTGCGCACTTCTGTCTCCTGTGGCCCGAGTGTTACCCCCGTGGGCCGCTCCGGAGAACCCATATATAATCGGAGTGTATCCAGCTTTCCCCTCTCCGGGTGTGAAGCTTGGACGACTTTCTGTCTCAGGGTCCCGTTTTGTTGGATCCCACTGTTGCGTGTCCGTGGATATGCCTTCCTTCACCGACCACAACGGGGACTCTGGTCCTGACATTGAAGGTAGGCCGAAAGTCTTTTTAGCTTTTCGCTTTCCTTTTTGAGCCAATGTAGTAGTAGAATTTCCCGAGGTTCTACTCTCGGATCAGATGATCTCATGCCCAACTGCGCCTTGGTCTATCCCCACCACCATCCTGATTGCTCTTCACTCACTTGTACCTCCTATCTGGGGCCAATAACATTCGTTCCCCCCTTACCTCCTGTCGTTCAGCCCTTCCCTACCGCAGCCTTTTGGATTATTGTATTTGATGGATTCTAATCAACCTGCAAAAGGATTCCAACCAATTTATGGTACCGGTCTCAGCATCTCGTCACTGCACAAGGTTCTCCATGCGAACGGCAACGGCAGTCTCGCCATTGCACCCGATGCCAAAAAGCAACACCCTGCCCTAAACAGAAAGGCAACCGCTCGCCCACCACATCATCCCACAGCGCCTTTAAGCAGTCAATCTAGTGCTATAACTGAGTCTGGGTCTCGGGATGAACAAGAAATGAAAAACGGCGAAGAAGATCCGCAGAATACTCTTTTCCACCAGGTGTTGGAATGGCTGCAACGTGAAAAGTCCAAGCGGAAGACCCCCAAAGCAAAAGCGCAGGCACAAACAGAGGGTTCGGGTAGTGATGGCGATGACGAGAACGATGAAGATGCTGGTAATAGGGAGGGCGTCGTTCTGGAGAGAACGGTCTCGCATGGCTACGATAATGTATTTGCCCTAGACAAGCTGGAGAAGATTCTCATCCAGTATGCTGCTTCGCGAGGGGATGGCAACGGGCCTGTGTATCCCACCAGGCGGTCTACACGTCGGCGCCAGGTGAAGGGTCTCCGGAGGGGCTCGGCCTCCGAGTCGGATTACCTAGACGGGGACTCAGCTGCTCCGAGTGTGGATGCAACATTAGACAACTCTAAGACGCTCGCGTACAGCGGTGGTGGCGCAGAAGATGAAAGCGAGGACGGTGCAAATGCCAGGCGGGCCCTGGACCGAGAGGCTTGGTTAGTGTTCAAGACGGAGATTGTACGTCTCGCGCACACGCTGCAGCTCAAGGGGTGGCGCAAGCTGCCGATGGAACTCGCCGGCGAGGTAGGAGTAGTTCGTCTCAGCGGTGCCCTAACTAATGCTGTGTACGTGGTCACGCCGCCTCAAAATATTCCTCCCCCCAGGGCTGAAGATGGCTCCTACAGCCTTGTACCCAGAAAGCCCCCTCCGTAAGTACTCAGACCATGCCTTATATGATCACGCTTTTTGACACCCCACCAGGAAGCTCCTTCTACGGATTTATGGGCCCCAGGTGGATCACCTCATCGATCGAGAAAATGAATTGCAGATCCTGCGCCGTCTGGGGCGCAAGAACATCGGCCCCCGAGTGCTGGGAACTTTCAATAACGGCCGCTTCGAGGAGTTTTTTGAGGCCCGTCCTTTGAACCCGAAAGAGCTGCGCGATCCTGGGACGATGAAGCAGATTGCAAAGCGCATGAGAGAGCTGCATGACGGCATTGACTTGCTCGATAATGAGAGAGAAGGAGGCCCCATGGTGTTCAAGAACTGGGACAAGTGGGTGGACCGGTGCGAGCAAGTTACCAATTGGTTGGATAAGGAGATCCAGTCCAAACACAACGATATCAAAGCGGTTGCAGAGCCTTGGCGGCGCCGAGGCTTTGTCTGCGGTGTTCCGTGGCCTATGTTCAGGAAAGCCGTTGATAACTACCGGAATCACCTCATAAGCAGCTATGGTGGCATGCAGGAGATCAAGCGTCAACTGGTCTTCGCCCATAATGATGTACGTCTCCCACGTTGGAGTCTCTCCGATAAACCCAAACTGACCAGGCAGACTCAATATGGTAATCTCCTTCGGATGGAACCTAGTTCTGAGTCACCGCTGCTTCGCCCCGAGAATAAGCACAAGCAGCTCGTTGTTATTGACTTCGAGTACGCATCCGCGAATACTCCTGGATTCGAATTCGCGAATCATTTTGTGAGTCCCTCTTTGCCACAGACGCTTGTTCTCTCTTGCTGACCAAATAGACTGAATGGTGTTACAATTATCACGACCCAGAAAGGTCCTGGGCGTGCAACAACACCGGCTTCCCCACCTTGGAGCAGCAGCATAGTTTCATCAGTGCATATCTGACACATCGCCCGGGCTTGGGCGTACGGTCTTCTCCCTCTATCACTCCCCTGATGCGGGCAGGGGAATCTGCCAACATCACAACACTCGCTCCTTTGGACCTCGATGCGGGTCCCGATGCGGACCAACAAAATTTGGTCGATGTCGAGAGGGCCCAGGAGGACCGGATGGAAGCCGAAATTCGATCGTTGATAAAGCAGGCTCGGCTCTGGCGAGTGTTCAACTCCGCGCAGTGGGTGGCCTGGGGCATTGTACAGGCGAAGGTGCCAGGAATGGAAGAGGGCATTGCAGCCGACGCCGCGGCAAACGGTCATCAGAACGGTGCCAATGGCTCAGAGTCCGAGGGGACACCTTCAACGGTCTCTACACCGGACGCCGATGCAGAGGAAACAGACGAGTTTGATTACCTTGCTTATGCGCAGGACCGAGCTCTGTTCTTCTGGGCAGATCTGTTGGCGTTGAACCTCGTTCGAGAGGAGGAGCTGCCTGCGGCAATGGTTCAACACATCAAGCCCCGCATGATCGACTACTAATATGAGCTAGCCTTAATCAATCCCTTGGCCCGACGCTGTCTTCAACAATCCGACAGTGCGGCATAACTGATATGACTCACGATGTACATACATACATTCATAGCTTTATGACACAGCATTACGGGTTATGCCACGAATACCATCAAATTGGTCTTGCCTGATCCGTTGCATCGCATCCATAAAAATACATTACGTAGCTCACATGGTATGTGTCTAAAACTACCAAAGGGTAACTAACAAAAGTTCAATTTGATAAGACGATCAAAAACATCACCGTCTCAATCTCCTCTCCGTCTCCCCCTTCGCCTTTTGAACCCACTCATCCACCTTACCCTCCTTCTCCTTCATCCCAACAACCCCCTTCAAAACCTCCCCAATAAACCCCACAAAATTGGACCGCCGCAACGTATTCTCCCAATCCCAAGCCCTCCTCTTCCTCTCCTCCCTCTCCAACAACTCACCATCCCCCATCTCCCTCGCCCGCACCCTCAAATCCCGCACAACAGCCATCAAATTAAACCTCGTCTCTCCCTCAGGATATCTCGCAATCCTCCTCTGCAAAACCCCAATCACCTTCTCCGGAAACTGCCCCGCATCACACTCCCCATGACTAATCGGATACGGCTGCAACCCATCCAACTCATACAACGTGCCCCCAACAGCCGTATATCCTATAAAATGATACACATCGCCCTCCTCATCTCTCGCGGTCCGCACCGTCTCATCCACGAACGGACTCGCCCTCGCAAACGCATTATGCGCCGTGCGGATCGTCTCCGAGTTCGAGAGCGCCTCGCCCCGCAGATCGGCCGGGAAGCCAGTCGTGAAGTCTTTGAAGCCGCGGAGCTCGGGGCCGATGTCGATTGGGTGCGGGGTTGAGGAGGGACTGTCTTGGTTGAGGATTACGGAGAGGATGGCTTGGGTGCCGCAGGCGTTTTGGATGGTTTGGGCGGCGAAGAAGAGGTTTTCGGGGGGATTAGGGACGTATGTGCCGTCTTGAGGAGCGGTAGTTGTAGTTGTAGGGGTTTGATCGCGGAGGTATTTAAAGAGGAAGATTACGCCGTAGACTGGGCTTTTTTTGATTTATTAGTTTTAGGGTTGGTTTGGGGTGGTGTGGTGACGGACCTTAGGGAGCGGATGGTGTCCGCGTCTAGGGAGATGAGTTCTTCGAATTGGACGCCTTTTACGCCTAGGTTTTCGATTAGGGAGGTGAAGACGCCCTGGTTTGTCTTGTTAATTTTAGTTTGGGGGGTGGGAATGGGTTGGGTAGGCTTACTTCGTCGGATTCGATTGTGCTCCAGCCGCCTGCGTCGGCCATTTTGGAGGGTTTTGCTGGGGGGTAGAGTTTTTCTAGAGTGTGTCTAGTATGTAAGGTGAGGTTATCTCAATGGGCGATGCAGAATCAATGGGCGAATGATGGGGTGTATGTTGGTGGATGAAGAAGCTTTTTGATTGCTGATGACGATATCAAAAGGGTTGGGTCGTGAGTGTTTGCTTCACATGCAAACAAGCTCCGGCGTTTCTTAGTAAGAGGGGAATTAATTAACTATTAGTGCCTGAGGCGACAAATGATAGTACATACAGTGTACACCCATACTTAATAAGTACACTTCATTCGTCTATTCGCGGTATTACAGGCGAAAGGGGTATAAATCATAAACTATATACATGAAACATGTATCGCATGTAAACGTAAGCAAACCATGAAAATTAAACATGGTCGACTTGGAATGAACGCTCAATCTTCATTCCTTGGTTCAGCGGCGTAATGCTCTCTGTGCTGACATTCTGCATCGACGCTTGGCGACCAGTAATGGTGGTGTGGTACCCGCTATTTATACTGGCCCAATGGCGCTGGCCGCCGTTGGTGACGTTTGATAATGGGTAGCTATTCTCAGTGGGACGTTTGCGGCTGCGAGAGCCTGATTTCGTGTCGCGGAGGAAGCGGAAGATTGGGCGAAGAGTTGCAAGAGAACTGGCAGTGATCCCCACGCCGGTTTCTATATTCGAGCATACGGACACGGGGTGGGTAGCGTGCAGAAAGTCGGCATGTTTGTAGGCGGATAGGTACGGTATGCGAGCGACGACAGTGGCACCGGCACTATTCATTGTGAGAAATCGAGCTAGCAACGTCAGCCTTGACTAGTGAGGACTTACATGCAGCCTAGGCCCATAATACCCGCCAGTGCAATCTTCGTTCGCCTATTCATCTGCAGATTCCAGACTATGACACATGGTAACAGTCCCAGGGTAAAATCGGTGGCGGCGGCCACTGCGCTGCCCAGATATGCAACTCCCACCAGAGCATTCGGATCGATACATTTGCCGCTTTTCGTCATACGGTTCCAGAAAAAGTCGACCGGTGTACACTCAAAAATGCTGACCAGGACAAACAACGCCCCGACAAGGAGGGTAAGCCCGCTTACCGTGTACAGGATCACGGCGTGAACTCGATTGGGAGTGATACGAAGAAGGGTCATTGCGATGGAAAGTTTTGCGATAATGGCCGTGACTAAGTAAAAGTTCTGGCCCAGCCACCAGTACTGCATTGAACGTTAGACAGCACAAGGAATGAATGAGCAGTTCGGCAGAGGCGCACCAGTAAAGCGTATCGAAGGTAGCCTGGTTTGTCCACAAACCAGTTCATCTCTTGTCCGAACCCGTATCTAGCACCAGCAAAAGTACAGATGGCAAATGCCAGGTTAAAAAACTGGATGTGTCATTGCTATTAGGTACAGTCAAGGCATAAGAAACACCAGCAGACATACCATGGCTACCACCATTGTGGCATCATCTTTCCCGAAGGCTCGCACAATACGCAATCGCACAAAGCACCTCAGGCACATCGATATTGAAGATATCCCCACGGACACCGCGGTAGCGATGATAATTGATGTACTGCGATAGTTCATCTTGATGACAGTATGGCGGTGCCTTATAACGAGCGACGAGACACTAGGAGAAGGGCTTTTCGTAGCCCACACGTTATACGCGCATATGTCGACGACAAAACTGCAGTGCACGGGGATTTCTGAAGGTAGCGGGGTCGAGCCTCAGTTATATAGCAGGTCGTTCATTTGGCATGGTAGAGATGGAGACCTAGGTAGCAATGATCATAGTTCAACCCAGGGGCCGAAATCCAATAAACTTCAATCCAGGAACAAGGAAGGGAAGGCAGCTTTATTTTGGCAGAGGACATTGAATATAAAGTGGGAGAGGGCACAATTTCCCTACTACCGAGCGGAGCCGTGTATGATGATCTGCAGATGCTTGAGGCTTTTTCTGGGACTGCCCAGTAATTGGGTCAAGTGCACGTTAAAACCAGCATTGGTTCCAAGCTTAGACGTGATTTGGCACAGCCATTGGCGGAAGCCTCAAGCGTGAACCACTTCTAGGTATGAATCGGTTCCAATATTAGGCTTTAAAAGTCAATTAGGGCATCTTATACAGATGTGGAGCACGACATATGTCAACAGACAGCGAAGTCGGCGAAGTTCCGTTAATGACAGGTAGTTGTGCCATGACTGGATGATTTGACATGCAGCGAAGGGTATCAGTATACCAAGTGACCACTTTCTAGCCTTCATTTAGAGCCAAATTGCATGAATCATAAATTACTTCAATTAGGAGGACTTCAAAGCTTAGTACTTACTAGTTATCAGATAGTGAACGCACATGCCGGAATGCTATGCGGGATCATCGCTCGGCCTCCACTTTCCCGGCATATCGAGTAGCTAGACCAGTAGATCCCCCTTTTTTGCTTTTTTGAGCACGAATCAGACTGAGTCAGTGACCTTTTACATGCTCCTCTTAGTATAATAAATCTGCACAACACCTCCACCCCCCCCCCCCCAACAAAAGTGAATCTGTTAGATATGATCGCCAACCAATGAAAGTAAATTAATCAATGGGAGTCTTGAGAAGGTGATGTATTGAAGAATGTCTTTTGTCCTAGAAAGTAGGGAACACGTGCCGCGCTAACTGCCGAGAGTCAGTCCAGAGCCGGGGGAAGATCACACGTACCCCCAATACCCCATAGGAAATGCGTGAAAAATATTGGAGTATCTTGCAAAGTCAATCAACCACATAGACCCAATGGAGCCGATTACCAATAACCGGCACCATCAACTTAATTATGAAACCGGCAGAACAACTAGTCATTCAACTGCTGTATTTTCTTCCCGGAGACTCAAATATATGACCATACTTCATGCCATTTATTGACTCCCTTCTGCTTTTATTGCTCTCCTCAATTTAACCCTTCCAAGTTGAACAATCCACTCATCATAGCTAGATTCTGTGTCGACCGAGCTCTCCCCAAAAATCCCTTACTTTACATAAACACCACTGCTGTCGGGATTGCGGCAGTAGTTACCAATCACTTAGGTCGGGTTTAACATGCCACACCAGCAGTATGTTGACTGCCAGCTCTCTACAGATAAGCGGCAGTACTATTATCAAATCTAATTGGATTTCCGGGGCTTTTTTGCTACCTCATTGCCCTAGCCATCTTCTAAAATCATACCACTTTCTCAGAGCAACTCGGAAAGTATGACGGACTGTGACGCTTTTGGCTATGCGCTTGCGGACAGGAACCTGACTAGATGTTTCCCATCCGGCACTTGTCTTATTTACGGTCATACGACACTATCAGTGCTCTTTCGAACGGCCTATATCTGAATAGTTCGGACTTGCCTCTGGCAATCAGTTCAAACCTGGAACCTTTGATCTCAATTTGAACGTGAAGACCGACAGACACCCTTTAGATACACACAGTTAAAATGAGAATTTACGAGAATGATTAGCCTCTGATATGGCTCGCCTGTTACCCTTACTCAAAATGCCTCCATACGCGTGCTCCAAATGTTAGGTTATGCGACAAATCGAGATAAGGACCGGACAGGGCGCTGTAGATGTTAGACGGGTATGGGGCAACAGTGCAGCGAGAATAAGATACCTCAGATGAAGTGCATTTCTCTCATGCTCTGGATCACGACATCACCCGTTCTGTACAGCCACTTCTAAGTTCCCGACTGTCCATGCCTCTCACTCCTGACTTTCACTGTCCTGGGAGCACTAGAGTATATCATTCAGAGCTCTCCATATAAAAGGCATGCATCGAAGACATTTCTAGTCATATAACTAAACGCTAGATCTTTGTCCGGCAGAAGCTGGCTATGGAGCACTGAGGTCTTCTGCAGGGGCTTCCGTATATAGGTGATCTTGTCTTACTGGTGACATATTTGTAGTCAGTAACTAGATCCATCGTCACTTCCGCTTTCCTGTATCCTTCTACATAGACCTCATATCAAGTGGCCGGATGTTCAAACGGTAGCAATATCAATCTCAAAGAGCGCGTTATCGAATAAACGATACGACAACAATTTCGAGTTCGAAAGCATAGTATACCTTGATCCGCAAATAGATACGAACATCCCTAGCTCTTCCAACGAAAAACCTATAACAGGTTAACCCCCTGTCGTATCCTATAAGTCACTACCTACTAGTATTAAGTAAATCAAATCCCTCAAAAATCACCCACAATTAAAAAGACCCCCACAAACCGCCGCCCAAGCTCTACCCCATAGGTACCACCAAAGCCCAAGCAACCCTTGGCCCTATACCAAAATCCCAATATAGCCCCCCTCCCCCTTGGGGCCCCACGCGCTTCCACAAACTAAAATCAAAACCAAATAAACCATAGGAAATTAAGTGCAGTCCTCCAACCTAAAATAAAAAACGAAAACCCCGACGTCAGATCTAAGGATCTACCGAATACGAGATCACCCGAAATAAATTAGCTTATATAAAATTCCAAGGAACGCATCGTGCCGATCACCATCATCATTGTGCATGATGGAGCTCAACAATCATACTAAAAGGAAATTAAAGGCTAGTTTGTGTTGAGATGACTTTTACTCGTTGCTAAATATATCTTAGGGTTGATTGATGTATGTAGGGATGGGAAATTAGATCTGGGGACGAGCGGATGTTTGTTGCGGTTCTGCACTGCCTCGTATCCCTTTCTGCAGGGGCGGTTGTTCTGTTAGTACTGACATATGTACATACTGGGGGTAGATAGAGACTAGAGGATCTCGCGTTAGATTCGACTAAAATATGCGAGATTCTAAATATATCAGCACGTGGTGAGGATGGATTTCCCACGGCTTTGTGCATGTACATACAGATACAGACGGGGATGAAACTCGAAACTCAACCACCGTTTCATGATCGTCATTGGGTTGGTTTCTATTAATAGCGGTTCTGATGAACCCTACAGGATTCAGCTGATCGGAGATATTTGATCAATTCAATGTACAGGTTAATTATCTCAAAGAAAAAACAAAAAAAAGAAAAATGAACGCCAAGCGGGTATATGATTTTGATATCCATATCAATCCATGCTCTCATGTAGCCTCATTCTGTCCGGTATCCGTGTATCACGGAAGCATATCGCAGGATTCGTAACGAATGTCAGGCATGTAAAATTCACAACAATTGGCACCATATGTGACAATGTAGAAAGAAAAACAACCATCCATAATATAAGAGTACCAGCCCTTCTATCCGTCCAATCCCATGTGAAATCCAAGCTCAATCTCATACCATATAAACAAAAATGCATCTCAGTGAAAGGGTATTGTGTCTGCGTGTTTTGGGGGGGGGGATTTTTTTTTTTTTTCATTTCCATTTTCTTTTCCCCTTATTTTGTATTTGTGGTTCTTTCTCCTTGGCGAGCCGAAAAGACTGTCAAGTGCAAATACTTCCCGTCCAGCACGGCTCCGCATTGCTATATCCTCCAACGATCTGTTGTGGCTCTCCATAGAGGTCCACATTCAGTCCAGCGGTTCCGTCCACCCGCGATAACTCTCCGCACACCATATCGTCGACAAATGGCGACGGGTATGTAGGCGACTGATGGAGCGTACTGGGATGGCCATAGTCACACAGCTCTTCTCGCGGGTCCGACAGTAGACTTGGAGATGGAGGGTAGAGGCTCTGGACGCCGGGAGCCGTGACGTAGGTTCCATTCACGTCGAATGAGGAACTAGCGATCGTCACCGCGGGCGGGGACTGGAGTGGCGGGGTGTAAGGTGCACATGTTGCAGTAGAGGAAGGAGAGGATGATGACGCCAAGGTGTAATCGTGCATATGAGGATGATAGGGACTGGCGGGAGGTGGGGAGTAGTCGAGTGAGGTGCGCGGCGACCATTGCAGACGGCTCTTATATTGGGCAACGATATGTCGAGGCAATTCCATGATTGTCGAAGCTAATTGTAGGTCGGGGTTAAACGGCTCCGTCATGTTTTTGGTAACAACAATCCGATAGATGTCTTCAATAGGGCCGACGGACAGCGGACCGAGATATGCGCCTCCCAGATCAGGGAACAAACTATCCAAAACCACACCAATACCGTAAAATTGAGCCAGGATGGCAAGGGCTCCGAGATCTGCATCTCCGCCTCGGAGCATGGCTGGGGGGAGCCAAAATAGCCACCTTCGCAACGGCTGCATCCGCTCGAAGGCCTGCTCTGGGGTCAGGGTCAGAAGATCACGCTGGAAATGGCGCACAAATTCAAGGAGTTCTCCGATCCGGCGGTAATGTTCGGGGTTGTGAGCAACCCGCTTCTGGACGTTCTCGAGGGCAAGGGTCGTTTGCTGGAGGCTAACGAGGTCCTCGTCCTGGAACTGGTAGCCCGTCATGACTGGGGCATTAGTACATCCCAGGTACCTTTGGTTTTCCAGGTACATGGCTAATTCCGATTCTTGTTTCCAGATGGGATGCATCGTATGTAGCACCGTTGTGAGGCCATGTTGCAAGGACGCCCAACTATGCCTAAGGAACCTGTTAGTCTTTGCCGTAACTGGATTTGCAGAATCACGTACCATTCTGAAGCCTGCCATGAAAGGAGGATGGAGGCCGCGAGAATGCCGTCACAATTGTCCTTCGAAAACGAGCCGATTGCCTTGTGCAAGCCCTGGATCGCAATCCCTCTGTGGTGATAAGCGAGTTGCTTGGTTTCTTTATTTCGCGTAATCCAGGCCAAATGTGACGCGGATAAGGTAAGAATGGAACTCATAACAAAATCATTCGTAAGTGCGATGGTAAGGAATCTGTCTGGTGTTAGCGGGACCATTGATGAAAAACGGACCCAGTTCCTCCACTTACGTTGGCATCTTCTGTGCCCAGATCGTGCAGTTGCTGAAGCCGCGGCGATGTAGATCGATGGATAGTCCGATGATATGGTGGATTAAACGAAGATCGGTCCGCGAGAGTTTGCTCCAACAATTGCGTGGGAATTGTACCAGTTCCGGGAACGGAGGCACGCCGGTAATGTGCCAGTTCTTGATTTCCATCTCGATTTCTGCGGACATGAGGAGATCGGGAATTTTCCGGGCGGTTGATGATTCGTCGTGGACGGTAGCGACATCCATATAGTCGCACCGGCAGTTATGTTTGGTACAATTCCGGCTACTCTCTCCGTCAGCCACTGCGCGTTTGCACAAGAGGACCCTACAGCAGATCCATACCATTGTGGAAAACTTTCATCGCATCGAATATGTCGTCTCTTGCATGTTTTGCAACCGAAACGAGACTTGGTATGGCTCTTGCGAGGAGGACCACCACCGGGACCAGCCATCTTGTCTCGAAGACAATGCAATGGTGTCTATGTGGAAGATAAGACAAGGCTACAGTGGGGTAGCCAAAGGATGTGTAGAAGGTGTAACAACACAACGAACAAAGCGTGACTAGACAGTGGACAATTTCGTCAAGTGAAATCACCAGGCAGTCCTCTCGGGTGATGTATTGAAGGGTGGATGGGGAAGAGAGGAGGGGGGAGATGCAAGTATATAGTGGTAGTGATAGCCAAGCCTAGAGATGCAGACTCCAAAAATAACCTCGAGCCTCAGCCCCAGATGGAGGAAGGAACGAGGAACGAGATGAAGAATATACGCACGTGGGGAATACGAGATAACGGCAAGGGAGGGGGATTTTTTTGGGGCAGATATTTTGACAGGAACAAGAGGAGTGAAAGGATTATAAGAGAGTGGAGGGTGATAATCAAGTCACAGTCAGGGCCAGTAGGCTTAATAGTCCAAGAATGCATGCAGCCTCTAGAGCTGAGGGACCACTCAAAATAAGGTAGGAGAGATTTAGATCAAACAGCAATTAATAATAAAATTAAAAGATAGAAATAAAAAAAATTTAGGGAATCAGTCAACGAAAGTAAAATAAAAGTCCAATGTTTAATTTAAAAAAAGAAAAAAGGAAAAAGAAAAAGAAAATTCAAGATCCAAAAAAGAAAAACCTTTAGAAAGTAGGGGACTAGTCAATTCTTCGGTGGGATACGTTCCAAAACGCCACGAGACGGCTGGTCAGATGCTGATCTCCTGAGAATGTATTAATCCACAAGCCTCTTTGGAGGATGAAAAAGAAAAAGAAATGCAGACTGTTCAAGGATAACTTTCGTAGAAGGGTGTGGGGATGGGGAAGACTGGAGACCAGAGAGATGGGAGGGGAAGAAGTACTATAACATTAACCACAATAGGAGCCCGAATTTAATTATTATTAGTAGTCCGAAGTAGTTGTAGGTAGTTCTGGATGGCCTGAAAATCATGGTTTTGAGCCTCTTCCCGTCAGTTGCCCTTCTGGATCTCTCAATCTTAAATGAAAATTAAATTAAAGAAAAAGAAAAAGAAAAAGAAAGAGAAAAGTCAAGTAAAATAATAAATCAAAAATAATAAAAATGCAAAATTTAAAATTTAAAAATAATAAAAAATAACGTGGATGGAGTAAGTACATACTAGCACACCCTACTAACTTAACTTAGTACCAACAAGGAATGTATGACCTGGATTAACCCACCCCCCTACTAAGGGAAGTAAGGGTTATAATAGACCAGATTAGTCAGCCTACATTGTTTCGCCGACCACATGGCACTCCTACCACCAGCTACTGCTAGTTTGCATTCTAAAATCCTCTCCTCTCCTCACCCTGGTCCTTTCTATTCCAAAAATCGCTAGGTCTTCCTCTTAGACCTTATTCCTTATTCTTTCAAAGATCTGAGAGAGAACTTCTTTCCGCAGCTTTCCATGTAATTTCAGATTAAATTGTTCCCAACTGAAAGCAGATGATCCATCCCCATAGCCTAAGTGGGACGGGAGTCACGCCAAGTCAGACTGCTGTAAGGATCTCTAGGTCTAAGCCTCTCTACCAAAGATGCTTGAACTCTCGTCCCGGTCATCGTCCGGGGGCCAAAGAAGAAGAACTGGTCGAGGAAAGTAAAAGAGCACCATGGAGATCGCTGGGACAACAGCAGCCAAAGTCGCTCAGCCATGGGTGGCGTATCTAAGCATGTACATTCTCGGGCGCGAAACCATGTGTAGACCACGTCTCATTGTTAAAATTGACCTCAAGAATGTCAGGTGTGGTCGTACATTGGGGTAGTCTGGACAGGGTCTGCGGGTATCGATTACCATAGCTTAGGTTAGGTTGACCCAGGAAATAACCCTGACGGATGGGGTTGGCCGAAGAACTACCTGATCCGGTAAAAAGACGTGGTGGGGGCGTCTTCTTTTTTTTTTTTCTCTCGCCTCTGTTTGGCTCATTCGGATTCTCCATACCTAGACCAGTCCTGAACGGGATTTCCTCTGTCCTGTGGTTCTCTAAAGTTCTCACCCACTTTTGCACTAAATTATCGGGCAAAAGGTTTTTCGATGACACACAGTGGGCAGACGGCCTGTCATTGATTGGTGTCAGATTAAAGTCACTAATCACATGGTTATCATTACTTAACGATCGGACTTTGTTAACTCTCAAAAGGTCCGATCCCAGGGGTAGCTTGACTCCAAAGTAGTTGATACCCTGTCCCCGGTCCCATGTGGGCTTCCCTGTCAGTTGTTACTGATATCCCAGAAATGGATTGGACAATCTGACACTGCGCCTCCTGCTGTAACAGTCAATCGTCATGATGATCTCCTTTCTGGTGTCGACCAGCGCCCTACCCTATAACCGATCCGGTGAAAGTCAACGAACATCCTCGCCTGAAGCGCGAAGAAATGGGAATAGAACACTCGACCTAGAAACGTTCGGTGAGAAAAGGGGAATGATAATCCATCTATTATTGGATTTGTTTGGTTCCCCACTAGCAGGGTTAGTAGATGATAGACTGCTGTTGTTTTTTCCTCCTGGTGCCTCGTGGATGTCGTCCAATTCAACCCAACCTCACTGACACCGATGAATCCTGCTGATCCGTCCGACTCGGGAAGTGTGAATCTGATGTAGCGAACGATTGCCTCATCAGGCGGACTGAGCGCACCGCTCATGGTGCCTGAAAAATCAATCAACGGAGATGGAACAGGTAGCAACCTTAATGCCCACCTCTATGCTGCTTATAGTTCCTTCGCGACGGTATAGCCTCCCAACGGGCAGTTTTTCCTTACCCCTGATGTACAGTTTGCAGTCTTTTCGCAATGCGCCGTTTTTATCCGACGCTAGGGGACGCACGTTGGTATTGCCGGTATCAAGCGAATACAGATACAGATCCATAAGAATCGTAAAACTGACAAGGTCTAAATTCGGGAATAACAACCGACCCTCTCAGCCAAAAGCTACTTCGGCCGGACGGGCATCTCCATCTTTTCCCTCATGACCAGAGCAACCCTGCCTGGGGTTTTCTCTGCAGCTCAACTCCTGTGCCCACGGACACCCATGCAGAATAAGCGATCATTCCGCCAAGCCACTAAGGCACCGAATCACCTGTCCAGGGTCACTGCGCATGCAGCTAAGACTTAGTCCCCCAACTAAGATTTAGATCGAGGCAGTAAACCTTCTAAGGAGCAGGCACGGAGCACTGTCGAAGTCGATGCCTTCTTTTTTCTTCCCCCCCCCCCCCCTATCTCAGAGACTAGTCTAAAATGTTGAGCCGCTTTCATTCTTCGACCAAACCGGTAAATTGCATCTGAATGTTCCCAATCTAGTAACAAGTGCGGCTGAGCCCACGGACGATTAGTGGGGCAGTGAGCCCTACGACTGTGAAGATGACCTCGCCCGCTGTCCTGGGATTACGGGTTTGAGTTCCCTCGGCTGGTGTTACCGTGGGTGAAATGCATGCGTAGACTGGGGCTACCGAATGACACGTTTCTTGGGGTAAATAGTTTTGCTAGTAAGACACAGAGGAAAAGAGAGAGACGGCAAGTGAGAGTGAGTAGGACAGTTTCAGCCTTGAGAGCAAAACCAGTGCCACACAATCCCAGGCGGCCGGATGAAACAGAGAACTCACCCATCAGATCCATGTCAAATTCGCTAATTTTAATCCAAACAGGAAACCGGTAAGAAGCTTCCTCATCTTATCAAAGAAAGATAGTGGGTAGTGGGCCCAGGTGGGCCATCGAGCAAACAACAATAATTTCAAGAAGAAGAATAATAATAATAATAGGGGAGCAATATGTGACTAAATCTAAAGCTAAAATGCGAATCGTTGTGAGAGTTTTCGGGGTCAATCTGATTGGACATTGAAAGGGTCCTGAAGGAAAGTTTCCAGATAAGGTAAATGCCCTAGAACGCTAAAGCGTCGAGGCTAATGAAGGCTTCGAAAGACTGCCAGTAAACCCTTCGGGGGCTGCGGTCCGGGTCCACGGTCGCGGGCGGCCGAGATTAAGAATCAGCGATCAATCATTCACGCATGGTCATTGGTCACTTCGGGTAGTGGTAAAGACACCTTAAATCTCTATCCATGGACGAAAAGCCTCGACCCAACATATGACGGCATTTCTAGGCTCAATCCCCCTTCGACCTGCATCAGTCGAGGAGTGCATGCGTTGCAAGTGTGTAACACAAAAGCCTCATGCCACGTTTTTCTTAGGGCAGGAGAATCCCTGAGAGGTGGGGAGAGGGGAGTCGCCGAAAAGGATGGCCGATGCTTGATCCCTGTCCATTGATAGCTTCCGAAAGGACCTATCCCATTTGTCCGGATAGCTGGAGACAAGCCCATTTGTGGCATCCATAGCAGCCAGCAGATGGAAACCGTAGGCCCCAACGGCATTTGGAACCAGAGCCACCAATGTCTCTCCCAGTTGCCAAGCCAGCCTTCATATCATAGTGCCCAGGTAGCTGGATACGGATAGAGATGGTTCAAGAATATTGGGGAGAGATGAAAGGGAAAGAACTTGGATGTGAGAGGGACGGACTAAACTGGCCTTCCTGTAGATAATGGAACTAACCCAATACTGTACAACGGACAATTCCGACCCGCAGACCACTGTCAACCAATTGTAACTCCCAAACCATTCTCCGCATTCGATTGAGGGCCCCAGGATCTCCAGTGGCATGATTGGCGAATGGGGTGCCAGCCTGTCACCCTTGGCGTTTTGTGCCAAGGCTGTCGCGAGATGCCACCTAACGGGGTTTAGCGGGCTGGAAGGGGAAGAGGTCACCGCTTTTTGTTCCCTGTCAGGGTTGGTCAACTTTGTTTAGAACTCTATTCGTTCTGCCATGAAAATCCATCTTAATAATAACTATTGTATTTTCAATGCGCCCTATCAAAGATGATGGTGACTCAAACGTTGCACAGGCATCTTGCAAGCCATGTGGACCGACTCGACTGGGTGTCGTTCTATTGGGTTTGCCTTGCTCGCCTTGCCATGTCAGGAGAACCAAAAAAAAAAAAAAAAAAAACAAAACAAAAAAGACCCCATGTACATCCCCATACCATACCCAAAATCCTGTACATACTGCTTCGAGTAGTTAAATGCGACCAAAGTTTAATATTCCTTCTTGGTCTGCTGTTCATAGTTCCTGTCAATCTTATTAATGACAGATGGTTGGATGCCTTTCAGAACTACGGTGGGTATTCAATTCGTCCAAGTTACTAGGCATACTCTGTGCTATACTGTATACATCCAGAAAACCTATCCTGGTCACTGTCTCACATTACTAATGTCGTCCTGCACTGTCACAGTGACAATGGTCGATATAACAATACCACTCTACTTGCAAATGCATGCGAGTATGATAGGAAGTATCCAAGTATACCATCGGCCCCACTCACCATACGTCAAGCATCGATTAAACTATCAGTTTCCGGACTAGTTGTCAAGGCAGCTAACTACTGAGGAATGAGGAATGCCTGGTCTGACGGCTTATGAATCAGGCGTGCAAGGACCTGATTTGAACATTGACTCATCCTTCCCTCAGTACTACCATCCCTATCCGATCGTAGCGTCATCGTGAGTGCCGGCCGTGATCTATGAGGTCAGTCAAAGCTGATTGATGCCTAGATCTCGGTCTTGATATCACCGGGCACACCTCAACAACAAAAAAAAAAAAAAAAAAAAAAAAAAAGTGTCAAGACAGGCTTGTAAATATCGCGTACCAACAATCTGCACAGATGGATTAATAACAAGAGGAGCGTGACCTCAGTATCCAGTGACCCAAGGTTAAATGTAGAACCCTATCTACCTGCATGAGAAAGGTAAGACAAAAATAGTACTAAACCCAAAGAGAGGCAACTCTAGACACCACAACTTGAAAGTCACCTTACCTTACCCAGGGTGGTAAGCAAACAAGACCCAAAATCTTGGTACCGTTAGGAACTTACTATGTACATACACTACTAGTTAGGTTAGTAGTTAAGTACTAAAGGGTTAGTAACTTGAAGAACCTCCGCCAATCTCGATCATCAAATGCCAGCATGACCTTACCCAATACAGCTTTATTCACGACGAACACATTCCTCTCCTAAATGCCCTCTGATTGGCCCAGCACCTCTTTCATTCTTTAATTTAATTTAATTTTTTTTTCTTTTCTTCTTTGGTTTCCCCAGTGCCAAGTCGCACACTAATTTCCATTATTAGCTCCCAGAAAGCTTTACTAATGTAAGTAATCTTACTAACCAAATGAAACTACAAGGGTTATCAAAAACCACCGGATACCAATTCCTGAACTCCGATCTTCAACGGAAACAGTCAAAAAGGGTCACAGCGGGCCCTTCCGTACCTTACCTAGATCAGTTTCATCTCGCGAAAAAGTTTCACATATGTAGATTCCTAGATACTACCTACTACTTAGGGCTCAGACCAGGAGATCGAATTCGCCCGGCCGGCGGGGACGACATGCCCATTTTCTTCAAACCGACGCGGAGGGTCTTGGCTTGGGGCGGAAATCCAACTTCTTCAACTATACTTAGAAGTTTTTCCGCAAAAAGTTTTTTTACTTTTTTTATTTCCATTTTTATGATTTTTTATGATTTTATGGGTTTTCGGTTTCCTTGCCATTTCTTTTCCCTTTTTTTTTTTTCTCTCTCCTTCTCTGCCCCTCTGCTTGTGGTGCGCTAAATGAGGATTTACCCCTGCTTAAGTTCCATATCTGGCTGAATTTCCGACTTGGCGGTGGTTGCTTTTATGTCAAGCGAAGGGCGCGTATGTGTGTGTGTGTGTGTGTGACTGCAGTGTCATCGATTAATCATGCTCTTTTTCCATAGGGCCGAGATGAAACGGGACGGGAAGGTGGGCACTGGCCCCCGCGCATGGCTCTGGCATTCCCATGCGAGTATGTTGCTATATTTGGGAGTAAAGTATGTTGTGTAGAGGGGGTTGTGAAAAGGGCAAACTGTGCTCCTTGTGTAACATTCTACTCGTGGCTTTTTTGGGCAGATCAGTGCGCGGACTAGTCGTGCTGGGTGTTGTTGAGGGCTGGGACGAACTGGTGATTTGGGCTGAGTGTGAGTGTTCTCGTGCGGTTTGCTCATGGATTTGGAATTGAGGGTTGGTTTGGGTAAGGGTTTGCGATGTCTGTAGCTGATATGTGCGTATTGTTGGTGGGAGTCTGGTGATGGTGGATGGTTTTGAACTATTAATGCGAACAATGTAGCGGTGGGTGTTGCTATAGGGCTAAAGTAGAGTTGTAGAGGAGTGTCTTTGCGGTTGGACTAAAGATACTCATGCTTTCGTACTTGTACATACGTCGAACCTTTCCAACATCCATAAACTCCTTGCAATAGAAGGTCCTACTCTTGTTATCTAGGGCATGAAGTTCAAACGGCGTGGTTACCCTATCACGACAACGTCCAATAGGATTAGATCAGTCGTGAGATTAGAGGTGACTCTCGGTTGGTTTGGTGTTCCACAATGGCTTCTAGATCACAGAGCTTTTTTGCAGATGAAGCTTCTCGATGCTCACTATCCCAGCCGTTGTTCAATCTGGTGTAATCTCCAAGCATGATAAGAACCTTTAGCACCGTAGGACGGAGCAAGTTCAATGCCTGGAGCAGTCCTTTTCTAGCGATGAGGTGGACATCTTGAATAGCCTCCACACTTGTGACTCGCCCCGAGGTCTGTGCTGGTAGTAGGATGAATGCAATCTGTCATGGTTTAGCCTGAAACCCATGTTCCGCTGGAGATGGTGGGTGACATACTTGTGTAGGGCCTGGAAGAGCTGTAGTTCGACATTATATGCAAGCCCTGGTATCGGACATAATTAGTCTGGAGCAGCGAAAACTATGAGGTGGTCAGAGAATAAGACTCTATATACTGTCTATCCAACTGAACATGCTCCGCGTCAATAAGCGCCCTCGAGTTTATATGGGGCTGTGGTTCGACTGCAAAGACGTATGTAGCAGTTGGACTCGCTGAAGCGACCAATACCTGTCCTGATAATCTACACATGCATTGATCCAAGAACACACCTCCACAAACTACACAAGCTACTGATGTTGTACGGGGTACTACTCCAGGGAGACCTGAACACATTCGAGGACATGTAAACGTGGGACAAGCGCGACTCTCCCCCACCCCCCACACATCGATCTTCAAGTCGAACTAACCGGCGAACGGATGAGTTTTGCACAGCATCGCTTCAGTTGGTCGCGATAGAGGCTGAAGTGGCCGATACAAGAAATCATCCCGGATCAGATGTTTTCGAATGGAGATCGAATAGCAAAATTGCGGGCGCAGCATGAGAGGAGAGACGGCCACTTAAGCTACAACAAACCCCCGCTATCCGATAGGATATGGAGAGAAACACGTAAAGATTGGTTCACGGGATGTACATTTTGCATCTCGAAAGAACACTAGTTCTTTTTTGTCATTTCAACCCATAAAACCGACATGCCGGAGGTCCTTCTAGGAAGATGTCCACACAAACTCCTCGGAAACCACACGTAAAGTCGAGAGAAACATTCGCCCGGGGACGCTCATTCCAGCAAGCGGCAAACGATCATGTCCGTATTCGTAGTTCCCAATATCCTTAGAGATGTATTAAGTCTGGATCGATTCGTGATGCGAATTGCATTTTGGGCTCAATAACATGAATATCAATGTCCCCCCATACTCGTTCCAAAGACCCAATCCGACACCTTCTAGTTTTGTTATTTTAACGCAAACGCCTGGCCTCACGCTCGGATTCGAGGAGGCAGAGGATATCATCAACCCGGACTGTGAAGGTTATCAAGTCAGCCGGGCACTCCTCTTCGACTATTTAAGAGCGAAACATACCGGGGCCCTTGACGTTACGAATGATCGAACGGCTCTGGTCATCCATGAACTCGACACGGACCTGAGTAACACCACCGCGAGAGCCTACTCTTCGTTAGATATCATCACCCTTCATATAAACATCTCCCAGGAGACTATCTCGATGCTTCCAGAACGTGGGGACAGATCATACCGGTACGGCCCAGGACGCGGGTCACCTTCACGAGCTTGACGGGGGCTTTGGCGGAATCCATTGCGAATGATTGATTCTCTCGCTGTGGTTGCGATTGATCGAGTCGAGGGGCGTGTGTTGAAGGGCGAGGCGCGGGCGGTTGTTGAGATGTGCTGAATAATTTTCAGTGCGGTTCGGTAGGGTTTCCCGTCGCCGAACCCTCTCCACTCGGCCAAACTTTGAAGCGAACCGACTTTGTCCCGGATAAACTATCCGAATCTAGAACTTCGGTTTTGACATCTTGCTCTATAAAATGGTTTTGAGTGTCGGCATAGTGAAAGAAAAGTCTGCAGAAAAGCTAAAAAGCGGCCATTGTCTAAAAGGATCGTTATGCTCATTCATAAATTCTATCTGCTACGTTCATTTACTATAGTTATATTCTATCAACCAAATGGTACACAGAACTCATCCGCCTAGTCAGTCCATTATGCATGTCATCATTGTCCATTCCTCCACCTTCCGGTATATAGTCCTTGGATAACGCTATCCCAGGCTCATCGTCGTTTGTACAGGCCCATTAGATCTCACTCTGTGTAGGCCCAGACATAAAATTGTCACCACGAAAGAAAACAGCACGCCATGGGTGGAAAACAAAGAGGTGATCAAGAAGTAAAAGAAAAAGAAAGGCCGTTGCTCACTCCATCCAATAGTTTCGAAACATCGGCGAGAAAGGTGAAAGGGACATCAATAGGTAGATTAAAAAGAGAGAGAGAGAGAAAGAAGTATGAGGGAAAAGGGTGAAGAGATAAAAATGCAATGCAATTTTAATGCGCCTTTCGCCAAGTGTTTTGCCCTCGTTGAACACTAGCAATGCCGACATAGTCTAAATTTGGTATACAGAACGAAGTTTCTGAGCAACATGAGCCGGAAGCTGGGTGAGGAACGAATCAAAGTTGGGTATCAAGTTTTTATAGCCTTGCAGAACCTATATATGCCGTTAGTTGCCATCAAAAGAAGCCTAAGGGCAGCCCGGGAAGGTATTCCTACCTGCTGGAATGAGCTCTGGATGTCGCGGTAATCCTCCTGGTGGAGAGACTTAGTGGGGAAGGCGGCAATTGCTTGGAAATAATCCGCGAGGCTGGCTTCCATGGCCTGTGGATTCTTCATAACCACTTGGTTGAATCCCAGGAAGGCGGAAGCCTTCTCCCGGGTGAATTCAATCTTGTTCATAGCTTTCAAAAACGCTCCCGCGTACTCACCGAGACGAGGGGCAAGCTGATCCGAACAGCAGATTCCTAGCCTGCCTAAAGCCATCGCAGCATTCTCGTTCACCGAGTCGATGATCTCTTCGTTGTTGATGATAACGTATAGGCCCTGGTACAACTTGTCGGCGTAGGGTGAAAGAGCTGCTTTTTCGTTGACTGCGATCTCTCCACAAGACCAGCAGGCGTTGTTCAGCACGCTGAAGCCAGTGTGACGATCGTCATCTTTTATCAAGTCCAGATCAAGTTGTTTGATAAGAGTGGGCATAATATTAGGGATGAAGGGCTCCAGTTGCGGGAAAATATTGATGGCACAGTCGCCGAGCAGCGCGTACGACGACTGGCGCACTTCATAGTTCGGATCCTCCATACAAAAGCAGAGAAGGTCGAAAAAACGTGGTTGGGAATTGGCCAGTAACTCGCCGCTCTTCTGGGGATCAATCGCCTGGATGATCGCACTCAGGAGGTCCAAGCTGGTGACCAAGAAATCCTTATCGGGCTCCTCGATAGCCTGGTTATGGACGGAGGCCATATACTCCTGCAAGTTTTCGTAGATGATTTTAATACATCTTTGGAAGAGAGGAGGAGCAAAGGGAGCAAACGCATCACCGTACGCGGCAGCAATGTAGCCGAGGCATTCCAGCAACGGAAAGAGTTCGCGAGATTGATCCGATACTTTGTTGTAGCGGTCGATAAGAGCAGGCATGAGAATGTCCACAAGATGCGGCTGCGCCAGCTCTCCCATGACACACTCTGCCAAAGTCTGGACACAATCGTACAGGATGTACATATTGCGGTCTTTGTATTTTCCGAAGCACTGGACGAACTGTCGAAGGATAGGTTCACAGTAAGGAAGCAAGTTGGCGTCAGACTTCTCCTCCAAACTTGCAAAGGCGGACGCGGCCGCCTCCTGGACCTTCTTGTTGCCATCTAGCATCCTGCGAAGGATACCCTCCATCATGGGTTCAAAGAAACGAGCCCTCTCCGCTGGATCGTTGAGGTGTGACGCCCACTCGGAGTAACGCCCCAAGCACCAACAGGTGATCTGTCGCACCACAGGCTGAGAGTCATTCAAACACGAGATAAGATAGGGTACAAGTTCCGGCAGGTGAGGGGTGACCGCGTCCATACATCCATCTGCAACAGCACCAAGTGTCAAGACAGCAGCTTCCCGCTGTGGCCACTGTTCGTGGCGCAGGGTTTCCTTTAAGTACGGCAGGATGATCTCGAAGATCGGCTGGTGATAGACGTTCGAGAAGACATCCAATGCGGCGGCCGAGCATTTCCTCAGAGTCCACTCATCCTCGGGATCATCTCCAAATTCTGAGTCCTCAATTTCACCTTCGCTCAAGTCATCCTCGTCATCCTCCTCAGCGGCGGTGTTGCCGTTGGCTTGTGCCTCGGGCTTAGAAGAGTCTAACCGAGAGCCCTTCGACTTGGCAAACTGCGGTTTGAGATCTTCGGCACGATCTTCCACCTCAGCATCGTCACCCTCACCCGCCAAGCGGATGGCGTCATCCTCATCGTAGACCATGCTTTGAAGCAGCACAGGAACGATCTTAGGCATGTGAGGAGCCAGCGGCTGTTGCAGTTTCGCCTGTTCGCCAGCAACAAGCCAGAATTCCGCAGCATCAAGAGCCAGCTCCGGGTCTTCTTGGTTATGTTGCTGCATAATGATGTAATTCACAAGCCCTTCCATGTGCGGAATAAGTTTGTCAGGAGCAAAGTCTACCAGCTGCGCGAAAGTCTGGCAGACTGTCCGTCGCACATCGGTGCTGTCGTCGTTGGCCAGTTGGAACAACTGCGACAAGAATAGGTCCATCGAGGCGACAAGCGCCTGGGGTCTGTGAGGAAGAAAGATATGGATGGTGCCCAGCGCCATGGACCGGACCTTGGCACTCTGGTTGGATGTGAACTCTAGCAGCTTCGGAACAATCACGTCAAGGGGGCACTGCCCCTGATAGTCCCGTTCCAAGATCTTGCGGTTGTCCTCGCAGACTTTGGCAAGGGCCGACATCGCGGCCTCCTGTGCCATACCCGGAACATCGCCTGACTCGTTATTCACCAGAGATATAAGTTCATGCAGTACTTCCGGCCATGCTAACAAACCTGCTTGCTGGACCAATTCTGTGATGATGCTACCGGCTGAGTTTCGCACCTGGAAGTTCGTGTCTCGGAGCCCAACCAGGGTGACCGACCGGATAAATGATAGACTAGGCTGTGGGATTGTTTTGTATGCCACGCGGATCTTGGACTTCAGGTTCATCGCAGCCGCAAATCGCACCATATCATAGGTGTTCTGGTCGAACCCCACTGTCGGAGGGGGCTGCGGTGTGCTGAACAAATAAGCGATGTAGTTAACATAATCGGGTGACGACGTCGCTTGCACTAGCATCTAACAAGAAAGAGAGAGGGAAAACGGTTAGAAGGGGTCAACCAGTCATTAAGCGGTGCATGAGGGGAAGGTCGTGGTATAGAAACCCCAAAGCGGCATATGTACGGGGTCTCCGATGAAAATTGAGAACTAGGAAACGCACCTGTTCGGCCTGTTTTTGGGCTGTACGGTCATAAGGATTTAAGGAGTCCCTGAGACAGCAGGCCAGCTGCCTCAATGGCTCATCCTGAGGTTGCCACTCCATTGTGCACACAAGAGGGGGAGGACGAGGAGCAATTGCGGGTGCGAAAAGGAAAAGCGCCGAGAGGGAGTTGCAAAGAAGGTGTGGAAAGTGTGTACAGTAGTCGCACAGGAAACCCCGCCGTGGATTTTGGTGCGAAGCGGCTCCAACCCCTTCTTCTTCCCCAGAACGTATTTTTTCTCTTTGGTCAATGAAAAAAAAAAAAAAAAAAATGAACAAGCTGTAAAGATAAGGTGGAAAATCCCCTCCTTCCGAATATCCACCTCAGTTACTGGTAATAATTCTCGACTAATATTTTTCTTAAGGGGACGAGAGAGAGAAATACTTTAGGGCAGCAAGACGAATAATGATGGGGGTTTGATGAGCGCAGGTCGTTGTACATATATGTGACAAGACCGGTATTCTTCCTTTTTGGTGGCGGAAGATGTCAACTGCGTTTGATCTTCTTTGTCTGATTGTTATAGGTCAGGTCCCTCCTACTCCTTATCCAACATAGGATATGAAAATAGGTATAAAGGGGAAATTTGAATCATTACTTGAAGTTGATAATGTTCGGACATTGACCAGCATGACCTTATTGGTGGGCATGGAGACAAGTCTGTGGCCGTGCGTGGCCAGTGGTAATTTTGCCATTCTGCTTTGGGCAGAGAATTTTCTTTCAATGGCAAACTGGTGTTGGTCCATACTGTAATCTGTATTGCTTGGATGGAGCCCGAGAAGGGGGTAAGGAGACATTACCAACATACTCTCTAGAAATACTTAAGTAATAATATATGAATAACCAAGATAATTCGATGTAAGGCAATGCATATATATCTATATATGTCAGAAAACATTTTTGCTCCAATAGTAAGAACTCGGGATAAGAAATCACAGGGTTATGAGTATGCAGCCACAGTTACATGTAGCGAGGTAGTACAATACACGGTACACAATACATTCAGGTGCACGGACAGTTTACTCAGCATGTCCGCTGGACTTTAGTTATTAGAATGAATGAATCACATCGGATTTCACAATCCACCCCCTATTAATTACTCTTGAGATTACTCTTAAGATTGATATTAATATCAGCTTCTGATCACTTTAGCTTCAGATACCGCATCATGCATAATCAGTCCAACGATACTTTATACCGCATCTGAGTCTAGTTGTACATACATCCATAATTTTAATACCCTGTCAAGGTCAAGGTCTGATACCAGTTGTTGTTTGTGATTTCATGGCCAGTTACTGGTACCTTCAGTACATATGAACCGGACTATCGAGTATATATGCTATATCTACTTGGTCGGCCTAGCAATACTCTCCTTTTCTCTAGAGTTTTAACAGCGTTTCATCAAAGAACCATGAAAGGTTGCTAAAACGATATTATCCTGCTGATCATGGTCTCCAGTTATATACCACACCACCAAAGGGTTCTCGGAACGTATCAGGAGATCTTGTAGTGGGGTCATGACATGATACCTAGTGCTCCGCATCGTAAGGTACAACCACAGCCTATACCATGAATGGAAGTCTTCTACCGATCTTCTAGATCCCCCAGGTTCGATTTGCCCAATAAGCCGGGTGGTTATTCACACTACAAAGGGCCGGTTCCTGAATGTACTACCCGATAGTACGGAACTCTCCTTCCCTTCTCTAAATCAATCCCTCATCCGGAATTTCAGTTCCCGGCTCACGTGGTGATAAATATATATATAGTATATGTATGCAAGAGCTGGTTTTGATTCAAATCCCAATTGGGCCCTAATCCAGTCCTCAATTCATCTTTATTCCCGTCAATCGGTCAGCGTCCATCATGGACGTGGTTCTGGATGTGCTAGATACCCTGGCATTTGATCGACTATATGCGACGCTTCTTCCACTGCCTCGGGCTGCCCAAATAGCACATCACTTGTCCTTCAATAGCACAGAATCGGCAACATTAAACCAAAATGTGAACCGTTACTTCACCCTGTCGCCTTCCGAATGGGCCACACAAAGCATCTTACCACGAGACCACATCCTTCGACAGAGTTTGAGTCTATTCTTGATTACATGGTTGGGCTTCTAATTGCTCTTCTACAAGACGGACTGAGACTGACCATATGGTGATTCTTCTGGCAGGGCATTTGGCGTCATTGTCTACTTTCTTAGTGCGACCCTTTCATTCCATTTCGTCTACGACAAGCGCGCCATGAAACACCCGAAGTTCCTACGCAACCAGATCTCTCTGGAGATCAAGCAAGCCATGAAAGCAATGCCCGGGATGGCAGTCCTCACGGTGCCATTCTTCCTGGCAGAAGTTCGGGGATACACGAAGCTGTACGATTTCTCCAGCCAAGCGCCGTTTTCGCTCTACACATACCTTCAGTACCCCCTCTTCATCGCGTTTACCGATTTTGGAATCTATTGGATCCACCGCGGGGAGCATCACCCAAAGGTCTACAAGCATCTTCACAAGCCCCATCACAAGTGGATCATCTCAACCCCATATGCCAGCTACGCCTTTCACCCGGTGGATGGGTGGGCACAGAGCCTGCCATATCACGTCTTCCCAATCCTGTTTCCTCTGCAGAAATTTGCTTACCTGGGCCTTTTTGTCTTTGTATCAACGTGGACTGTTATGATCCGTAAGTTCAGCTTTTTATGCCAATCGTGATTTAAGAATCCGTGACACTGACCCATCGTAGATGATGGAGAATATGCCCTCGACTCTCCCGTTGTCAATGGATCCGCTTGTCATACCATCCACCACTACTATTTCAACTACAACTATGGCCAGTTTTTGACCATCTGGGACCGTATCGGGGGAAGTTATAGGAAGCCGAACGCAGAGTTGTTTGACCGCGAGGTGCGGATGACTCAAACTGAGATCAAGAAACAGATCGAGGAGATGGACAAGTTTGTCAAGGAGGTGGAGGGCGTCGATTACCGATGCTACCAAAATCAGAAGACGCTTTAGTGACTGAGTCTATTTGTTGTTTTTGATGGTCACACACCTGTATGGTATTCATAACAGGGCGGATTGGTTCCCGCTCTGAATTAAGAAGAGTATATACTTAGTGTTTAATTTAATTAACGAGAATTTGTTTCCAAGTTGACAATTAACATCAGAATCGGAGAAGAGATATGGTGGAGTATTAGTATTGCCAACCTAATTCGCAAGGCAAAACAGTGGGAATCCGCCACACTATGTCGCCGGAAGGCGCTCAGCACTAGAAATCACACCCCGTTCTCCATAGCTTTTTCTTTGGCTTTTTATTTTGCCTCTTTACCCAAGGTCAAACGGCATTGGATCAAAGTGGATCATTTCCTCGTCTCCACTAGGCTGTCGAGAGAAGGCGTATAGCACTATACTCAAAGTATGTTGTTGGGGTGAAAGCCATTTATCCATATATCAAGGGCGTATCCGTACCATCACCATTTCCCCAGGTTTTACTAGTTTCCTAACATTGTGTATCATTTATATATTGTCAATTAAGAAGTTGGCATAATGTACTTTACCAAGCGCTCCGGTCGTGCCCTATTCGCGAATTCCACGAAACAATTCTCGACAACCTTTCGACGCCAACTATCAGGTCTCAAGATCAACAACAACCGACTTTGGGAAACACTTCACGAGACGTGTGAATGGGGCGCCGCTCATAGATACGGCCCGTACGTCTCTCCCAACTCTTACTAGGCCCAGTTACGATGTATAATTTCCAGTCTAATGCACACTGTAGGAAGTCCACGGATACCGGCATGGCTCGTCTAACCCTGACCGACGACGATGCGCGTATGCGTCGCTGGCTCGATAATGAAGTCACCAAGCTAGGCTGCACACTCTACGTGGACCAGATGGGCAATATGTTCGCACGGCAGAAAGGTCGGTTGAATTCCTCCGCGCCGATGACTGCCATGGGCAGTCACTTGGATACGCAACCCCGTGGCGGTCGGTATGATGGTATCCTCGGTGTGATGGCAGCCTTGGAGGTACTGCGAACTATGAAGGAGAACGGGTATCAGACGAATTATGATGTTGGTTTGGTTAATTGGACTAAGTGGGTTTCCCTTCTTCTCTTAGTCAAATTTACTCTCTCTTTCTGTTCCCTAATCCGGCATTGACAAGAGGACAGTGAGGAAGGAGCCCGCTTCCCCAAGTCCATGTGCGCCTCAAGCGTATGGGGCGGTGTAATCCCCATCCAACAGGCCTGGGAACTTCGGGATATCCACGACCCTAATGTCACGCTCCGGTCTGAACTGGAACGGCACGGATATCTGGGCGAAATCCCCTGTTCGGACGAGGGATTTGCCCTCGGCGCTCATTTCGAACTGCATATTGAACAAGGCCCCATCCTTGAAGAAAGTGGACGGTCGCTAGGCATAGTCCAGGGTAGTCAGGGGTATAGATGGTTGACCTTCACTGTGCATGGACGAGATGCGCACACTGGAACGACACCCTTCAGTGCTCGTCAAGACCCATTGCTCGCTGCGTCTAAGATGATCGCTTCCTCGAACGAGATTGCCAAGCGACACGGGGCACTGGCATCAACCGGTGTCCTTAAGATGCCTTCTAATGCATCCACGAATACTGTCGCTTCCCATGTGACATTTACCTTGGACATCCGGCATCTCGAGGATGAAGTGGTGCAAACTGTGCAGAAGGAATGTCTTGAGTCTTTCGCTGATATTGCCAAGCAAGATGGTAAAGGGGTTTCGTTTGACTGGAAAATGGATACAGATTCTGCTGCTGTCAAGTTTCACAAGGACTGCATTGATGCGGTTCGGACTGCTGCCGACCAGCTCGTTGGCCCCGGCCACTATATGGATATCACCAGTGGTGCTGGACATGACACTGTGAATACTAGTAGACTCTGTCCTTCGACTATGATCTTTGTTCCGTGCCAGGATGGAGCCAGTCATCATCCGGAAGAGTATTGTAGTCCAGAGCATTGGTGGGTTCTTTTAGAATACTTTGATGGTGATTATAGTGCTAATGATATACTTGCAGTGCCTTGGGAACTCAAGCTCTACTTGAGGCAGTGGTTAACTACGACCAGTTTCGGTTGAAGGAGACCAATGCTTGATTAGGGAAAATTAGAAGTAAATGTATGATGGCAATCTTTGCTTTAGCTGTTTTATAATAAATTTATCCTTTGGAAAATTTATAAAGTCTCTCTCCATGCTGTCTTGCATAGGATGCAACTTTCCATCCTTATGAATTCAAATGTCTTGCTCATTCGTAATCCTACAGTCTCCAACCAAACTAGAGTATCCTGCGCGAAGAGTGAGCGAAATCTGCTCTCATTTTGTTGGAGTAAAGAAGTGGATAATACACCACCAAGTGGAGATGTTCATGGAAGGCGCTGAATGACTCCAGAATGTCATCGGAAGGCCGCAGGAACTCATCCTCGGCAATTGGAAATCAGCGCAGACCCGACAGAAGCTCTACATAAAAGCGAAAATCACTTCAAATAATAATCCATGCCACATATTATCTCTGCTATCAATTATAACCCATATAATCACCGTCATGTCTTCTCGCCGACCGATATACTTCAACCCCGCCGCGGCAAATGCACACTGCGACCCTCGCGAGACCCATGACCTCAAAGTATTCCATCAATCGCTCCCCAACTACGCTCCCACACCACTGACGCCCCTAGCCGACCTCGCAAAGGTCCTGGGGGTCCGCGCAGTTTTCGTCAAAGACGAAAGCGATCGATTTGGCTTACCCGCTTTCAAAGTCCTGGGCGCCTCATGGGGTTGTTATCGGGCTATCACTGCACAACTGGGACTCCCGTCCACGGTTAGCTGGGATGAATTATCGGCCAGAGTGAAGGAGACTTCGATAACCCTTGTTGCAGCGACCGAGGGTAACCATGGACGAGCTGTGGCTTTCGTTGCGAGACTACTCGGCACCAAGGCGGATATCTTTGTGCCGCGGAGTATGGATGAGGGGACGCAGCGGCGCATTGGAAGCGAGGGCGCCCGTGTAATTGTCGTCCCGAGTGACTATGATCAGGCAGTACGGGAGGCAGCGGATGCTGCGCGGGCTATAGACGGGGGGATCTTGGTGCAGGATACTGCGTTTGAGGGGTATGAAGATATTCCGTCGTGGATTGTAGAGGGGTATTCTACGATGATGATGGAAATCGATGAACAAGTTGCCAAGGAGGGTCTGCAATGTAACGTTGTTGTTACTCCCGTTGGTGTTGGTAGTCTGGCCCATACTGTGGCGAGGCATTGCAAATCTCGAGATGCGCCCGTATCAGTCGTGGCTGCTGAGCCGGACTCGGCGCCTTGTCTGCATTCTAGTCTGAGCGCTGGGAAACCGGTCGCTGTTCAAACGTCGTCGACTATTATGGATGGGATGAACTGCGGGACGGTGTCGTCTACTGCGTGGTCTGATTTGCGGCGATTTGTGGATGCATGCGTTACGATCTCGTGCTATGAATCCCATTCTGCGGTTCAGTACCTGGCTGCTCAGTCGATTACGGCTGGACCTTGCGGTGCGGCATCGCTGGCTGCGTTCAAGCGGCTTGCTGCAACGAAGGAGGCGGGCACACTCCTCAACAAAAATTCTGTTGTTGTTCTACTGTGTACCGAGGGTCCACGGGCGTATCCTATTCCCAAAGACGTTTCTGTGGAAGACCCAGTCGGGTTGACTCGGATTCTCACGACGATCAACTCGTCGAATCCCTCACTGTCATTAACGGATGGCGTTGGAGAGAACCAGATCGCAAACTACTTGGCCGCATGGTTCACTCACAGAGGAGTCGAGCATCATTGGGTAGAAACCGTCTCTGGGAGACCATCAATCGTGGGTGTCTTGCGTGGCTCTGGAGGAGGCAGGTCATTGATGTTCAATGGTCATATCGACACCGTAAGTCTCTCAAGCTACGAGAAAGATGCACTTTCGGGAGCCTTGGGTGAGAAGGATGGCCGGCGAGTAGTGTTTGGAAGAGGTAGTCTCGATATGAAAGGAGGCCTAGCAGTAGCGCTTGCAGCTTTATCTGCCGCTAAAGCGAGCGGCAACGCTCTTCGCGGCGACGTAATCGTGGCCGCCGTTTCGGATGAAGAGGATGCGTCTCAGGGCACGCACGATGTGCTGGCAGCGGGTTGGCGTGCTGACGCAGCTTTGATTCCTGAACCTACTATGGGCCAGATAGTCATAGCCCACAAGGGCTTCGTATGGATAGAGGTCGACATCCTCGGCGTTGCTGCTCATGGATCTAATCCCGCTACAGGACAAGACGCTATTCTCTATGCGGGATGGTTCTTGCGCGCTCTCGAGCAATATCGGCAGCAGCTACCTGTTGATGATATCTTGGGACCGGCGTCCTTACATTGCGGACTAATTCAGGGAGGCGAAGAGCCTTCTTCCTATCCCGCGAAATGTACCATCACGGTCGAATTCCGTACCATACCCTGTCAGACACAGGCGTCGATCTTGGGTGACCTCAAGTCCCTGCTGGAGGGTATCGCCCGGGAGAACCCTAGATTCCATTACGCGGAGCCTCGCGCTACCATGTTCCGCCCGACGCAGAAGTTGTCTGCTGATCATCCTTTTGTCAAACAAGCGGCTGCTTGTGCGACTACTGTACTTGGAGAGTGTCCTCAGATCAGCAGCGCGCCTTTCTGGTGCGATGCCGCGCTGCTCAGTGAGGCTGAAATTCCGGCAATCGTGTACGGCCCTAAGGGCGAGGGGTTGCATGGTAAGGAGGAATGGGTTGAGGTTGAAAGCTTACAACAGCAGGAGAAGGTCTTCAGGAAGTTGATTGAAGACTTTTGTCAGTGATGGTTGTGATATGTCATATGCAAGAAATCCCTATTCTATTGTATATAGTTGCTTAACGATCAGATAGAAACTTCTTGGTACATGGAGTATCTTCGTATGGCTTGAAGGAATAGATGAATTACGTAGAACCTTTACGCACTTTATCATGAGATACTTCGAGTGAAACCAAAAGATAATTTTATCCAAAGCTTAGGAGACCTTTGATAGTTCAAATTGACGATTTTCGACAGATCCTTCGCAGTGGGGTTAGATTAGAAATCTATCAACAAAGTATCAACAACGCGGGCGGCTTCTTGCTATCAACACAATGCCCGAGGCCTCGCGTACGTACAGATTCTTCCTGTGTCCCCGGTTCGATAGTGCCCTCAATTCCTTTGGTATTCACGTCTCGTATACCCATAATTCTGCGTCAGGACGTTTCCAAGTATCACGCCGCAGACAAGGGTTCAGATACCAGCAACATGAGGCGTGATGCCTACCATATCGGCAGTAGCCACAGTTGCCATATGTCCTGTCTCGAAGCCTCCTCATCTGAGCAACATGGTCCTCGTCAGATATGCCTGGCTCAGGCCAAGTAGTTATCTTCCAATCGGAGTCGTTTGTCTTCCTCTCAGAGAACTGTTTCCATTTTGAAACCTTATTCATCTTCTGGGAAGCATTTTGCGGAGGATTCCTACAGACTGCCGTCGCCTCTGCAATTGCGTTGCGCTGGTCAATATTGTTTCCCTTTTCAATCGCAGTGTTGCATAAGGCCAAGAAATCGGCTTCGGTGACCAGTTGGGCGTCGTTAGAAGTGAATGATGCGTCTACTTGAGCAGCCCAAATAGGAAGCTCCGCCTCAAGCTCATGGAGTAATATGATGATGGCACAGAATGGCATAATCGTGAGTTTTAGGCAGTTAGCTAGCTTGACAGATTTGCGAAAGTCGGCCACGTACTCAGCGATTGTTGCATATGATGAGCGCTTCATGTCGAAAACCTTTGTATACATGATTCCCAAAGGTGTATGATCATCACACATGACAATTCTTCGGATCGCATCGTATGTCTCGTCGGCGTAAACGATAGGATGGGTGGTTCTCATTAACTGCTGTACAACATCCCTGGATAACTGCAGCACAAGCCATGATCTAACCATACAGGAGGCCTTGTCCCACCTTGTATAGGATGATGAAGTCGGTAGAGGTCTTGGTATTGTGGAGTCTATGAGGAAATGAAGGTTGTAGGGGCAAAGTGCATTTTTCACGTAGAAATCCCATATCTCATAGTTAGATTGGTCAGTCAAGCATTCGGGTATCCTGTCCAGTCTATCGGGTACTTCGACGCTGAAAGTTATCTGCGTGCTGACTGAAGATTGCTGACGAGTGGGCGTTCTCTTGTCGAGAGATTCCCCTGCGTGATGGCCTGATTCTGTGTTTGTTGGGCTCTCTGAGCTCCTTGAGGAGGCGTGGTCTGACATCGCGAGATTATTTCACTGAGATCTCGAGATATCCAGAATGGCGAAATGCCTGAGGCTTTTCTTATTAGGGGGGTGTGAAGAGCTTCAAATTAGCAACTAGGTTATGATCACGAGATCATGATGTTAAGTGAATTTCCCAATGACTGCCTCCTATAGATCATAGGGGAACCTATAACTGGGATACTAAGAGGGAATGTACGTATTCCTATTGGCCTTAGGGCATGAGCCACCTGGTCCAATAAGGTTGCGAACAGGTGATGAGCTAAACCCCCTTTGGAGGGTGAGTCAGTAACCATTGGGAGGTAAAAGAAACGTGACGTGAATCAAACACTTCTGTCCCTTAAGCGCTTCTGGGATTTCGTGGGCATAAACATTAGCATGGAAAATGCATTTGGGTTTGGTTCATCACAAGGCTTTTCGCAAAGCTCTCAACACGCAGTTGGGTCTGCCGATGGCACCGACGTTTCGGAACTGAACCTCCTCAATTGGCCACCCGAGGAAAATGCCATCTTCGATTGGGATGCACTCAACGCTGAGCTGCTTGGCGCTCCCTCAGACCCTAACTGTGAGCAGTGGTCACTATTGATGGCGACTGACCTGCCTGGGCAATCAGTGATGCCATCACTTCATACTATCCAAAGCGACACTCTCGTCCCATCACCTGAAACCCAAATAAACGCCGCCGGTGTCCCTGCAACTCTTAACCGCCCTCCAGAACTATATAACCCTGTGCCTATGCGTCGCGGGCTTACTGATGTAACCCAATTCCTAGATGGTGCTTATTGTCCACCGCATCCCTGTAGCTATTGCCGTAAGCACCGGTTGCAGTGTCTTATTATCCGGACTGCTCCAGCGAATCCGAACCCAGTTACTGCGTGCTCGAGCTGTGTGGCTTTATTCCGCGAATGTAGCCTCGCAGTAGGAGAAAAACGCCAGCCTTCTGGATTTGAGACTCTCGTCCCAGCGATCGGCCATCTCCATGGGCTCCGAGAGCTGAGCGAAGATGCCACTTTCGCGAACCAGGGCACCATCCTGGAACAGGAGAACGAGCTAGACATTTCTATGCTAGACCCTTCCAAAGGCAAAACCGAACCCAGGGATTCCAAACAGTTCATCAGAAAAGGAGCCAGAGTCTTACGGGCTTGGTTCCTCCAGAACCAGGAATGTCCCTATCCATCCGAAGAGCAAAAAGCCCAACTTCTCCGTGAGACAGGCTTCTCCAAGAAACGCATCTCAACATGGTTTGCCAATGCCCGCCGACGCCAAAAACAGAAGATGGAATTCACCGGTCGTCCTCAGATTCAACGAGCTGGCTCTCCAATGCCTACCAGCCAATTGACAACAATGACGCCCTTTGAGCGATGGCAGGCATCCCCCCCGGAAGATGACCCGGTGCCCGAATCAGCGATCAGAGATGCGATCGCCCATTCTACAGCTGATTTGGGCTGGGGTGACATACCCGCTCCGATTAACCACAATTTCCCAACCGGGTCACCACTGCTGAACTTCGACTCGACATCGTCCCTCTTCGACTCTTCCGTGTCAGGATTCGGGAGCAGACAATCAGAAGCATCATCCGACAGCAACTCCACGGCATGGAGCCATCGATCATCCAATGATGGTGCCTTGCCATTCCCCATAAAGCCACCCAGACACCATAAACGCCGACCTTCACACGCTGTCGAAGAATACCGATACCAATGCACTTTCTGCCCACAATCATTCAAAAAGAAAAACGATTGGACACGCCACGAGACAAGTGTCCATCTCTCCCTGGAATCATGGATTTGCACCCCGAACCTTGCAGACCTGGAATTGACCGAACTGGACCAGCTCGCGTGTACGTTCTGCGCCTCGTCATTGCCTTCCCACGCCCATTGGGAAGAACACGACTTCCGTGTCTGTGCGGAGAAACCTGTAGACCAGCGGTCGTTCGCTCGAAAAGACCATCTCTGGCAGCACCTGCGCAAGTTCCATGGCTGTACCAAGTCTCCTATTCCGGACCTTGAGGCCTGGCGGTCGACGAGAGGCGATATTCGAAGTCGGTGTGGCATCTGTGGACTGCAGCTCAATACATGGGCGCAAAGGACCGATCATCTGGCGGGACATTTTAGGGAGGGCGCCCGGATGGACCAGTGGGAAGGGGACTGGGGATTAGAGCCAGAGATCTTGGGCGTCTTGAAAAATGCAGTGCTCCCGGGAAAACGTGATTATCGAACATGACTTCTATCTGTAGAACTGGAGAGGGATGGGGATCTACAGTGTGATAAAAATGGAAAATTGCATTATGGAATACTTAATCTTAATGGCGTGGTGAGTTACGCATGTAATTGTCTTGTAAATACCTCATTGTATATTTCTTCCACAGATAACATGTAACTAGCATTGTATCTCATGATTCGCCGGGAGAGATCTGCGCCAGCAATACGTGATATGTGCGTAAAGGAAATACTGCAGATAAAGAGGAAGGAAGAAGAGTATATCAAGTGGCAAAATGGCCGAAGCACGCCGGGCAATGATTGATATACTATATACTAGACTATAGCCCCGAGGGAAATTGTGTACGCCTATAAACTATGTATGTATAAGAAGACGATATATTCCGTCACACAATCTATGCCCACACCAACTTCTTTATGTCATAAACCAAGTGCTCTAAGATGCCAGTCCGTGCCTTGGCATCTTCCAATGAAATAATGTCTGACGCTTCAATTATGGATGATCCTTCATGATCATCGGAATCTGGTCGCGGAGCCTCACCAACCTTCATGGCTCGCTCTATTTCCTCGCAGATGGCCCGCACCCAATCTATTTCGCTAACTGTTGTACTGCTTCTCCTTGTCTGCGTGACAGAATTAGAGAGGGGAAGAGCTTTGAATGCAATGAACTGAGTTTTGGACCGTGGGGCACCCTTGAACCAGGAATACATGTCCCATTCGTTGTTGGAGGTGGCGTTGCTGTCGAGTGTCTTGGTGTCCACGTTACTCTGTAACGAGCGAGTGTTGACACGAAGAGCGTTTGTGTCGCCCTCACGATGCTCTATGACAAGGCCGACGTTGCCACGTTTGTCAGTTTGGGTGTCGGTTAGAATGGAAGTGATATATGTGCCGTAGTTGATTCGCGTCACGGAGCGTAGATCAATCCGTTCGAATGACAGCACCTTGTCGGTGTTCCAGTCGAACCGGCAGCTGTAGATGGCGGCATCTGTGAGCAAGAGAACCGCCTCCTCGAATGGCAAGGTTCGCAGGGTATTAGGTTGTCGTGGAGTAAGCATAGTCCAACCGCCTAGAAACTCCTCCGATTGTTCGCTTATCACGATCCTGCAGCTTGTGTCGATAGCATTTTGGCGGAGCTTTTGAACCGAAATTCCTGGGTCAGCTGTTTGCATCTCCGTGGCAAATTCTTTGAATACTTGCGTAGAGACATTCCCCAATAAGTAATCGATACATGCTTGTGAGAAATAGTCGCTGACAATATTGTTAAAGTAACGTGTTAAAGTCAGACCCAGGTCGTTCAGTGCACCCCGGTAGTCCCGCTTCCTCGTCCGTGTATAGTCGCCCTTTAGAGCTGCCGTCGAGGAATACTGCTTGGAGATGGCGTCCCCATTATCAGCCCAAAGGGTATTAAACCATTGAGTCGAGGAATCGCCGCTGAGATCAATTTCGATACCTTCCTGCTTCAGCTCCCGCTCTAGGGCCCATTGACCAAAGGCGCACTGTGCGACTCCCGTACGGTCTAGGCAGTCCATGCAATTCGTGCGGATGATACCCGTTTGACCTCGAACAACAGTATCGTTCCGCACGATTGTGTCCCCATATTCGTTCAAAGTGTTCTCCAAGCTATTTATGAGCCGATTGACGTTCTCAAATTTCATCCCACGGCATTCATTGTGGAAATCAAACCACTCTAAACCGAGAGGTGCACCTTCTATTCCTCCTGATTTGTTGAGAGCTTGCGCATATTTTTCATACTGCTCCCCTAGCTTCTTTTCGCTGGCATGCTTATCAATGAGTGAGACGGCTTGAATTTTGCCATACTTTTGGCTTAGTGCCCGAAAGTGTCTATCAAAGGCAAACTGGTTCGTTTCTGTCGAGTGGTGCAACACAGGAACGGGCTTGAAAGCATATGGGGACTGGGAGAAGTATAGGGGAATAGAACCACGCACTTGCAGATAGGAGTACATATTATGCGCAGAATCCCTGTCCGGAACTGAGAGAATCTGTTCGGTCTCTACGTTGTTGGCGGTATTTCCTTCATCATCAACACCACGGCGGAGATATCGGAGGCCAGGCCGCTTGACCGATCGCCGAGAAATCAGGGTAAGGAGAAAGTTCCGTTTATTGACATCAGCACCAGAAGCTTGTGCCTCATGTTTTTCACCCAAAATACGGCCTTCGGAGCTCCCTTGAGTGGAGTTATCCAACCTAGTCGGCTGGTGGTCCGGTGCAGTAGCTACAGTGAATTCCCGCTGGCCGACAAAACCCTGCATCAGCGGTAACACAAAGCTATGGGCATCGGCTGTGATGAATGGTGCCATGAGATGTTTATTCCAGAAATACTACCTAAGATTAGCAGGGTGGGTAACGAGGTCCAGAGACTTATTCTGCTTACCAATTCATCCACTATCTTGTGTAGTGGTAGATGGCTATTGAGCGCCAGCCTTTGCCCGGCAATGTGCCTAGTGAGGTCATAATCGTAAGCGAAAAAGAAATTACTCGATGTAAACAGCAGTTTCGTATAACGAAGCAATTTCGGTAGCAATTCAACCGTCGGGTCGGCCGACGATGGCTGTCCTGTGGTCTTTTGCAGCGAAGTATCTCCTTCCGCCGTAGTTGCTTCGGTGTTAATTTTGTTCACATCTGTAAGTTCGATCGATTGATTCGAAACTTTAGACGGGTCTTCAGTGTTTTGGCCCACTGTACCAAATCCTGGTAACCCAAGAGTTTTCCTCGACAGCCAATTTGCTGCGAAACGCCCGAACCGGGCCTTTTTCCCGATCACATCTTCCGCAATACTACTGACACTATGGCCTCTCACATGGTAAGTCTCTCGGACCGGAGAAGATGGAACGCTGCTAATATCGACCTCCTCTCCCTCAGTTTCTACATCAGAGAGGCTCTCCTCCGAAGCCGTCTCATCTTGCTCGTCATCACCTTGTAAAAGTTGTTCCTTTGCCTGGGAGATTGCGCGGCTAGCATCTTCTTGCGATGAAATTGGAATGACGGCGACATTGCTGATAGTATATACAGGCTTTCCTTGAATTTGCGCAACCTGTTGGCGTTGAGTTATAGAGATGAGAAAGGAATATGATGCAACGTTTAGGAGGCCTTTGGCGTAACCCAGTTAACACTTGATCTAATGGATAATATACAGTAACAATAGTGGCAAACGAAACGGTAATACAGAAAACCATGAGGGCCAGGAGCTTGCTTACCCACAAGGCCAAAAGCCTCCAACCCCGGATCTCGCTCATCTTGGTCCGCAGGGTAGGCTGGTATGGATGAAATCCTGCCAGTTTTGTAGTCAATCCGAATAGAGGAGGTCTCGCTGTTTCCATTGTGCCGCAACCCATTCCCCGGAAACTGGAGAATAAGTCCATCAACGGCAGCGAAGATAGCCAGTTTCCGCAATAAGGCTGGCATGTCGTTTTCGCGGAGGCGGAGAGTCGCGTCAGTTTCGGAGGACCCTGCAGAACTTATTTATAAATAATAAATGGTTGGAGCGATCAGACACGTTCAGCCTACACTAAATAAAGATTTATCTAGTGACCCATACTGTCGTAGAAAGATCATCCCCCAAGTCAAGCATATGTCATGGCAATATAGTAGTAAAGGTCATGTAGTGTAGATATAGCTTAAGCCAGGACAGCTGATCTCCACTCACTGACTTCATCCGTCAGGTACCCCACGTTCCCGTCGAGGCGCATCTTCAAAACTTGCATACCCACGAACATCCTTAAATATCTCCAAGTCCCAACTGTTTCTAAATGGAAAAGGAAATGCACAATATCTATCTCAAAATTGACAATAATGCGTATGTACAATCCTGTTTGTCGCAGACAACCATTTCCTTTCTAACCTCAGCCAAGGGGGCATAAAGAAAAGAAAAGAAAAGCAACCAAAAAAGAAATTTGTCCAATCCAGTTCAAATGACTCATGAGCATCCCTGATCCCCAACCCTGGTATATTTTCTTACGCTTCAAGAGAAATAAAAGTACAATGCAGCCATAAAGCAATATTCTCGGGTCGAATGGTGCCAGTAGCAACGCATGACTAAGTGGGTAAAAAGCGAATGGGAGAAAAGAAAACGTAACAGCAGTAACCTCGTCGTGATTTATAACAAGCAGATAAAAGAAAAGAAAAAAAGAAAAGAGAGTCCGTCATACTATCGCTCGTCATGCTTATTGGGCTGATGGGAGGTGCGCTCTAGATCGTCGCTACGTTTATTCTTGTACGTGGGCCCTGGCTCTCCGTCGCTCTCTTCAGTCAATTCCGTCAGACCGTACGCTTGGTTCTCGACATCGTAAGCGTGGATCAAGCCTTCACGGTCTCCATTGCCATTCAGGAAAGCAATGCTGGATGAGCTTCGACGATGGGGCTCATTGCTCCGCCGGGACTGCATCGATCGGCGAGTCTGAAAGCTTGCGATTCCATCGGTAGGTACCCCTTCATCATCCAGCTTGGAGTTCAACATCTGCCGTCCATCCGGGTCATGTCGGGAAAGGTTCAAAAGATAGACGCCGGAGAAGATAATGAGAAACCCGCACAGCAGCGAGATTGTGTTGACCGCATCCGTCGTGTTGAATCCCTTGAAAAGAATGAAGGAAGCGCACAATGTGGCTGTAGTGAACGTCACATAATACAGGGGATTTACGCTGGAGAAGAAGATTCTATCAGCTGCGAATGCATTATTGCGCCTACTCACTTACATCGAAGTAGAAAATTGATTCAGGGCCTTGTTGAAATAGTTCATCTGAGTGAGGATACAGAAGGCCGTGACAATCATAAAAACATAGGTCGACGCATGCGTAAACTGATTATTGCCACCAAGTGTAAGCTTCAGGGCAATGCCAAAAGCCTTGACGGACATGACGGAGACTGAACCGACGGTGGAACAGATCGAAATAAAAATGAGGGGGTTCTTTTTGCCGTAAACGGGCGCAACTCGGTAGATCATGACAGTCGAGAAAATGGCTACCGCAAGACAATAGAGCAGAAATCCTTTTGGGAGCTAAAGTTAGTCCTGCGCCGCGAGGAGCGGGGGTCTAACACATACCTGGTTGGAGAGCATAGTGCAGAATTTCTTCGATCGTCTCGACAGGCTTATCCGGAGGCGCATGAAGGACGATCACCACTGAGCCCAGAAGGCACAAAGCACATCCCATTTTACCCAATGTGCCCAGTCTCTCATCGAGAAAGTAGGAACCAAGGACCGCACTTCACTGATTGTCAACAAGTCGCACAGGGAACAGCAGACTGGAGGGCGATTCCTACCCTATTAAGACACTTAATGCGCCTAAAGGCGTCACGAGGATTGCAGGCGCAAAGGCGTACGCTGCGAAGTTTGCGACTTCTCCAATGGCCACTACCGATCGCTGTTAGCCCTCTCTCGACAGTGCACCAACAGGCGTTTTCGTACATGTGATAACACCACCCCACCAAATGGGGCTTTTCAAATATGAGAATCCTTCTCCCTCAAAACCATGTTGTTCGGATGCGTGTGTTAATCCCTGCATGCGACTGATTAGTCTCGAAGTTCGAGCCGAGGTGGGTATAGGCGGGTGAGGAGGAGGGCTGAATTGACGGCGTGAGCGAGGTCGAACGGACCTTTTTTGTAATAACAAAACTTGTGCCTGGAATATGGTCAATTCTAGTCCGCGATAAAAGCCAGAAGATGAGCCCATACCTATTGCCATCGTTGATAGAATGGCCAAAATTAGGCCGATATACCTATATACAACGGGAGAACCGGTCAGAACAACATGATCATGAGGCCCCTAGAGTCAAACAATCAAGGACAACAAAACAAGAAGCGCATACTTCTCCGAGAGCATATTGATGTATCTTAGGAGCTAGAGGCCCCCTCTGTTGTACGGACTCCAATGCTAGCAGTCGCCTGGCGGAATAAATTTCGAGAATCGAGAGCGACTGTCAACGGAGAGGTGGAATTGGGTGGGTGGGTGGATAGGTAGTTGTTGGCTCGGTCGACTAGCCAAGCATCCGGGGCGCACCAACAATGAATGTCTCTATTCAGGAAGAAGGACAAGAACAGCAACAGCAAATCTCTTGTTATTCGGATAGGAGTGAAAAACGCAGACAAGTAACTCTGCACAAGTTTTTGCAAGGCTTTTTGGGGTTTAGCGACTCTGAAAATGTGGTCGGTCGAGAACTGTGAATGAAAGAGAGCTAAGTTACTGGTCGGTCTTCCCCGATCGGTTCTAGAGGCTAGCCTGAGGCTGGCTTGGCTGCCTGCGCTCGTGCGGTGGGGGGATTTTTTCCCTTCCAGCACACGGAACCGGATGGTTTTTGGGACGCGTAAGTGGTTTGAGTCGATTAACCACACCAAACCCACTGTCTGCTTTGGGGAGTTTACCTGGAAAATAAAAAAGATGATTTCCTCATTCTTTCCTTCCTCTGCCAACATGAGTGTGTATACAGCCCAAATAGTTATCCAGTCAATCGATATCCTCCCTAGTTAGTAAATACCTATCCGGTGCCACCATACTAATAATAGAGTGCCAACCTTACGTACTCTATAGAGAACCGGACAATCACTGTGGTTACCATCAAGTAATACATACAGACAAAAAAAATGAGGAAACTAATTTATGTAAAATACTAATGATTTCGATTCGACCTAACATGCCACCGCCTGCGATGCTAAGTACACAACGTAGCCAAAGTCATCTAATAAAAATGGTCCCCTAGTAAAGGCCGGGCCATTCCCAACTTCAATCTCCAATACTACAGCCTAGATAGGTTCCGTAATGAAGGAATAGGTGGCCACATCACGCCACCCAATCACCATCCAGGATTTGACGCGCTAGCCCCTTGGTGCTCCCTGTTTAACCGTTTCTATGTGTGAGATCGGCGTTTCACAACTTGAGAATCTCAATCGTAGTCTAAGAATAATTAATTTAATTTAATTTCCTCTGAGTCTAAGAATCTCTTTCCCGGCGCTACAGCGGTTACCAGTGCACAGGCATTTTGTATCGCACTTTGCGGAGTACCTAACCTGGTATTATTTATGAGCCCTGCAGGCATCATGTAATATGATATAGTACCCCCCTCCTCGCATATTTTCCTTCCAACGTTGGACTATCATCATAAAATAGTACTGGCACGAGGTCCTAAATAAACTGCCGAGGTATCTACTTCCAGCTTCTATTAAGATTAGGTATCCCATGAGTTACGTCACACAACTGGAGATAGCCTCCTATTCCCTTCAAAGCTTCCAGGGCAGAGTCCCTTACGTGAGAATGCTTCCAGCCTGTAAGTTTACTTTTTAACCCTATGCAATGTGCCTGGACTACTGTAACTTTAAAAAAATAATTAATCTGCTCCGCGGACACCGACACCTCCGCGGACACCGACACGTGACCTTATATCAGTATCTATTGAAAGTCCCGCAGCTTTCTCTTATAACCAAACACCAAATTAGAGGATAATTATGGGAAAAAAAGGTAAAGAGGAAAACAGTCAATCAACATTGATAGCATAACTTCATTTTTTATTACTCCGTACTGCTGCCGTGCTAAGGACCTCTCCCTCTCAGTCACACAAATCATCCCATTGCGAATTTTCGCCTTGTTTAGTCCCAAATACCAAGTCCCCTAGTGAGTACAAAAGATGGGAGGAGAAATATTCAGAAGACACGTCGTAGATCAAGACTAAAACTAGGATATTATTGGTAACTGCCCCTGGAGGTAGGGTGCAAAGGTAAATCACCAGTGACGCCAGTACTGAACAGCATGCTATCTGGGTATAGCGCTTTTGGTATAGGCAAACCTTACACAACGTATAACGCCGAAACCACCAAGAGGTATCACTCCAGCCAAGAGACGCAAGCAATGCAACAAAAGTAGGGGGTTAAGTTATCAAGGAAGAGGAAAAAAGAGATAAGATCACCTCAAACCGGGAGAATAGTGCGTACAAACCTAAAACTTACGGAGCCGCGTCCGGGAGAGGACAAGACTGAACGTATACCTCTAAGAGCATACTTTGAAAATCTGAGGAGTTATTAGGGAGATACATACCTGATTCCGTTTGAGTGGCTGTGGCGGTCGATATCCACCGAAGTATTTTAGGTTAGTTCATTGTTACTAGCGCACCTCGATAGGAAAGATACTGTGATCAGCACGAACCGAGAGGTGCAGTGACTGGTTAGACAAATCCGACAAATGCGCATACAGTCCAGAAAAATGGCGGACTAGTCTGGCAGATAGATCAAAGGGGTGGTAAGAAACTAGTGAAGATGGTGAAGATGAGATCACGAAGACCGGGAGCGCTTAGCGTCTGGAGTAGGGCTCTCAGCCAGCTCAAACTCATCATCTTCCGGCTCACGATGCCGTTTGGTGGATGCCGAAACGGACTTCGTGCCAATCTCCTCATCAGCTACACCGAGATCTTCGTCGATCCCGAAGTCTAGGTATTCTTCCTCGTCATCGAAGGGTAATTCTTCGACTTCGTCTCCGATGGCATTTGATGCAGTATCTTGAGCCACATCAGTAATCTCTCCAGGAAGGCCTGTATCCACGAAATCGTCATCCATATTCTCTGGGCCGCCGATAGAGCTCTTAAGGTCTTCTGTGATACCGAGTGAGACGTCGGCCAGATCGGGACTAGGTTGAGCGAGGTTCCCTTGTACATCTGCGACAGTGCTATCCACCTTGGGCAAAGTATCTCCTTCGTCGCCCTGCAATGTCTCTTCGGTATCATCTTCGTCGTCTTGGGAAACACTCTCAACCTCGGTGTGGGTGTCTTCATAACTCTCTTTCGGCGGTTCCTCGTGATGCTTTTCTGTGTTTGGCTCAGTGGAATGGTCATGTTCATGACCAGAGGCATCACCTTCATCTTCTTCTTCATAGTTAATACTATTGGCAGTAACTGAGCTGATTCCCTCTTCGGGAAAACCCTTGTCGCTAGTGCCTTCTAGTTCGTACCGTTCTTCATGGGTGTCATGGGCCTCTTGATTATTAGGTGGCACATCTGTAAAACCGTCAGGATGTTGCTGCCCATCTGTTGAGTCATTTGCCGGTAGATTGGTTATAGTAGCTGTGGATTCCGTATGTTGCTCTTCTTCCGAGTCATACGATGCCTCATTTGGTGATTGTCGATCGCAAGGCTTTGGGTTCTCGAGCTGCAGCCGGCTGGCTTCTTTTGCTTCAGGGGCATCGTCTGATATGTTAGCACTTGCATCATCACCCTCCAAACATTGGTCATCCTGTTGACCCTCTGCGACTTGGTGATCGTTGGTAGTAGGCTCCTTTCCATGAACATCTTGTGGTTCAGAAAGGCGACGAACTTTTTCATAGGGCATATCTTGCTGCTCTTCATCCGATTTCAGCTCCTGGTCATCTCCTTCAAGGATATCTGCTGAGGCTCCCTCCACTTCATGATAGCCATCCCACGAATGGATCTCAGACAAGCCTTTTCCTTCACTGGCAGCTAGAAGGAGGTCAGAAACCTCCGCAGATATAGTCAGTTTCGTATTGAGGGTGAGATAGAGGGGTTCAGGTTCATCGACCCCATCATTGTGGCACAACTGTAGGTACAAGTCGACAATCTGATACAAAGTTATCTTTGATATATGTGAAGAATCCTGAGATTATAGTTAGTAGCTATACGATAAATAGTAATAGAGCTACAAACCTCAGTTAGTTGGATGTTCAGAGCGTCAACATCCATAATGAGAACTTCATTGTCACCAATATGCTCGCGAAGTACTCCACGACAAGACTGAAAGAGCTCTCCTAACGGCGCATATGCTAGGTTTTCATCTTCGAGGAAAAAAGTTTCGGAGGAGTCGCCCTCGTGAGGTGGGAATAACGAAATCTCGTTTTCTTGGTAGTAAACTCTCACAGGGTAGAGAGGAATATCCTTAGCTGTATCATTTTCTTGCTCGTTGTCTCCCGCAGGTTTCGTCTCTTGCTCATGTGAATCGTCAAACGCCGTGTGCTCTCTTTGTTCTTCTTCCGGTTCTTTGTGCTCATCCAATATTGGCTGGGTTCCACTAGTATCATCTTGATACACTTGGGGCTGTTCCGCGCCAGTTGTATCATCCTCATAATCACCAGGACCTTCCGGTATATCTACTTGAGCTGGTTTGTTAGTGTCGTTGACATTATTATCAACTTTCTCACGTTCAGACTGGCCCACTTCAGGTTCCTGGGTAACATGGTCGGTATCCTGATGATGGTGATGTGGAGTAACTTCTTCCGGTGCATCTTGCACATGTGCCGATTCGGCACCAGTCTCAGGAAGGTTTTCCGCGGTCTGGTTTCCACTATTGTCTTGTTCGATATTGCCTTCTCCAGTAGGGGTTTGTTCTGATGTTACTTGATTAACTGCAGATTCAAGGGGTGTCGGGGCTTCTTCTCGGAGTTCTGGTACAGGAGCTTCTGGAACAGGGGCATCAATGTCTTCCTCAAAATCATCTTCTAGCATATCTGCCTCGTAAAGCTTTTCAGTGCCGTACTGCATCTCGACACTATAACTTGTCTCTGCATATTGGTCGTCTGCATCAAGCATGGTCGGTTCAGCGACATCATCTATCATGTCGGCATCATTTGCACCATCTTGTTCATATGTTGGTTGAGGAGGCTCCTCAAATTCGTCGTCTCCAATCATGTCTTTATCGTTGTTCGAGGCTTGATCGTCCATGACATCGAGGTCGATGTCAAAATCGTCGGCATGCCCCGGGTAAGGGGAAGCCATCTCCATCGTATCATCGATCACAGGAGGGTCCATCGCAGAGAACGCTACTGGAGAGGCTGTGGCCATAGCATGAATGTATTGAGAGGTTATCGCGTGTAAGATTCAGTGTGGCGTTGGATGATGTCGAGTTCGAATACAGGCGTGCCTGCTACGCTTACAAGAAAAACCAATGTTTCAGTCAATGAGTAGAATGAAAGATCATAGAATCTCTTTTCAATATGATGTTAAAAGTGAGAGGAAGATGATAAGAAAGGACGCGTTAACGGGATTGTTTAAGACTTGTAGAGAGCAAAGTTAGGCTCTGGCTCTTGTGCTGTGGTAAGCGAGGGGGTAGCGCTGTGCACGGGCCAACGGAGAGACAGAAGTGAACAGCAAGCGGCTCCGCCGCCGGAGTGGAATACCTGGCATTGCATTCGACCACAGTCTGGACACACTTTCAGATATTCACCCATTCCTTTAAAGCCGCCATTTTGTCTGGCTACCATTAAAGCGGATTCGTATTTTCTTACTATTCAGTCATGGTCTGTTTCTATCTTCCGTAGTCTCAGGCGAACCGTGCTGACCATTGTCAACCCACAACAGGTTGTACTCGCAGCGTCCATATGCACCCGCGGGGGTAAGGCAGTTCTTTCGCGCCAGTTCCGTGAGATTGCTCGCTCTAGGATCGAAGCTTTGCTCGCATCCTTCCCTAAATTGGCAGATTCTGGCACCCAGCATACCACCGTTGAGCAAGACAATGTCCGCTTCGTGTATCAGCCCCTGGATGAGCTATACATTGTCCTGATCACCAACCGCCAATCGAACATTTTGCAAGACATTGATAGCCTTCATCTCTTTGCCCAAGTTACCACCAGCATTTGCAAGAGCTTAGATGAGCGGGAGATTGTGCGCAATGCTTTCGAGCTACTCAGCGCATACGACGAGCTGGTAACACAGGGGTACAGAGAGAATTTGACACTGTCACAGATCAAGACATTCTTGGAAATGGAGAGTCACGAGGAGAGGATACAAGAAATTATTGAACGGGTATATTTATTCCCCACTAATCGAGAGTTCGACGGCTCGCTGACTTTACTTCTTAGAATAAAGAACTCGAGGCGAGTGAGGAACGTAAGAGAAAGGCGAAGCAACTGGAGATGCAGCGAAAGGAGGCAGCCCGCACCGGTCGTGCCATGGCTCCGCGAACCCCATCTTATCCCGTGTACACTCCTCCGTCACGACCTGCCATGCCTGATTCCTACGATTCCTACGAAGCCGAGAAGAAGAAATCATTTGCCAAGTATGTATCTGTATCCCACTGTTTTCCCTGCTGTTCCTAACGAGCAACGCCTTTAGGCCATTGCCGATCAGAGGAAAAGGCATGCAGCTCGGCAAGAAGTCAAAATCTACGGACATATACGAGAAAGTCCGCGGTGATCTGGGCCCTGAAGTTGAGGAGTCTAGCCCACTAGTTACCCCGCAGGCCTCAACCCCTATCGTGGGGGAAACTTCCTCCGCGCGGGCCTCTTTGTCTGCCGATCGGGACCCTATTCATGTTACTATTGCGGAAACAATCTCTGCCAGTCTTACTCGCGAAGGTGCTCTGAAATCCTTCGAGGTCAAAGGCGACCTACAGCTCCGCATCTCTGATCCATCATTCACCAAAGTCAGGCTTGATCTCGCTACCAGCTCTACCCATGGAGCTCAGTTCCGTACACATCCAAATGTTGATAAGGCTGCCTTCACCGACTTATCAGCTATTCAATTAAAGGATTCAACCAAGCGATTCCCAGTCAATAACTCAATCGGTGTCCTACGTTGGCGCGTCGCTAGCTCTGATAACACAGACATCCTTCCCATCACATTCACCGTCTGGGTGAACAGGGGATCCGATTCTACCACTGTCACTGTTGAGTACGAGCTTACCGGCTCAGACGCTCTGCGGGACGTTATTGTGACTATCCCATATGGTGAGACAGAGCCATCTGTATCTAGTTTCGATGCTGTATACGAAGTGACCGGGGATAGCATCGACTGGAACATCGGAACAGTGGATGAAAGCAACGCGACTGGAAGCTTCGAGTTTGAGTCTACAGGCGATTCTGACGAAAACATTTTCTTCCCAATGAACGTGCGCTTCTCCAAAACCAATCCTTTCGTTGACGTTGATGTTACCGCTGTCTCTCTGTTAGAGATGGGTGGCGAAGAAACCGGATTCAGCAAGGAGGTGAAGAGCATTGCTGATGGTTATTTGATCAAGTAATATGGTTTCGGGTGTATAGAGTATTAATGATGTTCGGATTGCCTTCTTAAGATTTTATCACCGCGAATTCCTCTAATTCTGTTGTCCAGGGCCCTTTTGTTTTTATGCTCCTCAATAAAACCCATCCTTCCCGTCTTTCTCAGCTAGAGTTTCTTTGGACATTGGCATTAAATCTGTGTACTTGATGAGTAAGGGGGCAGGGCGTTATTCCTTGGACGTCCTAGAATCTACTCTTGGACATAAGCAACTATGAATCATATTTCCACCTACCTCTAGGTTCGTCAAAGGGGCAGATTGACTTCATCTATAATTAATTCCACTGTTCTTGGTCATTTGAGGGGAACACAGAGTCCTCTTTTGATCCCACCTTTCCCTTCGTTATTATGGTATTGATTTCTTTTTTCCTTTTTTTAGAACAAGAAGAGAGTGATAAAAAAGGAAAGAAAAGGAAAAAAGAAAAAAAAAAAAAAAAAAGATAAAAGTTTCTTTGGTACAGGTGAAGGGTACATGAAACGTTGGTTACTATTTAAGTGGTAAGTCTAAAAGTCACCTGCCTTCTGCATTTCCTGTACTCACTTTATTTATTTACCCTTGACCTTAACACCCCCTCGATCTTACCCAGGTAGGCAGACGGCATTTCACTCCACTAGAGCCCGATCCCGAGGTGCGCGTGAGCGAGAATGAGAACCTTTCAGCTCCGCTGACCGTGGCTCCTCGAGTGAGAGAATTTCGTCGGAACTGGGTCATTCGGATGTAATGAAAGACGTCAGCATCAATAAGCACAGTCACAGATCCACGGTGTATAGAGCTGAAGAGGGAATGGGTGTGTATCGGCTCATACTTAGTGTATACAACACTCGGTCAGTTCTGTCATTGATTGATCCTCCAAGCTCTCCGTACCCCCAACATTCCGCCATGGATGGTCAGCATTTCGGTGACCAACTACCTCACCTGAGCTTCCGGTTATTGGGTTACAGTCAAAGAACGACAACCAGGGCCCCCGGGAGGCTGTTGGGGTATCCCCCTCCCCTCTTCCGCGGCACTGCCCCTCAAGCGTTCATTCCTCAATAATCGGGTGGGGTGCAAATCTGGGTCGACAAGGATCTTTATCAGTCAACCAAGGGCTTGGGGGGTTGTCGTTTCCATTGTCATGTGTTTGTTGCGCTCGAGGTACTAATGAACCCACGGACGAAACCTCGAAACACGGTTACTGGTACCTTCCGTGAGTTATAAAGCCGACATGCAACTATGGATCACTCCATCAGCTATATACTCAGTTCGTTTAACCTTTTACCTTGACTGATGTGCACCGACGATGCGCCCTCACATAAGCATTACACATAGGGACCAGACGGGAAAGAGGCGAATCTAGGCCATGTTCAACCAGCCCTGTGAGAGGCTCTTTCACCTGAGAATGGGCAGACGGCCGAAAGGGCGGGAACCAATGAGATCGTGCAGGGCGGCTCTGGGTGTGACCGATCAACCATACTCACTGCATGTCACATTGACTCCCCTGCACGGCGTCTATGGCGATATTCGGGCATGATGGATATCCCTTGTCCAATCTCAACCGCCACCGGGTTGGAGAGACCCCATTATTACATAGGTTAATGGCTTGGTTACCCTAATAGGTATCAGCGGTGAACTTCGAGATCTAGAACTTCGTTTCTTGTACCAATGCAACCTGCGCATTGTGGGTTTCATACACCCATCAAAATGTCTTTAGCAATGGCCCCCACATGGTGCTCAACCATGCCTGCCAAATATTATCTAAAACTTTTTTTTTCTGATTTTTTCCCCTCTCTTATGTTGGTATGATTGCAGTGGTTAGTTATGAGACACTTCTCGACCAGGAACATGTCATGAATCATTCCCCGTGCCTACCATATTTATAATGGCAACAATTTGTGGAATGATTCTTTTCCTCCAGAACAAGCCATCGATCATGCCTGACTGCAGCAAACAATTTCTGATAATTGGCGCAGGAAGAACTTTATTTTATTAGGTATGCACCTCTTACATATTACATATTAACTTTGCCGTTGAAGCATTGGTACTTATCTGGCTTGCGTGTCCAAGTAGATAAAAGTGTACCTTTTTCAAAAACGTCGTTTTCATTACACAATGGCCAGCCTGCAAATACACACCTGGAAAGAGCAGCCCACTATGTTCAACGTGCCGTCCTCTGAAAACAAAAGCTACAGCCATAGGGTACGGTTTGTCCCATCGAGCGCTAAAGCAGCCGCCAATTTTCAAAGCATGCTGACATGGTTATACTTCTAATGTATGGTATAGGATAATGCAATGGCCCCACCGCATTCACACGACCTAGATCATCTTCTGGGTGGCAGGAAAATGGCTATACCCAGATTAGCAGAAGGAGCTGAGTCTGCCTTTACCTCGCCCGGAAGGTTCCATCGTCGGCATGTTAGTCGGGCCTGTGAATCCTGCAGGCAGAGAAAAACAAAATGCACGGGTGACAAGTCTGGCTGCCGGAATTGCCGAGAGGCTGGAATCATATGTTGCTATACCGACGGCAAACGAGAGAAATCCAAGAGGTAAGTGGCAATGCGAAGCTCCAGATCCGATCCTTGAAACATGATAACGTTTTTGGGTCACTTTCAAAGGCAGATGGCTAGCTTAGAAGGGAAGATACAGGCCTATGAAGATCTTCTCAAAAAGCTGAGCAACCGTCTCGGTATTTCTGGCGAGTATTTGGTGAGCCTTGCGCTAACGGTGGGTGTGAATTACCCTTCCTAGTACTCCCTCGCTGAGTGAAAGCAGGAATGTGCCACTTATTCGGCCGCACAGTCTGATGCTATATTGGAAGAAGGGAAGTTATTTGAGCCTTATCTTTCAGGCACATCGCCTGGATCTCATTTTTCGGACCACACCGAAGAAGACTTTAATAGGGATGACTTCTCGCGGGCTACAGGCTTCATTGGTAAAAGCTCGGAGATTTCATGGCTGCAGGTGTTAAATAAAGAATTTGACTCCGGGTGCGAGGTATGTCGTTCAACTTCTGGCATATCATCACCGTCTTTGACGTCCTACTGTGATGGGCCGATAGCCTCCTCAAATTATCACCTCGACGACTTAGACATACCTGTTATTGAGCGACTCGACATATCCGAGCTTCCACCTAAGGACACTGCTACAAAGCTCTTCAACGCGTACATGAGTTCTGTACACCCCTCTTATCCCATCATTGGAATTTCAACCTTCGCATCCCAATTCCAAGCATTTTTTAACAACCCATCTTTAAAGCCAGGAAACAAGTGGCTTGCCATTTTAAACCTTATTTTCGCTATTGGTGCAAAACAGGCCCAGTTGACTGATGCCGAGTGGAAAAGGGACAAGGATGATCACTACTTATACTTCATAAGAGCAAGAACTCTGAGTCTTGAGGGGCAAGTCCTTCATCATTCTGACCTGCAACAGTTACAGGTCGAAGGATTGGCATCATTTTATATGTTATCATCTGGTCAGATAAATCGGTATGTTCGCATTGCCTATCTACGTTTCGAATGTTACGTTCGCAAGACTCACAAATAGACCCAGATCATGGAAGCTCTGTGGTAGTGCGGTGCGAAGTGCATTGAGCCTTGGGTTGCATCTACGCAACATAGGGACGGGCACATCGGATACTTCTAAGGAAATAAGATATCGTGTTTGGTGGTCTCTATACACACTCGAGCATCGTCTTAGTGTGATGACAGGCCGACCTTCCTGCATAATCGATGACACCTGTACGACACCTCTGCCTGTTCCCTTTGATGAGAGTGACTTCCGACATGAGCCGGTGATGCGCCTAATAAGCCGCTCCACACCGGAGGGCCTTAGCCAACTCGAATCGGTCCCATGCATGTCACTTTATTTCCTGCAATTGATTAAACTCACCTCGATTGCGAAAAGGATGGCGAGCAGACTCTACAATCTCGAGGGAGTGGAGACGCCTTGGCCGAGAATGGAATTTGCAATACAAAGGTTAAACCTTGACCTTAATTCCTGGCTTATAAACCTACCGAAGGCTTACGATTTCACCTCCACACACACTTCGCAGGGCTTAGCAACCCACAGAATGAGCCTAGCTCTCAACTTTTATAGCACAAAGATTGGTATCACAAAGCCATGTCTTCGGCGTCTTGACCCAAGTGCGCATGGGGATAAAGCGGTAAACTTTTCCAGAAAGGCAGCCGTCGAATGCGTTGAATCAGCTTGTCATATGTTGAGACTATTTCCCGAACCTCTAGAAGCAGCATTGCTACACAAAATATCTCCTTGGTGGTGCATATTACATTTCCTTATGCAAGCAACTGCCGTATTGTTGATTGAGCTCTCTTTCCACGCTCAGCACGTCCCAGAAAAAGCAGCTATGGTGTTAAAGGCGGCCAGAAAGTCTTATGATTGGCTGTTAGTCATGTCGGAGACTAGTATGGCCTCAGAGAAAGCTCGGAAGATGTGTCATGAGTTTCTTCGTCGGCTTGGCTTCAATGCTAATGCTAGAGTCTATAGCTTTCCTTGTATAGCAAGTCTCCATTCACAGGACTCGGTGGATGACGAAGTCCACAAGCCGCCTAGTTTACGAGAAGGAACTACCACCCCCGGCAGTCTCATAGGCGATGTGGGTTTTATGTCTTTGTCGCCGGTAGACCATTCTACTGCCCATTTTGCCCCACAATCGTCTGTTGGTATGGAAGTCCCCGGACCACAAGCGTTTGAGCAGGACGAGAAAGCTCTAGATGCCCACAATTCTTACGGTGACTATCTACCTTATGACCCCGCCACGGGTCAGATAACCGGTTCTTTCTTCCCTCCCGAAGATGACATTAATATTGGGCTCGAATCATACTGCTGGGATGAAAGAATAGAATGACTAGCACGACAACTGGCCCCAGTACCTGCACCCCCCAACCAAAATGTCAAAATTATTCTAAAATAGCACAAGAGGCTACACACTCTTTTAATAATACGATGCCATCAACCCTTACGTCTGCTGAAAGGAGGAATTGGTTGTTGAACACAGAGTCCCCGGAACAATTCTACCACACGCGTTATCTATCATTGACTTCAGATTCTTGATTGCACGCTGGCGTCGACTTTGCTATGTAATATGTAATGGCCACCGACCGACATCCTACAAATTGACGATGACTATATTTCGTTTACCGCCCATTCGTCTTGAAGCTACAGACACAATGAGAATGATTTTGAGTCAATCGGTACTGTATAAGCAAAGAAAACCAAAAGTGGAGACATGTCAATAGTAGCTTGATCATCTCGGCCCTCCGCAAGCGGGTTCCACGAACTACGATCTTCCGTTTCATACTTCATTCACTCAGAAACTTCATCCATGAGTCACTGCCCCCGAAAAATAAGATATACGCGCTTTCAACACTTATCGTCGGGCTGGAAGCATACGAATCTTTTTGAGCTGCGACATGCCTACTAGACCGCGATCCTTCTTTAGTACTCGGTATACCGGCTTTTTTCTTTCTTTGTCTTCTCCCCAGCTTTGCTGAACCGCAACACATTGCTATTCGATTCATCCAGTCATAATGTTCCTATCCTATCCTCGGTTTCTGTCTGAAGGTCCTGGAGATACTCAACAAGCGCAATATGCGAAACCGCTTTGCAATGTTCAATGCGCCGACCTATCGATTTCCTAATACCCTTATTCTTGGCTGGTGGAAGTGTTAGCGTTCTTTCTGGCCTTGAATTTGTCTGGATTCACTTGCAGTAGTATAGTTACAAAAGAATGTTGCCGCGAGGCTCTATCTGTAAGGACTCTAGTGGCTTTTCATGTATTTGATCATCTTCCTGAATTGTAGCTTGACTGTCCTCCATGATTCTTCAAAATGGGGAATTCGTCAGCGGATGTGTGCCCTCGAAAGTAATGAGAAAGAAGGGCAAGTGATGCGCGTATAACAACGAGACAGATAATGTATACCTATATTTATGAGATCGTCGCGTCTTCGTAACAACAAAAGCCCAATGAAAGTAAGGCGACATGACGATGAACTTTTGGTACCGCGTATCAAATACTGAATATCAGTTTAAGCTTCCCAGTTCCTCTTCTTTGCTGTGAAAAGCAAACGAGCTTTCTCCTCCTGGGAAGAGGATCGTGATAGGCCCGATGACATGAGCGGTATAGCGCTAATTCGAGACAAATGGACATCGAGAACTAGGGCTCTTTGAAGTGACCGGTTTGCCCATGAACTAGACGCAGAGGGCCAATCTTTGCCATCCCAATCCTGCACTTCAATACCTAGTAGGCCTCTACTGTCACCCACGAATCGTTCTATGCAATCTAAAGGGGGAAGAAACCGGCGTCTCACACCGCAGCCATTATGATTCGTGTCGATTTGATAATCAGGACACTGCTTAAGCGAGGAGATAATAGTTGATATGTCACTTGGGGGGCCGCCCGGCTGGGGGCGTTCTGTTTCCTCGTCTTCGGAGTCTAAGCTGAAATCTGGATCTATTAGGGTGGATCCGAGGAATATCGTCTTCGTGCGTAGAGTGAAAAAGCGGGTCATTTGACCCAGATGAAAGGCGTCGCAGGCACTAGAATTTCCGAATCCGCACCGACATTGATACTGTCGGGATTGCACTGTAGTACCTGCGACCGATGCAGTGGGCAATTTAAGGCGTTCTGGCTCCTCCAGTGCGCCAAAGGCGCGGAGAAAGTACGCTTGGAGATCTGTGATGGTATTCAAAACGCATTGTCGCCTATAGTATAATTCTTCTAGAGACTGTCTTAGCACTTGTGAGACATGACGAGTTCGAATGGGTTTTTACCTTCTAGACCGTCGGGGAAGTACCGCCAACGGACACTAGCTGACGTAGGTGGTTCAACGCCATTTACCCAAAACTTTGACCCAAGAAGGATCAGCGCATGTGTCCATACTTGGAGAATAGTACACTCATTAAGAAATCTTGCTATGAAGATTGTTTGCCGAATACGGTCCTCGTTCAGTCTCAGTATCGAGACATCGAACTTCACCATTGGGACTCTTCCTTTCCCAAATGCATAACCAGTTCTCTTCAGGGCTTCTCGGATAATATCAGGAGAGTTGAAGGCATCAGCTAGCGCTACCAGTCTAGCAACTAAAGAAGTAGGTTGGGTTTTGAGCTCCCCGTCAAGTTTGATTTTCTCTTGATCGTCAAAGGAATTGAATGACAGCACTCGAAGGAATAGTTCGATTGCGTCTACCCCAATTTTTGGTGGGAGATGATCCACCGGCAACCTGACAGTTGGCAGGGTACTTTGGATCGAAGCATCATCAGATAATGCTTTCCCACCCTGGTTCCACCTCGCCTTCTGTAAGATGAGATTCCTGCCTTCAGAAAACTTATTAGGGTCAAGCAAGGCCCGAAAGTAGGGACTGTTCCTTATAAGATCATCACTTAAGACCTGCCAACGGTGACTAGCGGATTCAGGGGAAACAGAAATAGAACCCTCTAAGGGGGCGTATTCAACAAGCACATCCCCGGTTCTTAACAGAGCTTTTACAACTGGCTGAGCCCCAACTGAAGGGCCATTAACCCCTTTATGGTTGCCAACAGCCATGGGAGCGCCCCTTATCGGAAGGGGGTTGTCTTGGATATTGCGGAGATCCAGTGTTTGAAGCGAAGCCTCTATTCCAATAGGTGCTGGAGAAGGATCTGGCTCCATGATGTATAGACTCTGGAGGCAAGGCTCTTTATACTGGCACGTTCCACATTACTCGCGTCACAATTTTTATGTAGGATCTCATATACGACGCCTGTTTCTTGGATACTTGGTAGACCCGGTTGTGGCTTGTTTGTTATTCGGATGTCCTTTTACACAAGGATGAGAGCATCATATGTTCCCACATGAAGAAAGACTTACGGCGACAACACAACTGGCGGGGAACTGAAATCACTGATCAACGAACGTTGCCTCATCGGGCGTTCGAGTCATGTGACGGTACCCATTCCCAAAATGGTAGTTTGTGATTTTTTCACCTTAGAATTTCAAACACGAATAGTACCAGTTTGACTAAGTGATTTTGGTATTGAAAATAGTAGATATTATACAGTGTAATCTGGTGCCGCTGTAAATTAAACACTTGTATCCCTTCGAACAACTTGTACCTCACCATTCCATCCAATGGGGTGCCCAACTCCGTAATCACAAAAAGAGAAAAGAAAAAGAAAAAAATTGATGGTAAGAAAAATTGCGCCAACATCAAGTCACCCAGTAACAATAAGTAAACCCCAAATGAAAAAAGAGCAAGTGACGAGAAAGTAACAGTTAAATGGCTAGCAGCGTTCCTGCTTTACGGCAAGGATACAACAGGGATATGGAGAATTTCGTATTCGTTCCGTTTACTTGTGCTGGTATGCCCGTTTTGTTTTTCCTTGATGGACGCATTTCGAAGCTTCAATGCATGTGCCATGCTGTAGAATAGCTTCGTTGCCTGTAAATTCGCTGTATCCACCTGCGACATCTCCATCGCAGACCGGGTCATCTCATCCATCCCACTCTCGTCGTCATGATCTTCAAGATCATCGCCGCCCATGAGACTGAATCTAGGAGGGATGTGTGAGAATAAAGCCAAACATGGTTGCGGCTCTTCTTCGTCTGAAGCATAAGGACTAGGTTGCTGTTGGTCTGCTTCGTGTGCAAGAGACTCGGTGTCGAATATGTCATTCCTTTGAGAAACAAGATGCCATAACTCGCCGCAAATAAATCCAATGACAAAATCTTGATTGGCGCGTGCAGCAGCGAGGCAGCTCTTTCTGTAGTCGGCTTTGAACGAGGAATCGGTTGTTGACGGTAAACACAGGACAAGGCCACGCGCAAGCAGAGGTGGGGGTGGAACCTCCTCATCGATAACGAATAGACTTGAACTCCCGCTCTGAAGGCTATCCTTCCGCTCGTAGACTCCCGAGTCTGTAGGTGATTCTATTATATCCTCAGTATGCTGTGTGATTGTCTGAGTCAGAGAGATGGTGGAGGCTTTCCGAGGCGGAAGGCCGCTTGTATCGCCAGCCACATAATCGAAAGTGAGATGTGAACCAGCATCACTATTCTCGAGAGCCATTGCTTCATGTCCAGTCGATGGACGCTCACTTGGGCTGTTGGCCGTGATTTCCGTCTTGATGGTCTGCACAGCGTCCGCCACAGCCTCTCGAGCAGCAGCTTTAAGGGTGGGAATCAGAATATCAGCTTCTTGGTTGCCAACTGCCACCCCTGAAGCCCACGCAGTTCCTAAGACAGCCCACGAAGCTTCCTTGACGACACCCTTCGTATATTTCTTCCGAATCAAGTCCACTAATTGATTCTTCACCTCTCTCGACTCGGTCTTTTGTCTGCCAACAATATCAACGGTGGCATTGAGGATGCGGCCCGATTCCCAGAGTAAAAATCCATGTTTCTTAGCTAAGGAGGTCAATTGGCGAGCTGTCTCGTCGCACCAATCATCGATAATATCCGCATGGATCTGCAGAATGGCTATGTGTGGGCCAACGGAGGATGCCAATTGCAGCAGAGCATCTGTGGTGGTGATGGTGTGGGAAGGAGCCACGCAGAGCGGAAACCCGAATGGCAGTCCCCTCTTAGCCGTCGTCAAGATATGCAGGTAGGAGATTAAACGATTCCCAAGGAAAGAAGGTGATTCGAACGCTGAGCCTTCCATTATTTGTTTATGGGCCGGAATGACAGCCGGGGGGTAGGGGATGAGTTATGTTGTTCAGGAAACAAAGGGAACAACGGGGAATTGCCTTCCTCTTTTAACCTAAGAGCTTGGGGCAAAGTGAACCAGAGAAGTTGGTACTCTCGATGAAACTAAAGCTGTACTAACGTCGTTGGCGTCCAAGCAAATAAAATGGTCAAGTCGGTCGAGACAATGATTGACGGAAGGCTTGGGGACTCCACTTTTTTTGACAGTTAGTCCGTTCAGGTAAATCGACAGGGGGGCAAAGACCCAGTGTTGTGGTTGTATTATCTCCTAGGCGAACTCAATCGAGTCAGCTAATTGCCCTCGAGGATGTCCCCGTTAATGGGTCAAGAGGTGGACTGTGATGCTCTAATGTTACATCTGCCATGTCCAGTCAGTAGCTAGAGAAGCAGAGGGAGACAGAGAGACAGAGAAAGGAACCGGAAGAAGGAGAATAACTCCGCTCTGAAAATATAATTGATATGGTATAGCATTGTATCTCATGCGTTTCCTTTTTGTGGTTTATTGTTTTGGATCGGTCAATTTGCGTTGAATATTTACATTTTTCTTCCCTTGTTTCTTTTTTCCCTACTAAATTTTGTTGCTAGGCTGACATACATTCAAGTCAGGGTTGATGATGATCGCCTTTTTTGGTGGACCGTTTCAAGGATCTCCGGCGATTCTCCAACTGGGTTATTGTAATCATTGTAATCACAATACTCATATTAAGGGGTAGAGAACAGTTGAGATCCCCATATATCTCGTACAACTTCCATCGAAACCATACACCATTATTACTTTAAAAAGGGAGCACGGGTTGAGAGCCCTGCCGCTTATCCACTAATGTTGTTCAATTTTGTCCGAAAATATATTCTCGGACCGCCAACCGGAACGAGCTCTAGTGGTATTTCGGGAGTCCTCCGAGTCCGTAGCCAGTCTTTCAACCCTAAGTCCGCATGCCCCTATGCCTAAATTGGTATATGGGATGCTTTTAGATCGTACCAATTTCCCCAGTACGGAGAGCGACACATCTGTTTTAAGGTTTCTCGGGGACGATAAAACCGCGGTACAGGCGAAAGTGATGTTAATCACGACGAATGAAAAGCGAAGTCGGAGTGAGGCTGAGAAAGAACTATCTCTCATGATCTCATCACGAGGCTCAAAATCAATTGTGTCCCGGGGCGAATTTGGATCCTGGTTCCGAAATAGAAGTCTATCTCGTTCAGCCAGCCCCATCGGGAACAGGTAGACTAGACCTGAGTTCGGCCGAATCCGAGGACGCTCTTACCGGGATTCTCCTTTCCTTGTCCTGGACGAAGCTACCGATAGTGCTGGTACTGTATTTCTTGTTTAGGGTGGCCAGAACCCTGAGTTGTCTTCGGCATAATCAGTCAGGATCCGTAGATCAGTATGTGGGTTAAAGCCAACCCTCTCTGGCATTCCTAATCCAGTAAACGATTTCCTTGTCCATAATGGTTCGGGTTTTGGAAAATCTCCACCCCATGCATGAGTGTAAGGATCTGAACGCGAACCCTAATGGGATGATATTGTCCATGCATTTCCGATCAAATGAACGGCAGTTGCACTAGATGCATACGAGGTTAATACATCTCGGGGCAAAAATCAGGAAAGCTCGAGGACTTCAAGAGGAACTCTGGTCTTCCTACTGGCTAATAATCCCTATACATGAGACTAAATAGTCTACTACTAACACTAACAACACTAAACTAAAGTCCAATAAGACACTGCCCTACAGCCAAGACACAACTAGTAGACTTCACTAGCGCTCTAAAATAGCGATTGCAAATCAAAAATATTTGGGCGACCAGACCACAGGTTAACTGTACCCCTTGGTGTTGAAAATCCGTTAGATTCCTCCTCGAGCCCCTATGAGGCCGCCCATGACGGGTCGTTGGAATCCTTCCATTTGACACGTTAGACGCTTAACGACCATACAGGAAATGATCTATGCTTAATCTAGACCAAGAGCTTATAATTACTCTTGTTCTGTTCTAATGGCCAAAAGTACTGTACTGTATGCACATGGATCTGCTCTGAATCACTTACTCCTACCGATACTTCTACCCGCTCTTTGGGCGGTTTTTTTTTTGTTAGATAATGCCTTTTGATTCCTACTGAGGCTGTGTCTGTAAGCAGATGGTATGTGCGCTCTTATATAATTCCAAATCTCCGTCCCTTGTCGCTACTTTGTATAGAATACTCCGTACTCCGCGGAGTATTCCCAGGTCAACCGTGTCGCAACGTAACTGTACTTGTCCACAAAGGATTGTATCAGCCAAGCCTAGAGGAGCGGGGTATAGCGTGCTTGATAAGCTCGTCCGTTTGCCTCGTACGAAACACAACATCATTCATAGATATATAGATATAGGGGCATGAGATGATTCATGAATTGTGTCTTTGGGTTGCTGACTAACCTTGCTGGTCAGGGGTCGATCGTCAAAGGGGTTAGCGTCAAACTGCGCCTCGGCATGGACATAATGGAAAAAAGAGTCGAACTTCTATCACCTCCGCATTTTGTCTGTTGATCGATCGTACATGTTCGTAAAATTGATCAATACTTTTTGAATCTCACCACGGTGCAGACGCCACTGTATATTTCGTGTGTGGTTGGCTTCTTCTCTAGCTCAGCACGATTCTCATTAACCAGCCTGTGTGTGGTTTTTTATTTTTTAATTTTTTTACCCCTTCCCTTGTACCCGTCGGAGCCATCGGACCCGCGAACCTGAATATTATTCTGAGGCTCACGCCACCCTTTCCGAACAATTTATTCCGTTATCTGGTCGTGGTGTGATCGGTCCAACTATATCTCTTCTATTTCTACTCCCTTATATTCCCTGTCTTCCATCATCACCTAAGACGATTGGCGTCAATTACCGGAGCTTTCCGTTCCAACAGCCATGCCAGGAAGGGTTTTGCCAACGTTCACCTCCGCCGAGGTCGAGTCTCATAACAATGCCAAATCCTGCTATGTGACCGTGGGATCTAAAGTCTATGATCTCACATCTTTTGTCGATGATCATCCTGGCGGTGGTGATTTAGTCCTTGACTATGCTGGAAAGGATGTCAAGGAAATCCTACGCGATGCCGTATCCCACGAACATTCGGAAGCAGCTTACGAAATTTTGGAGGAAAGTCTGATCGGCTTTATTGCCTCCGACTCGACTGGCAAACAAGGGACCAAAGTGAATGGGGTAGGGGGAACGAATGAGCCTGTATACGCCTCAACTGGAATGTCCCGCGAAGAGGATCTATCTGTTGAGACGGACTACAGTCAAGATTACAAGACGCACAAGTTCTTGGATCTCAACAAACCTCTTCTTATGCAGCTCTGGAACAGCGGCTTCAGCAAAGAGTTCTACTTGGACCAGATCCACCGCCCACGCCATTACAAGGGAGGTGAATCTGCTCCTCTTTTTGGGAACTTCCTGGAGCCCCTCAGCAAGACCGCATGGTACGTGGTCCCAATAATATGGCTGCCGCCTGTTACCTATGGAACCTTCGTCGGGTTTGCTGGTCTGGGAAATGTGCCTGCCGCAGCTACCTATTGGGCCGGCGGTCTTTTCCTGTGGACCTTGATCGAGTACCTCATGCATAGGTTCTTATTCCATATCGACCGGTATGACTTCTAGCTCCCCTTTCTAGTCATGCGTTTGCTAATCTACGTCCAACTAGATATCTTCCCGATAACCGCGTTGGTTTAACCCTCCATTTCCTATTACACGGCATCCATCACTATCTACCTATGGATAAATATCGACTTGTAATGCCACCAGCTCTATTCATTATCCTAGCTACACCATTTTGGAGGTTGGCGCATGCTGTCTTTTTCTATAACTGGTACGCTGCTGTGACGGTATTTTGCGGCGGCGTATTCGGTTATATTTGCTATGACTTAACCCATTATTTCCTCCACCATCGCAAGTGAGTCAATCTGGAACCCCGACTGTGATCTACGCGTGATTGACCAATTTTCACTACAGACTGCCACAGTTCTATCAGGACCTCAAGAAGTATCATCTTCAACATCATTTTGCTGACTTCGACAATGGCTTCGGTGTCACCAGCCGTTTCTGGGACCGTATCTTCGGTACAGAGCTCGTGACACCGGCGCCTAAAGACGTGAAGAGACAGTGAAAACACAATCATATAAAGATTCGCCTTCTCCTCACTCATTATCTGAGTATGAAATAATGCCAAGGCTGCTTGTGGAACAGTCTTCTATTCGTTTCTGCTTTTTTTTCTCTTTTTTATCTGGAGTCCTGGGATGTTGTTCTTGTTTAATTACCCTATTCCGTTTCATTCATGTACAGTGAATTTGGTCAGCGGCCATGGGTAAATATTGTTGCAGGACCAGGGTTCTTCCCATATATATTATGAGCATGGCCTTCGGCGAGATTATTAAAATAGTGTTTATACGATTGTATATGACGGTACTACATAATGCATAATACAATTACCCATACAAGTTTTGACTTGCGAAAATACAGTTTATTGCCATCTGGCTCATTCAGAAATTGAAGTCGGAGGCAACGCCAAGGAATACCACGTGATGTTGGCCGCTTTTCATTTCCACCCAATCTTTCCCATTCTCCCATACCACTTCTATGACTCTTGACTTTAAATAACTCACTTCTCTTGAAATATCTGTCACATTCTTGCAGTGATAATATCTATAATTTAAGAACAGAGACACTCTGTGAAGGACTAGGCTGTGAAAAAAAACAGAAGGGTTCGCTCAAGTCAAGCTTGATCTGCCGTCACCATCTAACCAAGCTAAAAGTGATCTTAATCCATTCCACGCGATCTTCCTTATCTCCTTTCTATTCAGCTTCATCCAGGGGAAGGTTATCAACGTATCGTCAATATGTCAGGTCTCGATGTCGAGGCTCTACTTGAGTCTACAGCCGCCGCAGTACCCCAAGATGCCCGACAGTCCCAGGAACGCGATGACCGCTCCAAAGCCGACAGTAGTGACCGACGTGACCGTGACCGCTCGCGTGACAGGGATCGTAGACGTCGGGACCGTAGCCGGGACCGACGTCGTGATGCTGATGGAGATGAAGACATGAAGAGTCCGAAAAGCGAACACGGCAGTGCTAACGGAAGCCATAGAAGCAGAAAGAGGAGCAGGAGCCGTGAGAGTGATCGCCGTCGGGCGCGTCGTGACCGCAATGGTGATGGCTACCGGTCTGGCGGAGACTATTACCGTGGAGGCGGGCGGGCCCGCACTCGATCTCGATCCCCTAATGATGACCGCTATTACCGCCCCTCGGGTCGTGCTCGTCGAGAAGAGAGGGAAGATGACCGACGCTCTCGCCGCGAACGAGACACTCGCAGACGTAGCCCCAGTCGCGAAAGAACACCGGAGCTCAACGAGGATGAACGTGATAGACGCACTATTTTTGTACAGCAGCTTGCGGCTCGTCTAAGAACAAAGGAATTGATTGCTTTCTTCGAGAAAGTTGGACCTGTTAAAGAGGCACAGATTGTCAAGGATCGCGTCAGTGGACGGTCTAAAGGGTGAGTGCGCGGCCCTTCATTGACAATATGCTTTGAACCTAACAAATTGTCCAGTGTCGGTTATGTTGAATTCAAGAACGAGGATTCCGTTGCTCCTGCTATTCAACTCACAGGACAGAAGCTTCTAGGGATTCCAATCATCGCACAGTTGACTGAAGCGGAAAAGAATCGTCAGGCTCGCAACCCCGACGCCAGCAGTAGCAACAACCACGCCGCCCCATTTCACAGGTTGTATGTGGGTAACATCCATTTCAGCATCACTGAAAATGACCTCCAGAATGTTTTTGAGCCGTTCGGCGAGCTCGAGTTTGTCCAGCTTCAAAAGGATGAAACTGGTAGGAGCAGAGGATATGGCTTTGTCCAGTACGTATCACCCTTTGTTATTTGTGATGCTCCAGTTGTTGACTGTTATCTTCTAGATTCCGTGATCCCAATCAAGCTCGAGAGGCACTAGAAAAGATGAACGGGTTTGACCTTGCTGGTCGAGCAATCCGCGTTGGCCTTGGCAACGATAAGTTCACCCCTGACTCGAGTGCTCAACGATTGCAGAGCCAAGGTGCAAACCAACAAAATTTCCAGGGCTCCTTATTTTCGGGCCATGGAGGACGTGGTATCCAGGCCGGTGGTACTAGTAACTTCGACCGTGCCGGAGGCCGGGATTCTGAGAAAGGAGCTGGTGCTAGTGCTTTGGATGATACAGATGTCGCCGGTGTAAACTTCAACAACTACAGTAGGGACGCATTGATGAGGAAACTTGCAAGAACAGATGAACCCTCTGAGCCGTCCGCCGACGATAAGCAGAAAGTGCTCCGGCCTAAAACGGAAACCAAGCCATTACCTGTCAATGTGAACATGGCGAGTCGGTGTGTTATGCTTCGCAACATGTTTGACCCTGCCGAGTAAGTTGGCTTCTATGAACCTCTCAACAAGGTATGGACTCTAACAGTATATACAGAGAAGAAGGTGAAATCTGGATTAAAGAGCTAGAGGATGACGTCCGCGCTGAGTGCGAAGAAAAATATGGCCATGTTGTTCACATTGCACTAGATCCTAACTCGCAGGGTGATATATACCTGAAGTTCGACCGCGTCCAGGGTGGTGAAAACGCCATTAAAGGTCTGAATGGACGGTTCTTTGGTGGCAGGCAGATCACTGCGCAGCCCGTTGTCGACGCTGTTTACAGCAGTTTGTTCTCTCGAACCAAGGCGATGTAGTGTTTAACTCGTCAACGCCTACAAAAGCTTACATCTTAGTAGGTATTCCATCTAATAGCGTGATGTTAGGTGCGACTCCTGGTGACGGGATCGCCGTCTATATCCCCGAACCTTTTAATTTGCTTCGGCATGGTATTTGGCTTTGATGACACTACCCCTGGTAGGTGCCATTTTTTTGACATATTGCTTTTCATAGGGCCGCAAGGCTTGTTGTGCAATGATTTGTTTATAGGGATTTGTACAGTGCGCTAGCGCAATAAAACCATTGTAGTTTTTCCGTTATTTAGGTCTTCCTCGTCATTGAGACTCCCAGACATGCACGTGCTCTCAGTTGACTGACTGAATCACGTCGGGTAATCGCTATTCTGACTGAGGAGGAAGCCCTGATGCCACTAGGTCTACTGAAAGACCCCGGGGTCGTACGGACTCTCAATTCCTCATGAACGACATGAGGAGTCGTTAGATACTCAATATAGGCCTTCCAGGTCACTCCCAAAGCGCGTAGTCAGGGAAATATCTATCATGAATCCGCCGAGCATAGTCCACCAGAGCCGGAAACCCCCGAACAGTCCTCTGCATATTTGGCGCCCTACAACAAAAAGTATCAACCGTCAGCAACCAACTCGCAAAGCATAATAATACCAAAAAATAGGGGGAACCAAAAAGAAAAACAAATGCTTACGCATAAGAAACCAACCCAGAAACAATAAACCCAAAAAGTACCGCATCCACCTCAGTAGGTTCATCGCCTCCCCAAACCCAGAACGGTCCCTCTCTTGCGCGATCTACATACCGTGACCTCGCCTCCACAAGCACAGCATCGACGCTTTCCCAAATCTCTCGGTTAAACGAATTAATCTCCTCGGTCGAGAACAGCATCGTCCCCTGCCCGAGGAGATTGCGGGTGACCTTGCGGTAGATCATGAGACCTACCACAACCCGGACCGGCCAGGGCAATGAGCCCAGGACTACATCTCGCATGGTGTAATAGTTAAGCACCCATTTCTCGTAACTCTGGTATGGGCATTGTCAGCATTGAATTCATGGTCTCTAAATAAACAAATACACCAAGATCATGGTTTCATCCATTCTGGAAAACCTGTTTGTTCACAATGGAAAGAAAAATGAAAAATGAAAAACACAAATGCAATACATACCCCGTAGAAATACAACTTCTCCTCCAACAATGCCTGGAGACTCATATCGTGGAGCTTCTCTGTTGCGGAAAGCTTGTTGTTCAGATCACCCACCAACCCCCTTTCGATTAATGTCTTCGTGATCATCGTTGAATCGCCCATGAGTGGGGGAGAGGGATTTTCGTGGATGTTTGGCTCCGGGATGGAGATGTAGGGAACTTTGCCCTTGGGTGCGTTGCGGAGGGATCCTGCCTCCACGCGGTAGGGTATACCGGCGAAGCGCAGTCGGGCTTCGAGTTTGATTACGAACGGGGACCAGGTGTAGACTCCTGTTCCTGGGAGACCGCGGTAGAGGGTTATTGGTGGTGACTTCGGGGGTGAGGACATTTTGGACATATTGGTAGGTGTATTGTAGTAGGCATGGAGGTACAGGGGTTTACGTGAGTAAGGAAGGGCGTTCTTGTTGGAATATCTACTAGGATTGGAGCTGTATACGGGTGTGTCCTTATATATACTGTTGTGGAATATTTTGACGTTTGGGATATCGGATTCTGTGTCGGGTTTTGCGGCAGATTCTAGGCCGATATGGAGCTTCTTTGTTGGTCATGCGCCTGTGCCCTGTCAGCACTAAATTAATAGTCCCAGGCAACTGTCTCAATTTTTTTTTTTTTTTTGGCGGAGGTAACTTTATGTCCTCACTCCACATTTCATTACTTTGCAAGTTCTCCGTTGGTACAAAGTGACTCCCATTTATTGTGAAGATTTGGTATATGTGTATGTACAGTGTGACCGAAAGCCCAGAGCCCACAAAGTAAAAAGTAGTGATAGTAAGAACAATATTTACATAACCTCAAGTTGGAAATGAGTACTCACGATCATCGTCGTGATCGGCGCGGATCAGTCGCTTCTTGCCGGCGCCATTCTCGGGATTCCTTCGTCCCCAGACTTCCTAACCCACCCTCGAGTCGTCGCTCCCAACCACCAAGCCGGACGACGAGGCAGGTGGCATTGTCTCCCTCCTTCGTCACTTCCGTTGCAAAGCTAACCACATCCCGAGACCCTTGCTCGGGAGTCCTGGCTTCCTTAATGATGTCAACTACTTCTTGGTCATTGAGCGTCCCACTGATGCCATCGGACATAAGCACCAAGAACGAGTACTCTGCAGGAGCCATCTCAATTCTACGAAGTTCAGGCTCTGCCGATACGCCGATCCGTTTCGATTGGACATCACCAAATGCTCGAGTGTTGGCCAATCCGCTCATGCGCTCTTCCCCAAAAGAGTCGGTCACAAAAGTAGTGGCAAATCTCCGTAATCGATTCGCTTCAATCGGGGACGACGGGTGGTGGTCTGAGGTGAGAGGGATGGCCTCGCCTGTCACCGTAGAGCATAATAGTATTCGCGTGTCACCAACATGAGACACTAGCAGGCTAGACGGGCTGGCCGGATGCCAGAAAGGGGTAGACGTCGGGGTAGATATGAGCGCAATGCTGGCCGTGCTACCACCCTTGAATCGTCTCACTCCCCCGATATGCAAAGACGGAGTACGATCACGGCCATAGAGGATATTATCCTGGTATACGGGGTGACCGACATTCTCCAATTCATCACTTTGCTTTGCCGCTTGTGCCGACACAAATTCTAGGTCGGTACGAAGAAAGGCATATTCTAATACCTCTTCGATGGTCACTCCTTCGGGTGGATCGGATAGTAACATTGGCTCTCCGCGGGGACCTTTCCCGATATGTGAGAAGTGAGGAGGCACAAACCTCTTGAAGTACCCCCCAACCAAGGTTCTCCAATCTCGAACTAGATGCTTTTCCAATTCCCCGATTATCTGCGGATTAGCATCCTGAAGTATAGGCAAATTTCCAGGTGAGGACTCTGCGTCCTTGAGATAATGGCCCTCCCGGTTTTTCCCCAGACTGGACTGAAGCTCGAACGCCGCTGCTGAATCCTGTATGTATTCATGAAGCGTATTTTGTAGAAACGTGCTACATTCAGTTCCCCCGTGGCCATCAAATACTCCGAAATAGAAGACCTGCGGATCGCCGCTGGCGGTCTCCGCTCCCTGGTTCTCGCGGGGTGCAGGGGAGCCCTTGGCACCAGGTCGTTTGATCGTCAGGGATGCAGGGGGGCGTTTCGCAAATGCGGGGATGTCAATCACGCCGGCTTGATATGTGTCTTCATTCTCAGGACGGGTTCCTCGGGAAGTAGAGGCGCCGAAATGATGCTTCGCACTGCGAAGCGGGATGCGGACGACAGTCGTCTCCCGGTCGACCAGCGGCTGGAAGGAAGCTGGAGGGTGGGATGATTTCCCTACGTGAGGAACAGAGGCGGAGCGAGGAAGATTCTGAAAGGATCTAACTGGTGCTCGGGGATCTGGGTGAAGAGAGGAGGATGGTAGGTGTGTCACAAAGTAGTCGTGAAATTCAGGCTTCTTTACTGCCTGGGTGCCGTTGGTCGAAGGGGTCGGGGAATTGGACGTGTAGAAACGCTTTGGTAAAACAAGATAGACTAGAAATATACAGAAGTCAGTCAGTGTTGACCAGAGCTCATGTTGTTGCCAAATTTAGCGACCACAATCCTTCGGAGATAAGCCGTAGGGACTCTTGTGCAAGGGCACGCTACATACTGCGACGATCAGCCAGAGTCCGGACCAGGACTGTGGCCCGCCTCGCAGAAGTCAGATTCATGAAGATCGAGGCATTGACGAACAGAAAAGGAGGGGAGGAGGCACGATTTTACTTAAAACAAGGTAATCCAAGGTGAGAGGACTTTATCGGGAAAGACGCGGGGACTGATGATTTTGCGGCCCGAGCGTAATTGCGACGGAGAAATGCAACAGCAATTTATTCACGATTTATTTTCTTATCTCTTATCGACGCTGAAGCTACCCCACGGAGTAAATATCCAGTCTACTGAATGAAAACAATGTGTGGCATGTTATCATTGGGGTTTTGCCTCTACACCTCTCCAAATTCCCCCGGGAATTCTCTCATAGACTCCACTATAACGCCAGCCGTCACTCCCAACAACCAATCCTTCAATCCTGAGGTGCACTATTGACATCACCACACGTCTCCAAGCCTTTCAAAAACCAAACTGCATAATCCTAAAGCATTGTTCTTAACCAACAACTTACTTTCTTTCCCTTTGAATAAATAATTCACATTCAAGTCTTTAAGCCTCTATTTTCTTCGGTTCCACCCTTTCTCAAGGACGAAGATAGAATGAAAGGGGGAAAGAAAGAAAGGAAAAGGGTGATGGCATAGAGACTAGAACGCGTTCCGACCCGAGCCGACACTCACTTCAACATACTCATTTGACTGACAAGCTGGGTATAGCGTCTTCCCCGAAGACGCAACAGCACTTTCGCAAAGCCTACCAACCTGACGTCAGCAGGAGTCGTGGAATTATTACTGATCCTTATGGTAGGGGTAACGGCCAGACGAACAAGGGTATTGTCCTTCTTCAGTACCTGAGGGCGCCCACCAATGAACTGATCGCACTTGACCATTGTGGCCGGCTCAAATATTTCGTTCACCGCAGGAAAGCTGAAGCTATATTCGAAGGGCAGCGTATATAGTTCAATCGCGAGCGCCTGTGCCTTGGTTACAATGTCTTGAAGATCCAACCAGGCGACCCGATATTGGTTCAAGGGGTCATGAGTAAGAGGATCTATGAGGGGCCACAACTTTTCCACATGGGCGTAGGTGTTGTTCTGGTTAAAGTCCAAGAACTCCGGCTTCTCTACCACCGCCTGGATGTCGTGCGCTATCGCTACGAGCAGCGAATGGCGGACAGGCGGAGGGGTGTCCATACCCTTATGTCAATCTCGTAAGGAGGGAGCTGTAGACTACTTAACATACCCTGCATTAGATACTCTTTCATCTGTTGGATTTCTAGATCTACCTGAGCGTCGAACCTTTTAACGACTGTGAGCTGGAGAATATCGTGAATGAGGTAGGAGTTAATTGCTTTCGCAACCACGCAAAATCTCGTGCAGAGATTTCCTAGCAGAGTCGGCGCATCGATTGTATCCGAGATACTCATGAGATAAACAGAACGAAACAGCTAAATAAGAAACTCAATCAAAAAACAGAGGTAGAGTGGAAGAGCGAATACTAATTTAGCAACGCGAAGAGTGGGCCGTATACTCTTCTCAATGGGAAACACAAACGCAAGAAATTGGGATTATATTTCATTGTTTAGAACACCAAGCGGATCTCAACACAAGATCACGGAGCTACCCGTTTGCAATCGGAAGGCTACTTATGAAAGTGAGTTGATTCATTGTCATCATTGAAGGCCTAGAGAAACATAAACCATAGGCTTCCCTTGCTTTGATTGACTCACTGCGAAGATATACAAACGGACAGCGGGGACCAAAAGCAAATATAAAAACCTTGGCTTGTGTTTTCTCAGAATATATTTAATGGCTTAATTTTTCCTAGTCATTTGGTTTACCTTCAGCAAACAGGCTCACGCGAAACCTCTTTGTTTTTTTAGAAGCTCTAGCAAAGTAGCAGAGAATCAGAGGAGAGCAGAGGATTATTTTCTATTCTTCAATCACAATGCTTAGTTCTGGCTCGCTGTCTTATCCCTGAGTATTTCACAACATACCGTAGTTCTAGTAAGGCTATTAATAGGAGTACTACCTTATGTCTGCTGATCAACTCAACAAGCATCTATTTACTTACCAACTGGACTGTACCACATGTCTCACATGATTGATGACATCCAGCTGATCTTGTAAATGTCAGATCTTGATTATCTTTTTCATTCCGTGTAGAAGATTTGAAAGACCACGTCATTTGACTCCCCCCCGTGGGAGAATATGCAAGGGATCATAATACTATATCAGTATCCGTGTGCCCCGCCCCCATTTCTGTTGTAGTACCTTCAGTACACTTACATACATCACAAGAGCTCTGTAGTATATATAATACAATTCTGAACTTACTCATCCACCTTAATGGCAAATATGGACTTGGGCTTCAGCATCTTCTCGCGGGAACCTTCCTTCGGCTTCATTATTCTTCTCGTGGGGTTGGCGGCCATTGGTTGTGGTGTGGCTTTGGCATTTTTGCCCGTGGATATCTCGCTTGACGACGCACCTATGGCAAAGCGGCGCATCCGTCGGTCATTCAGTCAAGGACTACCTGCGATTTAAGCTCTATGAAGCAATCGGTGATTACTAGTCTTGTTTACTCCAACGGGTGAGACAGTTGAATATTTATATAAATAAATAGTCAATCAAACTACCGTGTCCCAAGCTAATATCTATTCTTACCGCTAGGAGCAGGAGCAACACGTCTATCTTTCACCCTCAGCTCACTCTTGAATGTTGTTGTTAAATGAATAGCCTAAAAATCCTACATCATGAACAGTAGATTTGGTACGGCCTCGGCGGTAAATATTAATGTTTCACGCAGATGGAATATGTCAACCACTGGTCATGTGTTATGGTTTATGAATCCTTCTTGATACCACATATAAATATACAGATTACAGTCGACTTTATTGTGTATATATGAGTAGCGTGTTAAGGAAGGTGAGGCTCGTAAGCGTCAATAGTACTAAAGCAAGATCGGGAAGCCCTAACATAACCTAAGGCATGATCCAAGCTGTACCCCTGTGTAGGAAACCGTCGCTTGTGGACCCTCATAACTAAATCTCATAAAGCCAAGATAGATTTAAGCTTGGTTAAAAGCACACATATTGAAACATGTTGAAACAGCAGCAAGATCCTTTTGAAGCACGGGGTGGGCAACTTGGAGTGGCTGGAGATCATCCGGATTGGGACAGCTTCTCCTATTTTGGGTCTGAGGAAGCTTGGACCAACGAACCAATTCCGACACTCCCGTCCGAAAAGTCCTCCCTTACTACTGACTTACTGACTATTTTTTTTTTTTGACCCTGGGGACAAACAGTGCACATCAAGCTTTTCTGCCTCAAAAAGATTGCCTATATTCTATTAATCAGGCTGCAATACACCTCCCCAAACTTCATTTGCGATCCTTTGATCAGTTTTCCCAGAGAGCGTAAGTACCGTTCGAGGGCCACTAGGTAGAAGTGGCTTATCAACCTTATCGCCAAAAACGACACACATGGCCACTTTGGAAATCTTTCCCCGGAGATCTCCTGATCAACTAACACTCCGACCTCGACCTAACAGACTGCGAGCCTCTTCCACAAGCGTTCTTCGCTATCGCTGAATTCGCCTCGACTTCTTAATTCCCTTACCTTGCACCATCTCCGTTCGGACTACAGACGCGTTGTCAAATTTGCCTCGAGTCGGTACGTGTTTCGCAGAGTTCTCCTGGGTGAACTCCCCTCTGTAACCATATCGCCATTGTACCTCTCCCGACGGGGGACCCTCCTTACGACTAACGCCTGATTACTTACAGATTGTCGTATATCTCGAGACAGCGAACACCGCGTATTCCCGGCTTTCAATAACATATCGGTCCTCGTTCTAGTTTCGTCGGGCTTCGCACTCCTGGGCATAATAGCTTCAGCGCTTCCGCAAAACATTATCAAACTGCTCATCGTTGGGGTTCACCCCATTTAATGCGTTGCTGCGTACACTGAATCAAATCAAAAAATGGGTGCCCGCACAAGGAGACAGCAGGCCGCATTGGCCGCTCAGTCAGATGGGGACGAGTCGCCGGCTGGCAATGGCACTGTGGAAATGTCTTCGAAGAAGACCAATACGACAGCTGGGAAGGAGGTGAAGGAAAACGTATATCTATTTGCCCCGAACCTTATCGGTAAGGAGTTGCCTTTTTTGCCGCCTGGTCGATGTTCAAAATAGAAACTTACCAGTGGCGCGGGATTAGGATATCTACGGGTTGTCTTGACTATGGCGTCGCTGTACTATATGCCGCTCCATCCGCGAACGTGTTCCCTTCTATACAGCGTATCGTGTTTACTGGATGCTTTGGACGGATATGCTGCACGATACTTTAACCAGTCCACCACCTTCGGCGCGGTCCTGGACATGGTCACAGACCGCTGCACAACCGCGTGCCTGCTAGTTTTCTTGAGTTCTGCATGGCCTCGTTGGTCTATTATCTTCCAGAGCTTGATCGCCTTGGATATGGCCAGCCATTACATGCACATGTATGCCACCCTCAGCATGGGTGGGTCTAGCCAGAGTCACAAGAAGGTCGATTCTAGCAGGAGCTGGATTCTGTATCAGTACTACAATAGCAGGGTGAGTTATACCCAGCCTATAGGAAGGCCCACACTGATAGTTTCTACAGACGGTTCTGTTCATCTGCTGTGCTCTCAATGAGCTTTTCTTCATCGGACTCTACCTTCTTTCGTTCTCATCCCCTATCTTGTCTCCCTCTCTCCTCCAGCCTGTTCCCGGCTCCGGAGCCGAGTCTGCGCTAACTGCCAGCCCGTGGAGCGCTGGCGCGTTGGAGATGGCTAGGGCTAACAAGATTGACAGCTTTTGGCCCTGGGTCATCACCGGAATTTCAGCCCCCGTTATGGCTCTGAAGCAGATTATCAACGTGGTGCAGCTCGTCAAAGCTAGCAACTGGCTGGTCGAAGGTGACATTGCTAGCCGCAGAGCACTGCAGAGAAAGAGAAACTAATTCTCATGTGTGGATGTCTGGAACCAGACTACACATGATTTGCATTTCTTTATCTCTTCTTATTTTTAAGTAGATAGTTTTCGCCCTGGTGCCTCATCGTGGGTATGTTACCACCGCCAGGGTCCGGGTTTTGACAACAAACATCACTGTGCTTGCATGGTTTTGGTGCCTAGCTTGTTCTTCGGGGCCGTGGGAAAGCTGCCCCTACTCTTTGCTTCTTCTTCGTCTGGTGTTCTTTTATATTACCTTTTGCGGAAGATATGTCACAGTTGGGAGGAAACTATGGTTTTATAGGTCTGTTGCAGATCAGACCCATGCTGAATGATTTATATTTGTTTCAATTGTTGTCTTTATTACTAACCACCTATCTGCATCTTTTTCGCTTCTTACCTTTTCGTTCTCTGTCTTTTCATATCTATTTTTATTTCCTTCAGGTTGTCTCTGGGATGTTTTTAAAATTTTTAATCTTGTTCTGTGTACTAGTGGACATACAATTGCTTTTCATGTCGTGACTGAGAACAAGGAAGACTAATGGTTCAATATAAAATTCAAGAATAATATACGGGAGGCCGCTGAAGATGCAAGAAGAGACCCTTAGTTTAGTAATTCCTCCATTAGGGTTTGCGTAAAATGGTAATGGCGGTTAATCACGGGGCAAGGCCGACTGCGGCTCCGGTGTCGGCGCGCGGGGTGATTGAGATCCACCCCTCGTTACCATATAACTCATGAGCTTTCTGTCGCTGAGCTTTGTCTCGTGTTAATATTGTTATCCATTGTACCTAACCCGTTACTTTACAATGCCTTCTTTCAACATTGTCGTTTTCGGCGGAGACCACTGTGGTCCAGAGGTATGTCATCAGCTATTCTCTAGACTTCAGAGCGCGTGTATACTAACTGTATTGCTTGTAGGTTACCGCAGAGGCCATCAAGGTGAGCGATTCGACCTCGGATTGAGATCCGGAAGCAGCGCTGGGTATCCGATCTAGTGTGTACTAAACTTGGAGCCTGTCGGTCGTTAGGTCCTCCGTGCCATTGAGAAGAGCCGTAGTGATATCACCTTCAACCTTCAAGACCACTTGTTGGGAGGAGTAAGCTTCTACCCTTATCCTACTGCCATTGCCATATGAAACAAATGACTTACTGAATATGCCACAGGCATCAATTGATGCCACAGGATCCCCATTGACCGACGAAGCCCTGAACGCAGCCAAAAACGCCGACGCCGTTCTCCTGGGTGCTATCGGTGGACCGGTATGACAAACCCAACAAGAACCCCAAATACAGCCCAAACAAGACCACTTAACAGGAGAATAGAAATGGGGCACCGGTTCCGTTCGCCCGGAACAAGGCATCCTGAAGCTCCGCAAAGAAATGGGCACCTTCGGTAACCTGCGCCCCTGCAACTTCGCCGCACCTTCCCTCGTCGAGAGCTCCCCCCTTCGCGCCGACGTCTGCCGCGGCGTTAACTTCAACATTATCCGTGAGTTGACGGGCGGTATCTACTTCGGCGAGCGCAAGGAAGACGACGGCAGCGGATACGCAATGGACACGGAGCCGTACTCGCGCGCTGAGATCGAGCGCATCATCCGTCTGGCCGCTCACCTGGCCCTGCAGCACAACCCCCCTCTTCCTGTGTGGAGTTTGGACAAGGCCAACGTCCTGGCTACTAGCCGTCTGTGGCGTAAGACTGTTACTGAGGTCATGGCGAAGGAGTTCCCTCAGCTGAAGATCGAGCATCAGCTGATTGACTCTGCGGCTATGATCATGGTCAAGAACCCCCGCCAGCTGAATGGTATCGTCGTTACGAGCAACTTGTTCGGTGATATCATCAGTGATGAGGCTAGTGTTATTCCCGGATCGCTGGGTTTGCTTCCTAGTGCTAGTTTGAGCGGTATCCCTGATGGAAAGAGCAAGGTTAATGGTATCTATGAGCCTATTCACGGTAAGTATTCAAGTCTCGTGTTGTGTCTATATCATGGGGTTATGCTGACTTGGAGAAGGCTCTGCTCCCGATATTGCGGGAAAGGGCATCGTCAACCCCGTCGCTGCTATTCTCTCCGTTGCTATGATGATGCAGTACTCTTTCGGTCTGTTTGCCGAGGCCCGCGCTATCGAGCAGGCTGTCAGCAACATTATCGAGTCTGGCGTCCGCACTGGTGACATTGGTGGTAAGGCTACCACCGCTGAAGTCGGTGATGCTGTTGCTGCTGAATTGGAGAAGCTGTTGAAGTAAATGGTACTCTGAAGGAAATGGGGGAGAGATGGAAGGGAAAAGTACATTTTTAAGCTGAACGCAATGAGATATGACCTTCTGGATAATCTATATATAGATGACAAATTTATTTAATTCGCTTGCCTCCCAGATCCTAGAGACTATCAAGAACAAAAAACTATTGCATAATGTGAAAATGCCGTGTTTCAATTTCCTTCAATACATAATGGAACTGATATAATGAAAGATGGGTATCTATACAGCCATAACTCCGAATATCAACATAGCCTCGAGGCAACCAATGAACCAACCTTTCCCCTGTCCATAATCCACACTGATATAGGAAACCACCGCCCGTGAAACACCAAGACATGGAAAATCCAACAGCAATAAGAATGATGCATCTTCTATCGAATCACAGGCTCCCCCATCCAGTCCGGCTCCTCTAAAGCAGCAACCGTCTCCTTGTCCGCATTTCCATGAATACCGCGCCCATCCAACCCCTCATCCGCCGCACCGCGAAGTGACTTCCGCATACTATGCCTTCGAATCCTCCCATCAGCAGAAGCAGACGGAGCATTGCCAATGCGCCTCCGGTCGTCATCACGCGCGAAGACCTGGAATCCACGCACATGCGTATCCTTACCATTCTGATGATTCTCCATCACACGCATCTGGATCACCATCGCCTTAAGAACACTCCCCGCGTACGGATCATCCTCGTCGTCTTCGTTGGCAGTCTCGTCATCGTCATCTTCATACGCAACTAGGTCGAAATCCGCCGGATTCTCCGTGTCAGAGAACATGTAGTCCGGCCACACAGATTTCCCTTTCCCTCCTTTACGCGCGCGGTTTCGTCGCTTCTTTCGCACCCACCCGCCACTCCGACCGCCCACTCCTTCCAAAGGAATGTCAACCCACCCGCACGGCCCTTCTTCTTCCCAGGTCGCGAACTCGACGAGATCGTTGCCACCCATGCCGGCTAGAAAGACCATCTTTGTGGGGGTGTAGCTCTCGTCTAGGTCGAAGTCGAGGTATACGCGGATTTTGACCACCGCGACGAGCTTAAAGAAGTGTAATGTGAGGGTGTGGGGCTGGGGGCCGTCGGATTGCCAGTACTGTGTTGATGATGGGTGTCGGAGGGCTGAGATGCCGCAGCCGGGCTTGTGAGTTGAAACGGTCCATGAGGCTAGGGAGGAGATTTCGCGGAGATTGCTTGGGAGGGGGGACGGGGATCTTGCTGTATATGGTGGGGAGGAGTTAGCTGCTGTTTCAGATGCCTTGTGTAGAGGATGCTCGGGCCTTAGAATTGTAGTACAGGATGAATAAGGCGCAAAAATAGAAGCAATTACCTCGATCGTGCATCATCTCGTCTTCATCCTCATCTATTACTTCTAGCTCATCCTCAACCATGCCGTCCATGTCTTCTTCGGAGAGTTGGGCTTCATGTTCTGCATTTTCTTGAGAGCCGAATTCATCGTGATCGTCCTCATCCTCAAATTGGCTGTCTTCTCCTTCTTCTTCGTCGTCATCCTCCATCATCTGCGTCCGCGGCCGTCCCGAAACTCCTCGGCCAAAGAGGGAGAATAGGGCTGCTTGGGCAGCTGTAGCTGGGTGGGCTGGTGCGACCGAATCAATGGGACCCGATGACGGATGGAGTTGAGGAATACCCTGCGATGGTGGTGTGTGAAATTGAGTCTGAGCTGGTGCATGTTGGCCTAGTTGTGCTCTGGATGGGCGTGGATGAGGGAAGTCGGTGGATGGTTCTTGTGCAGTGGGGTGCCGGCGGAGATGGTGATGGCGAGGCATTGTCACAAGGTGGCTCTTTTTGGAGTTGTCTGGATTCGGCGGGTTTTATGTTCGAGACCTCATTGCTGTGATAGATAAAATGTGATTTTAGCTTGTCTTTCGTGTAACAAACTTCATCTCTCGCGTCGGTGCTCCGCGTTGTCACGTGTTCCAGTTGTTTATACTACATACATCCAGAGATACAGTGTCAATGGTTTTCCATTCCAATAATTCTTTTTCGCAGGGTGCGCTTCCTGTTGAAATCGCGCTCTCCGCTGCAATGATCTAAGTTGTATATCGAGATATACGATGAGTGGTATGATACAAAAGCCAAACAATAAAAAAAAACATCCACAGAGAAAGCAGCCGCATTAATAAGATGTAAACTCCTAGTCAGACCAGGCCTGACATCTCGAGGTAGTGAAAGACCCGAGTCCCTTATTGCTCAATGTCCACATACCCCAGCTTCTCACCAACCTTGATGCGTTGGCCCATCTCGATGGTCCAATTCCAACCGCCCTCGCGTTTTCCTTCTTCCCATCCGGTGTCGAACGACTTCCGGGTGCCCATGGGTGCCTCGAAGACGAGCACAATTGTGCTACCTAGCTGGAATCCTCCCATCTCCTCTCCCCGCTGGAGCGGATGACCTCGGAGGGTCTTGCTGGCGTGAAGGTAGGTCGCCTCAACGAAACCGGGATATTGCTCACCTCGCTTGGCAGCAAGTGCTGCCGCCATATCCGCGGCTGTGTCTGTGGTGAGGCTGTTTGTGCGCAGCTCGGAGTCGAAGTTCACCTTGATGGAGCCCACATTAGTGGCACCAACGGGAGTGTAACTGAAGAATCCCCAGCGCCAGCGTCCAAGGAGGACAACTCGCTCGTTGAGAGTGAAGAGTCCGGGAAGGTGGCGCTGCAGATACGGTGAGACGGAATACAACTCGCCCGCGAAGTGTCGACGGCTCTCGACCACCCATGGCACGGGAGAGTGGAAACGGTGGTAATCGCCGGGTGCGAGGTAAATCACGACGTAGTAAAGTGCGTTGTTCGACTTGGGCTTCGGCGCATACCATGGGGTGCCATCACCACGAGCTAGATCAGCCTTGACTTGAGCCTCTGAAGCAGCCTGTGATCCTGTTGAAGCATCTAAGGACGCTGATCGTCTCCTTGCGCCGCCCTGGTCTCCGGCGAAGAGAGTGGGCAGTGTGTAGGGAATGCCGTTCAATTCAGCAAACTCCGCATCGGCCGTCATGTCAGCGGCGTCTTTCTGCGCGGGCTCTGACAGATGATCCGTAAACTTCTTGGAGTGGTCAGCATGTGAAGGAGTGGCTGCCCCAAGAAGTGCGTCCAAGCTGTATGTTACTCCCTTGACCTGCTCTACTTCGCCACGTTCAATAAGGCCGAACTGAAGAATGCGCCCATCGGATGGGGAAATGACGGCGCGGGTATCAGGATCTAAAGGACGGGCACCAGGCTTCAACCTGCGATAGAAGAAGGCCGCCAGGTTTGGGTAGGTACGGAGATCCGGCTGCTCTACTTCATCTAGGTTGACTCCGAAGACCCATGAGTAGAGCTTGAACCCGGGAGCTCGAAGGAAGAACGGAAGCTCGAGCTCATTAAAGCGACCCCATAGCCGGGAGATCGCCTTGAGTGGCAGAGTCGACATTATCTGAACCTGCCATGGGCCGCTCGGTCTGATCCTGTGTCGGGGAGGCGGGTTGGTGATCTCATCCTCTGCCTCTCTTTCGCGACGTTCCCGTTCTGCTCTTTGGGACTTGTAAAAATGTAGTATACCTAATAGGCCAATGCCGAGTCCCACAGGAATGGGATACCATTCCACTTTAGTATTTCGAAGAGCGAATCGGAGTCGGGAGCCGAAAAAGCCCTTAGGTGGCGGGCTCTCTTGATTGTTTTGGTTTTGATATTGTTGCCATGATTTTGAGAATTGTCTGGCATTGGCTTTACGACCCGCAGACGTCCTGAAGGCCACCATCTTCATGAATCCAGCCTTCTCCCCGAGACGGGAGTCTCCAAAGTTCCGGCAAAGCGCAGAACGGCTGGTGAGATACAAGGTCATAATGCTTTTTAATCCATAACTGATGTCCCTTGCGGGGTATAGCAGCACTCAACTCGAAACACTGAACTCTCTGGATGTCAGTGAACTCACAGGAACTGTCCGAGGTTTTCCGTAGCGCAACTCGTGCTTTTGCATCATGTTGCAGATCACTCTCACCGCCTGGCAGAATTGAGTAGGACAGAAACGGTTTCGATTCCTACCCTCTTCTCTTCTCTTCTGCTTCTGCTTTTGTTATATCGACTTCTTCTTTCGTATTCTGGACTCCAGTGAGATTGTTATTACTAGGATACCCTATAGGTGCCAAATTATCTATAGTGGAGGTCCAATGATTACGCGCTGATCCCTGCCCGCCCGCCCGGAAAGGCCACCATTGTTATCTGGGGAGTATACCAAGTTGGCGTGACAGCTCGCTCAATCTGTTAACTACTCACTTTCCTGATTACTGTTTCTTAAATCCCACTCCATTTTTCTATGTTTGTTATTTAAACTCCCTGGGGGATTTCTCTAGCCCAACCTGACTGTGTGAGCAATTACTACATACGTGTTATGAATCCATCATTGTCCATCGGGAATAAGACCAGACGAAGATGACCTCCAGTTCCGCCCCTTCAGACAACTCATTGCCGAACACAAACTCAACTAGTGGAGCATCAGGCTTTGTTCTGCATGTGCTCTGCCCATCACTTCCTCCCCCTAATCGCTTTACATTCAATGATTTGGTTCCCTCCACCACTATCGCTGGCCTCAAGGCGCGCATATCTCAATCGATTCCCAACCGGCCATCCCCTGAGACTCAGAGATTAATATATCGCGGGAAGCCCATTTCGAATGATGAAGTGACCCTGCAAAGGGTGCTAGAACCTGCAAATGTGGGTGTTTCGACGGCTATTCGTTTTATTTTTGCTTAGGCTGTCCACGAATAGTTGGTTAACGGAGATATCTACCAGGGCGCGGAATACTCTATGCATCTAGTTCTTCCTCCGGGTCCTTTACCCCATGTGACCACCTCAAGACCTCCGCCATCGGTACAGTCGCAAACCCCTAGCGGCATTTCTCAAAGCAGCCTTTTTGGGCCCAGTCGATCGGCTCCACCATACCCAATGCCACATGGACAAGAAATAAGATACAGAGCTCCAATGGGTCCTAGCGAAGCTGATATAGGGCTGGCTCTCCGACGCAATATTGAAACCATCCGCGGGCAGATCGAACTGCGGGAGCGAGGTTCGCCCCTACCAGATCAGCAGGGAGCTGGGCATACCCAACAATTCCCCTGGCAGCGTATGGCACAAGGCACGCCGCAGTCCTCAACGACTACGTCGACTTCAACGTCAACGTCAACGCCAATAATATCATCCAATGCGTCAGAAATAGGTGCTCATCTACCTCAAGACTCTAGACTACGCCTACATATATTATTGCCTCAAATTGCGTTATGTGAAGACCAGCTCAATCGAGGAATTGCCCTTCCTATGGACCAAGTGATTCGTATTCGGTCACAGCTATTTGATATCCTCGATGATCAGTATAGCAACCCGTTATCTGAACGCGACGGTTCTATTGAAGCCTTGCTCACTCGGGTCTTCAACATCTACACCCGCGCAGATCAACTCCGCGTAAGCCAATCCAGGGCCAGTGCTACTATGCAGCACAATACGCCCAATGGTCCCACAAACAATGGACATGCACAGGCCCCCATATATCTTCTTTCGTCACCAAGTGGATACCAGGCTCTCGTCACATCACCAGGTGCAGTGGGGTCAATTGAGTCGTCGCTGAACGCACTGCGCGCGACACAGGCCTCACAGACAACATCTGCCCACATTCCCCATGCGAACCAAAATCCGAACGCCGCTGTTATGGAGAACGCTGTCCGCCAAGCAGTTCTTCATCAAAGATTAGGCAATAATGAGCCAATAGGATTCGCCCGGAATATACGACGCATTTGGCTTTTTGTGCGGTTGTACTTCTTTTGCTATATGTTTAGCGAACCCGGTACTTGGTCGCGAGTCCTGTTGGTGGCCGTAGCTGTTATTATATCTCTCCTGTCGGAAACCAGCGTCCCGCGGCAATTGTATGGAATGATTATTTCACCCATTCAGCAGCACCTCGAAGGCTTGGTGCACTACTCTGCAGATGAACACGTGCAGCCTCGACCTCAGGGCACAGAGGCCATGGGTGGTCCAAGAAATGCAAATGGGTCCGGAGATAGTCGAGCTGCTGTGCCGACAGGAATACGCCATAATATTCGAAGAGTAGAGCGATCCTTGGCACTCTTTCTCGCCAGTCTTGTTCCCGGAGTTGGAGAAAGGCACGTCGAAGTGCGCAACGCAGCCGAAGCCGCTCGAAATGCAGAGCGTGTGCGGGAAGAAGAGGACCGTCGTAGACAGGAGGAAGCTAACAATAGCGAAGGAGTGGCTGAACAGGAGCAGCAAGACCAGGAGGTCAGCACGGCTTCCCGGCCAGAGTCATCTGTACAAAACAGCGCAATCGAAGACGGATCTCATCCCTCAATACCCGTTGGAGACGAACACGGTGCAAGGTAACCCCTAACGCCAGCTCCACTTATTTACTTGCAATCATTTGTTGCGTTAGTTCTGTACATAGCTGGCGTTAAGTGAGCGTTGGAATTAGCGTAGATTCCTATGGACAGATTTAAGAAATGCTGATATGAAATCTTGCAGTTATCAAGCGCTCGGTTTTCTATGTTCTGCTATACTGTCTATTTAGCGTATTTACTAGCCCCTTTAAATGAACTACAAACATGCGTGAGGATGCGTGGAACCGAGCGCATAGGCTTACAATTTCGTGGCCGGCCACTCCACGAACGTATCTTGAGTCGAGGTAGGCAAAGCCGATGTGGGGGCCATAGGGCCGGTATCAAACGACTCCTCCCCATTGAAGTGCCTGTAAGAAAGTAACGTCAGCAGAGCTCAAAAGCAACATCTAAATATCGACCAACTTACCAGCCCCTCTCAGCACCCCCACTCAAAAAACTACAGTCCCCATTCACAACACAGTCCCAACCCCCACCGACCCCCTTTCCACCTTGCCAAACAGGCACATTCGTACCAGGCCGAACAACTTTCGTCCCCGGCGCCAACCCCCGCTGTTCCGCGCCATCATTAACAGAGACCTTCACATCCCTCCGCACAAACGTACTCAGACCCGCCGTAAATACGTTAAAGTCCTCAACCCCGCTATCCTCGGGCATATTCCCCGTCAAAGCCCGCCCAATCGCAATCAACGGCGCCGCATGCGAGCAAATCAAAATCGCCTTACTGGTCCGTTCTGACGGCGACTGCGATGCCTCCAGGGCACTGATCTCGGCATCTACATCCGCGATAATCCCCGCCAGGGCCGTGGCAAGCCGATCGTGGAGCTGGGCAATCGTTTCCCCGCGGGTAGAGGGGAAGAGGTGCGGATTATAGTTGGCTTCGGGGTCGGAGGCGAGGATGGTTGGGAAATGGGTCTTGAGAGTACTTGGTGATGCGGGGGAGGGGTGGTCGAAGAAGGAGGTTGGCCCGAACCACTCTCTATTTTATTTATATCAGTGATAAGTATAATGATATTGATATCGGACTTGGAGCGGTGCTTACCCAACTCCGTTCTCGATCCTCACGTCGAGGTCTGCGTGCTGGTCTATTCCTGTCTCATTGGAGGGGGATGTAGGAGTGTGTCTCTCTTTAAGGGCTTCGACGGACGGTTGGATTGTTTGTAGACATCGGTAGAATGGGCTCGAGTATATCCGGAAGGGTTTCGGGGAGAGTTCTGGACGAATCAGGTGTTCTGCGAGCTCGAGAGATTGGCGCACGCCGTGGGAGGTTAGGGTTGGGTCTGCCGGGTTGCCGGTTGGTGTGGGAAATTGGGATTTGTATTCTCCTGTTTTATAGTCGATTGTCCAGTTTAGACGGTGCTGTTGTTTTGGTTGATTAGTTTATTGTGGTATGTGCTTGGTGGGTGGGCTGGAGGTATACCTACGCCGTGTCGGGTTATGTATATTGTGTCTAAAGGCATTATTGAATATTGTAGTTACTCTTGATTTTGTAATATCTTGAAGAGTAATGTAAGAATGAGATTGGTATAATGTGAGAGGGAAAGATACCGTGGAAAAGTGATAAGAGCGGAGGTGGCTTTATTAGACGGACCTCGGCTTATCATTCTACGCTAGGACGGATGTGGACGGAGATCTATATATGAACTTGAACCTATACAACTTGTCTATCATCGTCCTTTATTTATAACTTTCCGGAGGATCCTAGTCCCTCCTGGGCTGGCCGGAGCCTACCCCAATATTTACTCTTCGCAAAGGGAATCTCTTAAGTCGTTGTCAGCCCATTCTGGTTGAACTCAGGCAGAGCATACCCGTCTGCTCCAGCCAACTCCCCGAGCTATCCGAAATGTGATGGCTGCGCGAATCTGACGAAATGAGAAGTATTAGCCCATGGCAATTCCTCAGGAAGGGAATCCTATCCTGGCCCGTCACAGTGAGAGATGGATCCCCGATTCTGAAAATCTGCTGGCAAGAGCCGGCTAGTCGGTTACTCGCCGTTACTGCCTCGAACGGTAGGAATGGGTACGACAGCTTATATCTTATTGCGAAGATAATTTTATCGAAGCCGCGAATCCTGCTACCATCGACGAACTCAACAGTACCGTAATATTCGCTCGAGATCCGTGTAGTTGCGGACTTCTGTACCACATTTGGGAGGTGCCCGGCGTTGTGAAAGAAGTCAATTAGTTTCCGTTGAGAAATGTATAGGGGTTCCTGAACGATCCCATGAAGCTCATCAACCAAGTCTGCAGCGGTGTCATTGTTTCCCACGAGAATCACTCGCTGTGTTGATGGGACAGCCAGTTTTGAAGCTGGGCTGGCAAGCAAACCATCATTCCACGAGAATAAATGCTAACCTTAATAAAGTAATTATCCCTTGCTCTCCATGGCTTTGAATCTTCAAATCTCTCCGGAACCCTACTCCACACCTCCAGGCTATCAATGGAAGGGATATATGGAATTGTGTGATGTCCAGAGGCAACCATCCCCGCATTCGAATGTCTTCTGCCACCAATAATCCCACGTTCGCCCTTATTTTGAAGATTCGAACGCCACAATGTCACAACCTAATCTTTTCCCCTTCTTATCGGGACTCTCGATGGGCGTATTAAATGAGACATAGTGCAGATACGCACAGAAAGATCCTCCAAGGAACCAGATCCGCATGCCATGGGCGTGAGGAAATCTCCTTCCCATACTTCATCACGGATGTCTCCAAATTAGCAAAGGGAAGCGGGGCATGCGTGAACGCCAATTTCCTTACACCGGCATTGGTATCGAGCGTTTCATATATAGGGCTTCGTAGTCCCGGTGTTTCTTTTGCTGGCTGCGCCAGTTGCGGTAGATCTTCAGGTACGGGAGATTGGCTCTCTACCTCTGGATAAGAAGGTTGAAATTGGTCCGGTTCGGGTTCATATGCCCTGGTTTTTATCGTTCAGTTTCGGATTCATGCTGTACTTGCACCCGTTTGATATAGCGGGCTATGGTAAGAATGTGAAGAAGCACTACATATTCCCCCGACGCGGTCCTTGTGCTCAAATACACGGAGAAAGTCGACGCATTGCTCTTGCGCTAGTTCTCGTATGGCTGCTAGGCCAGTGGGACAGGCGCCCACAACGGCGACACGTTTGTAGCGAGGTGAGATCATTACCCTGTTATACGCAGCGCTATTGTAGGCGTATTCAAAATCAGGATTCAGTGCTATATGTTTAAGTAGCAACCATCTGGCGATCATAGATCTGAGAGGCAACTCGCCCCGACACCACTATTCCAATGATCAAACATCTGATTGCAAGGGTTTCTCACATTATCGCGAAAGCCCTCCGTCGTCATCCCCTTGATTTTCTTCAAATGTAACACGAGCTAAACCCCACATTCTCGCCGAAGACTTGAGCATGCCTAGTATCAGCATAATCTGTTCCCGATGCTGATCATGACTACTACTGGGGCGGCATGCCGCACATACAGAAAGCTGTACGATAGCACTGAACACAACGCAGCAGACAAAAAAAACGGAGAATGCTTTCGGACAGAGAGTGGATACGAGGCAACATTACCTATTTCCTTAGTCGCCGAGATGGCCTTCAAAGTATGCATGTGTTGGCTTGAAGTCGGGGGAGGAATCGTTTCCGGATTCCATCCCTCGCTGCCGGGGTGGTGGGGGGCACAGAGACTAGATCGCTGCGCGGGAAATACGGTACATAGTTGCGTACTTGATGAGCATGTGTGCCTGGAAGAGCATCTCGTCGTCACCATCGTTAAACCCCAAGTGGTCTACTTGCTCTTGGTCGTCGGGGAGATGGTGAAACCACGCCCGCGATCGCGTTGTCAATGGTTTGCATGTGGTCTTCGTAGATTTCGTGCGTCCATGCTACGGCCACGACGCGGGCGAGTATGTGTACGGCGCTGATAAAGTAGGTGAATGAGGAGAAGTGTCGGTCTTCATCACCGTAGATTCGGGTGTCGTATTGAGCGAGGGAGAATGGCTCAGGAATGGTGGTGCTGTTATGATATAGATTCTCGTCCTAGGAGAGTAGAATTTCGGGCTTGACTGTGTGACAGCGGAAAGTTGGTTTTCATTGGAGTGCTGCCATGATGCCGCCTACCACGTACAGCTCCCACCATGTTCGGCGAGTGCTCTCTTCTTCAATCTCGCGGTTTCATGCCTAGGGGGAAGTCTCTGCGGTCCGTTACCAAATTGATGGCAGGGGAGACTGCGTCCGATAGCATGCTGGCAAACTCTTTTATCTCAACTCGAGAATGTAGGGCGATTGCAAATAGAAACCGATTTTGTACAAGGTGAAAGTCCTGTGTGTTATTACTTTGGAGTGCCTCTGCTGTGATGGTACGCAGCGAGTCACTAGATGTTGTTGAGGAGAAATGGCTGCCCACGAACTGAACGACCAGCCACAGGATGTCTGGATATGACGCTTCATTGTACTAGATCTCGGCAGCAACATTGGATGTGCTGGCTGGAAGTTCACATAGGATAAGTTGACGAGACCTTCGTCATGACACCATCGTGTGATTAGCGTGTCCAATGGTACTGCAATCGTGGGCTGGCCGGGGACAGGTTCAATATCCTGTAATGTGTCTGCTTTCTGACATCCTGCTCTGGTGGGCTTACTTCGCCGTGCGGATTGGCATCATCAGCAAATATGCTGGTAGGGTCTGCTGCCGTGAGCCCGGCAATGCCACCTCCCACCATGGCAACGCGAAGCTTGGGTAATGAAGTTGGGGTGGCGGTTTCCATATCCCGTTTTCCTTCATTTATGTCTAGACATCTAGACGTCCTTTAGTGGTTGATCATTCGTTGCGATGCCTACGCTCACAAGAAGTAGATAGGATGCGCATTAAGTAGTGCAAGTGTGGAAGCCGCTCTCAGATGGGCGTGAGCCCATCTGAGGTAAGCATATGATGGAAAGAGACCTCTCAAGGCCCAACTTCCCCAAGGACAATAGTAACTTTGATTGAGACTGTCCGAATCACCGTAAGTCCCCGGCGCTAGGGGATGATAACATTTCCAATGATGATGGTAAGAGAGCTCGATGGCTTCTATCTTATCTTCCCTCAACATTGTATACGTGTCGCTGCGATGTCGTAGACAAGATACACAGAAAGGTTAGTGGTGGTGATAAATGATGACACTATCTAAACTGAAGATTGTAAACACCCATCAGACTCAACGCTGCGTGGTATAACTCGTCATTCTCGTCAAGATATGCGATGAAGTCCGCGTAGAGCGATACCTAATGCACCTTTCCTTTTTTTTTTCTTTTTTTTTTCGTTGATGCCAGTGGCAGCTCTTCTCTGAACAGCTTAAGAATAGTCAACAATAAGTTCTAGTCTACCGAAGTCAGCAGAGGCGTCGACTGCCAGCGCCTCCATACCGAGAACTGTGGACGGGAAAGGAGCAGATGAAGCATTTGAATTCATCAAGAGGCATGACAACGATATCGACCCTCTCACTCCTTCTGCGCCAGGAAAGCTGAAGATGAAAGTTATTTTCTGCATCCTTAGGTTGCTGTTGGCAAGAAACTTGATGCTCTTCGTGAATCTGTTGCGCCTGTATAGCAAAGATGGTAGCTAACAACTCCGTGTAGATCGACAAGGCAACCCTAGGCTATGCTGTGCTCCTAGGGTTGATGGAAGAGACTCATATCGGTAAGGAGTAGCACAACAATCTCAACACTTTGTTCTATGTCAGTTAGTTGATACCCTGAGACTCCGTTAAGTACGGGATCTTCATCTGACCAACGGACAGGGTATGTAATCGGACAAGTCCCGGTCAATACCTGATTCAACGTACTCCCCTACGCATTTTATGTCTCCGGCTCACGGGTTTCTCTGGTCAGCCATCATCCTCCTCTACTACACAGCAAGAGATTACAGCGGACTGATCCCTCTCCGACTATTCTTCGGCCTCGTGGAAGCCACCGTCATCCCCGCCCTAGAGATGGCCATGACAATGTTCTTCACCCCCAAGGACCTCCACGCCCTACAACCAGTCTCCTGGATAGCCTGCTTCGGATGCCCAATCCCAATAGGACTCCTAGGCTACACCCTCCTCTTCAGCAAGAGCCCCGTCCGCCCTTAGAAATACTTCATGATAACAACAGGTGGCCTCTCCCTTCTCGTGTCCCTCCGGTCCTAGTTCTTCTACCCCAGCAACCCAATGACAACCCAATTTCTCTCGACCGAAGAAAAAGTTCACATAATCCGCCGAGTTCAAGCCGTAACCCGTAGCGTCATCGAACAAAAGGTCTCCAACGATACCAAGCCCCCGAGGCCCTCCTCGACCCCGTCTCCTAGCTCTTCGCCCCAGGTCATTCTGCCTAATGCTAAACAACAATCTCGCCTTCCAGCAGAGCTTGCTATACCTCCAGCTTGGCGTTTCCGATCTCGGCTCCACGCTAGTCTGGGTTGCTGCGGGCGGCTTCGCGATGGTGGTCGCTGTCGTCTCTTCATTGTCCTTGAAGCTGTGGCCGAATTATAGCGCGTACTGGGCTACGCTGTGGTGTTTTCCGGCTGTTGCTGGGGGGATTGGTATGGTTGCTTTTCCGTGGGATCGGACGATTTCTCTGCTCGCGTGCTTGCTCCTGGCTTGTAATACGTGGGGGATGTCGTATATTATTCCTTTAGGGTGCGCTGCGTCTAGCTGTGCTGGGTAAACGAAGAAGCTTACTCGCAGTGACGATGTTCTTATGGGGTATCGAATATTATTTCCCCGCAGATGGGGAAACGGGGTGAACCGCGGTATTATCGGACGTGGATTGAAGAACAAGTAGCTGCCGGGAATCTGGGGACTGGGTTCGTAGAAGTCCGGGTGAGCAGCAAGGGAGAGTTGTTGAGGTGAGTGTGTCGACGTTGGATTTGGCAGACCTGGAGAGTAAGTTCTTCGTATACCCTCTATGATGCTAGGTTTCATACATGGCAGTGACATGGTGCACTACTAGTCATTATAGGTATCTGTATATTCACCCGATCTGGCCTTATTCATTGACATTTTCTTCAGTGTATAATCAACGTCTATATATTTGCAGATAACTATGTACAAAGTTTCAGAGACGCATCCTGACCTTCAATTTATCTTCTTTCGCTATCTCCTCTCCCCTCTACAACAACTCCCCCTCATCCCAAGTCACTGAGATATACCTCGCAGCTAACCAATCTCTCCTTTTCTCAGTAAGGAACAATAATGTATCTCCACACAACTCCAGTGTTTCCATCAGGAGCTTTTGTATCTGGTACGCAAGCCTCTTCCTCATATCAGTCGACACCCTCACCAGGGTGCACAGCAAAGTCAAACTCCGTCTGGTCCATGGTCCACGGTTAAGAATACCTTAAAGCGAAGAACAACGAGCTTGCTGGTCCGGTAAGCTGAAGCATCAGGCGATGTCAGATGTGCTGCAATGTTGCACAAATTCACAACAATTTTGTCGCCACCTCTGCTTATCACCTGCGGTAGAAATGCGCAAGACACCAAGTACGGGCCGATGACGTTGACAGACCACGTCTTCTGGCATCCAACTGGATCACTTCCAGTGATTTTGACCCCTTTTTTTCAAGGTAGCCGGCATTATTGATTAGGATGTCAAGCCGAGGGAACGACGAGGCAATTGAGGCGGCTGCCGCATATGCGCTCTCTGCAGCAGTCACATTGTAGCGCAACGGCTACTATTTGGGGTGCGGCGGCTTGAGTGAGAAGAGGCACAAGCGATGTGAAATCTGTACGAGCGCCAATCCCGATTCCCGCGCAGCCGGCTTCTGTATACGATATCGCAGTCGCCTGTCCAATACCTTTGGATGCGCCAGTTATGAAAACATATTTCCTACTTAGGTCCCGTTTCCGGGGATCAATTGCTGGGTAGGTGTCAGTGTGGTGGGTTGAGGTGAAGTAGGCACCTGAGTTTGATATTAGCTCTGTTGCTCATAAGGTCCCGGGGTGCAAGCTGAAGAATTCCCTAGTTACCTGTATGTGGTGCTTAACTCGTTATGGATGAGCTGCGTATATTTATGCGAATCTGAGATGTTGCGTAGGACTGGAGAAGAGTGAAAGATGCAAAGCAGGGTGGAAGCCGGTATGAAGAGGACTAGACATAAGTACTGCACGAGATAATTAATTCGATCGACAGTCCACTTTTTACTGTTCCCTTCAGCGTTTGAATTGAGTAGGATCAACCGTCATTTCCGGTCGTATCTCCGAGACGCCGATGGACTCCTCGATAACATCATCGCCGATCCGGCGATTCTTAGACCATGCCCGACGAGCTTCACTAGAGGAGGCCCTTCGCGCGAAGTTGGAAAGCATAGCTACATATCTCCTATCACTCAAATAGTAGTGCATAGCGTCTGTGTTGGTTGAGAACCACTAACGCACGGAATTTCGTACGAGAGGTGGTGTTTTGCACTTGGTGTTAAAGAAGGTCATCTGGGAAAACCGTCCGAACAAAATGCTCTATATCGTTCCACAGTTCCTCAGGTCTCTCCATGGGAGCAAAATGACCACCTCGATCGTGTGCAGTAAACCATACCAGATCACCGAGAGTGGCTACCCACTTTCTAGGGACACCGCTAATATCAAATGGGAAGCGGCTATAGCCAAAGGGCTTTGGGACAAAGGGGACAGTATCCTCTAGAACATCTAGATTAACACTCTGGTAGTATTCACTTGTCGTCATCTTTGTCAGGTAGTAGATCGAGGCGTGTATTATTGCTGTTTGCATGGGCAAAGGATGTTGTGGATCTACCCAGTTTTTGAATTTATCATCAAGCCTAACACCTTATCAGTAATTGGTTCCGTAATCTCTGAATCGCTAGTTGTGTCTCACCAGGCTAACAATGACAACGGGTTCTTCTCCGGAAGAGCTCCTAAGGCGGCCTGCTTTGTATGGACCGTGGTGGCTGTCTCTTGGAGAGACTTGAAGTCTAGAGTTCGACTGAGAATCTCAAAATCTTGTGTACTCAGGTCCGTATCGTTGCTCGGGTTGAGTAAGCCGGCAATTTGAGGGAGAGAGTTGACTAAACACAGTTAACTTTATTGTATGAAATAGAGACTAGCAGGATTCACCATGTACAGCTAGGCTTCAGTTAGCAATCTTTCCAAGTACCAGCACAGATTTAACAAGATAGATGTACCTTCGCAGTTTGCGCTGAGTGACCCGAGCAGCCTAGCAACATAGCTCCCCATACCACCACCTTGAGCTATGTATCCATTATCCAGACCAATGCCGGTGAGCAACGCATCAACTGTTTGAGCTACTGTGTCTAAATCCGCACGCCTACTTATGGGAGAACCGGGAGAGAAGGCATACCCAGGCAAGGATGGTACAATGAGATGAAAGGGGCTGTCTTCTGGAGAATACTTTTGTCGCACGACATCGAGCAGATCTAAAAACCCAAGGAAACTGCCGGGCCAGTCATGCAAGAAGACGACAGGAATTGCATCCGGATGTTGGGAAAACACCGCCATGAAATGAAGAATAGAGGTATGACCGTCCACCGTCACAGATGCGTTAAACTGAGGATGACGGTTGATCTCAATTTCTAGAATCGACTCGTTGATTTCGGAGAAGCCTTCCGACGCAAGTGAGATCCAATGCCGCTGCTCGCTCTTGTATGTGTTGAGATCGCCAGCTTGGGCATGGTTTAGGCTTTCGTGCATTTGATATACTTCATCCGGAGAGAAATGTAATTGTACGCGCTCAAGAGGGATCGACGGTTTGGATGGTAGTTTAGACCACGCATCCGATGCTGTAGGTGTTTGCTCTATGCCTTTCGATGTAGAAGCAAACAGAATAGCAAGACTAACTAGCACCTTGAGAGGCCGAAAGTACATCGCGAAAATGATACGAGTCAAGTAAAGACTCTGAAGAACGTCAAAGACATTTAATCCATTTCCTGGTAGTTGGGGATAAGAAATCGGGGTTTGGCGGTTTGAGTAGGGCGCTCTGCTCTTTTCTTCTCTTTTTTTTTTCTTTGTCTTTTCTCTCCTAGGGCTTCCTTAATTCAAAATCTTCTACTGACAGGGCTGAGAGGGGATTCGATGAGTTAAAAGTGGTAGTGGGACCATAGACACGGTGGTCCACTTGAACGGAGGTTGGTGACTTCCGAGCTTATGCGAGAACTACCTTCATTAATGAGCATATCATTTGCAGATCGTGTGGTTCTGGTCTTTTTTAGCGCAGAAACATGCGCCTCATTTCTTCGTGGCTAGACTCACGGATGCTTCGGAATGGAGAAAATGTCTGTTTAGTATTTATAGGTGGGACACCCTTATCAAAACTGCTCGGGCTCGGGGATTGCGGACTTCCGCTTTCATAATACATACACTCCCGGCCTCCGAAACTTTGGATTAATTGAGTTCCGTCCGACTATGCCACTATTCCGCTCCTGTCATGACTGAACCCTAGGAAGAAATCATAGCATTGTGAGCACTACGACACCATTAAGTTATACCTCCTAGAGATGAGAGAAAACTACGCTACTCTGAGCTCAGTAGCAGAAACAAGACAGGTTTTTCAGACACTACTAAGCATGAATCCGCTACTACCCTTACAACGCTACAAATTGTCTACACACAAGGGCAATAAATTGATCAGAACAAAATGACTTGGTTTAATGGAGCAAGATCACTCAAAACTATCTATGGCGTTTCTGCCAGGGTATATCCTCAACTCCTCGCCAAGACACTGTTGCTCCTGAGCACATTCCTCGCTCGGACCTCACCAGGTCACATGTATCCCGATACAAATCAAGACATGAACTTTTTCGTAAATTGTCTAGTAGAAGAAACCGAGGAGCTTGCCAGCAACGTGCTTGCGACGAGCCTCCTCGTGGTCCATGATACCAGCGGAGGTGGTCAGGACGACGTAGCCGAACTGACGAGAGGGAAGGAGCTGGGTGGCCCACTTCTCGAGGTCACGGAGCTGGACGGGGTAGCGGGGGTTGATGACGCCACACTTGTTAAGACGGCCGTTGAGCTGGATGACGATCTTGCCGGAACGGTGGTCATCGACCTCCTCAAACTCGCCAATGTAGCCTGAACGGATATGGAGTCAGTAATGTTACGAAGATTTAAAAGTTCGCCAAACACAGCAAAAACAAATCAGGAAACTTGTAAGATCTCCGCCTTGTTATAAAACAATTCTTAATATATCGGACACTTAAAGGGCGTACGTCGTTTGACATTCGTGATCGCCGCCTAGTTATCAGCCCGAAAAGCAAGCCAAAACACATAGATAATAATACATTGAAAGGATAAAGAGCACAGCAACTGAAAGACGATATTGATGAGACAAAAAAAGAAAAATGGAATGCATACCGTGCTTCTGCATGACGCTGAGGAACTTGACGATGACCTTGGAGGAAGGACGGATCAGGACCTGGCGCTTGCCAGCCTTCTCGGCGTTGTTGATGGCGTTAAGCGCATCGTTGAGGACGGAAGTCTTGACCATTTTGACTGTGGGATATCGAGATTCTCAAATCAGGGACGGGATAGGAGGTATCTAGAGTTCGAGAACACGAAATATGTCAGCCACCAGTAGTCTTCGAGCGTAAAGAGTGCCCCTTTTAAAGATTTTCATCAAGGGTTCTTCAGCCCGTGTCGCGGTATGAGAGAAGCGTATCACCTGGACACTGATAAAAACTTTTCACTTTTCCAACGGTCGCTACACCGCAGGAATCGGAATTGTAAAGACCAGAGTTCCATGATGATTGCTCTCTCAGACTAGCTGAGAGGCCGAGAGAAGGGGATAAGCAACGAGTAATACATACCTCGAGGGTAGTACCGATGAGGCTGGCGAGGATGTGGTTGAAAAAAGTTCTATCGGGAAGGAAACGGTGAGGTTTTCGGGATGTGCGCAGCTAGGGTTATTCGAATTTTACCCTTATTCGGATCACGTGCATATATGTAGACACCCCCCTTGTTTGCCTCAGGCCGGTAGCCTCACGTCTTTACGTAAGCACATCGATGCCCCTTATTAAGATATGGAACAGGAAATAGGCACAGAATACTGGTTTGCCTCAAGGTTGGCGGATCTTTGCTCAAACACTCCATCCAAGTGTCCATAAACAGACCAGGTCTTGCTACTGAACATCTTATACTGGCTTATTCAAGGTTGTATCATTGGCTCTATACAGGATCTTTTGTGGAATCAGAATATACGGGGAAGAGGGTGAGAAAATCGTGGCAATGTTTGTCTTAAGGGTTTACATGACTTCTTGGGCATACATGAGGGTAAATAATGCTATAGGGGTCTTTGTCTAATTAGAACGACGTGGAACAGAGAAGGGCAGGGAAAGGACCGATGGTAATAGTAAGGTAGAGAAGAAAGTGAAGAAAACAAGATGCCGGCGACGATAGAACAGCATGTGCTCGGGAGTCGTTAGGGGGTAAAGGTTCCGAAAAGTGAGAAACAGAATGCGCCCAACAGGGTACTGGGTAGCTGGGGAAGATGGGAAAAGGCGATGGGGGTAGGGGACGGGAGGGGAAGTTTGAATGGACTGGGTAGTAGTGCTTAGATCAAAGGGGTATCACCAGTATCAGCTCGCTCAACCGTTCCACATGATACGGGGATACTTCATCTGGGAACTTAAATTGATCAGCGGCACGGCGTTGGGGCATCCCACGTGAAAGGATTCACTTTTATGGAATGGGAGCAACTCTAGGGCGCAACTTCCCTCAGTGCGCCAACAAGAGCGCCTTGCTCCGAGGTGGGTGGTCTCAAAAAGAGCAATTGATGGCACGGTAAGCGGGAGGGTCCATGCTTACGCCATAGCAGCAGCGGTTGACAGAGTGACCTGACGCTTGACCTGCTCACGGGCCCAGCGAGCAGTCTCGACTGTGGTCGGGCCGAATTCTCTGTTATTTCTGGTTTCCCTGACCAACTGTGTGACCCAATCATTACGGAAGAAGGCAGCAAACTCTCCGTTGGGAAAAGCCTCTGCGATATCGCTATTTTCCATAGTTAGAAGTTGCTAGGAAAATAAAAAAAAGGGTGGATATAATCAACATACCCAAGAACACCCATTGCGGCTCTCATCAGCCCCTCGCTCCGGTTGGGATCCTGGGAGATCAAGTTAAGGAGCTGGAAGATAGATTCAACGTAAGGCTGAAGCTGGGTGACTACAAACTGCTTAGCATATAACAACATAGTGTGGGATACACACTCGCTTACCTTGCGCCTTGCCCTTGTAGGACAGAACAATACCACCCCAAGCATCCATGATTCCCTCGCGAAGGGACACGATATAGTCGAGCATCTCGATGTTGACATCTGCGCTCGCTGTTACAGTTGATGCCTGCTGCAGTACCTGTGCGACAACGGGCAAGTATGTATCGAAGTGTGTTCCAATAGCCTGCGCAATATCTCCAAATGTTTCAAGAATTGCAGGTTTGAGTTGGTTTGTGGAGCTCTGCAAAAACGACTTAGCGATGGATCGACCTTTTCTATATGAAGTATTGGAATGATCTTACCCTCAGAGTGCTAAGCAAACAGTTCATGAATGTGTCGCAGTAAGGCTGCACCTTCTCGTTCAAGGCACGGGAAATATCGCTGACCAACCCGATGGCCATGGCACAGAGACCTGGCTCCTCCTGGTTGCCAAGGGCATTGTAAAGGAACGGCGAGAAGGGTTCCATATACTTGGCGAACTCATCCTCGAGTGCACTTGCAATAGCGCCGACCGTGGCAAAGACAACATCAGGCACACTGGACTTGGGAGGGACGGTCTGTAAAACCTGGAGCATCGCGTGCATGATGCGATCCGCCTGGGGCTTGATTTCAGTCTCAAGGCGTTGAACGATGGCCTATATAATCAGCATATGAAGTCACGGACCTATTTTGTGGGCTTGAGAAGCTTACCAATAGCACGCTAGTTAAGCTAGTTTGGACTTCTTCCAAGGTGATACGATCTTCAACACTAACAACTTGTTGTTGCATAGGAATCGTGTGCTCCAGACGCTGAAGCACAACGTCGGAAAGGTTTGCAACCATCGGCAGACTGTCGTTCGCTGCATTGGTCACGAAAGAGTTCAGAACTTCATATCCGGCAGTCCGAAGCTGGTTGTCCGCATCTTGTCTACGTGTTGTTAGTTTGTGAGCTGCAGCGAGGCAATCATTTAGACTGTTTTGGACATACCTCTCGGTGAGAGTAAGAAGAGACTTCACACTTTCCTCGAAGTGCTTTGACAGAGGGTTCGTTTGCGCACCAACGTCACCGGCAAACCGATCGGCAACGTTCATCAGAGCCCAGCAGCAAGAGCTGGCGATCTTAGGGGTACTAGCAAGCCCGTTGAAAAGGCAAGAAATAAGGGGTTGTAGATGCACGTCAGGGTCCAGGGTCTCAGAGCAGAAGTCGCATACGCGACCAAGGGCATAGGCTGCCGAATCACGAACTTGGATGGAGCTATCCTCCATCATGCCAACAAGAACACCCAAGGCCTGTTTGACAAGGGGTTCGAGGACCTTAGGGTCAGGACCATCCATGATGGCGCCGAATGCTGCAACTGCGGCATCCCTGCGACGCCAATCCTCATTGCGAATATTTTCCTCGACGAATGACAGGACAGGTTGGATGACGTCGCCCTGGACACACTGAGCATAGAGTTGCAAAGCCTGATAAGCCGCCCGAGAAACGTTATACTCGTCATCCGTCGCATCCTCATCCTGCCTGCACATGGCCTGCAACAAGACAGGAACAACCTCTCTGCAAGCTACGCGGGCGAAGCCGAAAAACGGGCGGACCTCGGGAATACCCTCCGCTTGCGCCTAGCTCAATTTGTTAGCAATCATCCCTTTCATATACCTGTGGGCGAGGGTAAACGAACCGCAGCGTTGTCATCCTCAATAGCAATTTCTTCCTCGCAAACAGAGCACCAGAACTCAATGGCTAGTTTAGCAACATCTTCTTCCTCGCTCTTCATGCCCATGATACTGAGGCCGAACAGAGCCTTCTCCATGTAAAAACGCATCTTCTCATAATAAGCAGCCATGATACGGTTCAAGCAACCGAATGCGCCCGCCTGAACACGGAGGTCATCGGCCTGTGTAGCCTCGCAGACCACTTGCATGATATAGTTACGTTCACCTTCATTATCCATGTTGGACCGAACAAAGTCTACTGAATCACTGAGAGCTTTGATAGCAGCATAGCGGATGTCCATATTTGTTTCTTCGCGTCGAGCACCTTGTACAACAGCGGTCAAGATTGCATTGGAGTGAGCAATCAGGCTTTCCCGAAGATCAGCATCTTGGGATTCGCAGATGAACCCGATTGTGACGAGTGAGGCCTGCTTCAATTGATTTGAGCCCGTCGCGACATTCTGCACTAAGACATTCATCAACTCAGGCCATTCATTGCGAGGAAGCTCGATGGCGGCAATGGAGACGATAAACTGTGCTGCAGACTGGCCAGCCCGAGAGTCTTTAGAGTCAAGAGTCTTGAGCGCAAGCTCCTTGACTTGCGCTTTGATCTCCGGACTGATCTGTTGCTGCCACTTTCCTTGCACCTCACGCAGCTTGGCAGCATCTCTGAAAGTGAAAGCGTTCTTCAGTGCGAGACCCGCAGCAGTTCTGATGTGAGAGGCGGTATTTTCATTTGCCAGTTCCTGGCCCAGGGTAACGAGGTATCCGGCCTAAATAATACGAAGACGGCATGGTTAGCATGAAACCCACGAGCAACAGGCGGTCAGTCGAGCGACAGCAAACAAGGCACTAGGGGAACATACGAAATCAACCTCCGCCGCGTGTAGGAGCTGCTGTTCCGCATTCGTACGTGTTGTCGCATCTATAAACCACAGCGAAATTAACCCGTCAGTAACGCTGCTTATATCCCCAAAGAGTATTCCAATACAAAGGCCATCGTACCTGGCGACAGAGTGCTCTCCAACACCTGAGTAACGTTCATTTTGTCGTAAGTGGGTAACCGACCACGATCACGGGGAAAGAAAAGAGAAAAAAAGGGAAGAAATAAAAGCAAAGCCCCTCTAGCTTGATTAAAATAAAGTAGGAAAACAAGCTGGTTATGAGATTATCCTCAGCAAAGGAATGGCAGTGTGGACGAGCAGTCTGAAAGAATTCCTGGTGCTCGGACTCAAGGTTGTTTTTGTGGATATATGACGAGGCATGCACCAGATCTTCCGGGAAGTAGCACAAGAGGAAAAGACGGCTGTGGTGCACGCCAGAGAGGGAGAATAGCGAGAAGCCCACACTCCGAGGTCTACGTTTCAAAGAGACAGGAGGGGAGAAAGATGATTATTCGATTTCAGAAGCCTTTTTTAAAGTTCCGATAGAAAACGTTAATAAAGAGAGAGAAGAGAAGGAAGAGAAGAAAGTGAGGGCGAGGGAGAATAATAGTGTGTTCCCTTCAACTTTTGATCCGCAAGAAGAATGAGAGCGACGACGGGCAGAAAACAGCCAGTCAGCGCTCGGCGGAGCCGCCAAACATCCGTTGCTGATTGGGCCGCAGGGACTGGTTTAGTCACGGCACGTGATTTTCCCATCAGAGAGGTGAAAAGGGCGTCTATCCTCGAAAGAAAATCAATATTAACAGCCTATCAGCATAGAATTTTCATTTTCATCCTGTCTATCATATTTTATATATTTCGGATTTATTTCCCCGTCAGCATTTCCCCTCTTCAGCTAGCAGCCGTAGGTGTTTATCTACGATATGAAAGTGTGGTGATGGGAAGTGTGCATACCTCCTCCTAGGACTACTAAACATACTTTCGTCACCACTTTTCCATTGTTGCCTGAGGTATTGCCCCTCCCTTGTCTTTGCCAATCTTTCTGGTTCCTTCTTTTTTTCCCCTTCCCCAAAATTTTTCCCCCTCCATTGGGCTTTTTGCTTGTTTTGATTTTGCTTCTTGAAGCACACTCCCACACTACCCACTTGGGTGGCCCCGGCGACCGCTCCATTCTTTTTTTTGCCAAGGTCAAACCCCATCGCACAAAACTACTAATATAATAAATAAATAAATAAATCTATGAAAATTTCATCGAATTTGCTCCTAGCTCAGAATCAGACACACAGCGCAAAAGTAATGATCTGTGAAGTGCTCTTTTAGGTTCAGATCTCAGGGATCATTTCACTACAATCGCTGGACAAGCCGGACAGCCAGTCACAATCAACATATCAATAAACGACGGCAAACGGAGGGAATATCCCTGCCTGTAGCAGCTTTGCTGCTTGTTGGTGGTGGAACCTAGAGTTGCCCATCCACCCGCTAATTTACTGCCTGGTGTAAACCTTCAGGTTAGCCTTGGTTCCGTAGGGACAAGAACCGTAGGTTATTTGTTCTTGTTCTCATGTTTTAATCACTGTCCACCTCTTCGTCCTCCATCTCTGCATCTAAATCCAACACCTCGTAACGTAGACCATCGCCATACAAAACACAAATCGCCCGACGGCCATGTCGGCCGTTGACATATATTCTCGTAGGTTTAAGTTTCGGCCCGGGTACTGTAAAGGCATGTTTAATCCATTCGCAGTCCGGGGCCAAGACGTCAAGCGTTGTGGTAGTTGCAACGGGCGTAGATGATGCCGAGTCACAGTCAAAATCTTCAAAGCCGATGAAACGAGAACTGTCAACACTTCCAGAAGTCTCGCCGGTAGGTGCCGGTTGGAAGGGAAAGTTGAGTAGATAAGAAAACCCCTCTATGAACCCATTTTAGTAAGAGCCAGGGCTTTTACAAAATTGATACCAAAAGTGAAGCATACCGTTATTGGACCAAAGTAGCATAATGGTGTCATCCTCCACGAACTGTACCTGGCGTATTTCCCCTTCTTGTAGATCAATAGCTCCTATACTAGTTCTCCGTGTAGAGCTGACCCCATTTTCGCAATCCAAAATCATGCGGTAGATATATACTAGAAATAGTGAAAGGACGGTTAAATATCAGAAGCACAGACGGATGGGGCCTTTCATACGTAACTGCTTCGACTGGATGGATCTAGTAGCCACATATATCACACACAGACTCTGTTCTCCAACTTCCTAGAATCTAGGTGAGCGATAACTCCCACATGCATTCACCAGGGGAATAATACCTCATAGCGCATAGCAAGATCGATGATATCTTTGTCACAATCTGGATGAAGGGCAAGAGGAGACCGGTGGAGGATACCTCTCCGCTGTGTCAAGGCGATTTGGCCAAAGACTTTCTCGAATTGTAGCCCAAGGCGCTTTGTTAGATCATTCATCTTCGGTAGCTCCACCGGAGTTTCAGTGTCCGAGGCTAGGTTGTTTTGGTCCAGCAATTTCTTAAACATGTCATAGAATGATCTGTCGTGTGAGGTGGGTGCCCACTTGTCTGGCGTATTGGGAGAGGGCCTTGCAAACCCGATCAAAGGCAGTTGTTGAATGAAGCTTCGTAGTTTACTCTTGGTCAAGGCGCCTCTGATATACTTCAGGGTCTGCGGGTATTCAATCAGGTCCGTTTTTTCCTGCAGCTCTTCCAGCGTCTGGGACATCGGTTCTGCACTCTGCATGTCTATTTCGTGCCGAAGCCATCTTGAAAACGAGTTGAATTGGCTTAATTCTTCGTTTGTGTTGATGATTATATGATGCGCTAAGAGATGAAGGCAATCCAGAGTCTCAACAATTGCATTCAGCTCTGGCGTCTCCAAACCTAAGACCCCACATATCTTATGAAACTTGGAAAGCCCGGTGAGGCGACTGAGCAGCACTTCACATCTTTCAAGGGCCGGAAGGAGACATTCATGTGTCAAACGTCGAATATTTTCGTAACCACTCGACACAGCTTTCTCCCACCTTTTGTGGCCCTAGATATCACATCAGCAATTGATTGAGCCAGCCCTAGCAGACGGAGAGGGATCTTACTCTTTCTCCAACAATGTCTACCAGGAACTCCTTCATTGGTTCAAAACAGTCTCCGGTAACCACTAGATGGTATGCGGCTGTCACAAAATCACAATGGCATTTTTCCAACAAATCTTCGTTTATACTACGCATGTACCTCGCCGGCAGTTCTTGTGCGTTTTTCCACTCGAGTTCAATCTGCCTTTGTACTTGATTGACGTATCTGAGCAGGTTTTGAAGCTGAGTTATCTTATGGGCAAGAAGAGAAAGATATCTCCCCGACCGCGTGATAAAACGAAGGTCAAGGGCGAGTAAATGTAAGGAGTCCAGATCATTATCTGAGTGCGAGGATGCCAGCATCGCATGGGTGGAGCTCAGTGGATGAGAGGCGTGTTGAAGAATCTTGCACGAGTTGGCAGGCCTAATGGAACTCCCCACCTGGAATGAGCCTATCTCGAAACAATCGAAAATTCGCAAATGAACAGTGCCGTCGTTGAAGCCTATCAGCAAGACATCTACCGCGTCGTTAGTGTTTTTGCCGGCAGAATGGAAGATAGCATCGATAGATGCTCGCGAACTGAACACATCGTCACTAAAACCTGAGTTAATCAAGGACAGTTGCAACCTTGAGACTAATGATAAAACCTACTCGCTTCCTGTTGCAGGTAGTGTGCTTAACTTAGGTAGCGAGCTTTCAATGTCAAGTAAAGCTAGCTCTCTTGGTAGGTCGGCCTTGAGTAGGGCAGCTGCTGAAGGATGCACATCCGGTGACAGCAGGTCCTCAACGGAAATTTGCCCGGCAGCCTCCTGCAGGTGCCGTTGTGCAACCTCGATATCAGTGAAGTTTACACCCCAGCCTAAACAAGTAACGCTAACAGATCGGTCGGCATGACCCTGTCCTTGATACGCCGGATAATGGTGGACAGTTTTACCGCTGTAAGCACTAATAATCCGGATGGTATTATCCGCGCAAGCGACAGCAAGTAGGTGACCTAATAATAGGTTAGTCGACCTTTCATACAAGGAATCATGCATACAACGGTATGTCGACAGCCAAGGACGCACCATTGTTTTTCCACATCAACTTTCGGATTTCACCCCCACCGTCATCCTCATCCAAGTAAGGGTCCCCCTTGAATGAACCCCCAAAAACCTTCTGTCCGTTTAGTCGGAAAACTCGTAGTTCGTCATCTTCCGTAACAAGGGAGATAAGGTCCATTGTAGGACAGTATTTCAGCGTATTGGCCTTGCATTTTGCTGGCAGTGACTTTTCTGCAACAGGAGTAAGTTGCGGCTCATGACGCAATGGCGAAGAATGAGAATTATCTTCGGCCATGATCGCACAGTGTCCCTCTAGTCCATTCTTTGGAAGTAGGTTGATCTAGTATGTTTCGCGCCTGGCGTAGCCCAAGGCGGGAAAGATGGTTCATGTTAATAATGGACTCCCGGTGGAGCAACGGATAGCACACGCCTCTTGGCACGTGGTGTCTTTCGCGTGTCCTTGAATGGGAACAATATTCATTCATATTTACTGTGAACTCGTTCAATCGAGAGAAAAAAAAACAAGTAGTCTCAAAATACTTTTGCTGAATGGTTAGCTAATTAGCATATATCCCATTTAAATGTACACAATAACCGTAAATACTACAGCGCTTTTGCCGCCCATATATATATTTCCTGCTACCCATAAGCTTCTTCAGACTACCATGGCTTGATCTATCCACCAGATTGAGAAAATAACGCAGCTGAACGGAAGCTAAACATAAGGTGCCAAGGCATTTAATATTCGTATAGCGAGTTTGAATAAGCCCATAATATCCGACGCCTTTAGATTCCGAATCATCGTGGTTCAATCTGCCTTGAACAAGCCACTGAGCTTTTGTGTAAACTCCTCAGTATCCGCTAGAAACAATTCTAGCTCTTCGAGGGGGACGATGTGGCCTCCCTATCAATAGATCAGTAACAAGAACTGCCGCTTAGAATCAAGAGCTGAGAGAAAGACAACGTACAACCGAATGAGCTCGGTAGGAAACCAGATTAGGGTAGATCCTTTCAGACCAAGCTCTTGGTAATGTATTGAACTCATACGGGAACAAAGAATAACTAAGCGACTTTTCTTTTGATATGGGCAGCAGATCCCACCCAGGGCTGCCTATCATCGTCGTGTAGAGATAAAGGCTACGCGGGAGCGTAGATGTAAACCTGTAGAGGCTACATATAGCCAAGATATTATAGAGTGACAGTGGATTCCGCTGGTCAGCCCTTTCAACGAGTTTCTCCCAATCCTTTCTGACAACCAGCAAACTAAAAAGAAGAAAAATATTAAGTCGCTATTCTTCGAAGCCAACATACCAGGCCAGTAAAGCGAGTGGTGTAGATTATACAACTAACCTAATAGTCGCAGGGTGAGTATCGTGCTCCATTGCATAAGCTAAACCATTTTTCCGCCAGCTATTAGCGCGTTCTGTTCTCTGCAGCTTTTCACGAGTAACATTGCCACCATCAGGGAACCTTTTCTCCAGCATTCAAGCTCAACATGCCCACTATGATCCCTTATTTAACATCAGTCTTAGCCCTGTTGTTCTCCTACTTATAGTGGAAGGCTTTGTATTCTTTGTGATTGGTGGACATGATACGCGTAACATGCTGCCAACACCACCATCTTGCACAATATATCCCTTGAAACCGAGTCCAATCATGGACCTGTTCATGAGTCGTGTAGCGTGGCCTAAGTCCATCTTGATATTTTGACTCGACCCACTAGAGAACCCGTACTCAGGCAATGAGGGCACAGTGACTTGGTATGGTAGGTTTCCGGTGTATATTTTGTGGTCCCCGGCGCATACCTTGAGAAACTTAGCCAACGACAACCGCCAGCCTTGGCTCTTTTTGCCTAATTTGGCGTTCTTATTCACAATCTGGATGGGCTTTGGTGGGCGGAGGGTTGCGGGAAGGGGATTGTAAGTGAGGTGGCCGAAGCTTTAGGTCCATATTGGGCCGGGTTCATGGAATGGCCGTAAAACGCAATTGGACTCAGTCAAAGGAGAAGGTATAACGTAGAACAACAGTGACCTCTCTTATCTCGATTCCTCCACATGATGGGCTAATCCTTAGCCCAGACGATCTACCTCAGCCATGGATAATCTGCAGGCATGCTTCACGATGGAGACGAAGTAGTGTAATCGAGAGACGTAAAGAATGTCGCCATCCAAGATGCCTAGCCTGTCAAATGTAGTATGTCATATATTGGAATAGTGCCCTTCGTATATGCACTTATTCTTTTAGAGTGTGAAGTCTGGTTCACTAAGCCCATATACCGTATTCCGTATTCTACTTATAGTGTTTCGCACTCTAGTCAGTTGAAAGCCGTATAATAAGTATGTCGATCTTTGCTTTTTGATGTGGCGAACTTCTGTAGCAATCTTGTAGCAAACTTTCAGTGCACAGAAGAAAAATTGGCAGCTCTAGCTAGAGCTGCGGAACGTCGCTTGGACGCAATAACTTCAAGGTATATCATGGTGTGCCTAGTGATCAAGATACAAAGTCCGCGGGTTGGAAGGAGCTACTTGCATTAGCGTCAAGAAAAGGGTACGAAGTGATTTGTTAAACGTGAAAGCCAGTCGAAACTCTCTCTCCCACAGCAGAAATGTCGGTTTTAGCTCCCAAAGAAAAGTGTGAGGAGGGGCGTCTGAAGCGTATGCGACCAGACAGCCCTAAACAGTATGTCGATTTCCGCGCACCTTAACAATGATCCATGGATCGACTACGATGCCATAGCTGCCAAGCAGTCGGACCTGAAAGACAAGGACGAAGTCCGATTTCTCGTTATTGGGGGAGGTCATGCGGCCTTGTCCTTTGCATACCGCGTGTTTCGAAACGGGAGTTCCCCCTGGAAGTGATATATGTGTTGTTGACATGGCAGGAGGGTTTGGGTGAACCTGGTACTGGAACCGCTATCCTGGCCAGATGTGCGATGTGGAAGGATACATCTACCTTCCCGTGTTGGAGGAGACCGGATACGTCCCTAAACACAGGTACTCCTACGGCGCAGAAATTCGTCAGTAGTCTGAGCGCATTGCATCCCAGCTAGGTTGCAAGTCCGTGTTCTCAACACGGGTGAAACGTCTCGAATGGAGCGAAGAAGCCGCTCAATGGATTATTGTAATGGCACAGAGTTGAGGACCCAAGCACACGGACATCACATTTACCGTCCAGGCCCAGTTTGTCTTCGCTTCAAGCGGTCCTTTTTTCGTCCCTCGAATTCCCCGGCCCCCGGGGTTTGACCTCCAAAACAACTACGTTTTCCACGTTTTTCGGTGGAGCTACAAGTGTACGGGCGGGCCACGAGAGAACCAGAATATGACGCTCCTAAAGGATAAAACAGTGGTAGTTGTCGGTACCGGCGCAACAGCTGCGCAGTGTTCCGCGGAATCGCAAAGTGGGCCAAGCATCTCTACGTTTTTCAACGTACCCCTTCATTTGTGGCTCTCGAAACCAGATGCAAACAGACCCGAATGAGTGGGCTAAGTTCACAAGCCATCGTGGTTGGCACCATGAGAGATGAGAGAGAATTTTAACCATTTTATCACCAACGACCCGGTTCCTGTGGACATTTCTGAACGACGGCTGGATAGACACACGCTCATTCGTAGGTATAGTGGGCAGCCCAAAGGCTGTCACGTCGGATAATTTGCAGCAGTATGCCGATTCCTTGTTTGACCTGGACATACCGCGGGCCGAGAGAATACGAACTCACATCGAGAATCAGGTAGACAACAAGGGGTGGGCCGAGGAATTGAAGCCTGGTATCTTGGATGGTGCAGACGACCAACTTTCTACGACCACTACCTAGCGACATTTAACCAATCTAATGTGACGTTGATTGACACTAACGGGAGGGGGCTGGAAAGCTACACCTCATCAGGGATCGTTGCTGGTGTTGTGGGGTATAAAGTCGTCATCCTTGTTCTGGCCACTGGGTTCTCGCCTAGTAGAGCCCAGGACAAAGATCTCGAAGACAGCCTTGGAGCTCCAATCATTGGACGGAATGGTAGGACTTTCGGCGAGGCTACGTGCCAACGAACGATTATTTGGACGACAGGTCAATCGGAGTCACATCCAGCCGTGGCTTCACGCTTGTCGACAAGTGGAGATTCAATTGAAAGAGACATTCGGTAGAAGCCTGCTTTGTACAGTCAAGCCAAGCCCAGAAGCTCCGGGAGAAGGAGAAGAAATGCATCGCCAACAAAAAAAAGAAATGTTGATTTTGAATTTGGAGGCGATTTCCAATGCGACACTCAACGGTTCAACGGTCGGGTGCAATCTTCGATGCATGCAGAATTGGTCAGCACGTCGGCGAGGGATACAGCAGCGTTTTTAATCTAGAGAAATGGGCTGCTCCTGACGTGGGAACAGTGTTTAGTATCATAACTGTAAAGCTCCCCAATCCCTTCCTCCCAGATGGTACGGCTTCTCCAAATCTATCTTCCGCTTATGATCTCGCCGCGAGGCTGTCAGCGGACCTGATAAAGAGCACTATGATGAAGAGAGATAACCCTCCAAAACTCACCATCGAGCCAAAGAAAGAAGTAGAGGAAGCCTATTTCTAAAAAGTGGCGAAAAGGGCATCGAATTTCTCAGCCGTGCAAACTTGTACACCAAGATATTCCAATCAGGATGGTGCTTCAGTAAGGCCAAATCCCCGCGAAGAGATAGCCAAAATCTCAGGAAAGCCCCGTGGGGAGAAGAGATTGCCAAATATCAGCTTATGGTGGAGAGTCTCCAACGGGAAAACAGGCTAGATAGCTTTGAGATTGCATCCTAGAACACCTGAGTTGAGTGACGATGGCAGCAGGGGAAGTGAAATGGAATGAGAAGAGTTTGATGAACTGACTTGGAATCCATGTCACATATACATAACTAGCCAGCAAATAACTGGGACCGGGCCTTAGGCTGTGAAAAGAAAGGACCGACGGATACAAGACATTATCATTTCATCATGACTACTTATTATTGAAAGGGTGGAAGAACCTAGAAACGGAAGACACCCGGTACATGTGTAATGTGACATTATATTGAATCAAGTCGTTAACTATACAATCCCATCAGCGCCAGATTGAATTATCGATGTTAAATAGCCCAATTCATCCATCATCTCTTGCATTGTTGCCGACTGCCCCGGGAGTGAGTTGACGCTGAAACGGTCATAACGGTTGCTGAGTGAAACACTTTTCTCGTCATGCTTTGAGTCCTCATTATCCCTGACATTTTCCGTAAATTGGACAGTAGAGGGATCTGGACTTCGAAGAAGTCCGAGGCCTTCTATCCCTCCAAAGAAAGCCGCATGACGCTTGGGGTCTCTTTCGACCTCATCGGCATCACCAATACAAAGACCAGAAAAGTCGATGTCGGACGGGGATAAAGAAACTGTAAGGCGAGGAGGTGGGAGATCAAGGAGGGGTGAATCACTACCAAGTGTGGTGGGAGATGATCTTGAATTGACTGTAAGATGAGGGGTATCTGGATCGCTCGTCTCGACAGGGACAGAGCTCTTCCAAAACTCTGCGAAATCTATCCCGTCAAGAGGAGAAAATGATTGATTTTCATTGCCGATTGCGAGCGAGGATGCCATGGACTCAGGAGAGACCAGCTCTGTATCCGTACTCCATTCAGAAAAGTGGCTTCTTTCGCACGGGGAGCTACTCGCAGACCCTTCCGTAGCACTAAGATCGGAGAAATGACTGCCTAGGTTTCCCGCATCAAGCTCCTTTTCTCGAGTTTCAAGATCACGCAGTGCCTCATCCATGACTGAGGAAGGAGTGTTCGGTAGAGTCGGCAGTCTCTTTTCTTTTAGAGTGAAAAGGGTAGGGGTTGCAGCATCCTCTCCTACCACGGGCACGGCAGTTGTGAGCAGGGAGGCAGAGCTCTCCGACGATATAGACCCTTGATGGGCATGTGGATCTCTTGGCTTGTAGCCCTCTCTGGAGGTACTCGTTGTTTGGTTTGTTTGAAGGATCAAAGGACCTCTAGGCTTTGCATGTTCCATGAGTTTGGGATTCAGAGCGCGTCGATCTTGGATGGTCGGCGGTAAAGATTCAGGATGCCCAGTAGAGACAGGGCGCCCGGGAAGCAGGATCTCCGTTGAAGTATGGGCTGTCTGACTCCTCGTGTGATGATTGCTCGTCGGATTCTGAGCACTCTCGAGGCTCTCTGTACGCAACATGGGCGGCCTTTGAGCCGGTTTAGGCTTCTTCACATCACTATTTTGGTTTTCTGCAGTGTCAAGATCAGGTGAAGATGCATTCCATTGCCGGAAGGCAGCTCGAAGGCCTCTCGACCTTGGAGGAGACACAGATCGGGCAGCTTTACTGCCTAGGCCCCTTTGGCCATTCTGAATTGTAGCCCTGGGCGTCGCACTATTAGGCTGTGAAGCAACTCTGTTGGTTATTGAACTTAAAGGGGAAGTGCTGAAAGACCAAGGTGAAGCCGGCTGTTGCAGTAGTGGAGGAGACGTGCGGAGACGCGGAAGTATTGGTTTAGGTGGCTGTCGTGGATTCATGTATTTATCTTCCGGGTTCATAGTCCGCTGTTCTGGCTTTGGGGGGGTTGAGCTTTGCCCTGTATCAGGCAGAATGACAGGAACATGGAGAACGTTAACAGGCTGGCCGGGAAGAAGTGGACAGTGCGATGTGACTGGTTCCGCGGGGTTATAATGTTCCACATCATCGTCCAGCAAGTACTGCATTAAGTTAGATAGTGCGGCTAAACAGGAGGGACACCAGGATACTGACATAATACCAATAGGTGCCGCCCATTTTGAGGCCCCCAGAGCGAGCTGGAACCATATGATTTGGCGACCCATCGAATATTATACTGGTAAAGGTATGGCATCCTCTCCAATGTCCTGGCCCGACACGCTTGTCATTCTCCATGGCATAGGGCTTGGCGAAGTTATCCCATGAGCCTAGCAGCTTGACGGACTTAACCTGAGGATTGGTATATCTATGTGGCTATCAGTGTGTGCAGTAGACCTCAATAAGGGAATGCGGCTCACAGTAAAAACGTCATTAACGTGGTCGAAGCCATTGTTGGGTATTCGAGAGGGTTTCTAGAAAAGAAAGATATATTGTAGCGAAAGGATCGTACCAAGGCAAACCGAAGCCTCTTGATAAATATTTCGGAACAGAGAAAGACAGCGCGTAAATGGCCGCGCAAGACCAGCCTGGACAGAGAAATTTTAAGGAGGGTAATTCTATTCGCTTGGTGTTGGTCGCGGAATTTGAACAGGCCCGGCCGTGCGATTGTTGGATTAATATAATAAGTTCGTGAATATAAGCTCAAGCCAGCAACAAAGCCATCACAGGCCAAAAAAAATCCGATACTCAACAGGCCTGGACACCTGGAGATCAATTGATTCAGTAGCCGCGACGGCACAGTAATTAAATTCCAATGCCCCTGAATTCGAGGTAGGAAAGATTCAGGGCCAATAGCATTTATTGTTCGTGAGCTCTTAAGCGCTGACAAGGCGTATAGATGGACTCGAGAACGTTCGTGAAAGAAGGTGAAGGAATATCGGCGCTTAATCTAGGAGCTGGGGTGTTTTGATCAAGATGTAAAGGAGTGCAAGTGTGGTTCGTTCGGTGGATAGAATGGAGCTGACTATTCAGAAAGAGGAGGACATTGGGGAGGATAATGAGGAATCCAAACTTTCGCACCGCGAAGAACGATTGCAAGAATATAAATCAGTCACAGACCGTGGACATTTTGGGGTAAATAGTAATTGGTCAACAAACGGATAGCAGCGCCTATCATTTGAGAAGGCCAAGATCTACCGGGTTTTGCAATAACCACGTCACAATGCGTACAAAGGGCCCTGCAAATCACGAAGGTAAAGGGTAGCCTTCGAGTTCGAGGCTAGGGGGGAAAAAAGTAGCGAAAGACGCGATGAGATCTGAACATGGTTCTCGGGAGTTCCAATCGACCACTCACGGAGCGGGGACCGGAGCTGAAAATGGGTGATCGGTATCCTGTACCTGGCGAACCAGAATAATGCGCGAGACTATTGTGCCTTAGCTGCCTTTAGTGGTGGAACTAAATGGGTCCAGTGGAAAGATGGATCACAAGTTGCAGCTAGCCATGCGGCGGCGGATCATGGCTAGAGAGGAAGCGAACCACATTTGCATCCATGGAGACGGCGTCCGGCGAATATGATTGAACGGAAACCCGGGAAAATAAGATAAAAAGGGGGCCTGCGTGGCTGATGACAATACCGTACGCACTGAGCCACTGAGAGAATTATCTGCAAGTGATGATAAAAGATTCAACGGAGATGAATCGGAGAAAAGGGAAAGAAACGCAAAAAAATTCCTCATCAGTTCTTACTTGCTTACTTTCGAGTCAACGTAGCACTAGATCTGCGATGCTAGTCCAGTCCCTAATCCGACGGGGATCCAAGAGTCAAGACCGACCAATTCAGCTCGCTATAACAACGGGAACGTAAAGGTAGCAGGTTGATTACTTTTTTTTTTCCCGCCGATCGCTTCAACTCCACACCTGGCGCCACGTGAGGAACAGATGCCATGACCCCATGGTATTTTAGTGTATTCCTTGCCGTATCTCATTTACCAGGAGTCGCGACAACTGGAAGAGATTGTCATTTCCCCGTTGTTGATGAAGCTGCATAGGTAAACAAACGTGCAATTCCAACCTTACTACAGATGTGCTTACCGGGATGTAAGTGATTTGTCAGATGTTCGTTATCTAAATAGCACTAGGACTTGGCCGATAATCTATCCTCACGGACCAGGGCTCGCTTACCTTATACATACAGGCTAAACTTAATAGTTCACCTAGGAGACTAGGAGTACTACTAATAGTACCAAGTCAGGAGGACGTAACCTGTAGACCAATGACCACCGAGACTAATATCGGGGATTGATTCCTACAGCATCTCCTACTGCAGCCGGCGCTTCTCGGCCCTTGGATGCTGGGCAACCAGCGATCAAACACCCAGTAAACACAGGGATATCTTAACATAATGGGAGCTAATGAGTAATTTTATAAATAGTATCGAGCCTTCAATCTATTTTCTTAACCAATGAATCATTACCGTTCGCATCCAGAGACTAAATCGTTACCATCTGTAGAGCCACGCAAGGAAAAATAACAAACTAGTCGACATATCTTGTCGCAAGCTGCTTCGGCTTCCATTAAGTAAAAATAGGGGAAATAAGACAAGCGTGAAAGGAACGCGAAGAGAAAAACAAAGGAGAGGAGGACATCGTTGCGAATCATATCCATGCCTGGACTGGGATTGTCGGCGGTTACGCGGCGCTTGCTGCGACATGTTCGAAACCCATTTCCTTTATTCGCAACGGACCGTTGAGTTTCAAAGCCATCCGTTTAATAAAATGAAAGAATAGAACCAATATTCGGACAGACCCGTGGATTCTGAGGTTGTCAAGTATGAGAAAAGGATCAAACCAAAAGGGAAGCTGATCAACGAAACGCGTTGCACTTGTCATATTTCCGATTGACAGCACCAAGGACGCATTTCAAAATTCCGTCGGCGCTCAACGTCTGACCCTTGTCACCTCTCCACGGCACCGTGTCAACAATATCCCGCACTCGCTCATGCTTGGATATACGCCCTAATTCATCATCTAGCATCTGCAGGTAATGTCGTGCGTCGTTATCATGCCCGATCTGGAAAAACTGGATGCCAACCTGCCACGGTACAGCATGGCATTGATCCAACCTTGTGGCGGCATCGACGATGACGCTTTCTGCATCGTCCGTGAACACCCCGTCTGTGATGGCGATGAGGTTAAGTGGTTTCACTGACTCGCTAGGGTCCTTTCCTTTCGACGCTATGGCCTCAACACGACGAAGGTATGGGTCTAGGATTTGGCGCAAACGACGCCCGACCGGGGTTGCTCCTCGTGGATGGACGCCGTAAAATATCTCGCGGACATCATCTGACGTCTTGATGTTGGTATATGCACCGGTTGTACTATCAGTTCCTCCTCGATAATTCAAGAAATAGATGTCAATTCCGTCCCGGTCGTGTGTGGTGCAAACGGGCGCAATAGCGGCGATAGCATCCGCAGCCTCACCCCAGCGACTACCTTTCATGCTACCGCTGTCATCAACTAAGAATACAGTATCAAACTCGCGTAGAAACGAGTAAGGCGAATCCCCCGAAGATGAAGCTCCGGAGTCTGGGGTCTTCGATGGGCGCTGTGGTGTATATGGAGGAGGAGACCAGAGATCGGCATTGCGTGCGTGGACGGGCGCACCTTTTGCCTGCACAGTGATTGCAACCTGTCGAGGCCGATCATGCTTCGATATGGTATGAGGTTGGTTGAGAGACTCAGAATAGCTTCGAACTCGTGAGTGACGATTCCCCATGATCAAGTGCGGGCTTGGACGCGAACAGATATTTTGCTGAATACAGTAGCAGAGGAGTTGAAGGAGACACAGGGAAGATTAAATTCGATTGAGGTTCGATATGATGGTGTAAATACAGTGGGCGATATATGTAATAAAGGGTGGCACAGCGAGTCGGAGTGAGTTGGTATCCATGGAACCAATTGTAATTGGAAGGATCAAGGTTGACTTATATCACATTATTGATTCAATAGAGAATGGGTATCTCCATGTTGGTCCGCATCAGATGTTACATGGGCAGAAGCCTCTAAGCCCTAATAACGGGACTCGCATTATCATGGGTTGTAGAATGGGTATTACCATCCAATCCTATACTAGTAAATGAAGTCCCTTCAAGAGCTAGGCTGAACTTGTGACTTCCCCACTACTGCTGGAGAACAAAGTGTGCTCCTAAGGCAGAAACGGGACATTATTTTTCTGTCTCATAGCAAACAGTTCCACTTCACAAACAGGGTAAGGCATAATTTGTCTACTGTCACTATGGCAGTGAAGCCCTACCAGAACCCCACATTAATTTAGTTTGCCCTTCTGGGACCGAACACTGCCATACTGGAAGCAAGGGATACTACTGCATATAACTTTAAAAAGTTAATAAAAACTGTCGAAAGGGTCGGAAGCGGGTGAGCTGGACTATAAGGCGCAGCACGATAAACCTTTGGTATCCGTGCACAGCCCTGTTCCCTGTGCGACATACATGGTTGTACCAACAATAAAGTAAATGAAGCAGAATTGTGTTCCGTTAAACCTATCAGTAGCTAAGCTAATTCAGTAGGAACCGAATAGTTGAACCTTAAGATGCTAGTAGTGTAGTGGGAAAGAAAGTGCCTTAACATGAGGCCAGTGTGCTTGGAGCGAGCTATCTTTTACACAGATGAAGGGGTTCCGTTCAGGTACGCAATGTAACATTTTCTACAGGTAAAGCAAAAACATCGACAATATTTGTTGGACTCGGCGCTGACAGCTATTGATCCTAATAAGCAGAAAAAATTTGCAATCTCCAGTTCAGTCGTTGCGCACAACAGGAAGAAAAGACGTCGTCAGTTTTCCATTAGCGGAGATGATGGATCGTGGCGCGACAACGGTGGCTCAGCTTTGCCCGAAAGTGTAAAGTCTAAAGATCCAGAGGCTATCAGTCAGTGGTTTAGTCTAGTTCAGAATACTATAGAAAACTATGGTATTACTGAACAGGATATCTACAATTTTGATGAAACTGGTTTCCAGATAGGTATAGTATCTACAGCAATGGTTATTACTGTATCCTGTTATTGAACAAGTCTGGTATGAGCTGCACAGCCACGAAATCGCGAATGGATTACTGCTATTAAATATATTAATGCTTCTGAGTAGACTTTACTTTCTATGTGTCACGGTGTGCCTGCGGGCACACCTACCTGCCTGCCTGAATCCTGAACATGCTTATATATGTGAGTGCAGTACAAAGCCGAAGGCTTTGTATCCTAGTGCTGATAGCGCAGCGGTTAAGCTTCTGAATGCACCCAGTGGTCACACCGTGACACTATGATCATTTTCTCTGGTAAAGATTTATCAGTCTCAGTGGTATTAAAGCATAGACCCTGACTGGCTGATTGGCCTAAGTAATAATGGATAGACCAATAATAAGCTTGGCTTATTATAGTTGGAAAAGATCTTTAAAAAGTATACTGTAACATGTATATTAGGGAGATATAGACTTCTGATTCTTCATAGCTATACTAGCTATGAATCTGCAGAGTTTAATCTATTCTATAAAAATTATTAAATCATTTCTCTTTATATATTTTCTTACTTATCCTATAAACTTCAGCTACTTGATATTAGCTGCTTTATTGTAAGGATAAGACCCGCAACGTTCGATAAACTAGCATAGCTATCAAACAAGAAGAAAACGCTGAAGAAGAAAGAAAGAAAAAAAGAATCAACAAACGATGAGACAATGAGGTATCACAGGAAGGAGGGGTCGAAACACACCACGTGACGAATAGGTAAACGATGGCCAACAGCCTAAGTATTCTAACGGGCTTCAGCCCGCTACATTTATACCTCTAAAGGAAGTATGTAGTACAGGGGTAACAGATCTTATTCAAAAGAGTATCAATTATATTAATAAGGAGAACTTTCTGGATCTACATAAAGAGACTTGAGAAGCAACAATTTCACCTTCTAATATCTGTAGTGGATTTTAAAGTATCTGGCCTAGTTTCTTTCAATTGTCAGCGGGTGCTGGATATACTTACTATTAAGCATATTACTCCTCCATCTACTTCCCATGGGCCTTTAGACCAGGAATGGACTGTAAATACCACCTTATACTGCTACTGAGGTGCAAAAGCAGATACAGTATATGAAACAGCTTATCCATCACAACTCTGAAAGCCCTCCAAATAAAGCACTCCATCAGCTTGCAAAAGCAGCTGAATCTACTATGCATAAAGTTATTCTATTATAACACTAGATGACTGAGCTTCGCGCAATATATAAGGAACAGAAGTGAAGCGCGCAGCCCCTATATCCTATATTGCTACTGAAGGGGTCTTTGTAGGGACTGAAGGCCAGCAACTTGCTCAAGAAACTATACAGATAATGGATTTAGGGGTACCAGTTCCTAAAAAGCGTGCTGCGTGCACCACCACGATGTAGTAACTGCCATCAAATTGGTCATATTAGAACTAGCTGCCTTAGTAGAAAATAGATTCCTTTATATATAAACAGAGCATCATTTTAACTACGTGGTAGTGAGATATCTCATAGGTTGTTGACTGTGGCTAAATTGTGTGCCGCTCGGTGGTGGATTACGTCCTATTGAACTATTGACTAAACCTCTCTCGGAACCTTTACTACCATAACGTTCACTGTCAGGATTATTCAGCGAAATCGATTGATTAACTACTCTTCTCAGCTTACTCTACTGTTACATTAAAAAATATACAGTTAATGTGACTCGGATATACTAGTGCTTTTACGATGTAGAAGTCCATTACTTCCTTCGAAGCGGATCCTGGATACATGGGTAAAAGATTTCTGTCATTGCTATATACAGTGCTGTGTGAAGTTCATCCTTTTCAAATCAGAACAGCATGATATCACATGCGGACATGTAAATCCTTTGGCCTTCAATTCTCAGCCTGTGTCTATTCACCTCCTAAGAATGCGAGCCTTGATAGATAACTTTAGATCCCTAGGGAAGTTAAATGTATGTAAGATATCTAGATATGTTGTGGTATAATAGATGTTTCCTAATATCATTTATACTACAGGGTATGGTTGTAGCTATGTACATTTTCGGCGTCTAGTATTACTATACTATTGTATTTCTCCTTAAATGTGAATGTCGGCAGGCCCAGTGGTTTTTCGAGCTACCTATCGTTTCAAGCTGACTGCCTTGCATCTAAGAAGCATGCCCTGGTTGGTTCAACGCTTCTGTAGGCGTGGAAGTGAATTGGTAAAATCCAGCCTTGTTTACCTCTCCCTCTCTCTCCCTCCCCCACTTCTCGATCCTTTGTCCTCTCAAGGAACGTCTCCTACAGCACTACTTAAGACCAACTAATCATCTCCATTCTGGTTCCTTGGCAACTCCACCGTTGTCAACTGTTTCGATTATCGTCGATATTCCTGACGCGCGATATCGGGGTGATTGATCCGCAAAAGCTTCAGAAATGGTACGTGTAGTGAGAATAGACCCAAATAAAGTGGTAGTCGTTTTGTACTAAATAGCGTACGCGGCGAATTATTTTGATCTAGGTATAATGGCCTTTACTCCCGCACAGTGGACCTCGTCGGCGACTATGCTGGAGATGAGCTCTTCATCCTCGAAGGGGACTCTCTACTCCTCCATTGCTTCTCTGATAATCAGATAGACTTTTTGGATGGGTTTCAGCTGCTTCATGCTACATACGTGGTGGAGAAATTTCTTGCGCAGCTCCACGAACGGAAGTGCAGGTTTCATATCGTCTTTTTCGATGAACATGCATATAGCTGTATCCCTCAAGGTATTGCCGGGGAGTCATGGCCAAAATATCGCCTTGCTCGTGAGGCGATCCTTCAACATATCATACAGAATCTTCCATCGGCCGTTCCGTCAATGAGGGTTCGGTGCTTCGAGACATATCGCTGTGATGAGTTTGCAGAGTACCTTGCTTCTGTGGACGCTTACTTTTTAATGTGCCATGATGGAGCGGTTACAGGATTAAATACCAGGAAATGTCCAGGATTGACGCTGAATGATCTCGATCTGGTGGAAGATGATGATTCAGGCCTGTCGGATTTTGGTGAGCAAGTTAGCGAGATATCTCCTATCTGGGAAACCAGTGCTATGCTACGATCCATGGTACACCATTTCATTTGTCATGGATACAATGTCTCACTGATTAACAGCCTTGAGTTCCGGGACGCAAAGGTAATCCTCGCAACAGTCCAGGTATATACTGAAAATTAACAACTCTAGGCGATGGCGATGGTAGTGGAGGGCTCCGCAGAACGCGCGAGACAGCTCTACAGCGCGGAAACAGCAGCCACAGAAGATTATGCCCAGTCGCCGATACCAGGCTTAGATGTAAGACTGGTCTCTGAAACTACGATGAGAGATGAGCTGGTCGAGGCTCAAAATTCCCTCCAACCTACGGCCACTGTCGATATAAAACCAATGTTCACGGATCGAGCAGTGAGCGAACGACTTTCAGTGAAATTACTCGAACTAATGGATTCCCGGTCGAAATCCGATATGGGACAGCGTGAGATAATTTCCGTCTTAGCAGTCAGCGCCGTGTTTAAATCTGGATGTTCCGGCAGCAGTGACAATACCCTATCGGCGCGCTCTATTCTGCTACATACAATCATTTTATGCGACTGTAAATTGAATGAGCGAACCAGTAGCCCCATAGGTATTGCAGAGGGCGACGCCTTTCTAAATAGCTATATTGATGCTGTGCTTGGAATTCTCACCTCAGCTTGGTGGCAAGTATTCACGACAAACACACGCTGTGATATAGGTGACATGATTGATGGAAGGCTGTTCTATGAGACTCTGAGAACACTTCGACATCCAAACCACCAATATAGCTTTACTACCTCGGTAATATCCCGACTTGAGATCCTCGCATCATTCGTAAAGGATCTCTGTGGAGTGGAGCTAGAATTTTCACAGTACCCCAACACTACCAAAGACTGTATTGAGCCAAGAAGCATCGAGGTATGGAAAGTGAAAGGTTCAGAGTGTCCCAGTAACTCGGACCCAGAAAGAAATTCCACTGCAGTGATGCCATTCAACAATCCTGTGTTAGACCCGCATTTGAGCCCAGTGTCCCTTGCCATCGACAGCTCTGCCGGCGAGAAGGTGGGCCTTGCGATATCAAGAATATCAGAGGAGCGCAGCCACTGGCTTAATCACAGAAAGCCATTGAGTACAAAAGCTTTCCATCATTTAACATGGTGGCAGCTTCGACGTAATCAGTTTTTCATGGCTGAAATGAGACAATATGCTGCCAGTCTGACAAATTCTGGTACCTTGGATCCCGAGACAGTGGTTGTTAAATCTCAAAACGGTGACCAAAGCTTGCAGCACAATCCTCATCCCAGGCCAGGCGCTTTATCAGTCAGAGGCCAAGTAGCAGCTCAACAATTGACAAAGCGAACCGAAATAACCAACAAACACCGAAAAAATTGGGAAAGCAAGCGTGTGGAGTTTGACAAGATGCACAATTATGCTGCACGCTATGTGAAGGTGGTCCAGTATCTTCAGAATATGGACAAGAAAAGAAGAAACACTATAGAAACCGAAGTTCTGACCTATGGCCTCAGCACGTTGGTCCACCTATGGATAGAAAAGTGCAGCAGCAACCAAAGAGATCGCTCTATGTCAGTTGCAGCACTTATTTGGAGCACTCTATGTGAGATTGCGAAGAAGGAACACGGCGTAACGGAGGATATAGTAAATTGTTTGAAGGGTACGATAAGCAAACTCTGTCTCCCAGCCGTGAATATTTCAGCGCAGGGTACTCATCCACTTTCCTTTCAATTTGCACCGATTATCTGCAACAAAGCCCATGTCAGCATTGGGTTATCTTTTGTTGAATTTCAACTTGTTCAGGCTGGGCCATACCTTGATCGTAGTATGGGTTCCGCACCAGATCCTCGCGTTCATGACTTTGAACCTGATAGGTGGCAGCGGGATATCCTGGACCAAATCGACACAAGAAAGAGTCTTTTTGTGGTGGCCCCAACAAGCTCAGGAAAGACTTTCATTTCGTATGTTTCCCTGCTGGCTTGTAAACTAAGCTTATACCATGGTCAATCTCTAAGTAGAGGTGCTAACCGCAATCCCTGGGTTCTACGCAATGAAGCAAGTTTTAGAGGATGACAACGACGGAGTGCTTGTCTATGTGGCCCCTACAAAGGCTCTCGTTAATCAGATTGCTGCTGAGGTTCAGGCAAGATTCTCCAAAAGTTTCAAGGACGTCGGAAAGTCCGTATGGGCAATTCATACGCGCGATTACCGCATCAATAACCCGACAGGCTGCCAGGTTCTAATCACGGTACCTCATATATTGCAGATCATGCTCCTTGCACCAGCAAATGCAAACCCATGGTCTTCTCGAGTCAAGCGTATTATCTTCGACGAAATCCATTGCATTGGCCAAGCAGATGATGGTGTTGTCTGGGAGCAACTGCTTCTCCTTTCCCATTGCCCAATAATTGCACTTTCCGCGACTGTTGGTAACCCCCAAGAGTTTAGCAGATGGCTGGAATTGACACAGAGGGTGAATGGAAATGAGCTTAAGATGATTGAGCACAAAAGTCGCTACTCGGACTTGAGGAAGTATTCCTATCATCCTCCAGATAATTTCGTGTTTAATGGGTTTTCAAGTCCAGACATACTAGCTCCACTTGGCCTCGATAATAGTCCAAACATGTCTTTTATTCACCCTGTCGCTAGTTTGATTGACCGATCCAGAGGTATTCCTGATGATTTGACTCTGGAGCCACGAGACTGTTGGACCCTTTGGATTGCGATGGAGAAGTGCAAGACAGCGCAATTTCCAATTGACAAGTCGATGAACCCATCCGTCGCTCTGCCAGCTATTATTAGCAAAGCGGATATTATCCAGTGGGAGAATAAGCTAAAAGCTCTCCTAAAGTCCTGGATGAATGATGATAATTCACCGTTTGGTAGAGTCTTGAAAGAGTTATCGTACAAGCCTCAGACAGAAGGTAAATGTCGTACTCAAGTATCATCCGGCGAAACCGATAATTCGGAAAACAAACACGAGATTAAGAAGAACAGTATTCTCGATACCACTCTGCCATTGATCTGCTCGCTCCATGATCAAGGTGCTCTTCCGGCTCTGATCTTTAATTACGACCGGAGCCATTGTGAGCGTATATGCCATCATCTTCTCAATCAGCTTGAAGATGAGGAGAGCCGGTGGAAAGAATCTAGTTCGGCGTGGAAAAATAAGAAACTCAGGTGGGAGGCATGGAAGAAAGCAGAAGAAAAAGGTGCTAAACTGCAGAGAAAGAACGAGGCTAAGGGATATGGTAAGATATCGAAAGATGAGCAGATCCGTGATTCAGCTTTCGTTGAAAGAAGCAAATATAGCTTATTTGACCCCAAAGCGCTAGTTCCCGGGTATCACCTGGCGGATATCAAAAAGCTTTCGGGAGAAGAATTCGAGGAACATGCAAAGGAATTGAAGCACAGGCACATACCGGAATGGCTTATTGGGGCTTTGAGACGCGGTATTGGCGTTCACCATGCTGGAATGAATCGCAAATATCGTCAGGTGTGTGAAGTCCTGTTTCGAAAGGGCTATCTACGTGTGGTTGTTGCTACAGGAACCTTAGCTCTTGGTATCAACATGCCTTGTAAAACAGTTGTCTTCTCTGGTGACTCAATCTTTCTAACGGCTCTTGGGTTCCGTCAAGCGGCTGGTCGAGCTGGCCGTCGTGGCTTTGACTTCCTAGGGAACGTTGTCTTCCAGGGAGTTCCTTATGCGAAAGTCTGTCGTTTACTCAGCTCAAAGCTTCCGAGCCTCAATGGACATTTTCCTATCACGACTAGCTTAGTCCTCCGCTTGCTTATCTTGCTTCATGAGTCTAAACAAGCTCCATACGCCGTGAAAGCAATCAATTCAATCTTGTCATGCCCACGCATCTACCTCGGCGGGCCAGAGTCCAAGCATACCGTTCTTCACCATCTTCGGTTTTCAATTGAATACCTCCGCCGAAACTACCTTTTGGAACAAGGAGGAGCGCCGCTAAACTTCTCTAACATTATTGCGCATCTCTACTACACTGGGAATTCCAGTTTCGCGTTTCATGCACTACTTAGCGGAGGATACTTTCATAATGTCTGCAAAGGGATCGACCAAAGGCCAAACCAGGTACTTCTGACCCTCATGCTCGTCATGTCGCACCTGTTCGGTCGCCATTACCTTCGACCGGCTATTCTAGAATCACACCAAGGAGCAACCAAAAGCTCACCTTCAGTGGTGATCCTTCCACCGATGCCCGAGGAAGCAGCTCGGATCCTACGTTCCCACAATGAGAAGACCCTAGACATCTACTCAGCCTATGTCACAACCTACATCGAACAACACGTCAAAGACATTGATAGTCTCCTCCCACTAACCAACCTCAAATGCGGAGGCGACAAATCCCCTGAGGATATCAACCCATCAATGCCATTCCTTCCCCCGACACAGGTCACTTCCTCCTTCGTCGCTCTATCCGGCCATCGCGACAAATGGGTCAGCATCTCTGAGCTCTGCAAAAACGTCCGAAGCGGCGTATGGCTAGAGCAAACCGTTGTCCCTTACGTGGGGCTATACCCAGAAGAAGGAACCCTCCCCTTGAACGCCTACTTATTCGACTTCTTCAAGCACGGCAACGTCCACGCTCTTGAAAACGACAACATGATCCGTAAGGGTGACATCTGGTTCCTGTTAAATGACTTCTCACTCGTTCTGGCTACCATCGTGACTAGCTTAGAAAATTTCCTTCATTTGTCACCCATTAAAGACCCGGAGCTTTTGAATACCATGGGCAGTGGTGACGTCTATCAAGAAGAACTAGACATCAATCTCGCGGAAAAATTCTCCGATTTCGACGACAAGGCTTATAAGCCGAGTAAGCATCTTAATAACAGACCTCCTAAGCAACCATCACCCCCCTTGCGGGCCAAACCCAAAAAGCCCAAGGTAGCCGACAGCTGGGAAGATGAAGTGAGTGATGAGGAGTCGGACAAAGAAGAAAAGGAAGAAGTCATTCCAATGGCCCTCCCGAAAGATTCGGAGAAGAAGTTGAAGAAATGTACCAGAAAAAGTATGCAGGAGGATGACCACGCCGCTCATGCAAATACAGCCCTGGATGGACAAGCGATCTCGTGGGTCCTGGAGGCCTTCCGTAGGCTTCAGGCTGAATTTGATGGAAATTTCAAAGCTACGTGGGCATGATATACCCTATACCGGTCGTCGTTGTTCATAAAAGGTGGAAAGTTGGTGGTTTTTATCGTTCTTGATGCAGATTGTTGGTTTGAAGAAGACAAGATCTGGTGTCATGCTGATATTGTATTGTGCCGCTTTGGTCGTTGGTGTCAAATTAATGATAGTTTATCGTTAGGAGTATCTTAGCAGGCTACAGAGTTAAATGATATTCTGCTATTCGGTTCCATTCATTAAGATTTGCAGTGATGCCATGTGGGGACGTTCTCCCTGCCATGTCTCCCTGACAATACGAACGAGAGCTTACAAAGATTGTGAGAATTTGATGTTTGTTATGGTAATATTCATAATCTGGTCACGAATCATGAGAAACCATTTCTTCCTTCGTCGTTTCTACTAAATAACAAAAAGACCTTCATAGAGAAATTCATATACATGTATGTTTAGGAACTGATAATAATTGCCCTTTGGTAGACCTTTTTCTAAAGACAGCGTACAGCACAACCAGCTAAACGAAGACAAAGAGAATCCATAAAAATGACGATATGCGTGAATATACATGGGGTATTTTCGTTAATATTAAGCGGGCGTATATAGAAGATGCAGTATATATGGCATGACAGGAACAGAGATTCAGGAAGCCCACGTCCCTACCAAGACTCGGTTAGTTGCTAGTGAATTGGCTTCACGGAAGAAAATGCCATCATCGCCTTCCCCAACACCATCAAAGATACCCGATTCAGACTCCAGGATTTCAATCAAAGCTAGAGCCTGGTCTATGCCCATGCTATGTCCGATGAGCCAGAAGCAGGAAATCACCCATCTTCGCAAAGGATGGTTCAATGACTCCGTAGCCCCGGCGAGGACTAACGGCCAAAGGAGAATCAAGCCCGCAACGTAGCTTTGGTTCACGGGCAGGCTATCAAATGGCTCCGTCGCGATGTTTCCCACACTGAAATGGTATGGGACGCTGGCGCAAATGTCGTTGGCGAGCTGACGGGCTGTATTGCGAAGCCTGGTACAATGGTCTATAAGATCGCTGGATATTGCGACTGCCGGCGCATTGAGAGACAGTTGTCGCAGACAGCTCAAGATGATCTCGCTGACAATGATTCGGGCACAACGATATTGGTTGAAAGTATGACAGAGCCAGAGATCACTGTATATGTGATACTTGTTATCGTATGGATGAGGCCCATGGCCCCACATGTTGAACGAAATGTCCGACAATGTTGGGTCTTCGACAGTGGTGTACAAGAACTCTGGTGGTAAGCCTGCAATCCATGCCATTAGCTCCGCCTCAATTCCGTAAGCAGCAGAGAGAATCTCTTGTGGATCAACCAGAAGTCCCATATTGATATCTGATCGTAGATTGGACAGCCTGCCAGCGATGCCAATCAAGCGGTCGCCATAGGCGTCCGCTTTCGTTCGCAGGAACATGGCGATTTTTGCACAATCAATCAGCGACTCGGGAACCCGCATCCCCCGTTGGAGGCAGCTGATGATCTGCCCCGTGCTGTTAGCGTCCACGGAAAGTTTAAAGTGAGACAAGGTTGTCCGACATACAATTTGGAATCTTAACTGAACAAAGAGCTTCAGGCCGTTTTCGTCTCGCAGTTGCTCTGCACCTCGCACTTCGAGTAATGCCGCGGCACCATATATATGGTTTGTCCACTTCTCAATATTACCGGGGGCTCTACTTGTGACGACCTAGGTTACGTTTTAGTGCCATGAACAGACTCATAAGAGCAGGTGAAGAGCAATGGGGAAAAGAGAAGCAAAATGAAGAAGAGGCGCGCCGGGAGGGGCGAGATTTACCTCAAAAATGGCCAGCAACAGAACCGCAGCAAGGGTTGGGTTGGACTTAGCCTCCTCCTCTTCCATTACGGCGGTATACATTAGATTTAAGGCATTGCCATATTCTTTCTCCGCGGTAATTTTCAACGGCCCATCTTGTCGAATGCGCGAAATCATGGCAGTCCCAACCGCAACCAGACTCGCCTTCATCGCCTGCTGACTCAGGGTCGTTTCTGGCATTGAAAAGAATTCCGGCGAGAAATCCATTACCCAATAGGCCCCGGGCCAGGCATTGAACCGGAGGAAGAAGCAAACCGCCTCATCATTCGTGAATTGGTATGACGGATGGGCTGTAAGTTTTGGAGAGAGTGGCCCGGTGTCGTGTGTTGCCACCTGTGGTGGTGACTGGAGATCGGATAGATCGTTGAAATCCAAGATGTCACTTCCTAGGGACGAAGAAACGGATGTCCCTTGGGGACTACTCCCGCTTGGGGAAGCGATGCGAGTGGACTTAGGGGACTTTTTAGACCGCCGTCCGGTCATTCCAGCCTTAGCCTTTCGGACAACCTGCTGGCTTTCATCGCGGAACATCAGCGACAATTCGTCTCTGTATCCGGGGCACAGCCGGTTTCCTTTGATACATTGAGAGCACGTTGGCCGGGCCTGGTCGCATCGGATCTTTCGCGATCGACATTCGCCGCAGCCTTTGCTCGGTTTCCCGCAGAAGACCATGTTGAGTGGCGGGGCCCACGGTAATAGTATGTATTATGGAATTAAAGTAAGGGTGGATGTACTGCTCGAATTGGTAACCCATGCGAGATGCCGAGCAGTACATTAGCGTCTCTACTTATGACGCAGAAAAATCGGGATTTAGCGGTTCAGATATGACAGACTGAACAGCGCAGGGACCTTCTCTTGATGACAGGTCATGCCCATTGTCCCGATTGTGATGTGAGTGAGGAAGGGCGGTGGGGGGGAAGGGAAGAAGGAAGAGAAGAGAGAGAGAAAGAGAGGGACCATGTCACTCTCACACTCTCCTCTCTCTTCCTCCTCTTCTGTCTTCCCCCACAACATGAGACCCCCCAACAACTTTAGTCGTCCACATCTAAACCAAATCGGGCAGGCGTTGCGGAGATCATTTCCCGACCCAGTTAACTCGGCTTCATTTTTGTGATCTATCCCTTGATTGGTCATCGCTCCACTTCTTCATCAACCCTAAATGACCACTGTATAGTAGTTACTGTGCCTAGGTATAAATATCACAGGATAGCCTACGACTACCTACGCGGAGAGAGACACCTTCTCGAATCATGTGAAGATACAAGCTTTAAATTTTATTCGGCATCAGAAGCGATAAACAGAATGATCAACCTCGGATCCCAATCCAAACCCCCCTCAAGCCTTGGGACATTTGATCTTGTTCATACCCAACCTTGAAAGCATTGGACGAATAGAGGAAATGGCCCTTCAACCACTAAAAAGCAACCTCGGCAAGAAAAAATACCAGTCAAGAGCTATCAACAACCATCCAGTTGCCTTTCTTCGTCTTCTGCTGTCTCTGTTCTTTTGGGTGAAACTCGGGAGCATCGCCACGAAGCTGAAGGTCCTGCAATCGAGAAACCATGCTGCTAACCGCTGCTTCTGGCATTGGGCATTCCCGGCTTGAACAATACTGCGGTTGCTGCTGTGCCTAAAATATGACACCCGGTTAGAGCGAAGCCTGTATAATTGTGCGATAGGCTTGCTTACTGAAGGTGCACCTGGGTAGTTAGACACAGGACTAGCTTGATATGGATACTGCTGGGCAGACTGAAGGTATGGAAGTTGGGCCAGCTGGTTCTGCTGACTTGATTGAGCTGAATGGCTAGATAACGTTGGGTGAACAGCCTGGTTTTGTGGAATGGTTTGGACAGGTCGACCGTAATACCCTGAACAACCTGCTTGCGTTGGCCGTGGGGGTGGAGGATGTTGCATGGATGAGAGAGTATGGGGAGGCTGGTTCCCGTTGCCCCTCCTCACCCCAGCGTCATCATACTGGTTGTAGAAATCAAGAATCGGTCCAGGACTCCAGGCAGTGGCAGGATAACCCGACGGCTGCGGATGCAAGATCGAGCTGGGAAGCCTTCCGTCGGGCGTCTGAGGTGCAAAGCCAGGTGGAGCGAGAATCGAGCCAGGCGGAATCATAGAAAACTGGCCTGTGGCCATATAAGGAGGACTTGGAATCAGTCGAATCGTGCCTGGGGTCATGCCTTGAGCCATGTAAGGGGGGGCTGGAATTGGCTGGCCCACAACAAATCCTTCGCGCAAGTGAAGCTCGGGGGGAGGTTCCATGTAGTAAGGACCTAGCTACGAGACATATCGTTAGTCATTACCTGGCAAGGCTTATTTTGACACAGAACCTACTTGGTGTCTCTGATACCTATTACCTCTCGCCATGATTCGGGCTGGGGAATCCAAATGGCGGATATTTAAGGCACTGAAGGAGGATTTCACTGTCACATATCGTTAGAACTCTCTCAAGGCCCGCAAACTTCTGTGTCATACTAGATAGGAACAGGTTACCTTGTGCTGTAGAGGTAGAGAAGGTGACACTTAAATGCAGCTATAGTCTTGTTTGCCAGAAGGTTTGATCTGAAACAAAGCAATACTATAAGGGGAAGCTGGTGAAAGGAAGTGAAGAAACACAACACATTAGGAAGGATGAAGCCTAAGGACATAAATCGCCGGCCTCAGGCTTTCATCTACCTCTTTCCTTTTCCTTTCTTCACCTATCTAACCCACTCTACACTACGGCGCGCGAGTGCCTTGGTGTGCTCGCGCCCATTACGATCCTTATATTACTTCCAAGGACATCTAAAGCTTCTTCAATAACTGATACAGCCTATTGATTGTGCTTTACCTAATTATATCTTCTTAACCTTGTTAGTCTCCTCCATTTTGTCTCCTTCCCTGTCTGTGAATACCACGCCTGCTCAGCATGTCCTAATGAACAACAAATCTGAAAGACATAAGAGCCTTAATCATCACACATACAAGCCTTTATTAAGACAATTGGGCATCCCCCTACCCTCTTTTTCCCCCCCATTTATTTCTATTTTCTCTGTCTCTCTTTTTTTTTTTTTTTTTTTTTTTTTTTTTTTTTTTTTTTTTTTCCTTCGAAAACAAGGATAGAATGGACAAGATGACAGAAAGACAAGCAAAACTGAAGACAAAGAGGTATGGAGCCTTACATTATAGAAAATTCCAACAAGAGACCTATGTCTTATTCTCTTCGCAACCAAGTCTGACCCTTCGTACTCATATGCTTCTAGAGAATCGAGGAATGTCGTGAAATGAAAGGAAGCTGTCATCGTGAGAGTCGAAAGAGTTCTCTCGTTCCCTGGGATTATCTCTTTGCAACACGCACAAAACTTGAATCATTACTCGACCTATCGTTTCAGTGTTGAAAGGCGAGCAAGCTCAACGTATAATTGAGCCCCAAGGACTAATCATCGTTTAGGATGTTTGATATCTAATCCCCATCCATTTGAGCCCGAACTTGGGCATATGATTCGAACAAACTGTTTTCGGCGACGCATTTGTCCGCACGTTTCCTTAAGAACAATGCTTCAGCCTCTGCAGATTCTCTCTCGATAGTGTTGTAATCACTGATTTGCTGCTGCAATGACAACGCCATCTAGAGCCAGTTGTCAGTCAGTGTTGAAGAAGTATGGGTCATCAATAAAAACGGTACTTACACGGAGGCTCCATTCCCTCTTATCCGCTGCCTTCTCATCCCGCGCTTTGTTACAAAGATGTTCCACACAAAGGCGGATCTCATTTAGGGTCTCCGACAACGAGTCCGAGGCACTACTCTCGATCTGAGGAGATTGTCTCTTGGAAGTTATAGTGTCCAGTTTAGTCAGCTCCACGGAATGTGGTAGGATAGTCTTCTTCGGCACAGATGGAATGTGTGCCTGTGTGCCTGTGCTGGGACAACTAACGCGCTGCGGGCTTCCAGTGGTGGCAGTCACTGTGTGAATCCTGTGCGCTGGGCAATGAGGGGTGGTAGGTTTCTGTTCGCGAGGGCTAGTCACTGCCCTGGTACGTGTTGCCATTGTGGGTCGGGCGAATGAAGGAATATTTCCATCACCAGGTGATATGGGGATGGGCGCTGAGATTGTTGGTCTCCTTGATGAGGGTCTAGGTAGGCGCAGGTTTTTATTCCAACTCTCGGACAACTTTGGGTACTTAGCACCTGCTCTAAATCCCGTACTTCCTGGGTCGAGCTTGCTGTATTCGGGGCTTTTGATAAGCTTCGCACTACTGGACTCCGGGTCTTTGAATGCAAGGCCAGGTACAATGTCAGATGTCCTTTTACCCTTTTCCACTGTACTTCTATGCTTGAAGATATTCCGAAAGCCACCAAGCATACGGGTGCTCCGGGAATCTGGAATCCTAGCACTTTGAGGCGTCAGATTGTGGCTAGGTCTTCGTGACACGATGTCTCTAGATGCTGGATTCTCCACCGATCTCGACACATTGCTGGAATGCAATGTAGTTGAACTGACGGGCCTAGAGGTTGGCTCATCCTGCGTAGAAAAGTCAGACATGGCCTGAAGAGCTACTGTCTGTTTGGGTTGAGGTTTGATGGTCACCTCACTATCACTAGTTCCCGGACTTTGCTCAAACGTCTCGGCTTGAGGAGAAGCAATCTCCGTTGGGGTTACTGAACCAGATGCTGTTCTCCTCTTCATAATGGCTTCGTATGGTCCAGGAAGTTTTGGCATGGAAGGTGCAGGCTGCATGCTTTCAGGACAGGGTACGAAAAGAGATGACAGGCTTGGGCTATTGACAGGCTTCCGAGGAATTGAAAATTGGCGCCCATTGGTGTCTCCCTTCGGAAGTGTCTCCAGTGATATCTGGGAACGGTTTGATGGTCCAGCTACTGGGGCGTCTTCGCCGGTGCTACCGTTAGGTTGACTGGAGCCCGGGGCCCCTGATGTATCCCCAAACTTCTTAGGATCTCTGTTCAAGCCGCGTTTAGGTGTATCCGGATACTGAACGACGGCTGGGTTCGATCGTTGCGTGACTGCATACGTGCTGCCCGGACTATCGTGACCCATGATCATTTTCTCGGCTGAAGCGGCAATCCTGAGGATAGGCCGGATGCGATATTCACCAGTGTACACATCGGTGGGTCGCTTAGGCATCTCTCTAAATTCCCAGTCACCGAGGAGAGGGGAGGACGAGGTGTTGGTTTCTTCCGCCTGACTGGGTGCTCGTTCAACTGAACTCGAGGCTGTGATTTCTTTCTGCACAGCCTGTATGGGAGGTCGAGGTCCACGAGGCTTCTCGACTACTCGAATACCACCAGAAAAACCTTCACCCAGTGCATTTGAACGGCTGCCTAGGCGTTGAGGACTACGGACGGGGATTGGAATTGAGCTTCGCTGCTCTGAAGTTGGTCGCCCTCCTCTCCGTGAAGTAAGAACTAATTCCTGGCCTTGTCTCTGAGTGGCCGGCCCTCGAGGAATATGTGCAAGGAGCTGAGAAGCCGGAGAGTTCAACTTTTTAGACTCCTGGGTAGTGTTCTGCTTGTGAGTCTTCTCTGTGTATATATTAACCGACAGCATAGCGAAAAGTTAAATTGATAGTCTAATTACCTTGCCCTTGACACTCGCCCGAGTGATACACCTTTAGCTTCAATGTCTCGCCTCTACGTGAGGTGCCATGTTTAGTCTCTAGCGAACTTGACTCTATGGACATCCAAAATTAGCTAGTACTTCAAATGGAGAAAGTAGTGTATTCTAAAAAGCCCATAGGAAGAGCGTCTAGCTCATTGGCCTATAGTGTAGGAATTATCGTATCTCGTATAGCCGGGCACTTATGACTCAAAGGGACTCTCTCCATAATTCTATTTTGGTGTCAAAAGGGCAAATAGGAAGAAGCTACTTGCCTTTGCCAGCCATATGAACCTGTTTCTCGCAGCTTGGTGTCGTCTTTTGGCTGCTGGTAGTAGACGAATCCACAAAGGGATCGTGCAAATGACATACTTGAGAGGACATATTGAGTAGGGTATTGATGTTTGAAGGGCAGACAGTGATGTCTGAAGAAGTAAAAGAGAGATTGCAGATAAGGTGCTATCTGAGGTCAGTGGTGAAAAGAAGTATGAGAGATGTTTCTAGATTGGAAATTGGGGAAGATGGTGAATGGAAGTGGTGTGTACGTGTGAGTGCCATATCACAGTCTCTCTGTTCTTTATTAAAAAGTGAAATGTGTTCGTTGGCTTATAAACTGTCAAGACACAGAGACTTTCATTGGGAAAAGATGATGTCGTGCGTGTGATCACTCAGTCACTGCCAGGGCACTCTTTGCTAAGAAATAAAGATTGTTAATCACTGCTATAAAGTAGAAAAGAACAATCCCGTAGTCACTATCACCACTATTCACTTTAAATTGTCTTGGAATTATAGCTCGTAGCTATTTAAACAATGAGCTAACCAGGCAGTCCATCCACTATATATCAAATCTGCTAATCAGTGCTGTTTTTCACTGTTTAGTGGGTTCTCAATCTATTCTTGTGAATACCACACCTGGGTCTGGATTGCCCCCTTCCATCTATGCTCCACTTATTTTCGTCTCAGGCGCTCCAGCATAGAAATCCTCCCGTTTGCCAGTCAACATACAGGCTTATACTAGATGACAGCCTAATTAGCGATTGGTACATCACCCAGGCTGGTGCCAGAAGTGCCAGGAAACTTGACGAACCTCAATTTCTTGATGCTTGTTTGCTTGAGTGGATCATCGGCGCAGAAGCACTCCAGGGAGCTTCAGTAGAGGATATAGTGGGGATAGGCTCTTTCAGAATTGTACATTGTATGAAGTGTGTTTCTGTCGGTATGTCAATACCTCTCTTCCCTTGGGCTAGGCTGATACAGAAACTCACTAAAATAGAATTTACGTCTATAGGTTTCTTCATGAGCAATGAGCTGGTGCTTCAGGGTGAAGCTTAGAAACACTTTCTTGAGGAAATGAGGGTTTATCGATCGAAATGGTGTCGAGGCTCCCATCTATACATGTATACAGAGCCAGATGGGAGCCCCTTATCATACAGCATAACAGAAAGGTCTATGAGCACAGGAAGATACACAACGATGATGGTGCTTTATAAAGAGTGTAAAGAGAGGATACTTCTCAGGCTGGTTTAACTGTTTTCTTAGGTAAAAGAGACAAAGAGGTCCTTCACTAGGCTGTTAGTAGATATAACAACGCTAAGCGAGGCTATGCCGCGATACCTAATTAGGAGCTCAGCTCAGTGAAAGGGTGAACGCCTTAGATACTACAGAAAAGCAGCTATATCTTATCTATAACTATCTCCCAACTATGGCTGCCCCAGCTTACTAGCTTTGGTTACAATAGCTGAAGGGAACCGTCAACTAGGTGTATAGATTGTCTTGCTCGATGGGAGTTGTATCTAATAAGTAGGTTGCAATGCTGGATGGCCAAGTTATATACTATAATTTTTACTTTTGTAACGACTTGAGGCCATGTAACTAGAATAACTACTTTATTGATCCAACAATTCTCCCTGTTTCTCAACTTGCTTCATCCTTACGGTAACTTGCTTTCCTTTACATTAGTATGCTGCCCACGCTTCCTCTTCCCGGAAGACGAACTAGATTTAACGCCTTCTGATCCATCGTTTGTCCACTCGCTAACCTCCCATTGTATCGTTGTTGACTGATCATCGCTGATACCGAATCCACGTCGAGACTTCATCAGGCGGCCCAAGCGACTTCCTTCAATCATCTCTTCAAACCAGGGGATCCCAGTTAATGTGCCATGTCTGTATGTAGAAATATCCGTCGTGCCACCGGAGGAAGGAATGATGGTATGCGAAGACGAGAAAGGCGCTTGTGTAGTCTGAGCTGGCACACCAGTAGTGCGATCCTCCTGAATACCTTCAGCCTCCATGTCTTCATCCTCATCTTCAGAAAGAAGACCTAGATATTCCAGCAATCGTTGATCATCCCCGGATAAACTGCCAATCGTCACCGACATATAATTGGCCTCCTCACTAGGAGCATCAGTCCAATATGAGAGAGGCGTTCCGCAAAATCCGCAGAAAGCACGCTGGGAATGCGGCGCGTGAGCGGGGGAGAAGATGCGCCGGATAGTCGCGCGGGATTCGTCGGCGAAATACGATTCAGTGTGAGATTGGTACCAGTCCAGAGGAACTCGAAGCCAGGCAGTAAGAGGCGTTCCGTGGATCCTCCCTGTATAATGGCGGATATTTTTAGTGATCCCCTTTCATGGTTTATGAAGGTGTATGTGAGAGGGTGACATACGACTATCTCGACTGCTGTCAAAGTAAATCTCGGCGTGCTCGGAAACATCCTCTGGGAGCTGTATGGCATACTGATTGCGTCCACAATGGCAGGAGCCATGAAGGGGCTGGCGACTTGTCATGGTGGCTTTTAAGTGTCGGTGTGTGCTATTTTAGTAGGAGGAGCACCTAATCACCAGTACCGTTGATCTTGTCGCGGCTTAGTAGGTAGTACAAACTCAGAACAACGAGTGGAGGTTGACCAATTGTTGACTGAGCCTCGTCAAGGACGATCAGGGAGACACAAAGATACGAAGACGTAAATATAAGAACAAGGTCCACCAATGGATGACAGTTCTACATCAATCTAGAAAATGAATGAAATGCCCAAGAAGCCTTTGGCATCGATGACGTAAAAGTGCCAAGACCACGGATCGAGAAGGTCTTGGCACGCACTCGATCCGGCAACTAAATGGACTTTCTCCGCACCTAACGTTACTTTGGGGATTTTCTTAGTGAAGATTGAACCCTGAATCATATAAAGTGGTCATGCAGGTCACTCACTAGACAGGCTAAGAACAAAATCCCCTTCACTCATTGATTTGTTTTTCTTTTTCTTCTTCCTTCCTTTTTTCTCTTTCTTTTCCCTTTCTCTTCTCCTTTGTCTTAACTCATACATTTGACTCAATTTCAGTTACATTCCTTCCCAGTTTTCTTGTTCTGTGTGGCCTGGAACCAACGTTAATGTACATTTTACCCACCTTTCCTCCGTCTATCACATGAAAATCTCTCCCACCTGACAACGCTTTCCCTCTCAAACCACCATGCCGTCTGCACAACCACCAGCATCCCTCGCATCTAGCTCGTCTGAGCCCTCATGTTCTCCTGTTCCAGGCGCAATCAACACTGCGGACGACCGCAATGACCGTTCTTCATCCACCCCTACCGCCGCATCATCCAAGCAAGCCGGCTCAGGCAGCGTCCAAGACAAGGATAAGCCGCGCCTGACGGAACAAGAGAAGAAAAACAACCATATCGCATCGGAACAAAAGCGCCGTGCAGCGATCCGTGAGGGCTTCGATCGCCTCACGGAGCTCGTCCCGGGTCTAGAAGGCCAGGGCCGGAGCGAAAGCATTGTGTTGAAAAAGACAGTGGACTTCATTCATGTGAAATTGCAGGAGAGACAGGAGCTCATCTCCGAGATTGAGCACAGAGGGGGACGCATTGACGATATGTTTCGGACCTGACATTGGCACAATCGCTGGGGTTTGCATCCTTAGCCGAGGTTCAATCGGACATGAAATATGATGATGTTGATGACTTGATTTACGGAGTTGCGTGGATGGGCACATTACCCTGCATTCAGTATCCTCATTCAAGAATACCGTTCAAAGGGAAAAAAAGAAGGCATGGGTTACTTTTGGATCATAAGAATTTGTTCAGGCCACGGTTTTGAACTTGCTGTCTGCTCATACCACACCCACCTTGAGTATCTTGGGGCTCGGTGTGTAACTGTTCTCTCCTTTCTTGCTGTTCTTTGTACATCAAATGTTTGAAAATTGTGCTTCTTAGGGTGTTCAGGTGGCAGGCTTTACATGGTTGAACAGATAAGGGATGGATATGTTTTATGACTACCTCTCTACAAGTACAACAACAGTTTTGTCCTACCAGTTGTGGATTAGCTTGCAGATATATAGATATGATAATCTCGTTCATATATTTGTGTAACTGCTTTGGAGGTGAAAATCAAAGAGGGGGCGGGGCAGACAGGGATCGCCGAATATTAAACATGATAGCCATCAACATTTGAAAAACATATCAGAGGAATCTATGAATACTTATCCATATCTATGTATGTATACTAGGTCATGATCCTCAAATATCTTCATCAAGGTTGTAATCACAATCGGCAACGTATTATTTAGTCTTGCTCAGCCAGGTTCTGATTTTTGACATCGTTCTTGACGGTATGACCCATAGTATAAAGATTGTGGTTATAAAGATGCATTGTCGTTGTTTCTTCCTCTTTGTTTCTAGGGTCGTTCTGTATTCCTGAACCCCTAAACACTGTCCTACTGAATCATGGCTCTGGGTGTATTATAAGTACACACCTGCTTGGCATGCACGTGATAATGATGCTCAAATCGCTGAGTAAAAGCAAGGAAAAAGAAGAAAAGAAAACACCATGACTATCTTATCTCTAGACTACCTATAATAGGTATCATTAATCTCGACGATCGTGTATACCTGGCTAGCACACCCAACCATATAACAGACATAGACATACCACAAGTCTGGCGAACATAGAAGATCCGAAACCCACCTTATCGATAGATTCTGCCACTACCCACCGCCAATATATCAAGCTCCGAGATCAAAAAGATACGAGTCATATCAAGAACAAGTTAACCACGTACTCGGACCTCCTCTCCCACTCCCTCAATTGCATACTTGTCCCACACACCCCTCCCCCCAATATCCCCAACCAAACAGCCAATAAAGGCAACCCCAAAATGTCCGACTTCAGAGACTCAAAAACCGCCCTCGTTACCCAACAAGACCCAATCGACCCCCCACCAGCCTACGACGCAACAAGCACCGTCCCAGCACGCGCCCCCCTACCCCGCCCACCACCACTCTCCCTCCCCGTCCTCAACGACCTCCGCAACAAACGCGTAATCCTCGCCTCCCAATCCCCGCGCCGCCGCCAAATCATGTCCTTCCTCGGCCTGCCCAACCTAGAGATCATCCCGTCCAACGCCGAAGAAGATTTCCCTAAGACCATGGAGCCGTTCGAGTACGTGCTCGCCACAGCCACGAAGAAAGCCCAGGCGGTCTACGAGCAAGAGATCCAGAACGAGGAGAAGGGCGAGCCGGCGCTGATCCTCGCGGCCGATACCATCGTCGTGGATACGGCTGCCGGAACGATTCTCGAGAAGCCGCGCTCTGAGGCCCAGCATATCGCCATGCTGAAGTCGCTGCGGGATAATCGCGATCATCAGGTCTATACGGCCATGGCGGCTATGGCCCCGTTGGCTAGTGCGCGGTTGCCGGGGTATGCGCTTGAGACGGCACTGGAGGAGACGAAGGTGCGGTTTGATGGGGAAGTGACGGATGAGTTGATCTTGGCGTATGTGCGGACGAGGGAGGGGGCGGATAAGGCGGGTGGATATGGATTGCAGGGTTTGGGGTCGATTCTGGTGGAGAGTATTGAGGGGAGTTGGGATAATGTGGTTGGGTTGCCGTTGAAGTCGGCTTTGAAGTTGATAGAGAGGGTGGTTGATAAGGCGGATGACGATGATCGATTGTCGGAGGGCGTTTCGGAAGAAGAGGAGGAGAATTAAATAGGCTTCTTAGGGGCATAGTTTGTTTTTGCATGACGGCATGTTTTTGTTTTTATTTTGTATTTTGTATTTTGGTGTTTTTTTTTTTTTTTTTTGATACACGCTGGTCGTCTGTAAATAATAGGTCTTCGGAAGGCTCTGGCAGGAAGGATATAAAATATACTAGACAGAAAATTTAAGTCGCCAACGATATCCATTTGAACAGTTACATATCTTTTAGCTCAATACCAAGAGCGCCAACCAGCTGAGCTAGTCTACTGAACAGAAACAGCATGTACATAGGCAAAACGCCTGAACGGAAGGAAATTCAATAAAAAGGAATGAGAACCAGGAATATACCAATGCAACGATCTATGCCTTCCACACTCTCTTGATGGCTTCTGTTACACCAACGTCGTTCGTCTCGAACTCATAGAGACCAACGGCGGTGGTAAGAGTGAAGGCACGCAGGAGCCAGTTGCAGAATGTTGCGGTCTTGGGAACACGGCGATTGGGGAAGTAGTCAATGATAGCAGCCCTACTTAGTGTGAGCAATCCGCTGGAATTGAAACCACATGCCAAAGTGAAAGAACGTACTGGAATCCAATGTGGGAGTGGAGAACGATGAAAGAACACAGGACTGCGTCCATGACCGGGTTGAGGGAGCCAGCAGCGAAGGGGGCAATGGTGAGGGGAACAAGACCGGCGGAGATGGCTCTGTTCAATCATTAGTTCAGTTTTTCTAGTGCATCAAAATGAGCATAGATGCATAGATCTACATACCTCTCAAAGGTCCAGTGGTAGCTTCCCTCTGAGGGGTGAGGGGTGGGGATAGGAGCAGGGTCGTTCACTAGTAATTGATCCGGTCAGTTCCACGGTATTCACCAGCGAACATACAGCTCCTCGGTTTGATCTTTAAGGAGTCCGGTATTGACGTACTTGTTCCCTGAATGGTCTCTGTTTCCAAAATCATTAGCATCTCATTGTGAACCCTCCAGTCGACCAAAGTCCATGATTGATACAATAGCCACGACAGAAACAGATTCGGGATCACTTACGAGGCAGGGGAGGCAGGATCTGCTTCTTCGCGGACGCATGGAAGGCCACAGCCTGCGACACATTCTTGGTCGCGAAGGGGGTGCGGAAAGCAGAGAGACAGGTCTGCCGGAGGAGGGGAGACTGGCGCGCGATCGAAGCCATTATGAGGGTGTTAGAATGCAAGACGTTGGGTATATTATCTGCGACTCAACGCTGCACGAGGCGAAACAACAAGATGAAGTCGTCAACTTCGTTCAGGATGGAACCTCGGGAGTCCAATTGGGAATGCGGTCATCCTATTGCGGCGCCGCTGATTGGCCGGCCTCTCTCCGCCCAGCCGAAAATGGCCGACTGTCCCGGCAAATGATATTAATCGGTTATTAGTACTAGATATGACGAGGAGAACATCGATCTTGATAACCTGAACTTGTAGACCCCCGCTTCTTCTGAGATATCCGCCATTATTTACTGTTGAACTAGAATGTTCCTCTAAATTTTACTCTTCAGAAATCTTTGACAGTCGAAAACAGGTGGAATTCCCAACATGATTCATTATAACATCAGTTTACCCGAGGTACATGCACAATCTAACGCCTCTCTGCAAAATGAACTGTACGAGATATGCAACACAGAATCAACAGCTTAGAACTTCAGGACGGCCTTGCCCTTGTTCTTTCCGTGGAAGATACCAAGTAGACCGTCAGCGGCATTGTCAATGCCAACCGTTTCGTGAGTCAAAGCCTTGAAAGAGCCTTCCTTGATCCACCTCTGCACATTCTCCTGGTGCTCCTTGGCGTACTTGTCACCCATACCAGCATCACCGACAATGAAACCGCGCATCGTCACGCGCTTAGTTAATACGTACTGGATGTTCTTGATCGGGTAGGGCGCCGAGTTGTACTGCGAGATCATACCGCAAACCACGACACGACCGAAGTCGTTCATGGCATTCAGAGCAGCCTCAAGGTGTTCGCCTCCGACGTTCTCATAATAGATGTCGATACCCTGAGGAGCCAAGCGAGCCAGCGCATCGCCGGGTTTCTCGGTCTTGTAGTTGAAGCCACCGTCGAAGTTCAGCTCCTTGGTAATGTATTCCAGCTTGTCGTCCGATCCGACGCTGCCGATAACCTTAAGACCCTCGTGCTTAGCGAGCTGACCAACCAGCTGGCCAACGGCGCCGCTGGCAGCAGAAACGAAGATGGTCTCGCCTTTCTTGGGCTTGCCGATCTCGTACAAGGACGAGTAGGCGGTCAGGCCGGGCATACCGAGGGCACCCAGGAAGACACGAATATCCTCGATGCCCAGAGGGTTCTCAAGAGGTTGAATGCGGGCCATCGACTGTTCGTCCAGGACAATGTACTCCTGGATAGGAACGAAGCCGATAACCAGATCGCTTTCCTTGTACTTTGAGTTGTTGGAGCGGAGGACCTTGGCGATGGAGCGGGTGTCGATGGGCTTGTTGATAGTGAAGGGAGGCGAATAGGACTTCACCTCGGCGGGGCGCATACGGCCACGCATATAAGGATCAAAGCTAGCGTAGAGAGACTGGAGAACAACACCATTTGCGGGAGCTGGCGAGCTGGGGTCGACTGGCACAGGCTCGACAACGATATCCTGTCCGGGGACGGGGTATCCCTGAGGAACCTTTTTGTAGACGAGGGCCTTGTTCTGGGACATGGTGATAAGGTGTAGTTATGGATGGGGATGAATGGATGAATGGATGGTTATGTATCAAGAGAAGCCAAGGCAGGCCGTAGATAATACAGGAGATGTTTAGATCGGTGTATGAATGAGGGTTATTATTATCTAGGTTCTCAACCAAGATCTACAGGTACCTTTATATTTCATCAGAGGGTCACCACACCTTCCAAACAAAGCGGGGCAGTTCCAATCTCCTGGGTATGACGATTATAAAGCAACTACAGTAACAAACGCAGCAGAAGCTTCTCGAGAGGCAAAAGATGGGGAAGAGGGTTGGCCGACCACACGTCCGAGGTAAAGGTTCCGGAAACAGAAGAGTGAATGGAGAACTATAGGTGGCGTAACCGCGCAAGGAGTGGATCGCTACATTATTCAGAGTCTTTGGGGGGTACGGACAAGGTTAACCTTCTGGGCAAAAGAACCGGAGCTTGTTGATGATCACAAATCAGGAAATAATCAATGCTCCATTTTGTGATCGGAGATGTTGCTGAAAGTTGCTACGCGAGGTTCACTAATCAACTAGAAGGCTGGGGGCATCCATAATCAATGAGACAAATAATTATAGATCGAATGTTTTAGAGAAATTTGATTGTACAAGTCCTTAAGTGAGCACAAAATGAAATCATGAGAATTATGCTTCCGGTTTTTCTCTTAATTCTTTCTTTTTTTTTTTTTAAAAAAAAAAAAATTTAAGACTTTAACTTTTTTCTTTCAATCACTGGATCCATCGCTTAGTCATTGTGGAATCAGTGACTTCGAAGATCTACTACTATGTACTACTAATCCAAAATTCAGAACAATCGATACGTAAGCAGACGTTGTGGTGAGTTAATTATACCCTATGAGAATATATTCTGCATAGCATTGTCTTTTCGCACTTCATACTCCAGACTTCAGACTCATATCCTTCCATCATATCGAACAATTCAACACCTAAATACCTAGCTGCCTGAGGCCTCCAAGATGGGAACAATCTACTGTACATAGTTATACGCAACGTCTAGCTTTTCACAGATGATATGAACTCAATCATGTACTACTCCTATAGTGACGAAGGCTATAAGTTCTCTCAAGAATTCAAGAACAATTCAACTATTCTAGACAATGGATGTTGTTGTCATTCTTTATCGGGGAATAAATCTCGCCTTCTGACTGGCTAATCGAGAGCCTCTCCGACTTTGAACAATTTTCTGCCGGACATTTTTTCTCTTCTCTCTGTCGCCTCCAAACAACAAACCATCTCCTTCCCATCCATCACTTCAATCATCTGAATTGGTTGAATTTATTTGTTTCTTTGTCTATTCCGCTCTATTTCATACCCAGGTTTCTTTTTATATATTACAAGTTCCTCAGTACCCGTTTTTCTACCTTCGCTCCCATCATGTTGGGCGCTCTCCGCCGAAATGGCGTTGCCCATGCGCTGCGCGCTTCTGCTCCCCGGTCTCTGTCGGCCAGAGTGATCCCCCAACGGTTGCAATGGCTTTCTCCGTCACTCCCAGCAGCTTCACACGTGCCCCGGTCCCTTTTCCATACAACCAAGGTCACTTTCTCTGCCGCTGCGGAAGCCCAGGCGCAGAGTACTGCACCCCAAACGGACCAGCCTGAGCGACTATCCGACTTCAAGCAGCTGGGAGATCAAGGACTAGTCGACCCCATCATCATCCGTACTATTACCAAGAACATGGGCATCAAGACGATGACGGATGTTCAGAGCATGACAATCCAAGAAACTCTGAAAGGCAATGATATGTTGGTTTTACCTCCCTCTGACTGATATTGATTGATACTGACCTCCATGTCCTTTCCAGGTTGGCTCAAGCAAAGACCGGGACTGGCAAGACGATTGCTTTCCTTCTCCCCGTGTTGCAAAACATCTTGAACGACCCTACTGTTGATCGCCGAAACAGGCGAGGAGGAGCTACATCGGCAGATATCCGTGCCATCATAATCTCCCCAACTCGTGAGCTTGCGGAGCAGATTGCGACAGAGGCGGCGAAATTAGCTGCTGGTACAGGGCTTGTGGTGCAAGCGGCTGTTGGTGGCACTCGTAAGACCGAGGGCCTAATGCGGATCCAGAGACAGGGCTGCCACTTGTTGGTTGGCACGCCCGGTCGACTCAAGGACATCTTGTCCGACCCCTCAAGTAGGGTCCGGGCCCCCAAGCTGTCTAGCTTTGTTCTCGATGAGGCAGATCGCTTGCTAGATGACGGCTTCGCTCCTGAAATCATGGAAATCCAGCGCCTACTCCCGGACCCCATGAGCGTCGAACGCCAGACGCTCATGTTTTCGGCTACTGTTCCGCGGGAAGTCATGTCCATTGTTCACCAAACCATGAAGCCCGATTTCAAGATTGTGAAAACCGTGCAGGAAGACGAAGTACCCACTCATCTTACGGTCCCTCAGAAACTTGTCGTCCTTGATGGCTGGCAGAATGCATTGCCCGCCATTCTTGAATTAGCCAAAAATTACCAAGCTCGCATGGCCAGTGACTCCAGTGCTCGCCCTTTCAAGGCCATTGTTTACTTTAATTCCACTATGCAAGTAAGCTTGGCCTACGAAGTATTTTACAACTTGCGCAAAGAGCCAGGTAACCGCCGGAGCGGCCACCCTTTGAACCGGATACACCTGCTTGAGCTCCATTCGCGTCTGTCTCAAGGTCGGAGAACGAAAACTTCCGACTTCTTCCGGAACAGCCGTTCTGCTATCCTCTTCTCGTCCGATGTGACAGCGAGAGGGTTGGACTTCCCGGATGTTACTCATGTCATTCAAGTTGGAGCTCCTCGTGGACGGGACACATACATTCACCGTATTGGACGTACTGGACGAGCAAACAAGGAAGGTGAAGGATGGCTCCTCATTCATCCTGGCGAAAACGCTTTCATCCAGAGACACCTTAGAGGCCTCCCCCTTGAAAAGGATCACTCGCTGCCCACGGCTTTCTCCGACATGAGTCAGGAGTCAAGTGACAATATCACTCCGGCCGCTGCGGAGTCCATAGCGCAAGTCAAGGCTGCTATGCATGAGGTGCCCGAAGATATCCGAGAGCAGGCGTGGAAGTCTCAATTAGGCACTCAGCTCGCGGTCTTTTCCCGCACGAGGGATATGATTCTAGCCATGAACGAGTTCTCTACCCACGGATACTATTTGCCTGAACCTCCCGCAGTTTCCCCTAATCTGGCGAGAAATATGGGCCTCGCAGATGTGAGGGAGATGAGGAGAGGTTTCAGAGGTCAGCGTGGCGATAGTCGTGGTTCATGGTCGCCCCGCAGTGAGGGCCAATTCAGGGGAGGCCGTAGCCAAGGCCGCAACGGAGATCGTAACGATAGACGCTCCTCCGGCCCTCGCGATTATAACCGCTGGGACAACTATGAACGCTATTAATTCTGACTGACAAAATATGTTCTCTCTATTACGCTTATTTTTCGGGACTTAATTGAAAGAACAAACCTCCGATTGCATTGGGCGGCGTTATCTATGGTTGCTACACTTACTCTGTATATTCTACCAGAAAACGAACTTTCTCCTCTCCGATTGTATTCCTATCATGTATGCCCGTTCTATGCCACTTTGGGATACCACCTGACTTATCTTCTTTCTTCTGATCTGTTGATATGGTGTACTAGGTGTGTTCAGGGCAACTGGGCACAGGGTTTCTGATCTAGACCGTCACCTTTTGTACTGGATATACTTGGGCTGGGACGGACAGGCACTGGGCGTGTATTATATATTGTATTAATCTAGATAGATCTGTCAATTTTCGTTGCCAAATTTGCATACAGCCAATCTTCACGTGAGCGACATGTGACTCAATCTAAGGATAGCGTTGCGTATTCCTCCATTGCAAGAAGCTTCGAGAACAAGACTATATCAACCGACCTTTGTTGTCTCTCGGATCGAGCTCGGCATGCCGAAGGTCTCGCTCAAACCAGATCCATCGGAAAGTGGGCCGGTCTAGAATGAAAAATAGATCAAATCCCCGAGTACAGTCTATCAAGATACCCACTTCCATATTTTGGTATTTACAACTGACAGAGAAAAGAAAAGCCGAGAATACACCACATCGAAACGAACCAACCCCAACACCAAGCAACACGAAAGCAAGAAAGGAGTGGAGATAGAAAAAGAAAAATCAAACGCAAAAACTCCAAAAAAAAGAAAGAAAAAAGGGGTAAAAGGGAAAAAGAGAAAAAAAACCGCTTAATTACTATCCAAAACAACCACCTCCGCCTCCACCTCCCCCAAACTCTCCACCCCAATCACATCCCCAACATTCACCCCCTCCACAAACGCCCCATCCCCCTCCTCCAACACTCTATCTTCCCTCCCATCCAGCCGAATTCTAGCTCCCCCCTTCTTACTCGCCGGCAAATGAACATACACATTCCGCTTCCGTGTCGACTGCACCGCCCCATCCTTCCCCCCAACAGCCCACGTGAACGTCTTCCCAGGCTCGATGATCCCCGCCCCCATGACGAAGTCCGCATGGATGGGAATCGTCCCGGGGATGGCAGGCACGGCCGCTTCCTCTTGGGCAGGGGTAGCCTCTGGCCCAGCAGCCAGGGGCGAGATAAGAGGGACGAAAGACTGGCGCTTTGCGTTGTCGGAGAAACTCATGGTGTGATATTGGGGTTTGAGGGAGGATTTCCACGGCAGGACCCAGATTTGGAGGAAGTGGACTGGTTTCGAGGTATGTTCGTTTTGTTCAGAGTGAGCGATTCCTTTTTTTAATAAAATATCGTTAGACTGCGCTCGTACTGCATATTCCAATGATAGGGGGTTGTGTGTGATTAGAAGTCAAGGGAAAGGGGAAAAGAAAACTCACCGCTCCCTCCGGTAGTAAATTGTACGTCGCCCCGTGTCATTCGATAGAAGTCCTTGCCCTGGACGCCTTCCTTGCCTCGTTGGATCATACTATCCCGGTGCGTGAGCTCGCCACTGAGGATGTAGCTGAAGATTTCGGCATCTCGATGTCGGTGCGTGGGGAAGCCATTGCGCGGGGAGACACGGTCTTCGTTGAGGACGCGGAGACAGCCAAAATGCTGGAATCGGTGGTCGAAGTAGTCGGCGAAGCTGAAGGTGTGGTGGGTTTTGAGCCAGCCGCCGTGTTCGGCGTAGCCGCGTTCGCTGGAGCGGCGGAGGATGATCTTTGCGTGGTTTAGTTTAGACATTTTCTTTTTTGTCCGGGTTCTTCGTCAGGTGTAAGGGATTAAATTTTAGGGTAATTGAGCTTTGAAAGTTGGGCCATTAGTGAACTTATATAGATTTTATGGAGTATATAAAAATGCATGACGAACAGTACATACATAGGGTTTGATAAGCATGGATAAGGCATGACTAAACCCAGTCTCTCAGCACCGCATAAGCAATTATATTATGGATCCCCCTCATGATTTGGAATGCACCAGCAATTTTCTTTCACAAAAAAAAAGTCATTCCAAAATAAATAAAGCATAAAATATAATGTATAATCCAATCTAATCGATTCGTACAATAGCTTCATCTCTAATTTCTTACTAATATTAACAAAGACAGAGACCACGACCATACAAAAGAATAAAGATAAAAACGCGTACATCAATAAAGTCATTAAGATTGAAAAACGATGTATCTATTCATCTGTATAGACAATCCACATCTACCGCTATCAGGCATCGTCATTCGTAGATATAGATCCTTGAGTCGATCACGTAAACAAAAGTACAAGAAACACGACCCAATGACACATCGGGATATTTTATTTGAAGGCAAGCAAGAAAACAAGGATCAACCCGTCTATGCAGACAATACCGCTCTACTCGCGTGCAATCATGTCATCCCGGGCAGGACCGGTACCGATCCATTTCACAGGAACGCCACCCAGTTCGCGCTCGATGTACTCGATGTACGCGCGCGCATTGGCGGGAAGATCCTCGTACTTCTTGACGCCCATTGTGTTGCTCTTCCAGCCAGGGAGAGTAACGTATTCAACCTGCACCTTCTCGAGGACCTCGGAGTCGGCGGGAACGGTGTTCTCGGTGCGGGTGCCATCGGGCAGGATGTAGGCGACGCCGACCTTGATCTCGTCAAAGTCGTCCAGAACGTCCAGCTTGGTCAGGTTCAGGGCGGTGTAGTGGTTGATAGCCTGGGAGTAGCGGCACACAACCAAGTCGAGCCAGCCGCAGCGACGACGACGGCCAGTAGTGACACCGAACTCTCTACCGACGCTCTGCAGCTTCTCGCCGGCTTCATTGATCTGTTCGCTAGGGAAAGGGCCGGAGCCGACACGGGAGGTGTAGGCCTTCACGACACCGATAATGGATTTAATGCTGGTGGGGTTCAATGAAAGGGCTTGCATAGCACCGCCCAGGCCAGTAGACGACGAAGTCACGAAGGGATAAGTACCGTGATCCAAATCGAGCATGAGAGCGTTGGCACCCTCGACCAAGGTGCTCGGAGAGTCCTTGTATTTTTGAAGGAAGGCCAATTGGTCGACAATGTAGGGACCCAATAATTTACGGTATTCCTGAATTTGTTAGTCCAAATTCAACTGTAATGGACAAGGGTCGAAGGGAACGAATAGTGGCTTACCTTGAAGCGTTCAATCTCCTCCTCGACGTTGTATTCCAACTCGCCAAATCGGGCGCGATATCCAGCCTCCAAGGAGCGTAGCTTGCGCTCGAAGAGCGCCTCATCCTGGATCTCCCCAACACGGATACCCCTACGAGAAGCCTTATCACTGTAGCAAGGACCGATACCCTTGCCGGTGGTGCCAACCTTGCGACCACCCAGCTTGGCCTCCTCCAAGCCATCTACAACAGAGTGCAAGTCGAGACAGACATGAGCGCGGTCGGAAATGAAGATACGCTTGCTGGCGCCCTCCAGACCCTTCTCCTCAAGAGACGCCAACTCCTTGAAGAAGCTGGGAACATGAAAGACGGTTCCGGCACCGATAAGGTTGATACACCCAGGAGAGATCAGGCCAGAGGGGAGGATATGGAAATCGTAGGTCTTGTTGCCATGAACAATGGTATGACCCGCATCTGAAACCAATGGTCAATATGCGGAGAACAACGCGAGAAATCATGGTTAACGTTGCACAAGGCCAACTTACTGTGGCCGCCAGCGGCACGGCAGCAGAGAGTAGCTTGCTGCGCGAGCATATCTGTGATCTTCCCCTTTCCTATCTCATTGAATCGTAATCAGCATATATCCATATATCAACCCCGCCGAGGAATGGATGTATTCACCTTCATCACCCCACTGACTACCCAGAACGATTGAAACGGCCATGTTTGCTGCGCAGGTATTAAGAAATTGGAGATCTATTTAAAATCTTTAGAACTGTATTAGCATAAGACCTCAATTGGTGATAATAGACGTGGGTATTGGGGAGACGGCGGGGTTCCACCGTATGGAGAACAGACAGGACTCCGACGAACTAGTCGTTGGTCGAATTGTCATTAAAAACAGACACAGTAGAGGCGAATGCAATTGGTTTATTACCTGGTAGGTAGAAGAATCTAACCTGTACCAAAGTAAATGGAGCAGCGGCGAAAACTTCGCAACCGTCAAAGACCAAAAAGCCGAAAAAAGGAAAGAGAGGGAACGATGGAGGCAGAGATAATATATGGGAAGTATCCTCCATGTGACTCACGGGTACGGTAATGGTTCGGTCATGGACAAAGACAGCAGGCTTGTCGCCACCATTTCTTACCGTTTCGTTCTGTCATACCCTACCCTCCATGGCGGGGTCGTGGGTCCTGTTCCGGTAGGTGGCGGCCTCAGGCTAGGGAAGGGGGGTCCCCAGATTGCAATCGGCCTAGGGCTCAGGGCTCGGGGTTAGGGACTTAATAGTCACGAATTATCATTCATGGGTTACGATCCTGTTACCTACTATCTCCTAAGGCACAGTACTAGGATGCGACTCAGAATTGCTCAGTATATTATATTACACGGTCACTACGAATAGTCTCCAAAATCACACAAATCGGATCAACCCAATGCTCTAACGCCTATACCATGCAGTAGATGAGAACCAAGAAACTCCAGCAAACCGATCAACTCCACCATTTATATGCTTCAAATGACTTTCCCTCCATTCAATATCCACTGCCGTGTCTGCCCAAGTTTCAGTATGCAGTCCCGGTGCATCTCCCGCGCCACTTCCCAATGTTTCATCACCTTCGAGTCTTCATCTAGTCCGCGTAGATACGCACTGTAGCCGCCCTTACCGCTGCCGGGCACCATATCATCATCGCTATCATTGCTATCACCTCCTTTATCAGCTTCATCACTCTGACCGTTGATCTTAAGACGAGCCGAATCACCAACAGCATTTATCCAATTCGCTGCCATTCCAGTCTCGACGGCTTCCTGGCGTGCATTGAAATGATGTATCATGCGTCGGTTAAACGAATTCCATTCACGCATATAGGTATTCATCTCCGCCACGTATCGGTCCCACGCTTTCCGAGGCAGCCCTAGCTGTTGGGAGCCGGCGCTGATTGGCACATGTTGCGGCGGCTGTGGCCGTTTGGGCGGGTTAGGGCAGATCAGTTCCCGGGGGCGTATATCGCGCATTGTCGTCCTCTGAACCTTGGCTCGGGATTCGAATGGAAGGTGCGCATGAATGTCTCGCAAATCTTCAATGCCACCATTTGTGGTGCTTGCAAACGGCGCTGTCTTGCCCAGATTTTTGAGGTCAAAGTGCTGGCTTTTGGATTTCATATCTTCCGTTTTTACATCATTACCACTTGAAGGCGGCCTGGACTTTGGCTGAGGCACATCTTTGCCCGGACCTTTGGCTACTTTTTCCGGTTCCGCGGTTGCCTCTTTTGCAGGGGTGTCATCGTCGAGATCCATGGCTTCCCCATCCGCTTGACCTGAGTCCTGCTTGTCATCATCTCCGCCAGTCGTTGCTTTGGCCTCCTCAGCCTCAGTTGCAACGCTGGCTGGTTGCGGTGTAGCTCGCGCCTTGGTTCCGACCCGAGTTTGTTTGCGAGGACTCCGCGGACGCTGGGTATTTCCTGATTGTTGTTGTTGGTGCCCGTTGACATCAGGCATGGCCCATCGTAAGTCCTTGAACTTATCACACCAATCATCCGCGGAGAAGTTTCTCTCGGGAAACGATGTAGGCTGTTGTTGTGCCGTCGAACCAGATCGGGAGGAGTCGTGATGAGACGTGCTCGCAGAGTGGCTAGCGCTGTTTCTAGCCGTGGTACGTCCGCGATTATTCAAACCATGCTTCGGTTGGTCTTTGTCCGACGATGATGGCGTAAAGAAGTCGAATGTATTCCAACTATTTGCTGAAAACGGCTTCTGCAGATTTTCATGGCTGCTACTCTTGAAGGTCCCATTTGATGGAATATCTCGTGATTTAGGGGCTTGCGAACTGGACAAACAAGGGCGAAATGTTAGTTTTAGAACTTATAAATCACCAACTCAGAGCGATAGTTTTTTCTTCATGGGTTGTGCCATACAATACGAAGGGATCTTCCGCGTTAGAAGCACCAAACATGGTTTGGGCCGAAGAAGCGGTGTCAGAATCGTGACCTTGTTACCCATTCCGTTAGTAGTTGGGCCTGAAAATCTCCTTTTATATAGCCGAGACACATATTCGTCTACATATGATATAGAAACTCACCTATTCCAGGGTCCCGTTTATCCTGAGTGTGAAAGTCGCCAAATTTCTGATGAGGTCGAAGTCTGCTCTTCGGGACCGCCTTGGGCTTATGCTCTGGTTGGACATCCTCATCGTCGATCTCACTTGAACTTGTAGAGGAATAGTTTCGATTATGGTCAGTTTTAAATTTGGGGCTCGCGCTCCGATGCCTACCGTAATCTGGAGGAGTCGGGCTTGGTGGATTTGTTCGCGCCTTGGGACTTCCAGGTGATTCACGCATACTTGCAGAGCGTCCAAGCCAAGCACTTGAGAAGAATGTCCTTTCTCCTCCAGTACCAGCGTATTTGCTACCTGTTCTCTCAAATTCCGGAGTTTTTGAATTTTCCTCTCGGTCTTGGAAGCCCGCTGCAGCTTTTCTCGCCGTCGGGGAGGGAGCAGGTCCAAAGAAGTCTCTCACCTGGGGGCGTTCGCTTCGGGGAACGTTTGAATAAGAAGAATTGTTTGAAGCCATAGGCTCATCACCACCAGCATCCCGTGGGGCAAACCCTTGTTTCTTCTTTGTAGAATTTCCACGGGTGGAATCTGAGCTAGTTGGCTTAGGAGATGACTTGAAGTATTCATACGCTGACTTCGGTCTTGTCGATTGTCCAGCAGACGAGGCATTGGGCCGGGACGTAGAACCTGGATATCCTGAGCGCCCGGTGCGAGGATCAAACTGGGACCATCCAGAATTGTGGCTCCCCTTCATGTCCTGGAATCCGCGATATGCATCCGCCCGCGTTTGTCCCTCATCATGCATCTTCTCCCACGGTTGCTTGGGGGCCGCTCGCGCATAACTCGCATATCGCTGGGCACCGGAAGAGGGTCCACTATGGAACGACTGGGGTCTCGACGAAAACGATGGTTTCGCGGGTGGAGGTTTGGCAGAAGGCGACGAGGGATAATTTTTGGTAGGAGGTTTTCGAGGAGAATTGGACTTGGGGGGCCCATAGTATTTCCCGTATCCAGCACGTAAGCGATCCGTATCGTACCTCAGCCGTTGTTGAGGGTCACTAAGGATCTCGTTTGCTGCTTGGATGGCCTGAAACTTGGCAATAAATTCCACTTCTTTGCCGGGATTCCGATCCGGATGATATTTGAGCGCTAACAGGTCAATAGCAATCCGAATTACCGAGCGATAGTCTTCCTCTTACCTAGTTTTCTAAACTGCTTCTTGATATCTTCGGCGTCTGCACAGGGCGCAAGACCTAAGTCCGCATAATAATCCCTTCGGACATCCGCTTTTACCATTTTGAAAGAATACCAGAGTGTGACACGGCCCGTATAATCGTATTGTCGAATGAAGGTAGCCCACAAAATTCGCACCAAGATATAATTCTTTTGTACATGACCTGACACATACGCAACGTTGACACAACGAGGTTTGAACAGATCAAAAAGAACGGCTGATAGGCGTATAGACGTTTTTGATCCAGTAGAGAGAAATAAGGGTCGTGCTAGTGAGAGAATGACAAGGATGGAGTGAAAGACAAAAGCTGAAAATGAGAGATTCTTTCTCCCTTTCTCTGCTAGACTCTTTCCGTAAACAAACCCCTCCAAACAGCCAGAGATACTGCCGTAGGTTGTATACCGCCCAAATTTCTGATCAGTCCCTCTGGCCCAACATCTGGCTTCACGTTTCGGTGCTGTATATCCTCATCGATTGTTGTTTAACAGTGCAGGTGGAGTACGGCGAACTTTTTTCTTATCGTTTTCGATAAACGGACATGATCTTCCCGATCAAGGCACCCCCTGAACGAACACCGAAAATGAGGCCCGTTGCAAGGAAAACAGCGGAACGTAGAGCGACCAAATAGCACACAGGAACGATAAATGGAACGGATAGAAATAGTCGACAAGGGGGGAGGAGAGTCGAAATCAAGGCTGGGTGTAGCTGATCTGGCAGAGACTAAATTAGATCAGTCCGCATGGCCAAAGCGCCCATAGATCTTGAAGATCCCAAAAGAACGGACTAACCTTATCCCTTTGACAATCGCACTTCCTAAGCTGTGTTCAAACGAATATAGAACCTTAATATAACGTGCTTATGAACGGTTGAAACAAAGAAGTCAGATGGCAGGTGCTGGTTAGAGAAGGAAGTAAAAGCGGAGGGTTCGAGTGAAGTGAATTGAATTGAATGCTTGAGTAGTAACTGGTTCAATTATTCGGGGTCTAGCGCTGGTTGTCCCGCCGAGCAACAACTCAATCCGATTTTACCATGAAACAGTTGCTGCCCAATGGACAAGTTAAATCGACTTTGTCTACCATATGACGATCCATATTGAATCGAGTATTTCTTTTTCTTTTTTGGTTTAATTGTCACGCTCATTAGGCCTAGAAGACCGGATATCCAAGAAAGTCTGACAAAAAGAATGTAAATGGGGAGGGGGAAGGGGGTAAAAACTATATACAGCAAACAATCATAGACATGAACATATTACGTCCAAGATCCAATTCAACTAGGCGTATAGCGTAGAGATACTGCCTCGTAAGATCACTTGTATCCCGCGAGCTGGAAGACCTGAAGACCGAGTGGTATGGAAAAGGAGGTACTATGAACAAACAAACAGAGAGATATAAACAAACCTTAGCCATCTGTGGATGCTCCGGCTCCTGATCCCCCAAAGAAGTATCCTTCGAGAAGATCATAATTGGCATTTTCACTCCAGTCATGTTGAAAGTCGACTGCCATGCCGAAACCTAGGTCAATCCCGACACTATGCCCAGCTCCATGTCCTAAAGAGGGCACCGCCGGTAAATCATAATCGGGATTCTCGTCAGACCCCACAGGAACTTGGCCTTCTGCACCAGGCGCATCGAAATCCAGAAAATCCAGGCTTATTCCTGTAGGTGGTATTTCTTGATCTGTTGGTTGAAATTGATGGTTGCTGGGATTAGCAGTAACACTGCTAGGTGACGCGCTTTGCTGTGGAGAATTGCCATAGATGTACTGTTGTTGCGTCTGTGGAGATACGGGGCTCTCATAGTTCCCATAAAATTCTATGGATGGTGTCCGTTGGGGCTGGTTTGGTCGCTCTGAGGCGAATGTGGAGGCGGAGGCTTCAGAGTAATCTGGTCGGATTGGGTAGGGTTGCACTGACCTCCTTGCGCCATGGTTAGATCGCTCCGAGATAGTACTGTCATTAAATAGGTCCCCAAGATTCATATCGAACCTCGGAATCGGCCGTGTAGGTCGCGTCTGGGTTTGGCGTCGGGGCTGGCCAGGAAGTCTCTGTCGTTGATCCATTATATATCGACCATGCTGTCTATTTCGGCCAACATACATTGCATTGGCTTGTTGAGTCGCAGCAGCACTCGACTGGAACTGTGTCAAGTCGACCTGAGATCCAAATCCAGTGGTAGATAAGCACATTTGGACTGTGGCTTTGCTCATCCGCTCAAAGGCATCCCGGCACGCTTCTGCAGGTGGACACTTATGCATTAGATCTCCCAAAACAGAGGTGGCAGCAAGTACCGTAAAGTCCACCTCATCTAGTGTCTGCAGGTTCGATTAGCTTGTACCTTCCTTTCCACCTTTAGAGGAAACATACCAAGCGACTTCTAACTATGGGTGAATGCCAGATTGCATACAAAAACGAGATGCCTGCCATGAAGATGTGGTGTGTAGCCAGATACGTATAATTTACCAATCGCACACGGTGCATTTGACGGTATATTCGAATGACCTTTTGCCCTGCTTCGGCCACTTTGTAATAGATATCATCTTCATCGTCCCCTTCATCCACATTAGAAAATGAAGGGCTGGAGACGTCTTCAGCGGGCGTGAGTTCATCGGCCAATTCTGCGGGAACCGTTAGACTTTGCTGGTATAGCATGATGACAGCTTGCCAGTAGTTCAATTCGAGAAACTCTACGGAAAACTGAACGCCTGTGTCGCGCCTCGTTGGGGCAGTCTGTTGCCATTCATTCAATCGCCGATGGATATCCTTGCGCCAGGAGCGGAAAGAGTCAAAGCCTTGCAGGAATGGGGATGTAAGATCAGATCGTGTGAATCTCGCCGCATGAGGGACCTTGTGCTTCGCGAACCGCGCTTGCTGATGTTGCAGGACATCTTGAATCTCAGATTGCAGCACCCGCAGTTTAAAGTAATGGTGTGCTGCATGCTTATAGCTCGGGGAGCCCTCTGGAGGCATCACGATACCCGACTTTGTGATATATTGGTCCTCTAACAGGGACGGAAACTCCGTGCTAATGGCCTGATCGCTAATACCAAAAGGGCGGCCAACGCAGCAACTAACTAGGCGATCGAAACTATAAACGCACCACCATAGGCGCCGGCGGAGGTCACGAACCCACTCTCGTCGTCCTCGCTCACGGGTATCGATGCGCGGTTTGTCTCTATCTTCGGCTCTCCTATGCGGAAAGTTAAGAGTATCAGCCCCCAGTGTATCGATTCCGGTTCCGTCTTCGTAATGTAGTCCAAGGTCAACAGCTAACCGCATTGCAACGCCAACAATGTACCATAGTCCGGGTGCAACGGGCCGTAGGAGGGCAAAGCTGGCGAGAAGAAGCACTGCCTGTAACTCCTCTAGCGCTCCAAACCCGTCATTAGTCGAAGAAGCACCCACAAAGGACTCTAGATGGATAATGGCGGACGCGTGATACTCCTCGGGCTGGTATTGGTGACTTGACAGTCGAGGCCTTTTGGAAGTAGACGGGGAACGGTCGTGGCCATTCCCTTTCTCGTCACCTGATTTATCCTCAAATATTATACCAGCACCAATAGCGAATACAATGTTGAGCATGTAAAGACTGCGAGGAGGGCGGCTCTTTTCATCAACTGAGTAGGTGCGGTCAAGTAGTTCCATGAAATCATTGCGATGCAGGATGGGTATTTGGGGGTTGGCGTGTTCAAAATAGAGATTGGCTAGTTTCTCAGCCAGATCTCGATCTGGAAAAGCAGCGCATTTCATCATCGGTCTCGTTTGAAGGCCGAAAAAAGAATCACGGCCAGTACTTCCGGCTGTACCAGTAGCGCTATGGGGTAGGCGTTCACTTGGGCGCATAGGGCCTCGCTCGGACGCGTTCCCTGAAACAGAGCTTTTGACCGCAGCAAACACGACCCTAGCAAAAGAGATACCAGAAGTTGATCCTAAATACCGAGGGTCAGAGGTCCCTTGGACCGACACCATTCCAATATTCGACACCAGGTTATGTATCCTCCAATTATCTTCTTTTTCGGATTCCATGTTATTCTCCGAGTCTTGCCCACTCTCTCTATTTTTCCCTGTTCTTGATATCGAGCCTTCCTTCTCTCTTTTCATTCGCATCAATTTATCGCTTTCGTCAGCTGTCGACATTTCAGCACCCGTTGGCCCTTCTGAGCCCGCTGACTTTGACTGAGTAGAGTCATGGCCTGCCTCCACCTTGACCGCTTCCTCTTCATCGAAGGCTACCGCTCCCTTAAAATCAATCTGATGCTCCATCAACACTTTCTCCAGGTATGCCACGCGAGCCTCAAGGAAGTACACATAACTCCGGGGTATCTCTCTCTTAGTGATTGGGTCGTACCCAACACACCGGACGCCGGCCTTTTCGCAGGACTGGCACCGGGGAAGCCGTTGGTCGCAGCGGTTCTTGCGCAAGCGGCAACGGTTGCAGGCTGATACATTGCGGAATGAGGAGGAATTCGAGGCGGGGGAAACGTTTACCGGTGCATGTTGCTGGGAATGCGCCAACGGCTCTGGCTGGGTTGATGAAGGCTCAGTGGGCGGGTGCGGTCGTTTTCTCCCTATGGAGGTCGGCGAAACCGGAGAAGTAGGGTTCAGCATTGCGGGAAAGGTACGATGAGGAGAAGCGCCAACGAGCGACCATGTCTCGAGGTTGGATTTCTGCGGAAAGTCAAGTTAAGCGGGGGTATCGTACACCGTAAATCCAGAGACACAGTAGCAGTCATGTCAGAACATGCGCCGACTTCTCTTCTCTCGCCGGCCCAGTATTCCGTTTGCACAGAGTTCAGCGATGATTGACGGGAAACTGTCTCCTCAGTTGAGCCGTGATCCGCGGGCTTTTTTAGTTTCCGAGATGATAGTCAGGGCCAGAGGTGTTAGTATCAGTCTGGAGGGCAAGACAGTCGCGGCCCATGACGGTGGCAGTCCGTCACCACACACGTAGTTTCGATTGTCACGTAAGGTTCAAGTAACTGGAGAGGAGAGTCGACAAAAAAGAAAAAGAAAGAAAAAATGGAGTTTGCGATAGAGCAAACCGTTGGAGTGGTAACTTGACAAGAGGAGTCCCACTACACTTACCTAGACAATAGTAAGAATGTATGGACCGTGTAAAGCTGGGGTGCGGATAGACTGGAGTAGAAACTAATTTTACGCTAACCTTCCTTCAACCACACAGTCAACAGATATTGACTGAAACTGCAACCATCAAACTCTCCTAGAGTGATTGTGCTCTTCTACAAAGCCCATATCACTCAATGGGTAGTCGAGTGACTGTCAGGTGTTCTGAAGCAATTTGCTTGAAGACGACGACGCACGGGCCATAAATGACAATACCGTACCCGGAACCTGGTCGCACGTGACCCTGTAATCAAAGAACGGGATTCACTACTATTGGCTACTGATAAGGAACAGTCATCGCCAACGAAATCTCTAATAAATTTCACTGCAATTTAATACTTGGCAGTGATTCTAGACTGGAATTTACCTGAGTTTTGATCCTATCCAACCCTTCGTAGTGATCAGCTTAACGGATGATTCAAACCATCATCCTCACTAATAAATCCCTTAGGGTTGCCGTCAGCTTGTCACTACTAATAGGATAGCTAGGTAAGATGCCCGTTTCAGCCCCCTGTTGTGTGGCTCTCTCTATCCTGGTCACTTTAGGGCATTAGAACAGTGTTTTATATGCTAGGTTATATATATTGTATCATTAAATGAGCAGAATCAATAGCGCTTGCAAAACGCTCATTTTTTCATATATATGGTGCACTTTCCTCTTGTATAATAGGAATTGTTGTTCATCATATGTACCCAGCGCTCTACCTAATGAACTAGAGGAGAGTCATAGGAGAGTAGTACGGACTAACTAGTCGAAGAGATGGCATATAGCTCCCCCTAAGTAGAGTGCAATCTCTATCTTAATATCCAGATCAAAGCTTACATTTGCCTTTAGCATACGTCGTACGCTCGAGATTGTAATTACTGTCAAAGGATAGGAGGAAGACTACGCTGCCTAAACCGCGAGACCGAGAAACAAGAGGACTAAAAGGACCTAGGTGGATGCAATTACCGTAGTATAAGCCAATGTATTGAGTATTCTTCCGGAATCCTCAGCATAATCTCTACAAAGTGGATGCGTTCTCCGACTCTGTGTAGCGTTAGTGATTATTAGAGATTATGTAAGGTACCAAAGTACGAACAATAGAAGAGGGGAAATTCGTACCATCGTGAGCGGGGCCCGAAGTGAAACTATTCGCAAGTATTGCAACTACAGTAATACGACAGGGGAATGGAAAACTGGTCAAGGTAATATCAAGTTAAAGAGGGAGATTTTGGGTGGCCCTTTGTCCACCTTCCCTTAAAATAGATTCTGCGCTCAAATGAGTTGGATATATGGTAATAACAAAAGCCTCCCAGATGCATAATAGCGCGTGTCCAACCCAACCATGCTCCATGGAGATCATGACAACAAGATAGGGAGAAAGACAAAAATAGGAAAAAAGGCGAAAAAAAAAAGAAAACAGCCAGCCCCCATGCTTTTAAAGATGCATCCAGTCTATGAAATGCGCCTCCACCCAAATTTAAAACCATGATCTAAACACAGAAGGAAACATAGCAGTTCAAAAAGAAAAAAAGCCTGACCAAAGCTAGCCACCACTTGGAAGATAATCAAAATGCAAAATAGAACAGATATATCAAATCGACAGGAGTGTCGAAAGGGGGGAAGAGCTAGAAAAGAAAGAGAAAGAAATGATAGTAAAAAAAGAAAACGTGATGTCAGGTAAAAATAAGCCGAGTCATGTCAAATGTCATGCGTAGGTCGTGTCGGGTCACGCCATATTGAATGGCCAACTCAAGCATGCTCGTGCTTGGCGTGAGTCTGTGTCAAATCGATATTTAATATGTCAGAGTCGTCAACACTAGTCCGCGCAGAAGAGAGTAATCTCCGCACTTCTTCTGCGGTGGCGTCCTCCTTGCCCGCAGTGTAGGAGCCCCGCAGGCCGTTCTCACTTGCATTAAACTCATGCTGCTCGGTTTGCTTGGAATCTGTTTTTGGGTCACTCTCCTCCATCCAAAAGCTCTGAATGGCTCCAATGATGCAGACAATACCGCAGGCCCACCAGGCCAGCACAGAGTATCCACTCTCGAGACCTTTAGAGTGAAGTAGGCCAGTGACGGTTGGGCCGAAAGCACGGCTCAAACTTGCCGTTGAGGCAGCTGCACCATTAATGGACCCAAGCACTTTAGAGGATGGAGCAGCGTTGGCGAGTAAGATAGCGGTAGATGGGAATGCGATGACATGGAAGGTGATCTTGCAGATCAAGGCGACATACACCGCGGTCATCTGAAGCACTTCAGGAAGGAGTATGAGGTATGGAACCAACAGGTAGAGTGGAGGCCAGACAAAGAGAACAAAGCGAAAAGTACGCAAGGTCCCAAAGTGACGGACAACAGATGGGAAAAGCCAGAGCTGGGCAATCATAGAATAGACGCCCTGCACTGCAAGCATGAACCCAATGGTCTTCGTGGGGAGACCAAGACCTCCAGTGAATTTGAATGGCAAGATGGCATCTTCCCCGGACTTGGGTGTGCTCAGGAAAACGGGCATCAGCTGATCGAAAGAGACACTGTGACTATAAGCAATGTTAGTATCTTCAAACTAGGAGTGTGAAACGACCTCGAGGGGGAGGAGGTCCTTACTATGCAAGAATTCCATAGGCAATGATGTTGAAAATAACTTGCTTAGTAAACGCCTTCGGCGTTCCACATTTCTCATTTTTCATCTGCCTTTCAATATCGTCATCATCTGATAAGTTATCCAATTCCTTCATTGGTAACAGCTGAGGGGAGGACTCATTGCTCTTGTACTCGGGCGGGGGTACATCGTCGTAGTCGAGATAATCCGCTTCCTCTGGTTCCACCTTGACATCCGTGTCCTCGGTCAGCTGCACAGAAGATCTGCGGCATTTTCCGATGAGCCAGTTGCCCAATTCCAAACCAGGGTCCCGGCGATGCTTTTTCTCCGGATGGGTCTCCTCCAAGAACAATAAGCCAACCACAATGCCGAACATTAGAACAACAACGCATACCACGTTGGGTAGCAGGAATGGAAAAGCTTCGAGGATAGTGCCGCGCTGAAATAGCCAGGGATAATTCTCGCACGGCTGTGCCAGCGCACCGCCCATGGCGGGTCCGATAATCGATCCCAAGCACCAAACAAATGGCATGATGGAGTAAGCCCGGGGTTGGTGTTCCTTGACAGTCACGATCTCCGCCACGGTCGTCTGGAGTACTCCGATGTTTCCGTTCAACAGGCCTCCTAAAGCCCGGGCGATCATCGCTGTAGGTAAGTTGGGAGCAAACCCAAATACAATCATGCTAATAGCGGTCCCGACCAGGCCCATGATTAGGACTGGTTTCCTACCAACCTTGTCACTCATGCGTCCCCAGAACATGCCTGTTGAGAACTCCGCAAATGTGAAGGCAGAGGTGATCATGCCTGCATAGAGGGCAATTTTGCGATCATTGTCCGTCACATGGAAGGACTCCACCATGCGATAGACATAGGGGAAAATGGACATGAACGCGATTGGCTCGCAGATTCGGCATAGTGCTGATCAAACTGTTAGTGATAACTCCAAGTTATAGAGGATATGCGTCGGGTGACAGTAGGAAGAAAAGGGGGTGGACAAAAAAGGAACCACAGAAAATCTGCCAGGAAACACTGCCGCATACACATCCAGACTTTGAAAGTCCCATTTTCAACATACCTAACACAAAAAGTTGGCGTATAGGGAAAGCAGACCAATCTCCACTACCGCTGTTACGCCGGTCAGATGAACCACTAGACAGGCGTTGGAACATTTTGGCGTGTAAATCCCTTTGCTCGGATTCAACCGTCTTTGCGAAGGGAGAAGAATTTTAATCTACCTCTTCCTTGCTATAAGATAGCAATTAACGGAAGATATGGCCCTGAGGAATGGCTCTCCGTTCTAGATTTTCCGGGTGGCTTTCTGAAGGGAGGGAATTCAATGATGATAAGGTCGTTTAGACTGGACTCAGTGGTTTTTTTTTGTTAAAGGGGCGTCAACATCTCTTGCCCCTGGCGTAAACTAATCTCAGTGTCACTTTAACCCGAATACCTTGTAGGCTGCGTTCCGCGTTCTAGACTTGAACAATGGTTGCCAGCGGGTGTGATAACCCTAATTGGAAACCAATATGGCAGAACACCAAAAAGGGGTGTTTGATAGGAATGTAAGTGAAGGAGATGGGGTATTCCAGGATAGTGGAGACTCGAAAAGCAGCACTGAGAAAGACTCAAGATGCTGTCAAGTGCTTGGAAGGATGGTAGGGTGGGAGTTGTTATAGTTGTGGTTAAGGTCCAATGGACTGAAGGATAGTTGGGGAGGAGGGCTAAGGACCGAAACAAAAGCAGGAAATCAATTGTATTTGAAGTGAATTGGATTATTTTAGAGAAAAAGAAAAGGAAAGAAGAGAAGGAAAAAAAAATTCCAAAAGGAGGGACCTAGACGGGAAGTGGAATAAATGAAGTATTTGAAGTGGATAACTGAGATATGTGATCAGGCGAAAGACTAAAAGCATCAAACGGCGATGGATCATGGACAATGATGGAGCCCATTTCGGTTACAGCTGTACAAGAGAGACGATGGTGCATGATGCAGTACAGCAAACAGTTGAGAAGTAACAGGATCCACAAGTAAATTATTACTATGATGATTACAGTTTTGTTTAGTATTATTATTATTTTAATATTTTTTAGAATTTTTTTTATTTTTAATTTTTTTTTTTTAAAAAAAAAATAGTTTTGGTTTTGGGTTAAGGTATGATGTTTTCAGCAGATAAACCGGCATTAGTACCAAACAGAAGCTGAGTATGGATTGGGGCCGCCCGACTGAACTTACAGACCAACCAGATGATGGGACGTACCACGTCCACGGAAGGGAGAGTCCCAGTACCTGTTGGAAAGGGGTGGAGCCAATAGCAAGACATAGTCGACGAACATTTACCAATCACTCTAGAGAAACGGATCTTTGGAGGTCAGGTACTTTTAGGTACCTATTTTCTTGACCTTCGTACAGCAATCAGACAGGAAAAGGAAAACAACCCGGTTCCTCGTCGTACAGAAGAGGTCATGGGTATTGGTTTTATTCCTTTCGGAACTACGCCGTAATTCCTACGGTATTATGTATTATGATGATAATAACGATATTAACACAATAACAGTCACTCCAATAGTTATCATCATCGTATCAAACAACAGCATCTCAGCGGGAAGATCATATTCCGATTGACTTAGGTCAACATGCGACGGGAAAAAGAGCCCACTACCAAGAAGCTTCGAAGGAAAGGCAAAGGGGGCAAAAAATAATTACAATACATGAAATAGAAAAGAAAGCGAGAGACAAAGAAAATGAGAGCCAGCTGCTCCCAGCTGAGAGCCGCCGCAGCAGATTGACCGGTAGGTAACCCATGGACCTAAGCCCCGGGGCCCGGGGAACTGAAAGAGAGTGTCTCTAGAAGCGCGCTAAACAGTCCCATAAGGCAAGGATGATCAGCTTTCCAGAAGTCTGGTTTAGTGCGACTTAGTGAGATGATAGATCTAACAGTCCCTACCCACTTTCCTGTAGTGTGTCCCGCCCCCAAATAATTAGGTCTCTCCGGAGAGAGAAGGGTTGGAAAAAAATAAATAAGTGAAAAAAGGATGGAAGGAACTGTGTATACAATATGTATAGCGTCTGTATTTTAGCGGTATTGTGTCAGACACTTCCTTTCTCTGATCCACTGCTGCGGAATTCTAGAAAACCCAGCCAAGTGCCCACAGCAATGTGGGATAATTCAACTAAATAAGTCAAAGATCGATCGCGGTTTTGAAATTACGCACGATCCCAGATGCACTAATTATTATCTATTCGACCAGGGTCGGATAAAAAATATATACCAGTCACACCACCTACATATATCAGAAATTTGTCGTCGTCCATGACAGTGGAAAGTATAGAGCATCTAACTGTTAGTGTGGGCGGCTCTACAAAGGAGCTGGGGAGAGGTAAGAAAGAGGAAGCCTGGCTATAGTACAAATAATATGCGGTGTACATCCAGGGTAAGCGATAACGACTTGGTTTTGCATTCGGTGAATTGGGTCACAAATGGTTCAGAAGAAAATGAGGATGATCTGACGTCGAGGGAGAATTCCAAAAAAGGGAGAAGGGAAAAAAGACAGAGAGAAAAAGAGAGAAAGAAAAGGGTTAGAAAAAGTGGGTTTCTCACAAGAGAAGGGGTGAAAAGAATAGGTACATACCCCATCATCATCAACCAAAAAAGTGGGTCTGGTAGTTGTGGACTGGTAACGGTGGGGGAAGAGGTGAGCAATCGACAATCAACCCTTACGGTGAAAAAGACGCTATTGCCTTATTCTTTGGCCGCTTACCCTAAGTGGGCCGGAAAGGGTTGGTAATCGGGGACAAGATGATTGACGTTTGCTGCTCATCTTAAGTTGATCTCCCTGTCGGAGAATGGAAAAGGAGCGATTACAGGCCCCGTAAAACAAAAAAAAAACTCCCCCAAAAGAAAAAAAGATGTAAGATGAGGGGGAAGGCAATAGAAACACTACAGATACATCTCCTTGTGAATAGTCCGGAAATTCCCGTCATAATGTTGCCTCCTGCCATAGAATTTGTTGGACTCTCACTGGGATGATGGAGCAGACAATAAGCATAAACCCCTCAATATTTTCCTGTGCTGTAGCTGTTGGGCAAGAAAATCTTCCGCGGAAGTTAGCTGCTCACCAGAAGCACACAGCTACATAAAAGGTCCTATTAAACTTTTCTTCCCATCGTGTGTCTAGTGGATTATTACTATAACGATACAATACCCGGGGGGGAAAGTTTTGGCTCATAAGAAAGGGTTAAAAGCGAGGAGTTAAGCTGTGTTGCAGCATATAATTGACGCTGCAGTCAAAACTCTATTTCCCCTTCCTCTCGGCCGCAACAACACCTCTTTTATTTCTCTTCCTCTTTTCGTTGCTGTTTAACCGCCCCGAATGGCTACTAAGTACATACTTAGCAGACCTTTTGGGCAAATGTTCTTGACGTCATTATTGTCCAGTGCTAATTACCCGCATGTTGGTGGGCACATCCGCCAGTACGTTAGGGTTTCACGACACTAAACAAGACTATCGCAACAACGGTCATACTACTGCTACCCGACGATCTGCCATTGTTCCATTTGTACTTAAGGCATTCAATCATTGGACGCCTTTCGGTCCGAAAATTGGTAGGGGATGGAAAGAAAGAGAAGAGGTGAAAGCCATCCGCTCTGTTATATAAGCGCTAAATGAAAGGCGGAGGTGGAAACCCGTACCCTAAGGACCAAGGGATTGGAACTCCGTTGCAGATCCTGGTTGCCGATACAGAACCCATACCGTACGGACCAGAGGTGTGCCTCATACAGTACAACCTTCCATAATACGTAGGTAGCAACAGTCCACTACTGCAAAGGGTAAATAGTATCACATAGGCGGTGGATCTCGTAGTGCCTGACTTAGTGTAGTCCCGATCTGGGGTCCACGCGAGCCAAACGGGGGTGAGGAAGTGGGAAAGAAAAACGATAGAAGGATGCTGCAAGTGATCTCTTGACTTCTCCCCTAGTAGGTCAGACAGTGGTCCAAATGTGACAGGGCCCATGATCCTTTAGATCAATTTCCACTGAAGACCCTCCAGAAGCTGACAAGAGGGACAAACACGACGTCATCCTACTTTGACAAGCAGCGGTCCAATCGGGGGACGCTATGCAGACTGCTCTATCATAGGGATGTGAATGTGGAAGAGAATTCCGGAAGTCAACTGAAACTGAATCTGGTGATCAAGTGTAGCCGTTGTGTTCGCAACAGTCCATCCACTACAACACACATGGTTCCCACGAGGGAGGATGCAAGCTAAACACCTAGACGAAGTAAGGTAGTAAGAAGATAAGAGAAAACAGTCCCCGATAGGATTAGACAAGAGTTTCAAAAGCAAACAAATTTGATTCTCCTAGGGATACAATATCATGAGTTGTTCTATTTTTCCCCCTATCCTTAACTTTTGTTTTTATTCTTTTCTTTTCTTCCTTTCCCCTCAAGCAACAAAAACTGACTCCAATGTCAGTGCTTCCCTGATGTTCCCGATACATTCACTCAATAATGCAGTGATATACCCAAATTCCGATTCTTTCTGTATTCTTTCTCTTATGGGTTTGGCTCATTCTTATTTTACGTACTATATGCATGAAATACATACCAATGCGCTTTGGTTATTGTTGTTTTTTTTTTTCTTTTTTTCTCTAATATTATTATGATTATTATTATTGCAAATAAGACAGAGGAGGAAGTGTTCCCCGAGTTCCGAGCGTTGGCGGATGACGCGAAGATACATTATCTGGCGGTGTCGGCGCGTCGCTCTTCAAATCAGGGTATGTTACGCAAGATAGGATGGTTGTAAACATCATCCATCCTCTAGTTGATAATCGTGTCCACGTTAGTGTCCAGTCGGACGGTTCGGAGCAAAAAGGAAAAAGGGAAAAAAGGAAAAAAGGAAAATTGAGCAAGAAAGAGACAGAGAAAACAAGAACAAGAACAACTGATGAGATGTCATGGCGATGCACCTAACGATGTATGCAGTGATGCTAGTCATGTGAACATCACCTGTCTGGGGTAATTGGGCGTTGTTGGTCCTCGGAAATTATTGGGCAGTTGGTGCCAGTTGAGACGTTGG